AATTTACTAAACTAATAAAACAAAAAATTACACATCTGTGAAGACAACCATCATTTACAAAAAGTGAACCTACATGCTCTCTCCACCTTCCTCATTTCTACGGACAAGGAAAGTGGATGAATTAAGATCCTTGACGTAGCGAAATATAATGAATAATAAATGGTTAAATTTGATACTTTTGACTGGTGTACAAATTACATGGGTAAATATGAACTTTTCCTACTTCTTAATGGCCTATTGTTTCATAATTTATTGAAGTCGTGAGGAGCGGTCAAGAATGAGGTAGTTTAGAAAAACACTTTTTTTCATTTTTTTGCCGACGTTTCACACAAAACCAATAAGACACCACAAGAATAGCACCACACTTTATGTCCTGAAGATGACCTGAAAAAGGTCGAAACGTCGTAAAAAATGAAACAAGTGTTTTTCTAAACTACCTCATTCGTGACCGCACGATTCAACAAATTATTTGTCTACTTCAACGTCTACACTTGTAAATATTTCAGAATATTTATAGATTTAATATATAGACAATAATTAATTAAAAATTAAAAAATTAACAATAAAAAAATAAACTCTAGATCTTGACAGAGTGGGTTTTTGTGTTGCAAAATTTTCAGGAGGGTAACTTCAAGTGTCTTTGCCTCAGGAGACGTGATTATTTCTTCTTTGTTTTTTATGGCCGTCTGGGATGGTCCTAAGTTATCTGAGTTAGTTATCAGAAAATTCTTGCCTGAACTGTTTTGTCCGAAATTAGGTTGTCCAATTTTTTGTTATAGATCTTCCTTATTATGCTCTCTCCAATTGCTTTTTTATATTGTTCATTCTTTACATTTTTGATCTATTTTCGAATTCACGCTTGCAGAGAACTCGCACGTGGGTGTACACGGGGGGGGGGGGGACTGGCTGAGACGAACCTGTCACACATATGAGATACTCTTCCTTTGTATACCAGAGAGTTCCTCCAATTTCAGGCCCAGGAAACACCATGGCATACAAAGCTCCACAGTCAACGTTTTAATATGAAAAAATAACTAGAGATCTTGACCTCCACATTACGCTTGGTTACCACTTGAAACTTTACTCTCATGGTACTCACAGCCTTATGAGGGCTGTAACTATGGTAAAAAAGTGGTCAACTCGTCGATACGAGCTCGCGGGCGAGGGTTGGTCTGTGTCCTTTCCATTCCATCATACGTAATTCACTAGTCATATGTGGGAGCGCTGATTCCTGAGTTTGTTAATGGAGTTTTGGAAAGATTTATGTAATAATAAGTGTATTTTGGCAATACTTCTATGTACAAATATAAAGTGAACAATTAAAAAATTGTAGAAATTCAATATAGCAGCCTCAGCCCGTGCAAAAGCCAACCGAAAATATGTACATATTACGCACATCATTGAAAAAAGATACCAATTCATATGCCAATGTCCGGAACCAAGTGATCAAGACTATAGACCTTAAAAAAATTCCTTAAAGTTGGCACAGCGTCCTACTCTAAGCTGTCCACATTGTCCTACCTCCGCTGCTATCCCCGAACCAATAGACATAACGAGTGAGTACACACAACACCCAAACAACAGTCGAATACGTCCGAACTGATGGATATCAACATCACTCGAATTAACGCGATGCAGGACCATTTGTGAGAGGTGGTCCGTATACGAAAACAATCCGTTTAGTCTATCTTGCAGCGTAAATGATCGATTTTTGATCATCTGCTTTCAATACTCAAGTTTGGTGGCTGATGTTGGAGGTATGGAAAACTACTACATGGCAGTTATCGAGACTGATGGAATGCGTGAACACTTTTCAGATCAACAACTTGTAAAAGCAAACAATAACACTGCGTTCGCTGTCAATGTTTCATTTTCATTTAATCCAAACCATAGGCGACTCACATTCGCTAAAATAAACAATTCACGTTAAACCGAATGCCGTGCACCCCGACACAGCTCCGCCCGATTTTTTTTAGTGTTTTTTTGCGCAATACAAGTAACCCATTACTTTAAACTAAAATTGTAGATGTCCAAAAAGGACAAAATATGTTCAGCTTGCAGTGCATCTGATTCCTTCCGACAACAGGACCAAACCAACCCCCCCCCCTTTAGGGTAAGCGCGCACGAGCGATTTGTAAATCGTTCTACAATAAATCGCCTGAGGGCAAGTTGCATACATGCACGGACGTTAAAAAAAACCCTCAGCAACATAATTAATATTAATGACTTCCCGTTAGGTTACTACTAAACTAACTGCTTAACAAAATTAAGCGTTTCCCTGCTCTTATATGAAATTATACTATGTTACACATCCACACTACTATAAAAAAAACTTATATCTCGTAATTAAATATACATACAAAATGGAGATTATTCCGTCAGCAGTTACCAGTTAATTACACATAAAACAAAACCAAAATGTTTTAATTAGAAATGTTCACAGTTCATTCTCAAAATCTATGTTGAAAGAAGAATTGATCAAGTTCAAGGCCAAAATTTTATGTAGTAAATATAAAATATAACAATACAAAACGGTTAAGTTAGTAGGGTATATGTTATGGAATTGCCCTTTTTTTTTAAATTTATTAATACATTTTTTTCTGACAATTGTCCATACTACAGATTTATTATTAAAATGGTATAAATGTGTATCATAATAATGGTAATAGTACACATTTTTCAATTTTTCAAACCACATTGTATTTTTGGAATTTAACTGTAAGATGAGAATTTTTATTAGTAAAAAAATTGCACCCTTACATTTCATAACTATTAAATAAAGCTTTGAAGTAAAGGCTAGTAGGTTTAAGAAACCAATAGTGTCTATTATATTGACTTAACTTTTTTAATGAATTTTTATATTTACACAATGGTAGACTATCACAAATCCATATAATCCTGGAATGCACTTTTAAAATTATATCAGATAATTTTAATTACTTTCTTAGATCTAAGAACAGTCTAAAAAAATCGCCTGAGGGTAAGTTGCACGCGCTCACTGGCATTAGGCAATCTTTTGAGCAACACAATTGAATCTTTTCCGATTAGATGGAATCATAGAAAATTAAACATATTCTTGCTCTTATATGAATTGATAATAATTATTATAAGTTACACACCATCTCTGCTACAAAAAATATATTTCTTCTGCATAAAATGCATTAAGAAATTGTTGCCCTCTTGTACAGAGATTATTCCGTCAGCAGAGATTTACAGTTAATTATATATTTTTAAAAAACTGTTTTAATTAGAAATGTCATTGTTTCTTTACTGCCTTTAAAAATCAATTGTATCCAAAAGATATATTTTTAATATGATCAAGTAAGAAGTTAAAAGGGTATATGTATGAATTTTTCTTCAGCTTTACTTAGTTCCTTTTCGCAAGAAAAGGGGCTGCCACACCACTAATAGGACCCGAACCCTTCTGTGGAATAGGAATACACACTATTAACGAATATCTCAGACAGAAGGACAAAAAGAAAATGAGCGAACTTTGGAATTCACTTATTGGACATAGACAATCCAAGAATCTTCTAACCAACTTGGGCAAGAAAGAAATCACAGAATGTGTCAAGGAAGCAGGAATAGACTGCGAATCCTAACAGGATTCCTGACAGGACACTGTAGATTAAATGGACATCTAAAGAAAATTGGAATAATCCAAGATGGCACATGTAGATTCTGCAAAGAAGCAGAAGAGACACCAACACAGGAGCTACACTAGCCCGCAGGAGGAAGTGTTTTGGGATGTACAATGTGACCATAGAAGAACTACAACCACTGAAACCGGGCCTATTAATCAAGTTTCTTGATGAAATAGGACTCACCGATGTGCTTTAGGCAGAGCACAGGGGATACAATAGCTCTTAAAGGGCGCAGTATACCATACCCTGAAATATTACATCTATCTATCTATCTAGTTCCTTTTCTGATTTACTAATTAATTTTCCTGAATTGGTTTTCCCAACATCCTATCTTTTATACAGTATGATGTATACAAATTTTTGATTTTTTCAAACCACATTGTATTTTTGGAATTTACCTATAAGAGGATAATTTTTATTAATATAAAAATTGCACCCTTTATGTTTCAGAAAGATTAAACTATACTTTTAAGTAAAAGCTAGTAGGTTTATGTAGCTTTCGGTTGAGTTAGGGGATGGTTAGTGTCGATAGTTCCAATGTTACATTGAAATCAGTTTTTTAAAGAATTTTTACATTTACTATCTATGTACTATTATAAACTGTCACAAATCCAAATGATTGTGGAATGAACTTGTCATCCTATCAGATAATTTTATTAATTTTCACAGATCACTTAAAACCTCACTTGAATTTAGTGGCATATGTTAATACGTTGCATCCTTCACCATTTAAAAAATACAAGATGGATACTCTTCACAACGAAAATCTTCAACTTTTACAAAATTCATGTCAATTTTTTTTTTTTTTTTAGACAAGCCATTGTTGAAGAAAAAGTAAAGTCAGAAACACCTTAAAATTAATTGTCTGCTCATTCAAGTTTAAAATTGCTTATTTGGAAGATGATTGCACAACATGAAAAATTGCATTGCGGCATTTTTAAAATTGGTGCCTCTTCGAAATCACCAGTGTGTGCTGACTCATTGCTTTGTACAGGCTCTATTATCAGGCGCCTTAGTTTCTTGTATCTCAAGGATTGGCTTTCAGATTAGTTCTTAACAAAATCAACTTTTAACAACTTTTAATCATCAATTAGTAAATCATAAGTAAAATCTGGAGCATTAATTGGCAATACAAGCATATTCATCTGAATATGAAAGTGCTATGTTAATGCTTATTTATACATTTGTAAGGGAAAAAATACATTAACAATTTACCCTTAAATGTGAAAACAATTCATATACTGTAAACAAAAATCTTCCAATAAATATAAACCCTTAGTATTTACAATGTCACGCTTCAATTTGAAATAAATGTTTTATACAATATCCTGGAGGTTGGATGGAAAACTATGACTATACTAATATAAAACATATTTATTCAAAATGTTAACAGGTATCACTGAGTGAGCCACTTGTTGCATTTGTAATGTCTTCATTATCACTTTCAGCCATTTCTACATCTTGAGCTTCTGGTTCATCATCTTCCCTTGTATCTGTAAGTTCCTATTTGAAAAAATAAAAAATTATGAAACCATAAAAAAGTAGAAAGTCAGGCAGAAATAAGGTCGGTTATTACTTGTGATGCAATTACTTCACCATGGTGGTCTTTGTTTTTCATGCTGCCCATAAAAAATGCATCAGCACACTTATTCTGTAGGATCATATTTTTCACAGAAAGAAGGATCATCTCCAAAATCCCTCTTAAGCTTGGTAGCTGCTGTATCAATGAGTTATCTTTGCTGACTTTGCTATAGTTGCAGATGTTCTGAATGTATCTAGTGATTACTTGGAGATTTTTTAAACATTGTGAAACGGTGTTCATTTCTATTTTGAACATGACGGAAAACACGTTCATACCTTGCGATAAAAACAGCTTCAACACTGGCAAGCAACCCTTACAACATAAAATAGTTATATGCATCATTCAAAGTTCATAAAAATATATATTATATATTTTGTTTAAACACATGCAAACTTCTAATTAAAACAGAAAGTAATTGAAACAAAACTATTGTAATTACTAAATTATTTACTACCGAAAGAAATAAATTTAGATGATTAAACTTGTGATGGTATTTCCTTATGCACTATAAATAAACATAAGTGCATTATTTTTAATAAATAAAGGAAATTAAGGAATATATGAAAAGAAAAGTCAACAAGTTAACGAAGTGCTTATCCCAAATTACTCGGAGGAATATCGAGTAATGTGGGGTAGTGGGAATGTAATTTGTTAATGTGAATGAAGAAGTTTATCTCCAATTAACCCGATGAATATCAAGCACTCTGGGGTAGTGTGAATGCTAACCAGATTAGCATGTTTATGTGTAATTTGTGTTTGTTATTTGTGAATAAATGATATTTGTGTTCTTCTATCCACAATTGAAGAGGGCCTGATATACGCAGAGGCTAGCAATAAATAAAGAAAAGAGAAAGTTGGTTACCATTAAATCTTAAATCATCATAATTTGCTGGAGAATCAGCAAAACAAAATAGTTAAAACATGAGAAAGATAAGAAAAGAAATGCAAAGTTAGGAAGAGGGAGCTGGCTGGCGATGACCAATGTAGTTTGCAGGCCCAAAAACTTAATTTAAAAAAAAAGTTACAGTTAAAACATTAAAGATCAAAGGTGTGCAAGAAAAAATTAGTTTTCTCAGTAATTTTTTGGAGTATTTCCACTAATGTAAATTTTTCAAAATGAGGGCTATAACTTTATTTTCATTATGTACATGTTATAAGAAGATATTGTATTTACATACATTTTTTTGTTATATATTAATTAAAAGTACAATGCAATTTCCAAATCCCTACAAACAATTCAGACAATATACAAATGCAATTAGGTGAAGCACTGAAAAAATTAAGTGAACTGCATATAACAAATCATACAACAGATCCCTCTCTCCCGATTTTACCATACGTAAACCTATTTTTTCAATATGTTATTCGAAGCCAAACTACCACAATAACACAAATAAATCAAAACAATTGAGAAATCGGACAAAGTGGAAGGGGACCAATTGAAAGCTTATTAAAATTTCCTATAAAATTGTTATAGGGTGCTGCTCCAGGACGATTTCCTGACCCCACCGTTCAATTGGAAGTTTTTGTAAAAAGTGTAAAAATTAACATTCCCAAATTTTTTGAATTTACTGATGAATGGCTGAAGCTAGGAAAACATTTAAAAAATTCATCTTGTTCAGCATAAAATTTTCTTTTAAAAATGAGCCATAGTGCACGTCAGGTCTGTGACTTAAAAGGCTGATGAAATATGTTATTTCCAAAGTTGGCCTTTTTTCTTGCAAATCCAGCGACCCTGAATTGGAACCTGGGACCTTTACTTGACAATGTGACATCTATCATTTTATTTAAATACCTTTAAAAATTGGCGAAGATTTAGTTTTGTGTCCTGAGCTTTGATTACTAGCACCAGTTGTTGTAGGCAGTTGATCACTCTTTCCCAAACCGCCAACTGTTCTTTGAAATCCTTTCCCTCAAGCCCTTTCTTGGTTACATTTGTTAAACATTTGCACAAGCAGGATATCAATATGTGCAAATTGCCCCTTTGAGAAATCATATGCGTTCAATTATACAATATTATTTTATAAGATGAAATTATTACTTGTTAAAATGCGGAAAGGAATTTAGATTTTTGTTTTCGTCTAAAACCCCAATTTCATCTGTTATCCAGAGTAGAGTACGAGAAATATTCTCAATCTCTCCATCGATGAAAAACAACTCAAGAAGCTTGTTCATCTGTTGGTTTAGCAGTGTACCTTTTACCTCGACCCCTTTAAAATCGTACCACTTTCTTTTCAAATAATACTCACAAATTTCATCTGAAAGTCATAAGATAGATAACAAAATAAAATAAAAAATAAGCGTTAATAAAATAATTCATACCAAGTTTTACAATTTTATTGTCTTCTTCATTTCCATCTTGGAGATTCCTCAGCGTATCTATCAATACAACTAGATTCACTGCTGAGCACAAGTCCAACATGCACTTTGAAATTGTTTTTAAATAATTGATTCCGGATTGTAGACTGAAATTAATAGTCACACCCTTCCCTTTGTCAACTGACTGGCCTCCCAATTTTAATGCACATTCTATCAAAAAGTTTATTAAAAAAATAACTAAATATAAATGTATATAGTTAAAATAGTTGTTAACAATAAAAAAAACTACTTAATAAGCATTTTATATATTCATCAGATTTAAGTTCAGGCCAAGAAAAATATGTGTTGTAAACACTGAAGATTAATGCTGTACATTTTTTAAGATCACTCATGCCTGACCCAAACATGCTTGGTACATCCATAATGTTGTCATGGATTTCACAAAGATGCTGTAACAAACAATTATGCCATAACTTTGATGGTATTTTATTGGTTAATATTTTGTATTCCATTTAACAATAACATATATTGTGGATTTGCCTGTCAATTAAGATTAAAAAACTCACATGAAAATGTTCCACAATCTTCTGTAACTGATTAGCTATGTGGTTTGTTAACTTTGTAGTGTTCCTCACAATTAGATTAATAGGAATATTCATCAAATTCTCAAAACCATTAACTTGTCTAACCTGAAGAGGTTTTTTTACCTCAAGGCAGAACTTAAGTTTAGCATTCAAATCTTCTAATATAAGCATGAGTTCGCTGGGTCCAAATTCTGGAGTTATGTTACTCCCCTGGATTAAAAATAAACAAATATATGAACATTTACAAAATGTTTACAAAATAGTTGCATATGCTAAAATACACCCGTCCTTCAATTTAGAATATTCTTATGAATCCTTATGAATATCCTTTCCTCGTGGATTTGATGCGAATAAAAATTGTATAAATTGAGTTTGTCACTAAAAAAAAGGAAAATATTGGAAATAAAAGCTAGTAAAAGTTTTAGGAATACATGTGTACATATTTACATAACTTGACAAAAAAATAATTGACATTTCAAAAAACTGAAGTATGTAGTAACAACGTCGTCCTCTCAAGTAACATTGCTCATTTTCACAGTATGGCAGCAGCCAGACATTGCCTTATGTGGGCCTAACACAACAAAGTGTCTTTCTGTGTCATGTGTTCTGCCAACCAATCTCAAATATTGACTGAATAATACTATAATTTTTAACACTTATAGGAAAAGATGTATGTACATATACATATACATATATAAAATAAGATCATATTAATCAATTCCACTTATAAAAAGTCCAGCCAAAATTGAGGTAAATTTGCTATACTCGTATATAAAAAGTGCCATGTAAATTGATGGACAGGTGTATATAAAAAATAATTTTGTAAAACTATGTGTTCATATTACATTTACTGGCTGAGGGTGGAGGTTCAATGGATGTGTTAATAAAAGGAACACATCAAAATCTAATTCTCTCATATAATTCCTTAATTTGGAAAATTCAACAGCTATAAACTCATCTTCCTCTTTTCCCTCATCACTCTCAGCCTGTGTTGGAGGTGGTTCATCTAAAGTTTCTTCATCTTCATTTTCTTTTTCGTTCTTCTTTCTATTGCTTTTGTTTACAGGTTTTTTTATCCTAAAAATAATAATGAGATTATATACATTTTATGAAAAATAAGTTAAAAATACCTTTTGGTTTTTTCTCTGAGGTTGACAGTTTTACTGTTCTCATCTAGAAAATACTGAGGAGGAGTGTAAGCAACTGCTTGAGCTAAACAGCTAGCAATCATGTTTTGCAGTTGAACTATCCCTCGAAGCCTAATTAAAATCTTAAACCAAAAATAATTATGGGAAATTCAAAAAGACAGGGTAGAAAAAATTATATACACTTACATTGTCTGGAGAACCTTCTTTGATAAGATAAACAAAGGAATTAATCGACTCTCGGAACCAGTTGCAAGTATGAAAAAGAGCGTCTAGACCTATTTTTTGGAAATAAGGTTCTACCAAGCCAAACTTGGAGTAGAAAGTGAAAGACGGAAAAACAACTGCACACCCGAGTAGAGCATCTATTTCACTGAGGTCTGCCAATTCCAAAGCCCTAATGACCCGCAACAAGCTTGGCAATGTGATGACCCTTAAAGATGAAAATTTACGAAAAACAATAAAGTTAAATTTCCTATTTTTATATCTACTTAGAATGTGACATTTGGCTTCTGTTTCTCTCTTCTAGAATGGCACCAACTATATTCAATGCAATGGGATCTTCTAAGTCGTTGTCTAGACAGTACTCCAATGATGTTTCCAAGTCATCACTAGAAAATAAAATAAAATAGAAAATATAATTTTTTTTAAAAAGCTAATTTTTCCATTTGGGTTGCATAATATTTCAGTTTATTGGGTTTTATTTCATGCAAAACATTACAAAATTATTAAATAGATGATTGTAAGGCAAAATTATCATCATAAATAAAAATAGCCTCTCACTTTTTCTTGAAACTAGAACTAGCGATGACATAGTGAGTTTGGAAAGATCCTTGCATTATCTGAGACACTTTTTTCTAAAATAAAAACAGTTTAAATATGTTTCTTTAAATTATATAATACAGTCGGTTTTATATTACCTTGAATGCTTTATCCATATTTGGACAAGTCATTATTGCAAAAGATAATTGGTCATAAATTAAAACACCATCTTCTGAAGCACACTGTGTCCCGTTCAAAACTAATTCTGCAACCAGATTCTGAATTAGTCCTTGATATGGACAAGTTAAATAATGATTGTTAACCTAATAGATTAAATGCCTTTTCTGATTGTGGGTTCAACATAATTAATTCAGAGTTTTCAGGTGTTACGTTCATTTCATCACCCTGCATGTTAACCATGAACTTAACAACAGTAATTGCACAAACAATGCCACTTCTATAAATTCTAAAAGGCAGATATTGAGCATATTAAAAATTGCAAATGCAGACAAAATTAAAGACAACATATAATTATATATTCACTTCGGATCAGGGCAACAAAGCTGTTTCTGAGCAATCATATAAATTTCATCCTGGAATGAAGCGCTCGAATCAATGGAAGCATCACTGAAAGCCATTGTACATAGAATATCCATCAATTCCCTTATCTCACCAGTATTCATTTCACCAACCAAGTCCAGCAGATGCTAAATTTATATTATTAAAATGTCATATTCCCAAATATTTGAACACATCAACAACACCAATAAAATAAACATACTGTGATTCGAGTCGCAAAAGGTGATATAAATGATGTGTAATTTTCTGTAAGATATTGCAAAACGTTTAATACTGGTTTTGAGACGTTGATGTTCTTTGTCACACAATCAATAAGATTAATAATAATCATTTTTCTATGGTAAGACTCCATCTTTTTAAAACAGCTCCTATAAATTTAAATTAAATTCAACAAAAATTCAATAAATAATAACTATTATTGTTATCATTACTTATCTGTATAAACATATTGTTATCACAAGGATAATCAATTACTAACAATAAAGCATCAAAAAACTAACTTACACATAAAACAAGAAAAAATATTTTGAGATGATGACATCGTTCACTACTAATAAGGTAGACATGAGTTTAAGCAAATCATTGAAGTATGTTACAATAACCTGAAAGCAGATTTATTTTATTTAAATGGTAAATTTAATCAATTAAAGGTACAAATTTTATAATTTGTAAGGCTTACAATTAAAGCAGCATCTAATGTTTCATCGATGAGAGAAGTTTGAAAATGTCCAGTTCTGATTTTGGTTTTTATCAAGTTCTCAATGGCTCTCTTTTTCAAGACATCCGTGGCGACAGAATAAAGAATTATTAAGATCAAAAGATCAATGGGCCTGAAATGCACAGTGTGAGGTCTTGTCAGACAGTTTATTCATTCATGATCATCCAATCAAACTCATTCTACGTTACAATCAGACATGTTTCAAATTCATTAGCAAACTAGACACATTTCAAAGTTATAAAACATATTAGGTTATAGAGAGAAAACAGACACATAACAAATATTTTACAGTACAATTAGAATTACTACATGATGTACAAAGAGAGGACTCTTTAAAAATTAAGTAATTAAAAAAAACTTGTTAATACAAAAGTATAACAAAACACATAACTTATGAAATGAAAACTAAAAAACTTTATTAGTCCTATAATTAACAAAATGGATCTAACGCATATATCTGAATTTGGTTTAATTTTACAAAGCTGCCCAGAAAATTATTAAACTCAAGTCAAATTATTATCACCAAATCCCAAAATACTTCCGACCAAAACTTAAAAGGGACAATAAATGAGGTTGATAAGGAATAATCATGCTGTAGACAGATAAAATTATTACAGACTTGTGTTGTTTGTGAGATTTTATTTTCCCAATGTTTTTCAACCAAATGTCAGCAAATTTTTTATTCAGTAAAATCTGGCTTCGAATCCTTTCAAAAATCAAAGACAAAACACTGCTGCGATCATCAGAGCTTATTTGTTGAGTCAAGTGGTCACCCGCATGGCACAAAACCAATTCTGATCGCAAACCATTAAAAATCTGCAAATCTCAAAATAATTTAAATTATGCCCAATGGTATATGAGTTAGGGAAATTGTAAGTTGATGATTATTCACAAAAAATTTATCATCATTTTACCTCATCTAAATGGTTTATAGGAGGAGAAGCTATTATAAAGCTCATATATGAGGCGACATGACTTATTTCTGTCCTCCTCAATGACCTTATGAGATTCATCTGGAGTTCAAAGCGGCAATCACCCTCTAGGCAAAAGTTCGAAAGAGCATTAAGTATTGTAGGTGTCAAATTAGGAGAAACTTTCAGCAAATCTCTAAATGGAGAAAAACATAATAAACAAAACAATATCCATCATAACAAATGCAAAAAATTACTGACAATAATTCCTTTGAAACTTCTTCCCTCTGTTCATCGGCAATGATTTCTGGTAGACAAGTAATTATTTCATGTTGAAGCTGAAAGAAATATATATAATAGATACATAAGAGTACATAAAAACACAACTGACTTACAACAACAGCAGAAGTTGAATGAATTACATCAAATAACCTTTGTGTGACTACAGCCGGCTCAATTATTTTTGGTAAAAACCGCATAGGTTGAAGAATCATCTTCACCCACATTGTGCATTCTTCATCAGCTCCTCCTCTGTATTCAAATTAAAAAAATTAAAGCAATGTAATAAATTAATATTACTAGCAACGTTCTGCAACTTACTTAACAGGTGTTATGTTTTCACTCAAACTATTCAGCAAAAATTCAATTAAACTCGGCTGCAGGCATTCGATGGTAAGCAGAAGTCTTATGAGGCTGCCTTGGTACTCACCCCTTGCAATATTTACCTCACAGCAAGTCTAAAGCATATAACCAACCAAATAAAACATTCTCTCACCGAGCAAAAATAGAGGGTACCTTTGTCGGTAGTAAAGATATTTTGAATAATTCCTTGTTTGATAAATAATTTTTTAATTCCAACAAAAATTTCTTGATCACATCTTTTTCTTTTGATGAAGATAAAGCTTTTGATACATTCCGTATAAAAACTGCTTGATCTTGTTCTAAAAATAATACATTAAAAGATTACCAACTTATTTTCTACAAGAACATCATACATTTACATAATACATTCAATACATAAATTGATAGAAAACAATTTACTGTTTGGGCACTAATATAATTGAACCTTTTTACATTTAATATCTCATGCAAAAAACTTAATAAATATTTTTGTTTCTAAACATTGACTTTAGAAACAAACATATTGGTAAAAAGCTAGTCTCTACAGAACAATGTCTAATGTGCAATTTTAAATAAAGTAGAAGCCGTTTTAAATGAGGGTATTTAAACTAAAAGGATACATGAATTCTCGGAGTGCCAATGTTTTTAAAAAATAGCCCATTTGTATGTCAGTCTACTAGTTTCAAATACGGGAACTTTTCCTTATTGTGAGAGATGCTGTGTCCAATACCTTGCACATACATTCGCAGCAATTCATGTTCCTAGAGAAGTTGATAAAAGTTCTTTTCTAATTTGAAATAAGTTATTAATTTGATCTATTAACTAAAATTAAATTGGATCAACCTCTTTCTAGAGAAAGCGTTTAACATTGTGAAATTTGAAAATTTATTTAATTAGTAGCTATAAAGAAGAGATGGATATTAAAGAGGGTGGAATGGTTGGTGGTTACCTTGTCTTGCAAGTTTCTTCTAAAGTATGTTCCAAAAATCAACCCTTTTTTTCATGACTGATTTATAATTTTTATGACATGAAAGTTAATCCTTTAACATTTTTTAAGCTTATCTTTTATTCATGTACTAAAATGGTGGTGACTCAAAAATGTTACATTGTTTTCATAAATTAACTCAGGCAAGTTAAAAATATAAATCTTTCAATAAACCATTTAAAAAAATATTGATTCTTATTATTTGTTTTAAATTTCAATTAATTATTCTTATTATGTGTGGTGTTTAGTGACCATTAGCCAATGATTATTTGGAGATCGAGAGAGGTCTCAACACGACACACAAAAAATGACACATCTACACAGAAAACAACCACTTTGAGCCTTGAAGATGATCTCAATAAAGATCAAAACATTGGCATGATAAAGAAAATGTTTTTCTAAAGACCGCACCTCACGATCTCCAAATAATTATTCTTTTTATGTAAGGTCTTGGTTGAGATGGAAAAAAAAATTAATTGAAATAATTAAAATGTCGCTTAGACCACTAAACATAAATGGATTATTTTTAAATATAAAAAGCTTTAATAACAAATTGTACAAGTATGTAAATAAAAAATTAATAACAAATCAGTTAAAATTAAAGTTGAGAGTGGTATGTCTTGAAGCAAGATGTCACACATAAGGCCACTGACAATCGGGATAGAAGTATAACAATTATCGTCAAACTGCTGTACCACGATGATCTCATTGTTTACTACTTATCGCACAAGTTATTTTATAATTATTTTTTTTATCTGTAGAAGGAATTAATTTTGAAAAATGTCTATCAATCATTATCAGTGGTGCACTGTTTTTAAAAAAGTCAATTTTTGCAGACATCATGATCCAATTGTGGAACTCTGGGGAATTTGACACATCCCCTTTCTCCTTATAAATAACGAAACTATTCCACACAGTCATTTCAATTAGATGACAAAATATTTCGATTAATATTTTTCCCTTTGCTTTCTAGGAATAGGATAGGCTGAGATTTGCTGGTCACAGTGTTTTTGTGTTGCTTTGTGACAGTGTTTGCACACTATTTCTTCCATGTTTTTGATATCACAGAATAAATACCATGCAAAGTTGAGAGAAGGGTCCTTTGAAGAATGAAATTTAGCGACAAATCGTTATAAACCAGCTATATTTTGTTTAGCTTTGGGCAGGGGTGATTTTCTAGATCGTATGTTTCATTGTTAAAAAAATACAAAAGTTTTGAATTTTGCAAAAACTACTATAAGACAACTTGTTGAAAAACATGTTGAAGTGCTTGCTTGTCTTGACTAGTATAACTACAAAACTGGTTTGTGAAGAACACTGAAAAATAATTTTTATTATTATTATTGTTTTCTGTAAAAAATTTACACATTTAACAATTTGTTGATAGCTATCAATAAAAGATCGGACTACTGGGATGGGATTGAGAGAGCGGAGTCAGCCACTGCTGGAACTCAATGTTTAGGAATGTTGGTTGAGGTTTAGGGTTGTGCTAGGTCATGAGGCCACTGTCTTTTTACGCAGTGTGTTGGATCAGTAGGGCGCTATTGTGTCACATCTCAGAAAGATGATCGTTGTATTGTTTCAAATTCAGACATTCTACTGCTGTCGAGATTGAACAATGACTTCAACAAGTTTTTGACAACATTTAATGTCAGTTTATGCAAGGGGAAGACTTTCAAAAACTCGATTACGTGCGAGAGGTCAAGAATCTCTGACACAGAGAACAGCTCAGACAAGTTTAAGAAATCACATCAATTGGCCTGAGCAAGATTGGACTAAAATTTTGTTTTCGGATGAGTCAAGGTTTTGTTTTAGGTTTTCTGGTGCCAAGAGAGCACATATCCTCGCAACATTTACACTCTGGAGAAGCTGTGGAGGTGGTAATGTAATGGTTTGAGGAGGCATTTCCATGGTAGGTCGCACAAACTTATCTTCATCGAGGGTACCCTAAGAGTAGGGTTGAAATATAAAAAAAAAAATATTCCAGGGAATAGAAGTTACTTACTCAGGGTGTTATGACTCATATCTTTGCACAAGACAAAGCCGGCACTAAGAAGGGTCTCTTCCAAGAAGTCGAACTTTTTCTCGGATACTGAGCTTATTCGGCTGAAGGAGTCAGGTGAAATATTCGGGATTACGTCGACTTTACGAGGAGATCGGCTTCTCGAAGGCATTTCGTTGAATTTAGCCGTCTTCCGGCCTGGAATATCGATCGCGTCCCTTTGGGAACTTTGAAGGGTGTTGACATTTTCCTTATCCAACGGCGGCGAGGATGGCTTCGACGTGATGGACGAACCGCTGAACGAAGTGGAAACGCTCGATTGACTCGAGCCAACTAGGAACTCTTCCCCTCCGATCAGCGTACTCGAAGCCTGAGGATGAACTTTTTTCCTCCTTTTGTACATATTGTATCCTCGTGGATAATCCTTTCACCCAAGTTCAGTATGAACAATCATAACAAATTCGAATTGAGCGATAGCTCACGCCAACCAGTTTGTATCCTTCCAACATCCGTCGACCGCCAAAGATTGAAGGACATTCGATACCACAGTTCAAGATCGATACCCTTCGATAATAATGCAGCAATAAGATGTCCCTAGGATTCAGAAACGAACGGCATCCCCGCTTCGTAATGAACCCTGGGCACAGACGAAGCCTCAGCAGAGACGATAATAAAAAGGGTACCTCAACTACCGTTACGGAATGATCTCTCATCCCTGTAAGAGGTTTGAAAAGGGGAGGATACAAAAGGGAAAAATCCCACACCTCCGTTCAAAAAGAGCAAGCCTCTGCAGAGATTTCCACGTATGGACTTCTTCCATTAGGAATGCTGGGATGGAGATTGACCAGGTCATTCGGGAGACACAGACTTCCTCTTCGCCCAAAAATTAATAACGCATGGAGAAAATGATAATGGCCCAGGTGAACATCCGTCAGCCAAAAGCTGCCTCGGCAGTATTATATTTATTTCTCCCTTGCAAACTTTTGTTACACCTTTTCAAATTTTCGTGATAACTATTCCCAACGAAAAGGAAAAAAAAGAATTCTTTAACTTCCGCATATATCGTGCCACGTTTCGATCTTAATTTAGATCATCAGGCATCATTTTCACATTTTACACGAATTTGTATAATTGAAACAATGTTTATAAATCCCAGGCCCTGAAATGATCTCAATAAAGATCTAAACGTTGGCAAGAAAATGTTTTTCTGTTTTTCATCACACGATTCAATATAATTGCACAAACCAGATTATTGTGCAATATTATTGTATGTCTAAACCAAAGTCGAGGTGCTCTACGAGGGCGAACTCTACGTCCGATTATAGTTTATGTAGGAAGTTGCACTGGAACGTCGGATGATCGTTCATCACTAAACTTGATGATGAGCTTATCGATAACGCTGATAACTGACAGTTAGCAGATCCGTCTAATGTTAGTCATTAGTCTTCGCTTTAAAGGAAAGTTTCAATATATTTTTTATTAAAGTGTTCTCCGTCGAATTTTAAAACAAGACATTAGGACCGTTATGTTTGTACAGCTTAAAATAATATCGTATTTGGCTAATAAGATAAAAATAACCCGTGATCACTGCCCTTAGGTGTCGTAGCTTTATTTACATTAAATGGAATTTAAATTTCTGAAAAATAAATTGAGGAATGTTGCGGTTTTTGTATTTGTAATAAGTCTTACATTTATTTTATACCAAATAACGTTCGTGTCTATGATTGACGACTCCAGTGACTCTATTGTAGGGAACAATGTTCAAAAAATAATCTTGAAACCAAAGTTGGAAGCGATTTTGAACTCGAATAAAAGCTTCAAGTGTAAAACTGGCATGGAAATTGATTTTTCCAAATTCAACGATGACTATTGTGATTGTGATGATGGAAGTGACGAACCCAGGACAAATGCTTGTGTCGACAGCGAATTTCTCTGCTGGCACAAGTCCAAAATTGGTAAATTTATTCATATAACGTTTTGAAATTTGTGGATTGTATATAAATCAATGCAAAGTTATATAGGCAATAAACGTTTGTACTTTATATATTAATCACTTCTTTTAGCAAAGGAAAACTAATACTTGTATATTTTGTTAAGTTAGCATATCTGTAAGTTGTTTCTTTCCACTAGTTAAACTGTGTTAGTTCATTTACCATAGTATATCCGACAGGCATTTATGTTTAATTAAATTGTTATAAAGGCACTATTATTTATATATACAGCATTGATCGTGAAACTTTACTATAGAGTATAATTAATTGTATGTATAAACTTTAGTAACTAATTAAATTAATTATATTTTTTGTATAAGTTCATGGTAGAGATGAAAAAGCAAGTGTCACAAGCGGGATTCGAACCCACAGCCTTCAATACACTGCTGCTTGAACCACTTGAGTTATCGTGAGATCAAGTGGTTAGAGCAGCGGCATATTGAGCCGAAGGGCTTTGAATCCCGCTCGTGACACTGGCTTTTTTATCTCAACCAAGACCTTAGATAAAAAGTATAATTAATTGAAATAATTAATATATTCAATTATGACCAATAAATAGATATATTGTTTAGTAACTAGGTTTTTATATTATCTATCGCCAAAATATTCTAATAATATTTTTTTATATTATGTATACATTTTTTTAAGTCATAACTCATGATTTGTGTATTCCTTACTCTAGTTTACAAAATAAATTAAAACAAAAATTATTTTTCCCAAAAAAGGTATATAAATATAAAATTGTTTATTAATGATTCATAGGGGACGATTATTTCAGGCTAAAACCTATTTAAATTTTACTATTTGAAAAAATGACAAATATGATGTAAGAAAATAATTTATTTTTTAGTTAAGATCCCATCAGGATGGGTAAATGATGGGATATGTGATTGCTGTGATGGCTCTGATGAGTATGCTTCCATAAAATCTCCAATTAACTTAGACCGTACGTATTTTACATATAATACAATATATTCATTTTAGTGTTTATTTTTTCCTTTCTAGCATCAGTTCAAAAGGCTATAGGACAGTACATGACCCCGTGTTCGAACCGTTGCTTAACCTAGAGCCAGTTAAATCTAACAAAATGTAAGTTTTTTTCTAGTGCTTCTTAAGCTTATGATGTAAAATTAAATGTAAATGTTATATTTTAATATTGAGATATTTGATAATTAGATTTACATTTCCAGGTATGACAGTTGAGCCTACAGTGCCGTTTCAACAAAGCTAGAACAGTGTTACTCAAGACAAAATTCAAGGTTGCAGTTGTAACAAAATAATTGTAACTAAATTTACACTTAATGGAATTGAAATATTGAGTAGAGCATTTGTTCAGATGTTATAATAACTGTTAAAATTTATTTTAAAAAATGTCTTATTAGTTTTTTTAGTTATCATTGGGGTTGTTTAAAAAATAAAAACTTTTATATACGTTTAGGAAAACTGAAAATGTTTAAATTGTAATGATTAAACATATTTTTTTAAATAAGTTAAAATTATTTCCAAAAATTACAGCAAAATTTTAATTTAAAAGTTTTTATCTATTCCTTAGGTCATACATATCTAAGAGGGATTTGTTTTAATTTATACAATTTCAGTAAACGCTCTTTTTTTTGTTCAACTTCCATACCATACCTTCAGGTAACCCTATACCAGCGGACCCACCATACTAAATTTTAAAAAAGGGGATAACTAAATATGATGCTCCACCTAAAAGGGGAGATTTTACTTTAACATCCTTCCCATTTTCTCAATGCAATGGCTAAGGAATAAGAAGGAATTGGGGCAAAATTTGTTTAATGTATCATTTAACTATTCGGAATTTAAAGGGTTTTAATATAGGGGATTTAAATTATTTTTCTTTGCTGTATTGATAGAACAAATCTCTTAAAATGTATTGGCTTTTTCCCATCCTCTCATCCACTACAGCTCAGATAATGTTAGTTATTGCTTTCTTCTGCACTACAACTTACTTTTATAGTGTGACAAATTTCTAGTTTGAGTATAAAAAATTGTATTTATAATAAAAACAACATCCTTCACTTAAAAACCAGGTCCTCTAAAAGTAATATCTTTTTTTTAAATAATCTTATTTGTTTTGGTTTCAGTATTTTTGGTATTGGTTTGGTAATACAACTACTCAAGTGTAAAAACCAATGTTTACTTTTTATAGAAATGATATTAAACAATAATCCAGACTTAGATGTTCCAACTGCTAAAGACAATCCCCAAATTCATTATATTTTCTTTGTCAATACAAACTCAGTTTAAAAGCACCTGAGCCTGCTCACAAAATATGTTTGGTGTTCAGTATTGATGCACTCTCTATTCAGAATGCACAATTTCAGTTTTTAAAATAAAGAAAAGACCCAATATTGATGAACATCATCTGAGAAATTTAATGATATCTAATAACTACCACAAACTTGCTCAGAGATACGTTGTCAACTCAATACCTCTTAATTAACCTAAAGCTGCATCAAATTTGAAACATAAATAAGGTAGATAATTGGGTAATGCACAATTTAAGAGGCACCAATAAACGTGTCCATTTAGGTATAGCCTCTGCCACATCGCCTAAAAGCAGATAAATAATTGGATCTGTAATATAATTTGAGGTAGTCCAATCAAATACAAATAAGCCCTTAGACAGAAAATTTTTTTATGAAGTCACAAATCAGGTTTATCTCTTTTTATGATGTACAGAAATAAGGAGTTATTTTAAAAGGAAACTTGTTTCTTATTGTGAGAGAGATCAATCTGTTGTACCTAATGGGGATTATTTCAATGAATAACATATTTTCATGTGAGAAGGACCAAATTTTTCCTAAGGTTTCAAATAAAGCAAAAAATGTCTTTCTAAAACTAACATGGAAAGAGTAACAAGTTAAAAATCAATTTTCAACTTATGCAACCAAGTAAAATAGAAAGGGCTTCACTTCTAAAATATATTATTCCATTCCCTTTCATAGTAGGCCCTACATAGGCTTCCCAATCGTTGATCTTATATCAGTCCGTAACCCTTACCAAATATAATTTACACATTATAAAACAAAAATAAAATAAAAACATTTTAGATATTAATAAGCTAAACGAATATGAATAATTTAGATAATGACTTTGATAGTGACCAACTTTTGTCCAGCATATTACTTCCAGAGAAATTAAGTAAGTATTACATTATATTATTTATTGGAATAAAACAATTTTGACTAATTTATAAATAGTTGTGATAAATTTGTTGAGTAGTTGAAATTTGGTAAATTTTTAAAAGTTTTTTCAGATCACCTTTTAGTTTCTTAATCAAAAACTATAAGTTGGGATTTGGGAGTCCTACTTGAAGTTAACTTGAACTTGCAATGCAAAGTTTCTTTCTAACTGAACATTTTCAGTAAACTGACTGAATATTGAATTAAGCATAACTACATTAGCCTGAGCTGATAAACAAGTAAAAAATTAACTTAATAAATACAAATCTAGTCAATTAGATTTGTATTGATAGTAAATTCAAAAGACAGTCTAATTCTTATCAGATTTAACAAAAAGTAAATAAAGCTAATTTTTCCAGTCTATATGTACTAATTACTATGAAAGAAATTTTGTTGAGAGAAGTAGAAGAGAAATAAAGCTTTAGAGAGTGTATGCCCATGTTGGCAATGTTTACCCACACGTTTTCTACATTGATTATCTTAATCTTTTTAAAAAGATAGTTCCTGCTCACAGTTAGCTGATTTCAACGACCGGATTTCAAACTTATAGCTCATCATCAGGTTGAAGGAATTTACAACCTGATGATGAGCTATAAGCTTGAAATCCAGATCATTGAAAACAACTAACTAAGTAAGAACTATATTTTTAAAAAGATTGAACAACCCACTCACTCCACCATTTATCAATTCTATTGTGTATCTTACTCTCAACTTATATAGCGTCTATGCATATTTTCTGGAAGCTATAATCTTATCAATTAATTTATCAGTTGGCTTTTGTTAACATAAAAATCATAAAAATAACTTTGGGAAATAATCATTATCTTTATAATTTAAAAAATATCTTTTTCGTTATCCTCTTTGTTGAATGAAAAACCATAAAAAGAGTTGGGCTTTTTTGAAGGTTTTCCTTATTACTATTTATTTTCCCTCATTCATGCACGAGATTAATAGGATGATTTTAGTTCTAATATTATGTTTTTAAAAAAAGTCATCACAGAACAATTGCAAATGAATGGAGTAAAGTTCACAAACTAGTGGACTGGTTTCTGAGCTGAAAATTTATTTCAGAATCCGTTTATTTGGTCTAGAATTATAAGTTTCTTAAATAATAAATATTTCAGAAACCCTTTTAATTGAAAATTTGCTTACAAATTAAATTTAACAAACTTCTATTCTATTTTAGGTTTTCGAACAGATTTAATTGAAGATAGTTTAACCCATTCAAATTCAGAAATGCCTGAATTCAGAGTAAACACTTCAGTACAATGCGGAAAAAGAAAACAACGAAGATACAGGTGCTTTTATTAATTATCCTAAATATTAATGAAACAACATATCATTAATTGTTTGTATTTATTGAAAGTTTAACATTATTTTATTAAATTAATAAACAATAAAGAAATTATTGAACAAAAGTAATAATACAATGAAATGGAATGAATTATATTAATGTTCATTCATTCAGGAAGAAATGGTTGCTTTTTTGAAAAAAGAAAACATCAAAAAGGTGAAATACCCTAAACCATAATTGAGTTTAACACTATTGAGAATTAGTATTAAAAAAAAAAAAAAAGATTTTATTTGGTAAATTAAGGAAAGAAGAATGCACCTTAAAATTTATTACGAATGTGCCTTAAAATTTATTACAACTGCTATTTATTTCAGAACAACATTTAGCAATTATCAGCTAGAAGAACTGGAGCGAGCATTCCACAAAACCCATTATCCGGATGTCTTTTTTAGAGAGGATCTCGCCATGAGAATTGATCTAACTGAAGCGAGAGTCCAGGTGCATTAACGGAGAGTAAGAAAAATTTTTGGTCTATAGTTAACTGTGTAAACATTTCAGGTATGGTTTCAAAACAGGAGAGCTAAGTGGAGGAAGCAGGAGAAATCATTGCAGAAACAAGAACACAGTACTGTGGATAGCCAATCATTTTCTTTCAACCAGTCGTCGATTGGGATAGTCAATATACCAAGTGAATACATTTGGATTATTATATATTTATATATATATTTTTTTGTTATTTTTTATTTCATGTTTTAATTATTTTATGTATAATACTATTTCAATTCTTCATTTAGTAATCAGTACCATGTGTTGCACTGTATTTTTATACCACCTATTTGCTAGATTATATGCTACACAATTATTAAAATTTGACATTTGTGATTTATTAACATTTTAAAAATATGTACTGTTTTGCACTTGTCTGAATTAAATTGTTTGAATTTAGTGAGTTCCAGTCCAAGAAATATAACAGAAACAAGCACATCAAGTATGTTAATGCTATTTGTATTAAAGTGATTAATCAGAATATAACATAATCAGTATTTCTTTTATTGCTTATAGATGGCCTAATCCCAGAGAACATAGGCACTCTGTTCCTTGGAATGGAATGGGGGATTCCATTTGCAAACACCAATAAACCGTTACCTGATATTGACCCGGAATTGCTGAGGCTGAAACCGAGCAAACAAGAAGCCGATATTCTTACATCACCAGAATAATTTATTTAATTTGGTGTGTATTCTTGAAATGAATGATGTAATGTCAAAAATGTTTTAACTTTTTTTCAATGTGATCATTAAATTTTAGATTTCAAAAAATAAGAGCAAATAATATTATTATGTAAAATTGATTAGAAAATGTTTTTTGTTATTTTATTTTAATGATAGAATCAGTTTAGCCAATATGTTTAATTTAAGTGTTCAAATTAACCCTGTCTGGTCATTCAAATCAGTATACTTTTGAATTCAGGAGTTAGCTATAACAGAATTTGCTTGTATCCAGCCATATATTATTGATAAATCACATTGTTATGAAAATGGTTGTTTATAGTTTTTATATTGATAAATAAATTTTCCTTGTAGTATAATTTTTATTTTATTTAATCCATCAAACTTCCTGATGAGCAAAAAATTGAATAACTAGTTATTCAGATATCGTGAGATGCGGTCGGGTGTGATGTAGGTTTCAGAAAAACATTTTTATCTGCCAAAAAAAATTGAATAACATTTTCACTTTTATGTTTAGCCCCTTTTGAAACAAATCAGGTTCAAGTTAATGTATAAATGCAATATTCTGTTCCTAAAAACTGACCACAAATTCAAACATGCATTGTTTTAACATTTTTAATTGAACAATATGTTTTTCTAAAATCATTTATTTTTTAGAACTTTTTCCACAAGCTTTAATTTGTCTTTCAAATGTTTCATATTTTTATATTTCATGCTATTGTATAACTATTTAGTTTTAAAAACTGACAAAAAATGATAGTGCTGTTCAAAAATAAATCAATTCCTCTCACAAGAGGGCTAACATCCAATTATCTATCTGTTGGGTGTCACACACGAGAAATCACACCACTTTACGTTTTTACCTTTTAAAATTAAAACCCAAACCACTTGACCACCTTTATCACATTGATGCCATCCACATCCAACGTGAGCTTTTATATTGGAACACACATGTTGGGTACGTCAGTAGTAGCTGTCCCATTTTGGTTGGCATGATTTTTTTAAATATAATTTTAGGTTTCTTTAAATATTTTAAAAACAATTTCTTGGATTAAAAGAATTACTTTTTGTGTCCATAGCTACTCACAAAAAGAACTACGGGAGATAAGTGCAAATTCGCTTGAAAACATATGTTCATGCTTTTGTCTACGGTGTCAGTCTTGTTCATCAGTAATACTGCATAACTGTGGGAAGTGAATATATCTAAAATTGGTTGGATTTCTGGTGAGAACAGGAAGCATAGTCTGTAAAAGATTCTCATTCAGATGATGATACATTTATGAGACCAACAGGAAAATAATTACTACATACAGAATGTGCAAACTTTTTTTTTGTCTGCACTTTTTCAAGAATAAATATAGAAATGTTATTTTTTTTTTTTTTTTTTTAATTTAATTTATTTATTTGTTACCTATACAGAATTGTATACTATACAAATATGTACACATGCATGAAATATCACACAGCACAACACTAGCACTAATGCCAGCACTGCACCGGTAGGACACATGCTTTGAGGAGCCAGCCATTGCTGGCACTCAGTTTATATGATTAGGGATCAAGGAGGTCCCGAGGCCATCGTCGGTTGAGGCGTCGTGGTGGGTTGTCAGGATGGGAATGAGTGAATATTTAAATCTATGTTTTGTAAAAAGATTATGTAAGCTTCAATACAATGAGAATTCCATTCTTAGAAATAAGGCCTTAAGTTGTCCATCGAACACAAAGCTCCCAACTTGCTGAGATCAATCACAGGTACAAATAAAACCGATGTATACATGATTAAGGTGGTTCATTCAACATCCCTAGGTTGGAACTGTTAGTGTGAAGTTAGGCATACAAAAATTGTTCATAGTAATTTTCAGAGCGAGAGCAGCCTTACTAGTTCAAATAAGAACAAGGCATTTAAAAACAAACCAGCCGGCACTAAGAAGGCATTTCACATTGCCATCGTATCACTTCATTGATCACGCTCTCACATCTATGATTGTTTCCCTATGTAGTCATCATAGATAAAGATTATTATAAGATAAGCCACACAGGTTGAACAGATTGAGGTAAAATATTTGAATGCATGCTGCCATGAGGACAAATAGTTGAACTGTTGAACTAAGTCGAGTGCAATTGCTTCTATGGCACTAACCTTTTTCCTAGTTCAAATAATTTCCACAAAGTATTAATTCAATAATAAGATTAAGCTTTTTTTTTAAACAAAATAAATAAAGTAAGTGTGGTTACTTGCCTTAACACTTAGTACTTGAATAAAATATAAATAAACGCTACATTATGAGGTAAAATGGGACAGAAATACATACAACCATATGAAATCTATTCTGAATAAAAATATATTACTTTACAGTGCAGAAATCAACATCTATGTACAGTTAATTTACAATGTCCTTATTCCAAACTTATTTTTACTTACATCTTTAAATGTTCATCATCCAACAATTAATGTTATGAAAGAGGTTTATCTTTCAATCTTGCAATTACTCTTTCTTAAAAATGACAATTTAACAACTAAAACAAGTTATAAGTTGCATCATGAGCGTAATTATCTTATGTAAATTATTATACAATATTTATATTTAATTTAACAAACTTATAAAATTAATGCATCTTTTGTCCTATACACAATTGCTTTAATACATTTAAAGCAATATACAGCAAGCAGAACAAAATGTACAGCAGATTCATCAAATGTTTTAAATATAATAAATAACTGTACAATTAAAATATATATATTTTTACACATGTTGTGGATTTCCACAGGCTATTCTTCAAGTTTGAAAAAATTAAATAAATAAATATAGGCACAATAACATTTTGAATGTTATTCCTTTTTTTCCTTTGCATCTACACCAGTTATCGCTTTGTCAATTTCTGTCAACTGTTTGATCAGCCTCTCTGTCGCTTTAATGCCACGACTACTTGTTGATCCTGACTGTAAATAAAGATAAATAATAATTACGGGTGGTTTAAGGAAGCAAATTAATAAAGTTACACTCTTACACTTGCAGTTAGGGTCATGAAATTATAAAACTTCTGTAAGACAGACAATATCATTTCATAATTTTGGTTCGGCATATACCCTCTTACAAATTTTTCATACTCCTTAAACAAAAATGTAGACAATTAATAGAAAGAAAAAAAAATTATATTTATACACCATACCTCGTTATCTATAGTGAGATAGCCTAATAACAAAGCGATATAAGCACCTATTAAAGTATGCTCCATGTGCCTTCCAGCTTTTTGTAATACTAAAGAAACAAAAATTGAGTTTTAGTAAAAACATACAATACAGAACTTGTATTTATGTATCTTATTTTTGTACTAGGGATTTGCTACAGCAGAGGTCGTATCAACTCCAGAGTTTAAAAAAATTTAAATGTTAGATATCCACCTGTGGTGTTCTGTGGGATGATGAACCTCAAATTTGATAGTTACCTATCATCTTGGTCTCTTCTAATTTTGTCTGTTTGACTTGTTTTGGCATTTAGCCATTTTGACTGTTGAGTCTGGGTGAATTTTATAGAAACAAGTTTTAGTTTTGAGGTCATGATGGTGGAGGATTGCATCGGTGTTAGCTTTGAATGTTGAACGTGAGGTTGATGGATTAAGTGAGGTTTTTTATTGTTACCATTAGTCTTTTTTCTTTTTTATTTGTGTAATGTTTTGAATACTGTAAATGTTATTGTTAATTTGTGTATTTATAAGTTTTTTAATTGTTAAATGAGTTATGTTCATTTTTTGTCTGTTTTTATTTCAAATTATTTGTATGTTGGGATGGATTTAAACCCGGGACCCTTACAGTGATAAGACACTGTGCCTATGCCTAAACTGTTGCAGCCAGGCCAGACACCCCTGACAGTACAGAATTTTAAATGTTATGTATTATAATACTAACATAATTGGACAGTTTCTTCAATGAATTCCTCATTAGACTTTTGCACTTGTTGTGTTACTTCTTGCTTTTCACCATCAAGGATGGCATCAGTTTTTCTTTCTTCTGTCCGGGCCAGCTCTTCTTGTTGGAGAAAAAGTTTGACCAAGGCATTAACAGCACTGACTTCGACTGCAAAATTAAATGTATAAATATGAGGTCAAATGAATAAATATAAATGTATTTAGTATCTACTAAAAAAAAGCACTTGCCTAAAAACATAGCTTCAGGATCTACAGGGGCTGTTGCTTCCATTAAAAGTTTCCTATTTTCTTCACAATGCTCAACAAGGTTTATTAAAAGAATAAGAGCCTAAAAAATACATTAATGAAAATTGATTAATTTAACTTCTAAAAGCTTTAGTTTACACTATAGATTATATATTAAAAGTATGTAATATAGTATTATTTATTAATTGATACAATAAAAATGGATAATAGTTTGCAATATTTGACTTTTGTATCGGGATGAGAGTAGACATGGTACTTACTAAAACAGTAATATCAAACTTTTGATCATCAGGTACATATTGTGGCAAATGAAGCAAAGCGTGAAGGCTAGCCTGCAAGATCCCTTCTTTCTGCCCCACACGTGATGAACCAAACGCTGAAAATTTATAATGTAGTAACTAATTTTAATGCTCCTCTAATTTTTCACTTACATTTGTTGTTAAAATCATGAGTCAGATTAATCAGCACTTTCAAGCTAGCAATGAGACATTCTCGAATTATTGCACCAACTGATTCTTTATCCTTACTAGAAGAACATGGATAGTACGGAAGCTGCTGGTCACAAATAGCAAAAATCTTTACAATAGTGTTGACCAAGACACCATCACCATATGTCAGAATGTACATGCTATTTTCCTCATTTTGAAGAGTAACCTTAAAAAACATAATAAGAAACTCTATACTATATAAAATCTTCAACCTCAATATAATTCATTATCAAAGATGCAAAGAAATTTTATTGTTTTTTATATAAATGGATAATAAGTAACTTTTATAATATTACAAGTACTATTATTTAAAACTGCAAAAAAAATCTTGTATTTCTTTGATCAATGGAACTATACAATTTTGTACAAAATTTGTGAATTATCTTTCAATTTATTTAATTCAAAAAGGATTTATTTTAACTATTTCCTTAATATTGGTGGTACATACATTTTCTAAGACTTTAAGACATCTGTCAGCTTTGCGTAATCTGTCTAAAAGCTGTGGAGTCCACTCTGTGACATCATGATCAATTGGTTTACATGTTTCAACAACAGTTTTTATAATATGCTCTAAGCCACCAAGATCTCTCAGTTCTTCTTTAAACCACTCGCCAGCCCTTCTTGAAGTTAGACTCAAAAGTGTCTCCATTGCAAGTTGGCCAACCTTAAAATCAAAATTAAATTCACTAAATACTTAAAATGCATCAAGATATATCGCACATTAAAATATGACAATATGCATATTAGAGATAAGAGATTGTTTTAATTAATTTATTTAATTTATATATATAAATAGAAATATGTACTGTTGTAATAAATATGTACATACGGTAATATTCTCCAAATTAAGATGTTTCGCATGTCCGTGTTCTTGTATTTCCTGACAGAGTGACCGCACTCGTTCTTTTGTTTTGATTAATTCAATGTCTGAAAGTCCACAGCCCTCGAGTGCAGAACTATGAGATGCATCGCTTTCTAAAAGGCTCAGCATGAGTTCAAGGCTATCCCGATCAACATCCATATTCAACCGGTCTTGACTAAGTACAAACATTACCGTGGCCGTACACATGCCAAGCCTCTGGAAATAAATCATTCATTATTTTTAAAAGTTATTTTGGTAAACCGTCGATATCAAATTACCTGGTCTTTTGTGGCATCGTGCAATGCTCGGAAAAATTTTGTCACAGTGCCATGTGCTCTTACGTGCATCCTGAAGGCAGGCACCATGCATTTTGAGGCTAACGTAATGGCGGATAAACATCTACAGAGCAACATATGTAATTATGAATCATTTAAAAAATTGATTTATATGATTATTTTTAAAAAATGGATTACCTAGTGCTGATTGGGTTATTATCTTGTAATGCGTCCAGAATATATTCAACATCATCATTAAATTCTTGAAACTCCCCAGATTCTTGAATTTGATGAGCCTTCTTGACATTTCTCACGACCGTATAAAACTAAAAAAATAAATAAATAAATAGATGCTTAAAGTGTATATGTGTCTGTAATTTAATAATAATTTTTTTTTATTAATTAATCAATGAGTCTTATATATGCTTTTATAAAACAAAAATACATGAGAAACTTCAGTTATTGAGGATATTTTTGAAAGATTTTCTAGTAAAAGAAAAGAAGAATAGTGATAAACTGGATTTAGAAATAATTTTTTTTTTCATTATATTCCTAAAATGATTAAATAATTCCACCTGCACATTATAAATAATTAAAGGAAATTATTCAAAGACAGTAAATGTATTAACAAATTATAAAAAATGGTATTCTTTGTGATATAAATAATGAAAATTTATGAGGTAGTTTACTGAGATTACTTTGTTTTGTAATACAATTCAAATTAAAGGGGCGGAGGAAATCAGCATATAATTTTAAAAAGCGTATTAAGTTCAAATTGTAAAAATATTTTAGTTATAATGAATTTTCAATACCTTCTTAGCTTTTTTGCTACACGTTACACTCGTAATTGACTCAAATTCTTCATTTTCTTTTTCCCCTGATGAATAATTTGTTACTCGAGTTAACACCTCTGAATCAAATTCTCCTTCAATTCGTGATCTTTGGGGTTTACCACTAGATTGCCCAGTTTTCCCTTAATATAAAACAATACATTAAAATCTCAAACTTAAAGCAATTAGTATACAATATTAAATTGTATAAGATAAAAGATCTAAAATTTTAAAAATTAGAATAACGATTATTCTTCACCTACCTTCATCTTTTTGATCACTCCAGTTGTGAATATATCTGGGAGCAGTACGTTTTTCTCCTGAGGCAGCTCTGGATTTGAAAATGCTTCCTGCCTTTCTAGATGGTTTGGAAATTGCCTGTGGTCGTCTGAGGACAATTGGTTCAACCTTGTCCTCAAATGGCTTAGATAAATTTTTTTCCAAGGGAGGAGATGAAATGGGACGATAATCAGCAATCCATTCTACCTTATTATCATTTTTTACTTCATATTGCTCCTCTTTAACTTCATTTTCTTTTATATCATATGTTTCAGTTTCAGGCTCTTCTGGTTTTATCTCAGGAGAAAGCGGACCTTGAGAATGATCCTCAAGTACACTAAGAAGTTTAGCACGGTCATCATCACAGACTTGTTTTTCGATGTTGTCAATGTGATTTATTTTGTCACTAAAGTCAACGTGAGAATTTGTAATGTCATCACTGACAGTTTCGACAACAGCTTGTTGTAACACCTCTTCCTTCATAATAGTATCATCAAAAGGATTCAGGTTTTCTTTTCTCGGAGGTTCATCATCCTTGCTTTTACTTCTGTGTCTCTTAGGAGAAACAGATTCAACAGATTCATTACTATGAGACTTTCTTCTTCCTTCTTTTTTACATGGGACCTCATTTTCTGTTAACAATTGTGACGTCCCCTTGAATATTCTAAGAACAATTGGAGGATGCTGAGGCTCTGGAGAAGGTAAAGGATGTGGTGGCTCTATGTGTAATGGTGAAGGTTCTCTAGGTTTCTGTGGTGAAATGTTCATTTCTGCAGATAAATTGATTGCTTCTGTTTGATACAAATCATCATCTTCCTCGAGATCCCCATCAACTGTCTCAATTATTTTTTGAGCAGCAGCAATAGAAGCAAGCCTAAAACAACCAATTTAGTAAGAATATACTTATGATGTAATCTCTCATGTATTCATCTCATCCTGACCCAGAATATAAACAGTTATACAGAACAATAAGCTATATAATCATATTATATTTAATGGTAAAAATATAAAATTACAATGCACAACTTTTGTTTTCAACAATCAACCGTTGACCAACAAATATATACTTTTATTTTGAACTATTATATATAATAGCATCAATGAACACAATGTTCAGTGCACATGCATGGTAGGCCTCTTACTTATTCTGGCCCATGTGTCATAAACTCATAACATACATTTCATGAAAATGGGATTTTCGAAATGTGCTGTATTCTTTCAGTTTTTTATTCACTACTTGTTCCAATCAGAACCTGGCAGATGTCATTCAGCATCTTTAGCTATCGAATGAGACCTTATGCCTCTGAAAAAGTTAATTTTTACTCAAGATATCGCACACACAAAAAAATAATAATAACAATTTCAAAAAAAGCCCCCAAAACACTAAAATTTGAGAAAAAACAATGACTTCAACATTTAAATTAACAATAAAACAACAAGTTTATGAGTGTATATATATATACTGAATGTTTCTATTTCAATGTGACACCCACTTCTCTCGAAAATAACATGGTTAAATCAGGAGAATGGCCAAAAAATGGGGTTTCCAATCTATTTTCCAGGAAAGGACTGATCAAAGAAGCGTGTAACATTCCTGCTATTATGGGCCGAGCAGCCATCTAACTAAAACTGTAGCATGTATGTGTCTGAAATGATACCTCCTCCAATAATCCTGGTAATTTGTTTAGGTGAAAATCTAGAAAAAATTCTGACAAATTATTTTATCAGAAGTAAGGAACAAATTAATTTATTTCTAAGCAAGCCACACTAAATATTAATAGAAAATAGGTTTTGACAATGAGTTTCATATACCATCAGAGGCTCTGCTCAGGTTCAAAACTTCAACCAGTTAAGGATCCCAGCTCAGTAAATTTGGGCTCATCAATCCAGATAATATGGGATAGTAATTGGAATTTGCTCCATTAGCATTTCCAAACATGCCAAAAAAGTAATCCTTTATAAATTGGTTTGCCTCAAGCCTTAAACGAGAGAAATCCAGTATGGTTTAACTAAATTTTTAGAACTTAGAGGACACTTCTTTGGAAATACCCAGTACTTTCACTGCATTTCTTAAAGATAAATTAGAATTTTCTTTCACGAAAATCGAAACAGCTAATTCCATACCAGAGTTCCATTTTATTGTTCAGTTCGTTTGAGGCCAATGATTCTCAATTGAACCAACTATCTTGAACTTTCTTTCAATTTCAACATGTAAGAATGTATTAAAATTTCATCTAATTCACCCAGGAAAATTTAGTACGTACAGTCTAGCAGCTTCACAACTCACCTTGCTACACTTCACATATGATACATTTCCACTTTTTCCTGCATAGACATTCAATCATATCATAATTATTACACAAATTATTACAGATGTCTGTAATCAAAAGTTAACTAGAAAAGAAAATGAATAAATTGAACTTTGTGTACATTTATTATGATAGTAATGAATAGTTAGAATTCATTTAATTAAATTTAATTAAAATAAGAATTAGTTTAGAACAACTGTATTGGCTTTTAGGTATTAATTCTCTTCCTAATATAAACGATAAACTCCCAAAATATTCATTTTTGTTTAACAACATTGAAATTATGAAATACCCTTAGTCATAGAATTGAAATATCTCCAGGAAATACAGTACCAACTAATTGTTCTTTGTGTCATTTTTTGTAATACAAAATCTATTTTTTGAATGTGTCAAAATTGGTAGGTCACATTTGAAAAAAATGAAATTTTTGCTTAATAACCTATTGCTGAGGCATTACTAAAATGTTTAGACCACTTATTTTGGATACTTGGTAAAAACTATGGGAGGGGGATTACCATTCAAACTTTTTTCTATACCCCTTTGTTTTAAAGAAGAGGGTGTCGCATTGAAAGCGAGACAATTGGTATATATATATATATATATACATACCATGTTTACTATAAAATTACCTTGATAAAAAAACTTTAATTCTTTAAAAAATTAAAATAAAAAACATCTAAGCTAACATAAATAATTAAAACTTAACAAATATGCGTGTAATTTAATTCTAATACTGAAAAACACAATGATTAAGTTAATATGCATTATGTTTTGTTTTATTTGCAAGCATTCTTGATAGATCTGCTTCAGTTATACCTCTAACTTCCATTAATTTTTTTAGTTCTGGGTTCCATTTAATGGGCATATTTCTTGTGGGATTTTTCAAAAATTGCTCTGTCACGGGCCTACTTTTGATTGGGTTATACAATTGTTTATTCAAGTTTTTCACTCTAAAAATATCAGACAAGTGACATTTACTTAGAGATATAAATAAAAAATTTAATGGTCACCTTGTTGGCCGATTTGTAGTTTTAACATAATGCCGAGGCTGTGGCGGATTCACAACTTTATCAACCTTTTTGTTTGTTGACGGATTGGCAACCCGTGGTGGCGGAGCTATATTCGGTTTGGCTTTAGGAGCTTCATCCTCAAAGTTTCGGCTTTTGAAAAACTTTTTTGGCCGAGGGAGTGCTGCTGACTCGACTTCCAGAGATTTATTCACCACATCTTTCGGTTTATCCCTAGCCCGCTTGGTACCTAAATTAAAAATCAATATAAAAGTTCATTTATAACATCTAATAAAATCAAACAAACTAGAAAGATATTTCAATGTATACATACATTTATAAATAAAAATACAGCAATTGTTGCTCATATTACGTTTTTCTTAAAATAAAGAAAATTGATATTTCATTGCAACCTTGTTAGAACGTTAAGAAATCTTTTTTGTAAAAATTGCTCTTGCTCACATGTTATTGTTTACAGCTATCCTGAATTCAAGTTAAAACCCTCATCATCAGGTTGAAGGAGTTACAAACAGGTCTCTCGACATGAAACTATACTAGTCATGTCTTGAAACTCCTTCAACTTGTTGATGAGTGATTGATGCTTGAAATCCGGATAGTTGTATACAGCAACCTGTGAGTAAAAACTATCCTTTATAAAAAGTGAATCGACATACTCACTCCACATTTATTATATCTATTAAGAAAACGTTTCTAGTCGCCTACAGACAAGCAGATAAGCACTCAATCAGTATTAAAAAGAAACTTTTGGTTTTGACTAGACACTAGTGATAAATTTGGTAACTCAAAACCTGTGTCTGTTGATCATCACTAACACCAATGATAATTTAAGCAGATGAGGTCGGGTGTGATGTACGTTAGAAAAACCTTTTCTTTATCATGCCAATGTTTTGATATTTACTGAGATCATCCTAAAGGCTCAAAGTGTGTGTGTTTTCTGTGTAGTGTTGTCACTGTTGTGTGTCATGATGAGTGTCACCGTTGTACGTATTCATTGAAATGTTTCTTAAACATTTGTTTGACACTCTCAACACGACACACAACAGTGACAACACTTTACATTCGCAAAGATATGTGTTGATGTCTCCGGTTCCTCGGTTGTTTCCGTCTCAACTTCACCCATCTTCTTAAGGTTATAGTTAAGAGGCTTATAATAATCCTCAAATTGTATTGTAGGAATCCCAAGTAGAGCAGAAGTAGTAAGAAAGAAGTAGCCTTTAATTACATAAAAACTCGCTGTACAACATTAAAACATATTTAAGTTAAAACTTATTTGAGAAATGCATCTCTTTAAGCGTGAAAAACATCCATTCTACAACCATAACACAATAAGCTGGTCAAAACTATGTTCGGACAAAAAGACTGCTCAGTTTGTATTTCATACTTTCTGTAATACTGTAATAGGATTGTACTACAAGAAGTACTCCCAGTGTCATTAAGACGGCGATGACAGACTAGAAAAACGAACAGCAGAAAGTTTATAGTCGAGGAAATTTTCAATTAACGTCGCCAAAAGAATCACAGAGATGTCATAAAACGTCTATGGCACATTGTCAAGTCTTCTTTTCGAATAGAACCGGCAAAAAGGCATACAACATACATAAGAGACGAAAACTTACCGACTGTGAAGCTGGAGCTCCTGATGGACGTAAAAGACGTGATGCCCCATTTTCCGACAGTGCCCGCAGATTTGGATGCGGACGGCTTATTGCTGTTTTCGCAGAACAATTTGTCAAACTGGATGCTGGTGTGGTTGGCCGGACCGTTGACTTTTCGACCAAACGCTTTGTAGCAGCCCCGAGACATCTGAACGGTACAAGTTTCAAATCAAAACAAAAATTCCGTCTCGTATTGAATAATTTTCCAATCCGTCGTAATGAGTCGATGAGGAAGGAGAAGGTCTACTTACTTTTTCCGATCTACTGTTTTGATCCTTTCTCGCTCATCAACAATTCACCTTAGCAAAAACGAGGATATAAACAATCGCTGGATTCATCGTAAGTTGGAGACTGCGGTTAGCTGGGCGACGCAGACGGTGCTCTATAGCTCGGCAGATGCATGTTTCAGTCGGACAGTACGTCTGAAAGGAGGCGGATTTCGTTGGATCGGGGGCTGAACGGAGGCGAGGGTAAATAAAAGCTGTGCTCACCGACGACGAGAGTGGCAAGTAACTCGACCTGTATCGAATCCGCCATTCGAAAACTTTTCGTTGGGCCGGATCCCCAGAGTGGCCAACTAATCGAAAAACGGGAGGGAAAACCAAATACAAAAATTACCCTTCGCCCACCTTCATTTTTCAATTTTCCTTGGATTTTTACATTTTTTCAGCCCCTCTAATCAAATAAACGCCAACCCTCAGTAAATCATGTGACTTTATTCTTATACAAATAGTTTAACACTAATTAATTAACCCGAAACACATAAAAAAACGCTAACTGCACACATTTGTTTTTGTTTAAAAATAGAACATGGTGCCTGTACCACCTAACAGACAACTGCAATTTATGCAATTTTTAAAAATTAATCAATTTTTGTTTTATTAGCGAGTGTGTGACGTTATCCTACAATTAGAAGTAAATCTTAAACTGTACAATCTCACAGAGGAGATTCAAAACTTTTCAATAACTGTCTTGTTTATTTATTTAATGCAGCCACAATGTTTATATTCTTTACAATGTCATTTATACATTTTTATACATTCATTAGTAACTCTGGCATGAACATAAAAAATAAATTATCTATATACGATCAAATTGTAAAGCCCACCTACTCTGTACACACCCTGCCTGGAACGTCACATACACCACAAATATTGAAAAAATCCAGGTAATGCAAAATAAATTCTTAAGTCTTGTCACCACTTAACCTCGAAATACTAAAAGCACCCTCCTACACGGGAAAAAAAAGAAAAGAAAAGGCAAAGCATAAAAATCCCACATGTCGAAATACAGGCATCCACAACCTTTTTCATCTCTGGAAGTACATAAGGATAAAATATATCCTATTGTAATAACATATTTTTTGACTTACTTATCAATTTGTTTATTGTACATGTAATTTATTTTGTAGTAAGTTGTTAATTAAGTTGTTAAGGTACGTTTACATCTGACAGTTATTGTATGAGATTTATGTCAGATAGAAATTGTGGCTAATGTAAACAGTGAAGAATTTATATCAGAGATATATATTTCAACCACTAGCTATTTATGTCGACACTTCTATACCAATAGATGTAAACATCAGTTATTTACAAGTTCAACCTTGTTCGACTCTTGTTGCAAAAGTGTGCCGTTCATTGTGAAATAACATGAGAGAGAAAAAAAAAGAAAAAACTGGATCCTCAATACTGAGCTCAGCCGTTAATTAATTGTAGGCACTGACTTTTTCACGCTTCAGAACCCAATCTCAAACCTATACAGAACGTTTTTTTTTTTTTCCTTTTCTTCTTAAGAATAATTACACAAACCGCAATTTTGCATTTCAATGCTTTCATCATGTCAAGATAAAATCAAATTTGTGCTGAATGAAAGAGATACAACTACACCCCCCCCCCCCAAAAAAAAGTCTTGTGTGTAAACGGGTCATATATTTATTCCAAGTTTCACATTTTGCATCATATACATATCAATGATATAAATTTATATCATTATGAAACAGTCCAAACAATTTTCTGTTTGATACTCGACATATATTTCTGGATAAAAGTATCAAATGTAAACATACCTTTACTGTGGTTATTATTGTGTAATTTAACATTTATACCCTTAGTTTGTTATTGTATGTACATATGCCTAATTTTGCTTTTAAACTCTTTATGATATTGATTAATTTATTGATCATTAATTAAGCACATAACATACCTGATAGCTAGAATTCTAAGTTAAATTAAGTCAGTTTGTGGTTTTGTTTAATTTTTACACAACTATGCACTTACATAGTCGTAAGTATGTAGGTGCATATAAGGCTATAAGGCAAAATATAGCCATTTTGAGAATAAAAATATACCTTATTAGGTATTACGAATTTTGTTTTTCTTTAAAAAAAAAATCAGATTTTCATAAATTGTTAGTGTTAAAGTGTTCATTTCCAAATTTAATAATATTTATAATTATATTTATTTAAATATTAACTTCATTTTTACATTTATTTTAATATTTAATATTTCTTTAAATTTTTGCAAAAGAATTTAATTGTAAATGTTACTCTGATTTATAGAGGTAAACTTTAATTGTTTTGAAACAGCTGCAGTTAAAAGTATTTTAATAAACATATAAAATTGTAAATGTAAGTCAAATCTTATGTTTTATGTAGGTAAAAATTGTATAAAACAAGAGGGGAAAACAACAAGGAAAATCTTTAAATTCCAATTAGTAATTAAATTAAATATTGAACAAAGTTTTTGCCCAATTCCTTCCTATCCCTCAGCCATAACAACGAAGAATAGGAAGGTTGTTAAAGTAAAATCACCCCAACTCGCCTCTTTTTCAAAACCTAATATGGCAGGTCCGCCCGTAAGGGCCACCCCTAAGGTATGGTGGAGAAGGAAAAGGGCAAAAACAAAAAAAGGTATGCAGGAAACTGAAAATCAAAATAACTAATACATTTTACTCAGTTAAAATGTACTGTACTAAAAACAAATATTAATAATAATCAGGATTTGATATTAAGTGGAATGATGAACTTATGTATGAACTTATTATATTATTAATATTGCATACATTATTTGCAAATGGTGTTCAAGAATATATTTAATGTTCAAAGAACTGTTGTAGCCATTCTTTGACAACGTCGGACTGCCTTTCATTCCATATTATCATTTCCATTATGGTTTCTTCTACCTCTCGGGCTTGGGGAATTTTTTTGCACAGTCTGGTATAGCTTAAAGTCTACAAAACATTCATGTTTCAATAGAAATGTAACATGTGTTCTAGAAAATACAGTATTTACCTGTTCTATTAAGTTTATGTCTTCAATGAAGTAGATTAATTTTTTCAAGCATCTAGTTGCTTTTTCCACTACTTCAAAACTGGCTACAGTCAACATTGGAACATGTGTCCTGTATCAACAAACAATTATTTTATGCAAATTTCAGAAATAAGAAGTTTAAATTACTACACTTACAAAATATATTCTAAAATTAACTTTGCTGCCAATGGATTTTCAGCTGGTTGCAATAATCTTTCTAAAACTGTTTCCAGAGAATGGTCTTTTGATAAAAAAGCGTTTAGCATTCTGCATGAACATTCAACAAATTAATTAAATAAATTTACAAAAAAGTATAGCCATTTTGAGAATAAAAATATTTTTTTCATAAATAAAATACCATTTAATTTGCTATTAATCTTATAAAGGAGTAGGCTCCCATGATTTGAATATCTTTGGCATAATGTCTATTTTCTTTCTCAAATTACATTTTTTTAATTTTAGTGTCATTAAGGTAAAAAATATTTTAGTTTTTCATAAGAAGTAAAAAGACAATGCATTCAAATAATTTGAAAACATGTACTTTATATCAACACTATATGGGAAACAGTTATCAAGTCCATGAGGTGTCTGTTTCTCAAATTTGTGTCATGACCACTTTTGGGTTTGAATCCCCGTCTGTAGAATTTTAATTGAGAATAAAAAAGAAGGTTTGATACCACGTCCACAACACCCAACGAGTTTCTACATTAAGCTCTTCTGATATATAAAAAATACAATTCACCCCTGTCAGTGAACAATGTACTTCAATACAACATATACACAAAATAATTCAAACAACAATGTTTTTAGTTTATGTATTCCATTCAAATCCCATCTGTGACATTGACCTTTTTATCTTTAATTCATGTATTTTTAAGAAATTAAATGCATATAAAACTATTAAAGAAAGTGAAACCGATATATATATATATATATATATATATATATATATATTATATAATTTAAATACAAAATTTTAAGTTTTTCTTTGCTGGCCTCCTACCCAGTACTTGTACAACATATTAAGGCATAGTTAACATTAAAAAATTTTGAAATAATAGTTTTTATAATTCTTGGCAATATGTTTCAGTAAAATTTTCCTTTTGGTTATATTAGGAGTTTATTATATGATGTGGCTGGGATTTTATATTTTTAAAATAATACCATGAACTTATAATATGTTTACTTATAACTAAAAATTTAAATTAAGGAAGCAAACAATTAACATTTACTGCAAGAGATAACAGAAAGCAACATTAACATTAAAAATTGGTAAATAGTTGAAGGGAAAAATTGGTCTAACAGAGAAAATTGTGACATAGTTTAGTTTAAATAATTTGCTAAATAGTTAATGAAATAGGTAAAATATAGTAATCCTATATTCAGTTATTAATAAATAGCGATTCACAGTGTGCATAGTACATACTACTGGGTGTTTTCTATAAACATATCGTAAACTTCACAAATTTGTAAAGAAGGCTAAAATGTATTAACTAAATAATAAAAAATTAATAGAAAATGAAAAACCCAAAGAATCTGGAGAAAAATATGAATTTGGTCATTACCAATCATGTATTCAGATTCAACTCTGAAGATAGCAAAATGCAGTAATGAGTCTGACAATCAACCAGTGAGTACAGGCATAACAATACAATTGGTAATAATCACATTACAGGTTAATACAAAACAATAAGATGGCAAAAGTTTGCTGGACTTTCTTGAAAGGACAAAGTTACTGACTAATCAATTTTTAAGCTAAGACATTTGTTTATTAATAGTTATTATGTGAAACATTTTTTTCTTTCAATATTGTAAAAACAAAATGTTCAGGAAATAAAGTGGTTTTATATTAGTACAATTTACCCTAGTAGAAGGTTTTCATCATCAATTCCTGACAATGCTGACCACAAACGAGCTCTATGTTTAACATTCTGGCTTGTCATGAAGATTTGGAATACTCTCCTCCACAAATGTTTGTCCACTCTGCCAGCAAGTCCTAAAGAATGTTTATTTGTAATTAAATAAACAATGTAGGTGTTATATAAACTCAAAATTGTGTGCCTAACCATATACAGTGATGCAGTCTATTAAATCGACATGCAGATTTGGGTTTTCTTTTTCATCTAACCAGTCCAAAAAACTCTCTCTGACTGTATCCAACACTGGTTGATACCCAGACCAGCATGCTGCTGATATGATTTCTACTCTCCTTAATGTTTCAGTGGGAGATAACTTATTCACTTGCCAAACATTTTGTTGTATATATTTAAAAAGTATATGGTGGATGTATTTCTATTTGATAAATATAGTCATAAATGATAATTACATAAGTTAGTTATGCTAGAAAAACTCACTTGTAGTAATGCTTGCCCATTTTTATTGTAAAACAAAAGATACATTTTTCTTAAGTGGTGAAAAGAAACTGTGAGTGGAAAATATTGTCTTTCCTCTCCATGTGTTATATATGAACTCAACTCAAGTGCAACATGGTATTGAAAATATCCTGCACTAGCTAAACTGAATGCATCATCTACAAGGTTCGCACGGTCCTGAGGATCCAGTAACTGGTTTACAAATTAAGTTAAAATGAACTTGATGAGCTTTTTATTATTATTTCTTTTTTAACAATGGGTTGATCTAAAATTAATCTTTTAATTAAGATTCAGGTAATTCAATTGGAACAAAGAAATGATATTTTTCCCAATCCACTCCAACCAAGTTTTTATTTCTTCTATTGACCAATTTTTTCTTTTTTCTTTTTTTCATTTTCGATAAAATAGTTATTTAACACTACTCTGTTCACTGGCATAACAGTGAGGAAGCTAACTACATTTACTCACTTGAGTCGTGTAACAAAAATTAAACTGTATGATCAACCCAATTTTATAAATAAATAAATAGTTACAGATGGATTTTTATTCAGCATTTCAGTGAATTTTCCCCACTGATCATAAGTGTAGTTTACTCTAAACAACCCTCTCTGGTGCCAATTTATTTTCAACCATTTTCCTTTTAAATTGGTTATTGTAACTGAAAAAAAGAGCTTATTAAAATCAAATAAATAATCAAAATAATAATAATAAGATAAAACTATAACCTTCAGGAATATCCTGTGGAAACCATATTTTCAGAATGATTTTAGGTTGAGTTAAATCAATGTATTTAATTGGTATTGTCCAGGAATAGCTAGTAAACAATGTTTTCTTAAATAAATAAAATTCTCTACTTGTAATTTAAAACATTATAAATACATAGAATGTAGTCTAGTACATAAAAAAAATGTGTGTGGTGTTAAAAACTAGAGAGCTACTCTCATTCTTTCTCTCTCTCTCTCTTTCTTTCTCACTCCCTCTTTCTTAGTATCGCTTTCCCAGTCTCTGGTTCTCAGCTTAAATTCTAAATCTTTTTAAATGTCTCTTTCTCTCTTTCACGTTAAGTGGAAGAAAGGTCCTAGAGATCTAACTTTGCATCATTAAATAAAATAACAACCAGTCAATTAATCTCTCTATCTCTCTTTAACAATTAATTTTGGTAATCAGTAATGTTGGCTGGTCAATCCAACTTCACCTATTGGAAAAACTCCAGCATTGCTGAGATGATTTTGTAACATGAGATCTTTTGTTGACAAATTCAATGCTTTAATTTTAAGCGTCAGAAACTTTAAAATCCTACTCACTTCTGATTATATGGATCAAAATCAGATTTACTTGTGATGCTTTGAAAAACGCTCTGAGTTAAGACTTGATCATTGTCTTTATACGTGGTGCGAACATTTATTACTGGATATTTTGGACTCTTATTCCAATCCTGCAAGAGAGCTTCTGGTTGAACTTCAACATCTGACCACAGGTCATTCCAAATATGCAAGTCATTAACTCGTTCTTTTCTATTCAGCAAATTTATAAGGACTACTCTAAATGCAGTGGGTGAAATGGACCATACCATTCTGAATAATGCCATGCTCTGAGGATAAAAAATATTGGAATACTCAGGTGAAAATGATATATAAAAGCAATATAATTTTTACCTTGCATTTTGTGTTGATAAATTCTTCATGACTGTGTTCACTAAAAATTTGGCCCAGAATGTTACTATGTTTAAAATAACCGGTGTTGATATTGGATTTAAAGTGAAGCAATGGAAATATTTGATGCATTATGGGAATCCATTCCTGAAGTGTTTGACATTAAACATTCAGTAATAAACATACAACATATAGAAACATATTACTTATTCAAAAAGGTTACCCACATCATACCATTGAGGGTATAACATTTCCCCACATTCGTGTGCTACTATACTGACAATTCCTTCAAGAATCCATTCATCATCCCAATTATCAATTGTAACTATAAATAGGAAATATTTGAACAATTTTTTTTTTGTTTACTTCAAATAAACACTTAATCAATCAAATCAGCAGTTATTACATTTATTTCAATAATATGAAACAATCGAACTCACCATCACCTCCAAGCCACGAATGACAAAGTTCATGTACCAAAAACATTATAGACTTTATAAATTCCATACAATTTTTTTTCTTCAAATTAGTTAATAAAGACTCCTCACAGATTAAAATGCCTGGTATTCCTGCACACGCCATGTATGGCCATGGTTTAGGCACAAGAATAATGTCTAAATAAGTAAATAACAATTAATACGTATTGAATAAAATAGGGTTGTAAGTTGCAATTATGTACTTAATGAGTTTGTTGGCACTGTTGTGTGGAAATATTTTGTAAGAATTTCCAAAATGGTTTTAGTCAGTTTTGGAATTTCCTGTAGGCTATAAGAAATCTCATTCCGGCTAATTATAGTGATAATAAAACCACCTTTTGTTACAAATGGTTCTGAGTGAGTATAATTTCCTAGAGCCAAAAAAAATTTACTGGGATGCATCAATGTGGTCTTACTGAATGAAACGGTTGTCATGTGCTCTTCTGGGAAGCCTGTAATAAATTTCTAAAAACAATTCATTTACTGTTCAACTATGTATGGTCAAATAATTCAGTACCTCAGGCTGTGTGTTTGAAACCGGTTTTAAAAACTCGTCACTTGGAGCCATCAAGTTAAATTGGAAAGTTGCTAACAATTGGGCTTGATCAAAACAAGGAAAAAGCGATTGTGCATTATTTGGTCTCATTTGTGTTATCAATAAATAACTGAAAGTTAATTTTTTTATTTTCCAAACACAGTTGTGAAAAATATATTTAATTTACCAGCTATTAAAAGTCATTTAATATTTATCAAGTGATTCACTAATCTCTTTATGTAATCTTTAATAAACAAAAATTTAATAAATAAACATTCGATAATGTACTATGTACAAGAATAAGTACACCATGTATATTTAATATTATTTATTGAACTATGATGTATCATCTAATTGACTTTGTTTGCTCATATTAATCAAAATACAGCAAAGGAGTTGAAGCTGTTGTTGTTTGCAACAACCATTTTATGTGTTTAAAATCTCTCCTAGGTGCAGTAACTTTAACCCAGAACTCTTGGCCAACAAAGTTACATTTAGTTACATTCAAGTTAAGTTTACATTCAAGCAAACCATAGTTATGTGTACTGATTCCTTAGTCACAATAAACAAATATTTTTTCCTCCGAAAAATTCACTAATTCATAACATTTTCCTCCAATAAGGTATTTAAGATATCAATACATCAGAGTAATTTTTATCTGAGTATCAGGATTGTGGCATCCCCGGTAACTCTCAGGATGAGCTTCAGGTGAAAAACGATGTAACATCTGGTATCCCTGAATTATTTTTCACATGCGACAATATTTAACTACACAGCAAGTAGACAGAATGGTAACTATCTTGGTATAACACCACTAATATCAAATGAAGAGATATTAAATGGTCTGTGGAAAAATAGGAATCTTCCACTTGACAAACCAGACAAGAAAAGGTCATACATTAGGCCAAAAAAACACCTCCACTCTGGTTTAATATATATAAACTATCAGCGTAAACATTTTTAATTTTAAATTCAACCAATATCACACAGTCCTTATAATTTGATGAATTCTTACTAATTATTATATAATATATACCCAGAATGGATTGTAATATTTTAAAACTAGCTGTTCAGTATCGGCTAAAATAAAAAAAAAAAAAATCAAATAATTTGTTAGCAAGTAACTTCAAATAATATATTTTAAAAAATGTTTACAGAGTCCCTTAACTATCAAAAAAAAAAATCCCCAAATTTCGTATTTGCAATTTCTCTCATATACTTAATTCTACATTGTGAACAGTGACTTATTATTATTAGTTCAGCTTTTTAAACAATTGAGAAAATTAAACAACTTAAGTTAATTTTATAGAAGTTTCAGAAAAATTCTTGTTAAAATTGAGCAATTTTACTCCAAACTAACTAAAAACCTTAAGTTTTTGCACATCAACTATCATGCAGGATAGTTATTACAAATTAAATACAAATACAAATGTTCAAATTAAACATATGGGCAAATTCAGGTTATTAAATTGCTGTCATTAATTTGTGCTCTGCTCCTCACCGTTATATATACTAATTGTTATTAAGCAAAAGCTTGAACTAAATTCATATCTCATGTCATATAACTACATTAGATATATACAGAAAACTAACAACTTTCAATGTATACCTGTCACTGTTTTTTAAAGAGACAAAACATAGGCCATTCATTGTTTCGTTTATTAGGCCTTTTCCTTTAATAGTTAGCACATATTCATTTTGAAGTAATTTCTGTTCCAGATGAATGACTAGACTTTGTGCAGGTTTGTAATTTATTATTGTTTCAATCGGCACTAAAAGATCCCCTTTTTTCAATTCAACTGATGATATTTCATAGTCACCTGTCTTCAAAACCAAGAACTGTCGACTGGCAGTAGTATTAAATATTATTTTTACTTCAGTCGTGAACTCTTTACTTTTCAAATTAATACTTAAATTTAATTCATAACATGAGACCTCCAATTCCTTTCCTTTGTAATCATTTGAAATAACAATTTGATGGACATTTGGCTGGTACTAAAATAAGATACCATTTAACAAATTATGCTTAGGGAATAAAATTAACACTCACTTCATAAACTAGGGTATAGTCAAACTCCCCTTCCACAGAACACTTTTCATACATCGTGTTTTAACTGAACTTACTAATAATGCCTACAAATAAAACTTTGTATCATACAAACAATTTACAAAGCAGATGATTGACATCCTAACAAAATAATGGAAAAATTACAAAATATATTATTATTATATTTCAGTATACAAACTGAACAAACAACCCTGTTTGTTAATTACTGTAGGTACAAATTTATTTTTTCAGTCTAAATATTATAAATATATAATAAAATAATACATATATAATTAATATATGTGGTGTATATATTTACAATTTACATATTATGCTTGTTTAGTACAAAAATATCAAATAATAATACAATAATTACAATCACACAATGCAGGACTCAAATGTTTTTTTTACAGCGTCCCTTGCATAAGGAATATAAGATAAGGAGTACCACACCATTGCACACCATTGCAAAATCATAAAGAGGAGTGACAATCCAGCATGTTTCTAAAACAGAAACAAATATATTAGTAACAAATACTTTATTTATTAAACTTACCACTACCGAACAAGCATTCAAATGTTAAACTTATCTACACTTCATTACTTTATTTGGTTCGTCTACTATCACTGGTTTACATTTCCCTTAAAGGCCTGATCAATATGATGTGAAAATGCGTTTTAATGAAAAAGAGTAGCCAAACTCATTTAAGTGTTAAGTTCAACATCTATTCACTAAAACACTAGACTAACAGTTACCAATTTTTTTTAAGGTTTGCAACAGCAGGGTAGTCATCAACCCTTGGTATGTTGGTGCCATTTGTAAGTATGTTGGGTTGGAATGCAGGACCACTAGATTCAACCCCCCCTTCACCTTACAGTAATGAGCGACGTTGTACCTAAACCTAAACTGCCAAAACCACTGTGGCCACCGATGCCCCCTTCCAATTTACAAAATCATTATAAACGACCTAATAGAAGAAACAAATGCCAAATAATTTGTCAGTAACGAAGGTAATTTTGAAATTTGGCCTTCTTCAATACTGGGTTTGCAATAAGTCAGTGTTGGTGAAAAAAAGATTTTAAAATTTTGGGAAGTAGAACACTTCGCATGACCTACCACTTGAGCACATAAGCTTTTGGTACCTCCAAATCTGAATACCACAATCCCCTCTGAGGCTAAAATCCTACAAAACATTATTAAAATAAATTGGCAGTCTTAATGGCTGGATCAGCAAAAAAGCCCAAAAACACTATATGTGGCTCTTGGAGGAAGTGAATCATAAAAGAAACCTGATAAGGAATAGGTCATCTGGGATTGTCACATTTTTTGGGCCAAAGCTCGTGTATAGTTCCAGCATGTAGAGAAAGATTGCTCAATATGTCCCACTTAAATTAAAGGGTGTGATTTCTTGGACTTCATATAGTGTGTGTAGGAATGAGGATTGGGCTTGAACATGGCAATGTACCTGGGTCCCCTGTTCCAATTTTTGGAGGAAACATAGTGTATTAAATACTGAAAGATATTTCTTTTGAGTTGGTTTAGATTAAAAAATTGATGCTTTGGGGGGCTGAAATGATAGCTGTTAACAACCCCTGGAGAACAGCAGCTTGGCAATGGGGAGGATAAGACCAAGGCCTGACCCCAGACTGACAAAACCCAAGCTGGGTGATTCTCGCAGCCTGCCAGTAGTTTCTTGAGAAGTCAAAGGTTCGACTCTGAGCATGTGTATATGAATACACATGTACAGAGTCAGGCTTATATAAATCAGAGTTTATGATGAGCGGTGGTCTACAAGTCGGAGAATTCGTACTGAACCAGCATATTGTCATTGATTGGATCTTTCTCCGCTTGCGGGTTTGTTGAATTCTTGACCCTATGCTGTTATAAAAATCAGTAATAGTTAAGCTGTTATCTATGATCTCTCAATTTGAATTGGAAAAATAAATAATTAATTAATAAAAATATTTTCCCAGTCAACTGGGCATGGCAACTTGTTATTAATTTAATTTTGTTTAGTAAGAGTACAAATAATTAATTACTAACCGTTATAGCAGCAAATAAAGTCAAGCCCATCATGACAAAAACTGTGATGGTAGCGACTACTCTCGTCTGATTAAACATCTTTTTCAGTTGATTGACAGGTCCCATCAAAAAACAGGTACTAAAATATAAAAATACAATTAATTACTCACATAACATCGTTAAAAATATATAAGTACATTCAAAAATAGTACAATGAAGGACAGTACATGATTTCAAATAAAAGTTAAAAGTTTAACAATCATTTATATAGTAATTACATCTAGTAATTTTGTCAATAATTTCTTTACGGTGTTAGGCGTGGTAGGTAAAAAAATTTAGCAATGTCTTTCTGATAACTGAAATTTATTTATTCATTTTTTTTAATTCATCCTTTTGAAATCTGGATTTGTCGAGTTGAAGGCAAGGTATATTAGGTCATTATCTCAATTAAAAGTAATTTGGTCATTATCGATCATTTTTGTTCAGCCTATATTCACTGGATAAGTCTGTTCAGGCAACGATACTGAAGACAGTGAAATGCCGAATGAGGGTTTGTAACCGTAGAAGGCATATGAACTCTCAGGTTCCAGTGTTTTTGGGGGGAGGAAAAACAAGGTCTCTAGAGCTGAATTTAGGGCTGCTGAGATTCAAAGTTATATAAGCTTAGTGTTTTTCTTGAAATGTATTATTTTCCTTGTTTCACTAAAATAAGAAGTATCTTTTTATTGTTGTATTATGCCTTACTTTTGTAATGTATCATATTAAATAATTTTGTTTAATTATTCATTAAAGTGAACATGTTTAACCAACGCTCAGTTTTCACCTAGTCAATAGTTTTACTTTGGTTGTGTCAGTTTTCCTGGCTGTTGTAGATGAGCTGGTGTCACAAAAGAGTATAGGATGGGTGACAAATAAAGTTACCATTTGCCTTTTGGATTCTTCAACTCTGTAGGAAGGGTAAAATGAAAATAGAACGGATAAAAAGTAAATTTGCTTAAGAATTTTGCAGTTTGTTGTACAAGTATGTCACAATATAAGTAGAGTTCTCTCCTTTTTAGATGGGATTGAAAAATTATGTGAATGAACTGTCAGTTACCCAGAGAGAACCATTGTCCCAGCGCTCAGGGCTTAAAAGCTTGGCTCTTAAAAGATGTAATGTTCGGGGTGTGAAATATACTGCGCCCTTTTGGAGCTTTTGTACTATTAGTTCAGTACTTATAGCACATTGGTGAGTCCTAGAGCATCAAGGAATATGATTAGTAGGCCTGGTTTCAGTGGCTAAATTTCTTTTACGGTTACATGGTACATCCCAATACAGTTTCTCCAGAGGGCAAACATAGCACCAAAGCTTGTCAGTAGGTTGGGATTCCTCTACTTTGCAGATTCAGCATGTGCTGTCTTGCAATGTTTTATTAAAATTTGAAGTTTTTTCCTGCTTCCTTTGAGGCATTCTGTTGTTTCTTTCCTTCTAGGAGCAAGCAGATTAATGAAGAAATTACACCATTTCCTCATTATTATTATTTATTTATTGTCCACGGTACTCAATGATTAGCCACAGAAAGGATCAGGCCTATCAGCAATTTGGCAGCTCCTTTCCTTGCAAGGGCGTCCGATCTATCATTGCCCTCTACTCCCATATGTTCTGGGACCCAGCAGAGGGTGACTCCATTTTGCATACCTAATATACTTGGTTAAGTTATGTAATTCAGCACCATTTTGAGCTAATGCTGTTTGAACATAGTGCTTTAATAGCTGCTTGGCTCTCTGACATGATGGCGATTTTCTTGTTTTTGTATTCTTCGTTTTAAATTGAACTGGGTACATTACAATTGTGTGGATTTCAGCCTGAAAGATACTGGTGTATTTTCCCATGGATTCTGAGTATTTGGTTCCAGGACCAAACCCTCCAGTTCCCATACCTTCCTGCTTTCTAGATTCATCTGCGTATCAGCAGATGGTGCCATTTTCAACAGAGGGGATATGCCATTTTAGCTCTTAAAGAGATAGCATTGTCTAAAAAAAAATAATTTTTTTACACATACAGTAAAACCTCCATTATCCAGAGTAATGACGGGGAGGGTTCACAGAAAATCTAAAACCCCAAATAATGTAATTAATTTTTCAATGCATTAATTAAAAGGTGACATACGAAGACACATGTAGTTTTTATTGATATGTATCTAACAGAAAAGTTTTTGATAATTTTTTTAATCGTAAAAAATTTGCAAAAGGTCGAACTGAATAATGGTCTTCACAGTAACGTTGACAAAGCGACACTAAAGGCCTATAACACCAATTTGATTCTAAAAATACCCCCCACAAATTACAAGCTACGAAAGCAGGTGTTTTTTTTAGAAGAGGTGCGTTGTTCTGGAATGACATCTGTATATGGGGAATGGTTGTTCCAAAACAACAGCCGTAACAAATCTGTTCAATGAAAACAGACTGATGGGAGTTTCATCGGAACTAAACAAAAGACGGTGTTCTTCGAATCATTTGCTGCTACGCAAAATATATACCTGTATAAATAGTATACGTGGAAAACCAGGGCCCTGATAATCAAACCCTGGAGTTTTACTATACACACAAACAATAAATAAATATAGTAACACATTCTTATTGAAGACCGGATTGTCCAACCAACCCTACGTGCAGGAAAGTAGAACATGACTATAAAAATTTATACTATTATTAATTTGTTGATAAATTATTGGGAAATTGTAACCAAATTGAAGCACAAATATAAAATATTAATTTGTAGGAATACCTTAAAATGGAAATGATGTTGCCCAACGTGTAAAATAATGCATACATAGTAAGCCCTTTATGGAAGAATAGAGACAAAACTCCAAAAAGAGATATTATCAATCCCAGTATGAAACAGACGATAAATCCTGTTATTCTAGTTTTCCAACTTAGAGATCTCGTATCGAGGTCCTTGAAAAGAAATGCAAATCAGTTGTAGCTGTGTAACTGTAGACATATTAAAAAGCTTACCGGAAGAATTCCCGTAGAACTGTCGTCGTCCCTTTCGTCTCCGTTCAGGAATCTTTTTAGTTTATCCATAATACTACTGTAAGGCACATTCGGCAAAAAACATGCAACAGGTCACTAACCGAACTTTTACAGTTTAAAACAGTACGATCACCCTGCCACACGATTTTCGTATACAGTTTAAAGATAAATAGTTAATTATGAGACATACACATTAAACAATATACAAACCTTGAAAACACCCTAAATTGTTATAGGTTTGCAATCAATAAGACGGATCGATGACGTATTGATAAACAGTAGAAAATGTTTTATTTCACATACAACGAAATATCAAAACCTTAAAATAATTAATTGTACAATACAATAAATTTACGAAAGAATACGAATGCACTGTGAAGTGTGAACAATAAAAACTTCCTCTTGAAAACTAATTGATAACACGAAAGAACTTTCCTTTTTTTATACATGCATCACTATTATTAATCAAATTTCCCTACAGAACTCCTACTATAATCAATAGTCTTTTTTAATAAATTAAATTTTTTTAAACTAAAAACTTAGAGACAACACAGATTAATTTTTCAACATAACTCAGTTTTGCCTAAATTTATAGTATAAAAAAAGTATCATTGAATTGCAAAAAATATCATACATTTGAAATAACTGAATTTACCCGGTTATCTTTATTTATTTTAAAGCTACAAATAGGGCTTTAAGCCTTCTTACATGTACACACATTCGAAATAAATTTAGTTTGATAAAAATAGTAGAAGAATAATAATAATAAATGATAAAATGACATTATAAAGAAAAGCAAAAAGAGAAAAAAAGTAAAAGGAAACGGAAAAAAGAAAAGGAGAAGATTCATGTCGTTTTTAAAAACTCAAATGCCATGGATCTTAAACAAGCCAGGGAGGAAGCAGAACGTACTTCACCCAAGTAAGAAAATTCCATAGTCATGATCCTGCAATTCTGAAGGATTCTAAAGAAGAGGATTTGGAATATGAGAAAAAGTTGCTCGATATTAAGAAGAGTACATGTATTTTATTTAATATTAAATATATATGTATTAAAAGTCTAAGTTTATAAGTTAAGCTTAGACCCTTAAGGTTGCTGAAGACATAAATGTAGTTAGACATATGACCTCTTGGTTTAAATCCATAACAGTATCCAATGCAGGAATGATAGCAATTTGAAGGCGATAGGCAGAGAGAATCTAAGGAAAGTGAAAAAAATGGCACTACAGTAAGAGAATAAAGGAATTATTAGGGAGAAAAGAAGAGAACTTTACTCTGAGTTTTCTATGGAGTGAAAAAGCTAAGGCATCAAAGGGAACGGTTGCTTGAGTACACTTTTTTAATAATAGAGTTCATAAGGTCATATATTAAGCTTGGAGTAAAAATAAAAAATGGAAAAAATAACGCTGAAATTTTAATTTGAGGACAAAAATTAATAGAGAAGTCATTAATATGAGGAGGGGATAGGAATTTTTTTTTTTTAAATTAATAAGGACAGATTTGTTAGGATTTAAAAGAATGCCGACACAATGAAGATGAAGGGTGAGCAGAACTTCAGAGATGTTGCTTGTAGTACAGTGAATGTAAAGCTGAATGTCATCTGCATATAAATGTAATTAGGAGAAATTAATTAATTCAAGATCATTTACTAACACCAAGAAAATAGCCTTTGGATACACTAGCTGAAATTGAGAGGAAAGAGAATTATTAGAATTTTGCAATATTCAATTGTGTACCAATTTAATATTGTTTAAAACTATAATAAAAAAAAAGAACCCCAGTTGTCTTGGCAACTTTAAGAGCTTGTAAAAGTGATGATCAGAACACCAGAAATGTCATATACAACTCCCTTTCTGAAAGTTTACTTTTATATTTAGCAGAAATTTGGAAGCCAGGATATCTTGACTTGCTTGAGCAGGGTCAAGTGAGGTACTTTCAATTACTACTCCGCCACTCAAAAAACACACCCTACGCATATGTTAGGTTGCAAACTGATAGAAAGCACACATATTTTAAAATATTTTTTAAAAAAGTTAAATTAGTTGTTGGTTTTGCTGAAGATGTCTGATTCCGTTCTACCCAAATGTTATTTTATAAGATTGGAAAAGCTAGATACTGAACATTATACTATGCCTTTTAATTGGATTGGTGAAATTAGAACACGACTTGCAACTATTGGTGATCAGTATAAAACATTGAATTATTCAACAATTAAAGAAAATTATAACAATTGACTAGAGCCATATAAAAACAATTTATTATGTAAATATATTGATTGAATAGCCACTTTAATTTGACTCATAGAAAAAATCCCAGGGAAATGAACCTTAAATAAATGCCAATGTTCATATCAATTGTTGTTTGTACAAATTGTTCAATAAATTAAGAGTATTTGCTCAAGTGAGACTTGCAAATAAAAGTCGGAGGGATTGATCCAGCTGGGAGGGTAGGATTATTTATTATTATTACTATTGTATTTTATCGTATGAAATGAAGGCCAACCCACATCTACAGCTGTATGTCTGAGACTAAACATATTAAAATAACATATTAAAAAATAAAATAAGAAAAATAGTAAAGCTAAGGTTTAAGCTAAAATATACTTTACTTCTTCATAATCTTAATATACAGGAAATTTAATAATTTTGAGAACCAGTTTGTCAGGAACATCAATAATTAATGTTTCAAAGTTGATTTTATAGAAAAATTCCCACACAAATGGATTTGAGCAAGTTCATTGCTCTCAAGTCTAGGTCGTACACTGATCCAAGCAAACGTAAAAGCTCATATGTTCTTCTTTAGGACGTTACTACTGAGTAACCCACACAACATCGCATCACAAGCACTAAAGCAGTGTGAATTAAAAATTTATATAAAACAAATACAGCTTATTTTTATGTATTTATTTTTAGTTGCCTTTCATTGCCAATCAACATGTATGTAGACTAAGCAGAGGAATAGAAAGGTGCCAAATTCAAACACATCTAGGTGCATATATATTTGTGAACCAAAACACTGATGAACCATCTGACAAAAATATTTCTGGCTCACTGCGTAGAATTATAATAGTAATAATTTATTTGTGAGGAAAATTAGACGATTGCCTTTTTGTGCAACACTAGTTTGGACACTAGAAGAAGAGGAAATGACATTGACATTGTTGGCACACTGACCTATACACAAAATATCACTCCAAAATTAATAAACACAATTGTTTACAGAAAACAGTATTAAATAGAAAATTATTATAAAATAAAAAAAATTATAAAGAAATATATATAATTAATACAAAATATAAACGGAAAAATGCATTGCAAATCCCTTTGTGTTCTTCAAAAAAGGTGGTGTATCACTAAGAGTTGTTTGGTTCCTAAATGTATACGCACCTTTTTGGAGTACCAATTTCTCGTATGTTTGCTTGTGTGGGAAATGTCTAAATTCATAAAATAACACTTTTGTAGATTAGTTGTAAATCGATTGGAGCAGCGTTGTAGAAACATATTTAATTTTTTGGAATTTCGTTGTCCCAACGCTTTTTTGTGTTCTTTTCGTCAGAGAATCGATGGCAGTCGACGGTTCGATTATGTCGATTCGACTATTATTTTATGTTGTGATTTTCTCAATTCTCAGTTGAAGAGAGAGAGAGAGTAGGGAAGTGTCGCTGTTGACGTTCTACTTTCTTTCGAATGTTTTTACAGGTGTTGATTTCCTTGTTTTTTTTAATTTAATTTTGTTTTTGTTTTCATTTTCATCGGTTTTCCCATCCGCGATTTTTATCCGGGTTTTTCTCTCGGGCCGCTGCGGAAGAATGTCAATCGTGTCAAGAACAACTTACCCGTCGAGTTTTCTTTTCTGATAATCTTCAAGCTTTTTTTTAACATACAAACTACAGTCGCCCATCCGCTTCGCCAGAAGGTTTTTATACATGTTAACTAACGCCGTATCACAAAAAATGTTTCTCCAAAATTGAAGTTTAATTTTCCCGAAGGGAAAAATCGTAAACAGAAGAACAGTCCTAACAAATTTCACTCAAAACGGTAAATGAGGAACTAGTTATAACAAGGTAAGCGGAAGACTAGATAACCATCTGAATTTTATTAATTTCCAGTTAGATAACACATGAGAGTTATATTGATGTAAATCGGCCATATCATACATTGTTTTCTTTTCATTTTCTCGCTTTGTATAGATTGGAATTCGTTTGTCTTAAGCGAAGAAATAACGGCATTGGGTTCATTAGTCACATTTTGATCACCATGTAAAAATATATTTCTTACAAAAAGTGTTGCACAACTTGGTTACTAATCATTCCCAACCATTGCTACGAACGTGGTCAACATATTGTCCGTTCTAAATGTTTGTAAACATTTTATTATATCCTTACATTCTTTTTCCCAAAAAAAGTGTAATGCTGTTAAAAAATAAAAAAACCAAATCCTAGTGTTGGCGATACGTTATTAAAATCGCGCAGTTTGTAATGTTAGCTTTTAATCAAAAGATCAGCGTAAACGTTGTACTTGTCAAAGTATGTGTCATTGAGTAAATATGGGAACGTCCTCGAGAAAGCCTTCAAACCTCGATGTGTGCTATGTCCGATGTTTAATGTTAATATTTTCCTTGCTGAATACAAAAAATACAATTTAAATGTTTTTAACAAAACCTACGTACACATTTCTTATATATTTACAATACGGTGGTAACTAAAAGATTGTAGAATAATCTAGTAAAACGTTTTTCTGCCGTTTAGAAAGGGGAAATTCCTCAATGTTCATTTTGTTAAAAGTCATGCAGGCTGCTTTTTATTATTAATTATTGCTTTCTCTGCCGTTGAACGTTATTAATTATTATTAATTAAGGTTTTTTAGTTGAGATGAAAATGAAATTGGTCAAGCGGACCACGAAATTAGTGAATTTAGTTATTAATTATGTCAATTTTTATATTATGTTGTTTGTTCTGTATTGTTATGTTATACTGTAGTTATTAAAAGTAAGAGCTTAATTTCAACTGTTATATTGGCCTGCTTAGATGTAGGATAATTAGAATTTTGTTTAAAAAAATTAATTAAAGTAGACACTTTTTAGATTGATATTAAATATCTCATCTGAATTGCTTATTTATTTTTAATTATGGTTCGTAACAGTGGAGGTCATATAAAGCCATAGCCATTGATTTTTTAAAGCTCTTTTGTAAGTATTTCAAATTGGGTTCAAATCCAGTGGCCCTGTGTTCGAACCCAGGACTGTTACATTACAATGATGAGCACCATATCAATACCTAAACCGTTGTGGCCACCGACGGCTTGTTATTTTATATATCCCCATCAAATCGTTAAATAACTTTATGGACATTAAAATTACCAACATGCTGTGGTATTTGTGATAAAAAGGTCTTCAATACCTTCAGAGGAATATGTTGAGGAAATTAAGCATTTGAAAGGGGTCTGAAGTAAAACAACAATGGCCTGCAGGTTTGTATTTAAGCAAATTGTTGAAATTGAAACTACCTTTGGAGTAATTGATCCTTTTTTGACTTTGATATTCATTACAATTGGATGCAGAGAGTATATAAGACTTAGCCGGATTTTATAGGGTTTCTGTAGGAGTTGACAGATCTTTTCCTGAACTATGATGTCATTTTACATTTTATAGTAGAGCATCGGAGAATCAATCCGAAAGTTTTGGGGTTAACTAATTACAACATAATAAATTCCATGTACTCAAGGGGGGGATTTCAACAATGATTTGTTAACTTATTGACTGGAAAGCATAATGTCCTCAATGAAATACCAGATACCAGGAAATTTTCAATATATACCAAGTTTTATTGGGTTGTCCGGAAAATAATGCAGGATTTTGGTATTAAACAAAAAAAAAGAAACTAGTTACTTTAAAGCAATGTTCTTTAATCAAAATAATTTCCCATACTCTCAATACATTTCTCCCAACGTGTTGGTAACTTATTAATTCCGTCTGAGTAGAATTCAGAATTTTTAGAATTGATAAAGTCAATAAATGCATTTTCCAGTTCCGTTTGATTTTTGAATATTATGTGTTGTAAGTAGTGGTCCAGGTGTCTAAAAAAATGGTAGTCAGTAGGCGAGAGGTCCGGAGAGTAGGGTGGGTGAGGCAAAGTTTCATAGCCAAGCTCCAATAATTTTTGTGACGTTACACGTGACACATGTGGTCGAGCGTTGTCATGCAACAAAATGGGCCCTTTCCGATTGACCAAAGAGGGCTTCATTACTGCCAATTTCTGATGCATGGTATTAATTTGGTTACAGTATGATTCAGCATTGATGGTTTCGCCAGGATTTAAGAAGCTGTAGTGTATTAAACCAAATGAAGCCCACCATACCGTAACCATTACCTTTTTTTGATGAGTTGGGGGCTTTGGAAAATGTATTGGAGCTTCTCCTTTGTCGAGCCACTGTCCAGAACGTCTAGTGTTATCGTAGAGAATCCACTTTTCGTCACATGTAACAATTCTGGCCAGAAATGGGTCATTTTTGTTTCGACAAAGAAGTGATGCACAAACATCAAAGCGCTGATTTTTTTGGCGATCGTTTAATGAGTGTGGAACCCAATTTTCGAGTTTTTTCACTTTTCCAATCGCCTTGAGGTGGTCAGCAAGTTCTCGAACAGTTGTTTTGGGGTTTTCTTCCACCACTGATCGCAGAACATCATCATTAAGAGAGGAAGGCCTTCCACGACCTTCTTCATCTTCAAGGCTGAAATCTCCCTCCCGAAATTTTTTAAACCACCTTTGCACAGTGCACTCATTAACACAACCCTCGCCCCAGACTTGGTTAATGTTTCTAGCCGTTTGGGCTCCGCTTCGGCCGAGTTTAAACTCGTAAAAGAAAATCGTACGAAATTCTCGCTTTGACATTATAAGGATGACTGAATTATTTCCAAGTAGCGGAATGCTACAGAGGTAAACAAACAATATCATTTGGAAGAGGATTAATAAGTGTTGACATTCATACAAATGAGTAATCCTGTAAACGTAAACAGAATATTTTATATAGATTTTTTTTAATGAAAACTTAAAATCCTGCATTATTTTCCGGACAACCCAATAATATGAGTTTGATGTGGTTTAATGTGCTCGCTTTTTGAGAGCTATTGTATCCCCTGTTCTATAACTATAGCACACAGGTGAGTCCTAGTTCATCAGGAAATTTGATTAGTAGAACTAGTTCCTATGGTTGAATTTCTTCTACGGTACATCCCAAAGCAGGATCAGCACATACTGTGTTAGATTATACCTGTTTTCTGCAAATGTCCATTTAGTGTGCGGTGAAGATTTTTTCCTGCTTCCTTTCGTGCGTTATGCTGTTTCTTTCCTTCTAAAACTCACTAGGATATTTTTGGGTTGATTGTGTCCAGTGAGTGAATTCCACTTTTGACTCACTTTCATCCTGTCTTTTTGTTTATATTCATTAATTTGTGAATCCCTATGACACAGAAGTGCTCAGAACCTATCAGCGGTATAGCAGTTCTTATCCTTACAAGGGCATCCACTTTCTCACTGCCTCTACTCCTATTTGTTTTGGGCCTAGCAGAGAGTAACTTTATTTTGCGTATGTAATTAATTTAATTTAGTTTTGAAATTCAGCACCATCTTCAAGCTAATGGTGTTTGAACATAGCGCTTTGATGGCTGTCTGGCTATCATGATAGGTAAGTCTTTACTTTTTGTACCCTTTGTTCAGGTTGAATGGGGTGAATATCAGTTGGAAGGTCTCCAGCCTAGAAGATACTAGTGCACTTTTCTATGGTCTTTGAGTATTTGGTTCCAGGGCCAAACCCTCCCACTTGAATATTGACTAACATTTGAGTATCTACAAACTTAGATATTACAAAAGGAAAGTAGATGCATACGCAAAGAACAGTTGTTACCAAACAGTTTGTTGGCTGATTTTGTTTTATAGGCTGATTCTTGCTGTTTTAAATTAATATTTTTAAAAAATTCAATAAACTTAGAAACATTATCATAAATATTATAGTTTATAAAANATATATATATAAATTATAATATTAAGGTATATTTGTTTGTATAGATGAGAAAAGCTAGTAGTAGTAGAACAGGAGTAAATGATGAGGAGAAAGGTAGTAATGTTGGTGGGAGTGCTAGGAAAAGAGGGTTTTCACGGTTTTCGCTAAGACGATTCCTACACCCCAGTCCACTTCTTGTGAGAAGATTCCTCTCTCTTAATCGGCCACAACAGCAGTCGTGTACCCAGCCTCTTCAAACCACTCCAAACTATGCTTCTGGTGAGTTTGAACATTATTTCTTTAAATTGTTTTTGCTAATTTCAATTATTTTTAGGGGAAACACCAATCGATTCCAAAAACAATCCGGAACAAAAAAATGAAGAAACTGCTGGACGAACGTCAGTTTCTTCTGATCCAACAAAGGTTTTTTCCATGACTGTATATTTCTGTTTGTGCGGTTAATAATGTTTTTTTGTTTAATGTGTAGAGTGATGGATTGATTGAATGCAACCTGTGTTTAAGCGAATTAGCACCAGAATATTTCCCTCATTTAATTACGTGTCCCCATCGTTTCTGCTACGACTGCTTTCAGACTTACCTTAGAATGGAAATTTCTGAGTCCCGAGTTTCAGTCTCTTGCCCTCAGTGTTCAGAACCTATGCATCCAAATGGTAAGTTTTCTTAATTTTTTTTTCTTCAAATTTTGGTGTGCATAAGTTTACACATAAGTTCACTCATTTATATATGCAGGTAAATAAATAAATATTAGTTATTTTTAATTAATTTGTCTAAAAACATTATTATTTTTTGAAAATATACCATAGTATACAGATAAGCCTTCAGTATTACCTACCATTCTCAAGGGCCTTGTTTTTTCTTTTGAGCCTTCTTTAGCCATGTTCTGGTGGAAGATTTAGGGCTGCATGTAATTCAGTGTTGTGTAGAGCAGTTTTTGATACTGTTTAATATGTTAATTTTTAAATTATACGAATTAATCAACACACAATTTATTTGATTGATTGATTGAAAAACTTTTGTTTTAAAGAAAAATAGCATAGTATTCACATTACATTACGAGGAGAATACAAAGTATAATGGCATGAGTAATGCCATCTGCCAGACACAATATATATTAATACAAAATTTGCCAGTACACTTGGTAATAGAAAAAATCTTAGAATGATTGATATTCAGTCCAACTTCCCATAAGTGATACCATTTAGAAATGGGATTTAGGCCACATGTAGAAAAAATATTAAATCATGAGATTTCCTCTTGAGGACAGACACACTGAAGGTGACAAAATACAAATCACACAGACAGTCTAAAAATGATCAGTACCAATCATATTACGAAAACGATATTAGTTTTGTTAAGTGAAAGTAAAAAATAAATTGAATTCATACGAATGTGTGTTTGCTTCTGTGCACAGACAATCATTTCATTTTTCTCATGACTAGTATGACTTTAACCCTTTCTCTGATGGAAAGAATGTTTTTTTCCCCTGCACATATCTCTGAATCGATTTGTCACTTTGAAACTAACCAAAACATTACTGTTCAGCAATGACCATTTATGTTTGCTGGCTAATAAATAGTACATACTACTACTCCTATGAGCCCTGAAGATAGGCTCCAAAATGCATCGACATTATTACATATATGGTTGGAGCAGTTCATTATTTCTTTGTCCAAACCAGTCTATCGGAGGAAGACAATCTACAAACAAAAAGAAGAGGATTAGCAATTCATAATACTACCAACCCATCTATTAAATAGTAACTTAACTTTGTTACACTATTGATTTTAAATTTATATAATCTTTCATTGGATTAATTTAATTAATGTATATCTGTCCTTTCAGTATAAAAGTAGAAAATGTTTTGTTTGGTTATTTCTGTAATATTAGTTTTAAAAACATAATTACTTTAAATTTGTTGAAAAAGTTATAAAATTGAAAAAACAGCATTAATTTATTAAACCTAACTTTAAACAGTCCAATTTTCATTTATCAGATATAAGAATGATTCTCAACGATAAGTCACGCTATGAAAAGTATGAGGATTTTATGGTACGAAAAGTTCTTGCTGTTGATCCAGATACAAGATGGTGTCCTGCTCCAGATTGTAGGCATGTACCCAAGTATAAGAATACTCTTAATTTCCTTTTCTTTTTAGTCAATGTAGGCATTTTATTTCAGTTATGCTGTGATAGCTTCAGGCTGTGCTAGTTGTCCAAAAATAAAATGTGAGAGGCCAGGCTGTGGCTCATATTTTTGTTACCACTGCAAAGCTGCCTGGCATCCAAACCAAACCTGTGATGCTGCTAGAGCTCAAAGATCACCTAATGTCAGATCTTCATCATTGTCTTTCAGTCAAGATTCTCAACATAGTAATAATTATTATTGTGGCTTGTTTTTTGTTTTAAACAGTTTATTCAATTAGGTTTGCATTTTAGGAGATGATATAAAGCCATGCCCGAGGTGCCAAGTTTTGATTGTAAAAATGGATGATGGTTCTTGCAACCATATGACATGTGCAGTTTGTGGAGCCGAATTCTGTTGGCTTTGTATGAAAGAAATTTCAGATTTACATTATCTTAGGTAACTTATGCAATAACTTTTTTTTTGTCAATTTAATCACAATTTTTATGTTTGTACAACAATGTTATGTATATTTGTGAACAATGTTATGTTTAGCCCTTCAGGTTGTACATTTTGGGGGAAAAAACCGTGGTCACGGAAAAAAAAAATTCTATGGCAGTTAGGAACTCTTGTTGGAGCTCCGGTTGGTATCGGCCTTGTAGCTGGCATAGCTGTTCCCGCAATAATTATTGGTATGTGGATATAAGTTTATCTATTGATCAATTCATTAATTACAATTTTTTTTCAATCATTAGGAATACCTGTGTGGGTGGGAAGAAAGCTTTACACAAGGTATGAACACTCTAATAAACATAAAAGGAATTTTGCTATTGCTGGTGGGGTTTCTGCATCAGTAAGTATTATTTTAATCTCGATGTACATATGCATATAGAATGTGTCTATTTCAATGTGACACCCACTTTTCTTGAAAACGCAGGATTGTAGAAAAAAATTTAAATGGTATCCCCATAGTTTTTCTAAAAGATCTAAAGTAAGTAGTGTAAACATTTTTTATTTTTTGTCACATTAATAGTTAATTAAGCGTCAATTTACTTTTTTCAAATGAGACCTACCAAGTTTAGATAATTTTTCAAAAACTATTTTTTTATGAATAAAATGACACCAAGAACAATTAGATTGGTTGTGTATTTCACAATATTCCCATTCAAGCCTGGGGGTGGGAGTATTTTATACTAATGTTGTTTTAAGGCCTTTTTTTTTACTTTTACTAAACTGCTTTAAATTTTGGAAATTGTGAATCATCAGACCAGAGAATATGGGATAGTAAATGGAGTAAATTTTTCATTCATGGTCGTGTTATTCTTCCTTTCAAAGGAAAGAAAAATGGGTGCATTAAAACGGTAGAGAGTTGATAGATGAAACGTGTGGCTTTTACCTGGCCATTAGAAGTTTGTACTTAGCTTATTGTTTAAATGATCAATAATTTGTTCGAGTTTTTTAAATTGTTTTGATTTATTTATTTACTTTACCAACTCAATGCCCTTAATAGGTAAAATTGCTGTAAATCAGAGTTTAAGTGTCTAACTAATCATTGTAGTATGTCATCATAAAACACATTTTCATGTATCTGATAAATTTGTAAATAAAAACAGTCTGAAGATGACATTACATCAAAAGCTTGGCAATTCTCTAGAACTTGTGCAGTCTATGACTCTTATTGGATCCTTTTCCTCATCCTCTGAATCCATGGGTCCAACTAATTGAAAATTGAATGTTGTGTTCATTTATTATGATAATGAATAATAAATAATTGTATTTTGGCTTTTGGGTAGTAATTCTCTTGATCTCTCTAACTAGAAGCAGTAAACTCTTAAAATATCTATTTTTGTTTGAACAATTGAAAGAATGAAATACCCTCTCCCAGTCTTCAGTTGAAATATCTCTGGAAATACTGTAACAAAAAAAAAGTGACAGAAAAAAGAGTTAATGAACACTTGCCGAAATTGAACAAATTTTCTGAATTTTAGGACCATCTAAATGAAATAAAACACAATTTCAATTTAAATTTAAAAATAAAACTGTTACACAATTTCAACAAAGGGAGGGAACTCGACTGGTTTGAGAAATTTGAATTAAAAAATGTAAAGTTAAACATGGAGATAAAGGCATAAAAAGTACAATAGATTTCAATTAACGTCCATTTTAAACATGTATCAAAATAATGTTTGACATACAAATTAATAATAAAGTTAAAATTATTTTCTTACAGTATTTATTTGGTCCATATTAGGTGTGTTGCAATTCATGTTTTTTGCACATTCAAAAATGGAGCGGCATTAAAAACCAACTTTTCATCGGAATGTCAAGTGGATTCATTCTTACAATACCTGTATAGGTGAAAAGATATAATTTTTCAAAATGTATCAAAACTTGGCAGGTAAATCTCATTTGAAAAAGTAAAGTTTATTAAAATTATTTAATATTATGACATTAATTTTTTGCTCTTTTAATGGTTTAATGATTAGCCAAAGTAAATGTGCATTGTCTAGGTGTAAACCAACCAGGTCTATGAGTCAAGAGTCTAACATGCAACCACTCTGCTATCACAGTCCCCTACTAAAAAATGTTTAGACCATTTATTTTAGATCTCTGGGGCAAATATGGAGTGTTACATTTACATTTTTTTTGTAACCTTTGCTTTCAAGAAAAGTGGGTGCTGCATTGACACCCTGTATATGGGAAATGTAGAGTATTTATATATTTATTAATTTTGGTGTTGTTACTGTTTTATTTTTTTATGGGTGTCTTTAGTTCAACTTTATTGGGTTGGAACAATTCAGTAAATTCATTTCATTTGTAACAAAAGATTCTGTTCTTAAATTAACACATTCAGCGAGTGGTCTTGTATGTCATGACAGGGCCCCTACTACTCATTGGTGCAAATCATGACATACATGATATGAAAACAGGACAGTTTTCAAAACATACTGTGCTCTTTTGGTTTTTCTGTGCAATACTCACGTCCTTTTAAACCCAGCAATGTCATTCTTTTCGGTATATTTTTCGGTTTTGTACAAGACAGAAAAAAAATTTTGTTTGCTAAATTTTTTTTTGCAAAATACCTTTTTAGTTATTTTTAAATATTTTGCTTGTATTGTAAGGCCCAAGAACATTGAAATTGTATACAAAATTGCACTCCCTGGTAACATGTTGGAAATTTCACTGTGTTTGGAAGTATACCACAAATTATAAATCATTCTTTAAAACTTTGGACATTAATCATAATTTGATGTGGGCATTTTTACAAGGTTATGCTTTTTTAAGGTAAAGAAGGAGATTTTACATTTATTAATACTTTTAATAGAACATTTGAAATTTAGCAATACTTAACATAAGTTGACACATCTTTGGAAAACCTTATTTCAAATAAATATATAACTTAGAATTATTTATTAGAATATTTGTTGGCTTAAAGTTCAATTTATAAATATATTAAGAACTAGAAAACCAGAACTATAAATCTACTGTATCTTAGAGGGATATATAATAACAGTAAATACAAAGGGGTCATATTTTGGCACTCTAGGAACTTGGTCCCTATTTAATCTGGCTTTGAGACAGAGAGGGAGGGGAATATAGTTTTAGGGGAACTCATATCATAGTAATAAAACTAATAGATCAAAATGTATATGGAAGCAGAAATTAATTGAACAACAGACAGTAGATAAAATTTGCCAAGCATCCCTTACCCCCATAGGTACAGTTATAATTTGTCTTTAAAACTTGGTGAGCACTGTTATTTCACAAAGTATTGTTTGCAAGACTAGACAATATCTTTTGACAGTATTCCTTCATCATGGAGATCTTGTAGCAAATCAAGAAGACGCTGTTCGGTAACGGGATCTCCAAGGGCGACATCGACAGATCCGATGCAGAGGAGCAATGCAAGCAGTTGAGATCTTTTGAAATCTGCTGTCAAATCCCCTTTTGTGTAAGAAAGAGTTATTTCAATATCGATGTTCAGTAGCTTAGACAATTCTGTAAATTTTCCCCAATAGTGGTCTAAAAGTGTATTTGTGTGACGCCTCCTGAGTTCAGTTGGCACAGAACTGACAATAAGTAAAGCAACATCGTTTGTTGGCCTAGAGTAGGTAACCATCTGCCAATCGAGTATCTTGCAACTGTTATCACTTCTAAAGAGCAAGTTGTTGCACCAAAAATCAGTGTGGGTTATGAGTGCCATTGGCTCTCTAGGGGTTAGGAGAGAAGATATGAGTTCTTTAGTATCATTCTTCATGCTGATGAGAGCTTCCATCACTGCTGCATGTCCAGGACGGGTCTCCAAGAACTGTGCCAGTTGAGGCAATCCCCTTTCGACTAACTGTTGATATGAGTCTGTGGCACGGGCTGTTTGAAACAAGAAAGGGTATTTTTTGTCCAGTGGGATGTCTTCTTTAACTTTCATCGCGAGGGAAAGAGCATGCAATTTTGCAACTGCTTCCAATGCTGATTTTGCCTGGTCTAAGGTCAGTCCTCGAGCAAACTCCATCACCTCATAACCAGAGGATTTTAAGTTTTCAAGAACCAGAACCGACTCTACTGGACTGTCACCAGAGCCAGAGTATCGCGCATGGTAACATTGTGGAATAGGTAGTTCGATAGATTTTTCAGGTTCGATGAGGTAGTCCTTCTGAAATTCATGCAGCTCTGGAGCAATCTGGAAAGTAATACACATACATTTTAATATTTCTACTAATTTGTAGAAAAAAATTTTTGCAAGATATTTGGGATGAATATTTTTCTGTAATAAATTAGGAGATCACAAAACGAATGTTGTGCTCTTTGCTCTACACACGATTACTTACACATCGCTATCACTTTGTTAACAATTATTGAATTAGTCGAGTGTAGGCTTAGTTGAATCATAATACTTAAATTTGGATCACTTCAATTGAATGCAACTTGCACATTTATATTTAAAAAAAAAAAAATTAATAAAAGCAAAAAACCATTTATGTTCCAGAGTGATTTTATAAAGTTTTGATGGAGTATGTTAGGGGAGTCAGTGGTCACAATGATTTAGGCGATGACTGTCATCACTGTTAGATAAAGGTCCTGGCTTTGAATCCAAGGGCACTGCATTCAAACCCAACATGCTTATGTTTTTTTTTTTCAAAATCATCAGCACCACAAGAGTTGATTTGACCTCTGCTGTTGCGAACCCACGGAAAAAAAAAGNAAAAAAAAAAAAAAAAAATTATATATATATATATATATATTGTACAAAAGAAAAAAAGTTGTAGGTTGAGATGATTAGTTGGTGACGTGGGGACAGTCACAATAGCTCAACTGGTATTGTTCTGAGTTCTGATCTCGAGGTCATGGGTTAGAGTACCGATTGTGACACTAATTTTTCAACTCAACCATACTTTGAATAATAATTAAAGTAATTACTTTGGTTAATGGGACCATCCAAAAAAAAAGATTACTATAAATATGATTAAATTTTCAATTGATATAAATGAATTTACTGACAAAAAACTTAAAATGGTAGAATTAAACCAAAGAAATCATAGCAATGCAATATATAAAATATATGAATTAATTATTTTTTTTATGTAAGGTTTTGGTTGAGGCGAAAAAGTTAGTGTCACGAGCAGGATTCGAACCCACGACCTTCGGGTAAATACCGAATAAAAGTAGAAGGTCGTGGTTTGAATTCCGTTTCATCTCAACTAAAACCTTACATAAAAAGAATAATTAATTAAAATAATTAATTTGGTCAATTAAGCCATTAAACATAAAAGGGATTAATATAAAATATAATTGAGCCTTTGAAATAAAATTAATGGGAATAAATAAGTGTTTTTGCAGTGTCAAAAAATAAAACGTTGATTTTTTCGTAAAAATTAAAATGTTAAAGTCGAGGAGATATAAAAGTGAAACAAAGGCAGTTTCCCAGAAATAAAACAAATATTGTAATGTGTGGTAATAAAAGATTGTATGTAATGTTTATCGTTGGCCAGCCGTTTCCTCGTCGAGATTTACCTTTGTATAAAACTTGATTTCCCTGAGATCGAATTGGGCCTCAGTGACGAAGAACCTGCTGAAGGGATCTCGCGGAAGCAGCTTGAGTACGAGATCGCGTTGCGTGCAGGTCACTTCCTCGTCCGGCCCGTGGGCGTAGGTGACGGACACTGAGAGGATGTCACTCAGGGCGGATTCTTTCTGAGCCAAATGGTAATCGCGGACGGTGACACGGCTGCCGTGGTAATCGGAGAGGATGTGCTCAAGCCAAAACGAGCTGACCGGCCACTCATCGTCCTCCGAACTCTCCGACATCTCGGCACCGACTGTCGACGTCGAGAGTGAGACTCCGAGTGTCGACACTGTCGACTGACTCGCCACCGCCGCCCGGCCCCCTCTTCCGCCCCTGCTCATATCATTTTCCTCGGCCTTTTCATTGCTTTCAACAAAACACGATCCTTTCGTTATTATTCTTATTATTATATTATTTTATTAAGATTCTTCTCTCGACGGCCGGCGTTAGAAAAAGTGCCGTTTAGCCCGAAAGCTCGACCTCAATTTCATAGTCGGGAACTTATTTTCTCCGTTATTGCATATCGAACCTTTTACGCCGACCGTCCCTTTTACGACTTGTAATTCTACGTTATGTCATGATTTTATAAATAAAAGTTTGGCTTTTCAGCTGAGCAATAAAGGGGTGTGGCAAAGGCACCGCCCTTTGTTGTTCTTCTGCACCACCCTTCAATCAATACCACTGGTAGTAGGGGTGCTAGGCTTTCCCAGCAGAGGTAGACTTTTTCGCACTTGACAGATGCCCATGCACCACAGTACACTTCCCCAGTAGGAGCGTACAGCCCTTTCATTTTCTCGATCATTGTCGTCACGTTTCATTGGGCTTAATTCGCCCCCTCACCTAAACCTACAACTTAAATAAAAACTATAAATTTCGTATTCTGTTTTAGAATTAAAAAATATTGAAAGGCTATTAATTATTTCGTCGTCGTGAACTTCACAGCTAACTTTAATTAAGAATTCTAATGATAAAATATTTTCAAATTTGATCTCTAAATGTATTTCTTCTACATAATGTTAATACATTTTTAGTAATAATTAAGAATTCTAAGAATAAATAGTTTCAAGTTTGACCTCTACATGTATTTCTTCTACATAATGTTTATAAATTTTTAGTAATAATTAAGAATTATTGGAATAAAATATTTTCAAGTTTGACCTCTAAATGCATTTCTTTTACATGATGTTTATAAATTTTTAGCAAAAATTAAGTTACTAAGAATAAAATATTTTCAAGTTTGACATATAAGTGCTCAACATGATCTTCGGTTTCTTCAGTATTTTGTGTTTCATTTCATTATATAATTATGTACTAGTATTTCATATTCCATTGTATACTTTTCTTAGTTCTCTTCTAGTGCTTTTCAAATCCTTCCAAAGGTCTCTTCTTATATTTCCATTTTTCTTTATTATACCTTTGATTAAGATTGTACTTAATTGATTATTTATTATTATTATACAATTATACAAGGATTAATGCCTTTACAGTTATATGAACCATGTAGTGGTATATTGCAATATACAATGCATTACAAATTAAACAAAATTTAATAACAAAACAATAAAATTTATATACATAACATTCGAAGAACAATACTTAGGTATAAAGTAACAAACAATAATTTTAATTTAAAGAGTAGTTGTATGAAATTAATTAGTAAATAACAAACATTTAAATTTCTAGTTAAAATTTGTTTTACATAAAAGGATTTAGTGTTTATAACATGTAATACCAAAAGAATAATGAATTGTTGAAATGAAAAGTGCACTGTAAATCGTAATATATTTTCATTTTGAGTGATTCAAAACCCATAGCTCATACCACGGCAGCTGATGTAGCTCATAAATTTACACTGTGTTTCGTGATAGAATAATAAATGAGCACACTGCACAAAAGCGGTTCAAAAAGTTTGCTTCTGGGAATGAGGGGATTGAGTATAAACCAAGGTCCGGTAGACCTGTCTTAAATGAAATGATGAATTGAGGGAAGCTATTGAACTTGATTCAAGTCAAACATGTCAGGAGCTCACCAGTGATCAACATAAGAAATGAAACCATTCGCTCTATCTTACACTACTTTATGAAAGCAATGAAATGTTGTTTAGACGCTAAAGCATGTTATCTTCTATTTGTTAACAACAGAATTGACCAAACAAAGACATCACATTAAGTAGTTGTGCTTAATATTCATATTATAAAATGAAATGTTTAGATAAACAAATTTTTTCTATCTACAATTCTGTCAATGCCTTGACTGCTATGATTGTATGATGCAATATTATAATATAATATTACATTGTATACATTTTTAATGTAATCTTTATGTAAGGTATGGGTAGAGATAAAAAAGTCAGTGTCACGAGCTGAATTCGAATCCATGAACTTCGACTAAATATGCCGCTGCTTTACCACTTGAGCTACTACCACTCGGACACTAACTTCCCACCTAACCCAACCTTTCGAATTTTCCCTCCTTTTTGCCATTTTTTAAATGTCGTGTAATCTATTTGATTCTTGGTGACAAATGAAATGGCCACGGAGAGCTTTTGTGAAGGTATACTTCATTTAACTTATTCATTAGATGTCGTGGCCCGATTGACCTAATAACATCTTTCAATTAATTAAACTTTATGTAAGGAGGTGGGAAGTTAGCGTCCAAGTGGATCTTAGTCTTGATAGTTCAAGTGTTAGAGCAGTGGCGTATTTAGCCGAAGGTCATGGGTTCGAATCCTGCTCATGACACTGACTTTTTTTATCTCAACCCATACTTACATAAAGATTAATTAATTGAAACATGTTATTTGGTCAATCGGACCATGACATGTAATGAATTGTATACACTATTAAATGTTACAAAAATCATTCATACAATTTGCTTTATTATCAGTCATTACTAATTATATATTTTGTTGTAGGTGCTAATATCACCTATATTGGCAAGTCTGGCTGTAGGGATTGGAGTACCTATACTACTGTTCTATGTGTATGGTGTGGTTCCTGTTTCACTATGCCGCTCTGGTGGCTGTGGTGTGAGCACCTCAGCAACTGGAGTCCGTTTTGACTTTGATGATGAGGGTGACATGATGGGAGCTCTGGCTACGAAATCAAGTGGTACACCACCTCTCCAAGCAATTAGCTAATTTCAGAGAATTACCTTGTGAATTCCAGAGAAGATGTGTTCTTTTATTTTAGACATCTGAGAGAAATGTCCAACATCCACAAATGAAAGAAGTCCTCAAAGAATTTTAGCCCTTTTGTCTTGTTCTACTTTTTATTTTTAAATAATAACCCCACTCATTAATAAACTATTAGAACTGAATGATTTTTTAACAAAATATTGTTAAAAAATGTTAGAGATAACAAGCAATTAATATGTAAGCCCTCAGTTTTTAAAGAAAATTGAACCCATATTGACTTTCTGTGGGAGCATTTTGATTGCAATGGTTTAAATAAATATAATATCAAATATTGGAACAACATTGCAAATTATTAATCATTAAATTATATGTTTTATTCTCCTTTAAGATATGTTGAAATATATTATGGTATAATTTTCATGAGCAAATACGCATTTTTTTTTTATTTATTGCAAAATGTTTTCTTTACAACCTACTATGATAGAAAATTATTTCATATTTGCCCAATTCTCTCACTCCAAAAACATTTTGCTTTGCCTTTTATATTTCAAATAACCCAAATAATGAAAATATTATTTCTTGAGAAAAGAAAAGGATTCAGAATTGTGAAAGAGTCTTGCATTACAGTACACATTGGAATTTTATGTAACAAATTAATCAAATTTGTTATAGCTTGTGAGGATTCAAAGAAGGTAAATTGTTTCACATAGAAAGTAATAATTTGTTAGATAGCCATTAAATCATCATGTTAATGGGCTATTCAAGAATCATTAAATAGAAAAGTTTATTATTGGTAATTAGTAAAATAAAAAAAGAAATATATATATTTCTTTTTATTATTTATATATAATTATATATAATTGTATTTTATTTTTTTAAACTAACTGGTTTCTTCCTATTTGCTCGCTGATTTACATTTATATCAATTAAAAAATAAAAAGAAATAAATAATAGTGTCCATCGAGGTTTGTACTTTCTAGCACCATGTATTTCTCATTCAAATAGGTGTTATTTTTCTAAATGTTTCATTACATGTTTGCATTGTTTTAGCAAGAAATACGTCTGTAGACTTTCTTCTAATTATTTATTTAGATGGAGATAGCCATCCAGGAGGAAATCCAAGTATAGGTGAGGTTTCTTTGTCGCTGGGGAGTGGGAGTCAACTTGAGAGAGAGGCTGATCGCGAGAGTGCAAGTTTTGTAGCCCTTGCTGGAAGTATTGCCTCCAACAGTAATACCGGACAAAGGTGAAAAATTATATTTTATAGTCTGATATTCAGCTAACTTATACTTCAACTTGCCCAGGCTTGAAATATTGGCTGATGTAGTAGTTCCACAACGGTTCAGCTTAAGCAGTGAGACTGCCTCAGCAACAGCTAGTCTGTCGGACAAGTCCGCTGTGGATGATGGTGGTGCTTCGACAAAGGGACTTGCTGGCTCTGTGCTCAATTTCAAAGTAAACAACAATTACTTTAGTTTCGAATAATAAACTTATAAATTGGGCTGTTTATTTAGATGGATGGTGGGTCACTATCTAACTGTCGAGTTGCAAGCAATGACAGTACATCCATTGTAGAACCTGTCTCTTTGATACCTCCTGAGACCATACCTCAGTGGAGTGAACCTCATGCTCTTAGCTCACTAGAAGAACTTACAACCTGTATGATGAGAAAGCTGATGAAGAAAAAGAAGCTTTTGTACAAGGAAGACACAGATGATATTTCTTCAGAGAGGGTTCGCTTCGACAGTCATGTCAGCTTCATCAATTCTGATTTATCACAGAAGCACACATTTTGTAATTTTAATTTTATTTACTAGATATTTTTTTTAAATTGTAGTTTATGCAGTGTAGACAAGTTTGAACCAAGTTATGTTTTTCTCTAAGGTTAAGACGAAAGTGATAAAATCAATCCGTTGTGACATTAATTAAAATTTAATTTAAAAAAATGGGTTTATTAATTTTGTGTAAAATTGATATGGTTGTATAATATGCTGAAATTATTAACCCAGTGGTAGTAATTTTTAAGGCTTTTGCTTTAACAGATGAACTGGCATTTTCACAAAACTGTCCCATATAGTTATATTATTTTTTAAAATTATTATTAATGAACTATCTGAACTATCACTAAATAACCAATAGCCATATCTCATTGCAGACTGCAGTCAGATTACAGATTTTTTGTAAATTTTATGGCAAAAACTTGTATATTTTTTTGCCAATCCGAATTCATTCTCATTAGGTGACCATCACCAGATCATCCTTTTGATCCCAAATGTACAGAAAAAATTGTTGTACGGCAGAATATGTGATTATGTTGTTCTTTGGCATTTTCGTTTTTTAACTCAGTTTCGAGACTTCTTTTAAGTTTGTGGCCAGTCAATGAACTAAAGGTACATTACTATACTTAAATGATGTAAGTAGCTGTTTAACAACCCTTTATTAAAAATGTTTTTGCTGTTTTTCTTAAATATTGGAGTTATTTATCTATTCCTCCATTATTCTGGAATTACTTCTTGGTAATATTCGTATTCTTATAATGACAGTGTTATGTTTGGTGGACCTGCTTTTCCTAATATAATGGGTTAGTATCTTTCAGGTCCAGGAGACTTCTTATTTTCTATTTCATTAAGAGCTTAGTTAAAGTCTTTTAACTATTATTGGCAGAATTGCCAATTTTTGAATACTGGAATTTCACCCTGGATAACTAACTCATAGAAGTATACAATACATCCCTGTTGTTGATTATGGATAGAGAATTTTTGCTTGTTCAATTTAATTGATCATAGACTCGGTCATACTTTATTACTTTTTTCTGTCCAGGCAGGTATCAATATAATGGCAAGCTGTTTCCCCAAAATTTATTGTATGCTTTCCTGTTTTGTAAACAAATGTCCTTTTTTTATAAACATAAATTCTCAATCCTACATAATTTCTAGAGGATATCTCTGTTTTGGGTTAGTTGTATTCAATTATTATTGTTATGCCATTTATTTAGAATTCGGGTAAATTAATTAGTTAGATTTAATTGTTCTATGATGTTTCGACAACCTTTGCATATCCATACAGTTTTATTGGTAAATATTATTTTAAATTATATATCTTTTTTATATGCATTATTATATTGTCCATATCTTTTTTTTAATTAATAATTACTTTGAATATACATAAATTTAAAAATAAACTTAAAAAATAAAAATAAAAAACCAGCTATTATGTGACTTTTTTCAATTGGAACTTTTTCTAAACAGATGGAGGCACAGCTAGCCCAGGAGGAAATTCAAGTATAGGTGAGGTTTCCCTTTCAGTTGGTAGTGGAAGCCAATTTGAGACCGAGACAGATTTTAAGAGTTCCAATTTGGTTGCCCTTCCTGATTGCAAATCTAACATCACTGGGCAAAGGTGAATAACACGTTTTTGTTCTCTTTGTTTCAATTAAGTACAATTTTTATATTTCAGGCTTGAAATATTGGCTGATGTTCTAGCAACACAAAGGCTTAGCTTAACAAATGACACCGTGCCAGCAGCAACAAATCTTTTAGATAAATCTATTGTTGATGATTGTGGTGCAAGAGCTCTTACTGATGATTGTATGCTCAATGTCCAGGTAATAACCCGTTTACTCCAAACTTTCTTATTACTTTTCAGTCGTCTTTTTCAAGCACGTTGTACATTTATAAACAAATAATTATAACTATGATATGAGTTATTTAAAAACTACAGCATTGTCTCTGGCCTGTTAAAAAGAGAACTTTCGAACATAATCATATCAAAAAGAAATATGTGTATAAAAGTTATAAACAGAGACACAAAGTAATAAACACAACCTGCCATCTAAACTTTGCTTCAAATTTTAATCTACATGAAAAAGAAATCTATGAGGGAAAACAAGACAGCACAACAAATTTCAAAAACCAATTAATCACCGTATAACATAATTAACATTTAATTTAGGTTGAGATGAGGAGTTTGTGTCCGAGTGTTTCAAAAACACGATAGCTCAAGGCAGCAGCGTACCTTAGATAAAAATAATGTTTATTTAAAATAATTAAAATGGTCAATTAATTATTCTAGTCTCTAAACACATATGGTTATTTAATAAGTGATTTATAATTTTATGTTAAATGTGGTTGAGGTTGGTTTTGAGTCCCGCTCTTGACACTAATTTTGCATCTCAACTAAACTTTAAATAGAAATTTTAAATCAATTTAAATTAAAGATCTTTCTCTTATGTACTGTATTCTTATAAATTCAGCATCAGCTTAATTCGGTAAAACACTTATTTTGTTTATTATTTTATGTATTTCTACAACATTTAAACATTCTGTTTGCTTCAATGCGTTGGAAATGATTGAATATTGTAGTTAGTAGGATGAGCTGATGAGATGATAGCTTGCAAGTAAAATTTTGTGTGTTTATAGGATGAGGCAGTATATCTTTCTGACACAGTTTCCCAATTGATGAGCTCACAGGAAGATGCTGTTACGTCCAGAAAGGGGGGACGCAGGCACAAATCAAGTACAGATCTAGAAGAAGGACCAAGTGGGGAGAAAGTCAGATTTGATAAAAATATCAGTTACATCGATCCCGAAGTAAACACTCAAAGTAGACATTCTAAAAAACATATAGAAGATATTCCTCCCTCAACTTCAAAGTATGCGTCTTTTAAAAAAAATATAAATGTTTATGTTGTAAAATTTAGCACAATTAACTATTTATTTATTTTTTTAGGACTATTTCATCATTGAGAAGTATGTTTTTCCAGAGTGGAAACATTAATATTGAGAGCCCCCGAAGCCTTGAGGCTCCTATTTTGTCACTTCTTCCTAGTGAAACTTTCTCTATTTCTATGCCAGAGTGATTGATTTTTGTGTCTTATTTCTACACCACTGCCTTTTCCCTTTTCTATTGTGTTTATTGCGTAATTCAAATAAACACGTTTATTGAATTTTGTACAGCGAAAGGAAATAACTGAAGGTATGATTATGCTTTAATTTTTCATTTAATGTTGACTTTTTATGTTCTGCCAACTGATTTAATTTTTTCCCTCAAATAGTTGAGGTTTGAAATATTGTTGAACAAAAATTGCATTTAAAACAATTGTGCAAAAGGTTGTGTAATTTTCTGTGTATGTTAACACATTCGTTATGGCTGTTATTCTGGAAGAAGCACTAAACCCTTCCCCATATACGAACGATGTTCCAGAATGACACACTTCTGGGAAACGCTTGCTTTCGAAGATTGTTGTAGGCTGTTGGGGGTATTTTTGGAATCAAATCAGTGTCACAGGCATTTAGTATCGCTTTGGCAATGTTAATGCAAAGACTGTTTTTTCGATTTGATATTTTGGAATTTTTTAAGATTTTTTGAATAAAATTTTTTGTCATATCTCAGGAGTCTTTAAAAATCAGTGCTGTAACGAATGTGTTAATTCATTTACAGGATTTTTGGATCAGATTAAGGGTACATGTCATTAATCAGTGTTTTTGTTTTTTTAAGTTTTATTTTAAGTTTTTATTTTTTAATGGACTGATCAAATTACTTCAACAGCTAATTTATACATACATTTATTAAAAATAATGAATGTATTAAATGTAAAATTGTATTAATATATTGAAAAATAATAAAAGTTTAACTGTAGTGATTTTGTTTTACTACCTTTCTACACAAAATAAGCACAAAATAATAGCTGTGTCGAACTGGATCAACTGAGATTGCACACTGTGTGTTAAATGAAATTGTAACAAAAACAATAATGCATAATAAATGCAAATAATACATAAATATTGTTTGGAAAACTGTGTAACATCTTTTTTTCTTTTGATCTTTTGTAGGATTATGGTCACGAAACGATAAACTGAACTAAAAGTTATTTTTGTTCATTTTTCAATTCCAAAGTAAAGATAAAAAATTAAAATTGACATTCTTTTATTTTCTGAAACTATTCTCTTCTTTTTTTTTTTTAATTACATGTTTTTCTTCCTATAAATCATACTTTATACGTGGTATATTTTAAGTACTGAAAAGAAATAGGAGTATCAAAACAAATATTTGATCTAATCATACATTATTTTGTTCAATGTGGAGACTAACACAACAACAAAAAATTCGAAGAAAATTAAGCAATTTTCTTCAATAAATATTTTTGCACATTTAACAAGGGTAATTAAAATATTAAAATGATTATTTATTTACAGTAAAGTTCAATAAGTACATGGTAAAAACATTAATAACATGGTAAAACATTATACCAAATCAGTTCCTTATATAAAACTCAAAAAATTTAGCTCATAATTATTCATTATGACTAGTTAGGTTTTCTAAACAATAGTACAAAGATTGCAGTGTAACATTTATTCATTTTAACTGTGGTTGGTTGTATTCACGTTTGTGGACACCCATACACACACATTTTCACTCACACATGCACACACAATTAAAAATAGTTTAATAAAAATTGTTATTTTTGAATAAATTTGTAAACAGTTTTTAAAAAAAGGACTATTTGAAATCATTTAGAACTTCGAAATGTGTTCTAAGGTTTGGAACTTGGTTTTCAAAATGATATGTTCGATTAACGTGTGCTCCCATTTTTCGCAAAGAATCAAAAAAGACTCTCTCCTCCTTTCTTATCCAAGGCCTGCGGTCATCATTCACTTGATACGGAGTCACATGAATGTGGATAATAATAGCTAAAAACCATTACAAGTCACTTTCATATTATAGACAATGTAAATGTAGTACATAACATATATGTGTGTATAATAAAACAAATTTGTCTAAACTAAAAAATTAGGTTTTTTTTTTTTAAATGTGACTTTTAAAACTTTTTTTTGTTGAAATTTTTTAATTTAAATTGAATATAATCAGGTTTAACACCAATAATAATTGTAAGCAAGTGGTTTCCCTTTCCTATTTAGGAAAGACAATAGGTGGACTCATGCATTTGAATATGTGACATTGATAGTGTTGGTTACTTGGATATTTACTGAAGATCATGCTGGTTTTAATTGTGTTTAATAATGCAAAGGTTGAAGATGTCAAGAAAAAAGTAAAACTGTGAGTATTCGATTGTAATGTAAGAAATATAAAATTCTGAGAAAAAACAAACCTAGCCTAGATAAGGTCTCAAGGAGACTTCGAGATGTAATCCATGAATTCTTTCCACCTGAGTGTCCTCCATCTAACCAATACATCTCTATGACTTTACTTGCAAGGATAGCTAAAGATTCGTCATCTGGGGTAAGGGTTTTCAAATAGTGGAATTCGTAGAGAATTTGGTTAAGAACAACACAGCCTTTGCTAAACCCTATGAGAATATAATCACATTGATCTAAGTGGAGTCCTTTTGTGCTATCCTGAATAAAATTTAAAAGCGAGTTTAAAATATTTTAGAAAAATAGTTTGACAAGAATATAAAATATGTTACCTGTTCACTGAGTTTCAATGAAATATTTTGCACTAATCTGTCCAGGTGCAATAAGGCATAATGCATTGGTGTATGGTCTGGAGCTCCAGTGTTGTTACAAGGCACAAAGTTATCATAGCAACCAAACATTTTAAACTCCATCCTGGTTTAGAAATCCGTCATTTAGACACACAACAAAAAATTTAAAATCATAAATACCAAAAGCAAAATCCATTCAAGTTTGGCATCAGCATATAATAAAACAAAAATGGGGAAATCTTCAATTGCTACCAACAATTAATTGTATTTATTATAAGAATATCTGATAATTTGTGCTAGGTATGTGTTGTAATAATTAGTAACAATAGAGAATGATAACACAATTTCATTTCACAATTCAAAGTTGAACTTTAAACAATTGTTATGAAAATACTTGTAGAATAATAACAAAATCTGCCTGGTATAGCAGGGTTTAATCTTAATTAACTTTCATAATTGAAAATTCTAATAAATTAACTTTCACATAATCTTGATAATTGCCATTTTTTCTAATTGTACAATTTGAACTAGGCAAACATGAAAAAGAAGAATTACAGTATTAAAATTTTAAAAACAATGTCCTTAATCTTTCATTGAATATAAAATGAACGATTAATCATTTTTAAAAGGTGCATATAATATTTTATAAATACTGTTGGTGACAGACTTAAATAAATTAACATTTTATTTGCTGATATCAAACTGATTAAAATTGCATCTAGGCCCCAAAAAAAATCATGCAAAACCTTGGGCTCAATATTTTGTAAGCATCAAAAATATATCAACTGAATAGAAGAATAATTCTGGATAGCCCCTTGATTCCGATGTTTGGGACCTAAATGCTTAACGCTTATTGTGGAAAATACCATTACCTTCTCTGCTCCTGTTCTGGTGAAAGCAATTCCATAAATGTTGCTAGCTTATGAGACGCTAATCTATTAGCAAAATAAAAAAGTCAGTGAACAAGTTCGGAAATTTAACAAGGGGCTATCCTTAATGTTTATTGTATTATGTATATGCATTCTGCAAGGAACCATTATGAAAGTTTCTTTTATTATTTGTAATTTAATATAATTTGCATAGCTAGTACAAGAGAGATTTAATTATACCATTTTACTGGATTGATGATGCTACATAATGAAACTTTGTTGGTTCAAACTCATCATTGGCATATAATACAAATTTGTCAAAAACAAAAACAAAAAAAAACATAATTATGTACTTAATGTGTAAGTTAATGTTTACCTCGAAGGCCTTACAACAACTATGTGACTCGTTTCAAATTTTCCTTGTAGAATGGTTGCCATATTTTCAAGATTCCATTTGACATAGCTTTTGTTATCTCGGTGTGACTCCATGTTCTCTGGAAAATCCTAGAAAATTTTGTATTATAAGATAACATGTTTAGCAAATCCATATGACAAATCTACCTGGACATCACCTCCAAAATAAATGACCACAGAATCTGCTGGAATCATTTTTGGATAAAGGTAAACAACATCGTTGGTCCTGCCCTGATAGCCACTGACTCTAGCCAAACGGACAGGAATCGTCATTGTATATTCCAAGGCTGGAAATATATTTTAAACATTCAATGTACAATGATAAATGATATTACAATTTTTGTAGCCTCTTTTAGTATAAATCTTCAAACAAATATATTTGTCAAGTATCAATATTTGAAAATGATATGCCAATGATGAATGCTAATTAAAACATTCAAATCAAAGTAAAAATAATGTTTAAAAAATAAATAACTAGATAGCTGATATTTTATTGTTTGTTAATAAAATATGCAAATGTCTGAAATGAAGACATAAAAGTATTTTAAATATAAAGTATATTGAAATCAATACATAATTAGCTGATTATTTATATTTTAAAAACAAAACCGACCACCATCAATGTTTTGTTTACATTTGAAATATCTGTTTTAGACTAGGAATTTGAATTTAAATAAAAAAGTAAATAAACTGGAAGAACCCAATGCATGAAGGGTTTTTTTTTTTTTTTTGCGGTGTTAAGAAAGCCTTATGTTATATATATTTAGCCTTATATTGATAAAGTTATAAATTAGTTTAATAAATGTACAATGATTTTGTTTAACCACATTTTAAGTTAGGTTCACACAAATTTGTAATCCACTTTATTTTTCAAACAAATTAACAGTTTGAAATTCTACAGTCAATTTGCACAGTAAAAACAGTAGATAACCAATTGTCAAAATGTATAAAATTTATTGCTTAAATCATCAATCAGCATCAGGAACAGTTTAAGAGAAATGGGTTATGACAATATTTAATCTAATTTAATTCATAATAACAATGTAAAAAGGTAAATTTGCAGTTTCTAAAAATACTTACAACTATACAATTCACACTTTTGAATAACTGGCATAAAATAGTGTACTTGTCAGTGGCTGATGACACATCATGGGTTCACCAGGAAGGATGCAAACCTAAAAACAATTAATATGTAATATCATTGTACACAAACATTTCAAAACTAAACAAGACATGAGCATTTCTCTCAGCTTTTTACATGTCAACATTTTTGTTAAAAATACAAACTGTTGATTTTGAATGTCCTGTCTATGCGTATGAAAGACTAGTTCTTAAAATAAATTGGAAGGTTGATGTGATATGCCTCTTTGTAGCCTTAAGCCAAACACAAAATTGCATATTCTTATCATTTCAATTTGTTAGTAATCAAAATTACAATTTTTCTACGTAAAAGGTGCATCAAACAGCTTAGTACTAGGTTAATACTGTTTAGTATTCAATAGGTTTGTTTTCATTAACTTTTTAACTTAATGAATAGAAAATAATGTATGTCATAAAGTGACAGCCATACCCAAGAACTAAACAAAAACACTTGTTTGCATCTATCCTACTAATGCAAACATTGAAAAGGTTTTTCTCCCTGAACAATGTGATTATTATGTGAACTTGTGCACTTGAACTTGAAATGTTGAGGGTAATTAAAGTACTTTTTTTAAGAAAATGGTGCCAATTTTAGTAAAATTTAAAAATAATTTAAAAGAAAAAGTGATATTTCAATTAATTTGTGAAATGGGTTATAGTTTTAAAGTATAATTACCGTTCAAATTATAATGTAAATAAATTGTTTTAATGAAAAAGGCAGATGTCAGTAAAACAAAAAGAGAAAATGTAGCAACTGGAATAATAAGTAAAAAATTATAATTTAAACAATTAGTTCAACTAGCAATAATTTGCAATTTAATGAAGGTTTGGGGAAGGTTTAAATTATTGTTAAAATAAATCAAATCATTTATATTTATAAAAAAGATTTTAGTTCATTTTAGATTTATCATACATTATTATGTCTAATTTTTTGTCCATTCTTGTAAATCTACACAACAGTAAATACTCATGATTATGCAGTGTTGCTTAACAATACGGTTACACAATTACTTAATGTATGTTTTAATGGCAGTTTAAAACGTTTACCCTTTATAATCTGTCCATATAAAGGAATTATATACATAGAAATAAAAAAACAAAACAGTGATTCATAAAAATAAACAATTCACTTCAACATTTATTAAACATAATTCTCTATCTTAAGTGTATATATGAGAATATAAGTATAATGTAATAAATAAAATATATAATATGTTCCAAATGTTAATAGTAATCGAAAAATAGGAAATATTTGACACATTATACAGAAACTGTTGAAAAAGTTTAAATTTACTCTTAAAATTGCTAACTGTATGTATTAAAGCTAGAAAGCTATAATGTGAGGCATGAATGATTTCAGTACATAGATGGTAGCTAATTAATAAAAAAAAGATCAAGAATTACAACTAGATAGTATAATGTTTAAAAAACATCATGTAAATCAAAGGCAAGTGTAAAAGAAAGAAAAAATGTGGGCTATTTTTAACTTTGGCCCTTATCCAATACACAGATTCTGACTTAGTTATATTTAAATTTATATTAATTAATTCAAACTTGGAATGCACATTGTCTTGAAAAAATAGCAAAAACCAAGAAAATACTAGTTCCTTGAATGCCTGGTACGTTTACCATGAGTTTTTTGTTTTCTCTTATAAGCATCGATTGCTTTCAACTGTAAAAATTCAAAACAAATAGTGATCCTATTTCTAAAATCATGCATTTTCACTTTGATGACCTCTTTCATCAGATTGTAACACATTGCAACTAAACCCATTCCAATCAAAAGATAAATGAAATTTATGACAAGTTTTGTCTGATGGCCACTTTCCGATTCATGTATATTTGCACCTGGAACAAAATCACCAATTCCAATTTTGCACAAGGAGGTCACACAGAAGTATGTACTGTCTAGGTAATCCCAGTTTTCCCATTCTGCAAACATAATGGTCCCAGTCGCAATGTAAGCACCGAGTACCCAGAGGCAAGCTGTGGGGGGTACGACAACTCTCGCAGGCTGATTACCTTCCCTCTGCAATTCTAAACTGCACCTATAACACTTGGTGTAAAACCACTTAAAGGCTGAAGCGAGGACTTGTCCCATGTTCATGAAGTACAAGACGTAAAGAGGAATTCCAAATATAGCGTAAACAACTGTAGCCGCTTTACCAGATTTTGTCTTGGGAACCAGATTTCCATATCCAATCATAGTGAAAACTGAAAGACAAAACATCAATGCTGCTGGGAAAGACCAAATTTCTTCTGATGGTCGCTCATCATAGCCTTTTTTTACTGCTTGAGCGAAACCGAACTGGAAGTCTTTAATTATACCCGAAGCCCTTTCCAACCATCTTGTTTTATTGAAAACGTTCTCCTCATTGAGCAGTTTCCAAAGTTCTTCAACACAGTCCCTCCTTAGAGTCTCCACCTGTTCTGCTTCGGACCTTTCATGTTTTCCTTCGATAGAAATAAATGTAAATGCACCGACAATGGAATAGCCTACTATTAGACCTCCCACACCCACTTGAGTACACATAAATGTTATTAATTTCCTACAACATCTTCGTATCTTAAAACCAGGGTCATGATTGCTACCGACACTAGATAAAGAAGCATGGCTCCTGACAGAGCCATGGTGTCTAGACGACATCTCATCACACACTGAGAAGAGGGAATTTAACAATCTAAAAATATCACACTTACCCCTCCACCAGTCTCTCAACCACCAAATTTCAAACCAGCATCAATTAGACATTTAAATAGATGAAAGAATAAACAAGGAAAACCAAGTTATATTAAAAGCAATCTGTTGTATATAACCACATATAAAATAAGGATAAGAAGAATTTATTTTATCATGACATTTGTACGTATGAAGAGGTAGAAGTTACAGGGAGAAGCAGGGATTATAAATTACAAGTTTATTTAACACAAACAGTTAAACTTTTCAACCCATCACTACAACAACCAAATGTCTGATGTCCGAACCACTCGGCATTCCCCACATCCAGAATTTAATGTGTAACATGTATACACATTTTATTCTGTATATAACAAAGACGGTTTACATCAGACGAACCTCATAATTACTTCTTTACAAAAAATAGTAAAAAATAAACTCTTTTAATATTGTTTTTATCATTCAGTTTAATATAATGAATAAGATACAGCTTATATTAAACAAAAATAATTATTAATATAGCTGTATATTTACATGCATAAATATAACAGATCAGTTATAGAGAATATTAGAAATTACTATATATAGCCAAATATTTTATCAAAATAAATATTCAGTTCATTTTAGAAAATGTTTGTATTTTATATGATATAATAAATGATACATAATTATAAATACATTTATTAATATGATTTTTTCTGGGGAACACAAACAATATGATTCAGTATCAATAAACATATAAATCTTGTACCTTATTAATATATGTATTTTGCATTGGGATACTTTTTAACCATAGAATTTTATCGAAAAGGTTATATCAGCTTTAAACCAATTCTAGAAAGTATACCAATTGTTAATTTTTTGTACAAAAAATATATTATTTTGCAATTTTAAAACAATTATGTACAAAATACATGATTGTTTAAGTTATTTATTGCTTTTCTCATGTGATATTTCCTCATGGGGTCTGTAGGGTGATGAAAGTGTAGTTTGGTTGTTTCAGTCATCTGTCTGCCTATCCTTAATATTTTCATTTGTAAGACGTGTTTTAGTTTGTCACCGTCAAGGAAAGACAGACTAAAACATTAGACAAGATCAAGCTAACATAAAGTTTTTTGAAAGTGCAGATTTCAAAGAAGAAATGTCCAAAATAACATTTTTTGCTTAATAATCGAAATATGTGGCAGTTTTAGTGAGTGAACTAGCCCTAGCTGCATTATACAATAAATACGTTTAGTCCTTCATTATTTAAAAAAAAAATTATGGTGTTTATGTTCTTTTTCAGTAATCAACTCTCAAACTGGAAATTGTAAATGGTTACCAATTTTGCAAGCTGACTTGTGATCCCTACACTTGTTATTCTGAGAAATGAAATTGTTATATGATAATATGATTTAACACAAAGCGTAGTAACTGGAGTAATTAGAGTGAAGTTAGTGTAAAGCCGAAATGAGTCAGGCATATCAAAACATTAAAGATCAAAATAATTGTAAACAACCAAACAACTGTTCAGGTATATTCATTGTAAATTAATTGGTTCAGATCAAAAATTAAATGTCTATTCAAAAACGTAGGTAAGTTCTGATGGGTCAATAAATTATTGTTGGTACTGTTAGACAGGGGCAATGGTGGCTGCAATGGCATGGCTCTCATCACTGTAAGGTACAGGTCCCAGATTCGAATCCAAGAGCCCTGCATTTGAATCCGATATTCTAAAAATAGGATTTTTTTCAAAAAAACTCCGGCACCTGAAGGGTTCATTTAACCTCGTAGTTGAAATACCCTCGTAAAAAAAAGTTAGTCCTTATTCATAGAATTCCTTTTCCTATTTGAGGAAAATATAAATTTAACATATTGATTTCTGCTGATACAATCAATAAATGCTGAATGAAAATACAGTTCTCTTCAGTAAAACAATTTTTTATATCCCCATTGTGCCCAATATAGCAAAACCTGTCGTTTATTATACATGTTACAAGTTATTCCTAAAATATCATTGTATTTAATTATTCAGAAATCGTGAGCGATTTCTGAATAATTATCGATTAACGGTCACTAATCACCACACATTGTATTTAATGAGGCATGTTAAAAAAATATAAACCAATAATATGCTACTCGTTTATTATAAATAGTGGGTACTCTTACCTGACTTATCCAGTGTTGATTAAATAAACAAATTACAGTAAGGCTTTAGAACTTTAAATAAATATGATCTTAGAAATTATAGAAAAATAAAATATAAATAATGGTAGCAAAACAGTTTTTAAAACACTGATTGCATTTAAAACTTCGAATGCAATCCTGTTATGAAAGACACAACATATATCTATTAAAAGAGTAATACATGAAAATATGAGTAATATGTTGGGTAGGAAAAAAATGTTACAGGGCCGCTTAAATCATGTGAAAAGATGAACAAGGAGTCGACCTAATCATCAACCAGTACTATGCTTGTCAAATTTATAACCGTGTGAATGTTGCAAACTATTCATTTCGCCATCGTGTCAGAGAATGCCTCAACACTATATTATCAGATAACAATTTTCGTCATTTGTTGTAAACAATATTTTTAAAACACCATTTAAAAACGTACAAAATGTATACTCTTTTACAATAATTAATACTTGTTACAACGTCAATGTTAAAAATTGAACGATCACATCATCGGTAACAGTATTTTTCTACTATTTCAAGCACATACCTATGAGTTCAGGTACCAATAATAACCGAATTAATAATAACAGCAAAACTATTTTCAACAAGTGCATAATAATGAAAATATTTTACATAAATGAATTATTGCCAGGTTCATTATGTACCAAAAAATGGAGATTATTATTATTATTATTTTAATGAATGGTATGTGTGAGAAGGCAGAATGTTCAAATTAATTATCCCGCAGATGAACAGTAACACTAACGTAAAAGAGCTTTAATATTATTTTTATTATCCTTCATGCAAATTTAGCCTGTACTTAAAAAAGGTAATCTTTTCTATAAAAATAAATTGTATTGAAAAATGTTAACAATAAACCTACAAACAAAAATAAATTAATTAGAATAATTCGTCTTCGATTTCCTATATCTTCTTTAGTAGAATACTTCCAATTTTATGCAATTCCATATTATTTAATATATTACATTTATTAATTTGTTCTCGTTAAATTAATAACTATAATCTTCCAGCACTAGCTGACAGAAAGCGTTATTTTTTTATATTTATTGTTTCTTTACAATATACAATGGACGATTTCATCTCATATCATTTCATGTATTACTTTCAATGTCCCAATAAATATCTATTTCAACAACTTAAAATTTATCCTCTGTCTCGTCAGACTATAGGGTGGCTAAACGATAATTTTCTTTTGATCAAATTAGTGGGATAGTTCTTATCTTCACATGTTTATTCTTTATACATGTTCGTTAGAATTAAACTATATTTAAAGACAACTGGACCTGCCAAAAAGATACGTTGTAGCTTCTTCATATTTTTGATATAAGAAGTTTTTGATTAAATTTAAAACCAGTACCGTTAACGCAAAAATCTAGGTGTTCATTTCTGAAAACTTGCAGACAACCACACTAAATCAACAATTACTGTACAACAATTAAAAGTAACTGACTTCTAAGGTGCGATAGTGTCATATTTGTTTCGTGTAAAAGTTTTGTGACAAATTTGTCCAAAATTAGCACCAAACTTTATGCCCTGAAGATGACCCGCATAAAGGTCGAAACATGGGTAAAAAATGAAAAAGTTGTTTTTCTAAAATACTTCATTCTTGTACGCTTTTCATGATTTCAACAGAATGTTTTTTAAAAAATCAACGCCAAACAAAGCAAATATGATAATTATTTATTAATTATGATTATTTGTGAATAATTAAATAAAAATTAAGTTTTTACTGATAAATTCGTATTATAAATAAAGTAAAAGAAATCTAGTTTGTTTTCGATTTTTGAGTTAGTAATCCCTGTACATGACGCAAATTTACTTCCAAAGACCAATTTTCTTTTTGCGACAATGTGCGAACGTCTATGTCTGTCACGGTGGAGTAGGTTATACTTTATACGCACAGTTACACTAGCGTGCTGTGGTTTGTGATATTTGGATGTAGGTTGTTATTGAGCAATTAACAATATTAGCACACTTCTCCTGTTAGGTTGATAGTTTCATTTTATGATTGACAGTCTCGTACTCTTTTAATATATTTTTCTCTCTCCAAATATTAGGTTGCAAAACCATTGTAGCTAAAGCAGTATAAATTGTATTTTATTAACTGCACTTGATAAGTGTACTGAATTACGAAGCATATATATTACATTCTAGTGCGAATTAACAATGAGTGAAATTGCAAAGGACATGATAGTACAATACATTTTAATCCGAGGTGATTTGTTAAGAGTATTGAAATGGCCGTTTGGGGCTGTCATTGCACAGGCATGCCACGGCTGTACAGCAGTTACCCATTTATACTATGATGATGAATATACTCAGGAATATTTAAAAGATATCAATAATATGCATAAAATTGTTTTAGAGGTTTGTCCTTTGCTACATTACCACCTTCTTTACTGCTGATTATTTCATTCAATATTTCCTGAATATTTCAGGTCCCTGATGAAAATGCAATAAACGACTTGGCACACTATTTGGAGAAGAACCATATCAAACACAAACTTTGGATGGAACAACCAGAAAACATACCGACTTGCTTGATTGTCAAACCATATCCAAAATCTCTTGTTCAGAGTTATTTTAAGAAATTAAAATTGTTTAAAGGCAATATGGAATAAATATCTTAGTAGTTGGTTTTATTGTTTCCTATTCTCAGAACTAACATTGTTGCCTCCTTCAGTGCCATTTCTATACCCACTTCAGTACTTCATTAGTGCTGTCATTAATCCAATAGGGATTACCCCTGTTGGGCCCCTACTGTAGATGGATATATTAAAACTAAAATTTTAGAAAAAAAATAAAAATAAATAATGCCACATTAATTATATAACAACTATTTTTATAAGACAAAATTTATTGAAAAAAAAAATCTATTAAAATATATGATTGTACCAGGGACGATAATATCTGATCACCATGGTCAGAAGAGTTAACAAAAAGAATATGAAATGGCATACAAACCCAGGGTCTGTTTACGCTAAGATTATGAATATTCTATTTATTGACAGATGTGTATATTTCGAAAAGTTTGTCGTATTGTAAATAATGTAATTGTATGTAGGAATATATTAATATTGAATCAACATTGTCATTTGATGTGAGGAGCAGTCAGGAATGAAGTATTTTATAAAAATGCCTTTTTTTTTGACAAGGTTTGACCTTTATTTGGGTTATCTTCAGGGTGAATTAAAAACAATGTAATTATAACTACAAAAAATAGTAATACCAGACAAAAAATATTATTTTTAAAAACTAATTCTAATATAAATTACATAAACTCTTATAGGACTCGTAACTGGGTATTTACCCATATAAATAAGTAAATTTCAAAACATATTTTGATTGGATGTTTTGGATTTTGCCCAGGCGCTGACGATGACCCAAATAGAGGTCGAAACATCATTGAGGGAACTTCTTCAACAAATTTTTGTCATTTGATGTTGATCTATTTTCTATATTGTTGACTGTGATAAATATAATAATTGAAAATGTTAATTTCATACGTTATTTGATGGAAAATATCCTAAATTCCACATTATTTGTAATGTCAGGTATATTTTATGTCCATTCTACCCAAATTCATCCGTTTATTAGCTGCCCTTCCGCATTTTCAGGCCGGAGGTATAATGGCCAACACTTGAATTGAATTAATTTTTCTCAATTTTTTCTGATTATTTCGTAGCAATTTTTGTTTGCCTTACATAATCAAGAAACCCATAATTTTTAGCTGTTGTTTTAATGCTGTTGTGTAAATTGTCAAAGTTGTTAACAGTCGGTTCATACTTGTCCTCTAATGTTTTGATTAATGACTGTTGCCTATTTACAAATTTAACTTAAAAAACAAAAACGTGTCTGTTTTTATGTAATTATATAAATCAAATGCACGTTTTGAGCTAGGTTTTGTCAACGTTACGTCTGAATTTTCAAAAGGAATAAAGTAGTGTTGTTTTTATGTCCGCGACGGCCCCGCTATTCCTAGAGGTTATATCTTTTTTCAAGCAAAACCTTCAACATGTTGGTATTTCTTTGTAAAGTGCTCCACGGTTTTTGCACTTAAAATCGACATTTCCGTTAGCAAGAGAGTGTCACGATATAATGTGGAGAACAAAATAGCCAAGTTTATTCGAATAGGCTCTAGGATAAACTCTGCTGATTAACAGAGTGGAAGACAATTACCTGAGAGGATGTCCACTCACAAGTCGAGTGGACAGACGGAAAGAAAAAAAGTACAGGTATGTGTCACTTTTGGCATTTCCAGCCGGTATCTGTATAGTTATGTAGCTTAATTAGGTAAAGTTTTTTTCAGCATTACTGTCTCATTTTCAATGCCGGTTAACGATCGTTTTGAAACTACTCATTTTCAGGGTGTGTTGCGTGAAACTTGACGTTTACACACTAATTACACGTCATTTATTGGCCTATTTGACTAAAAGCTGGATTGTATACTTGATTTATTTTCATCTTCAAGTTTGTCAAATTTGTATAGGACGGACAGAATAGATTATTAAAGTATAAATGGTTATGGTGGAGTGAGTATAAATAGGAGAAAGAGCACTTGTAGACAACTTTCATATTCTGATATTCCAGTTTCATTTCGAGTTTTGAAATCTGGTTCATTGAAAAACCATTTTTTGATTAGAACCATCCTTTTAAAATTTTTAGAATATATTGTGATACGCCTTTCATTCAAGATCTAGATAAAAATATTTTTGGGAAGAGGCGTCCACTTCTGCCCCTCGACCTGAGTAGTTGCACTGTGCTCCTCTGTTCTTCTCTTCTTTTTTTTTTTTGATAACTTACTGGCCAGCTTCAGGTTGTTAATCAAACCCAATAGTCGAAATTATAAATGATGGGGTGAGTGTGGAGTTCAATTCTTTTAAAAAAAGATTGAATCCTATAGTCTTTTTTATGACTCACTGGCCAGTTTCAGGTTGTTAATCAAACCCTATAGACTTGTCAGCGCCTCCTAAGTGTAGTATCTGACTTGCAGCTCTTCCTCTCCTTGTTTCAAGAATCTGCACCTACAAAGACCTCCACAAAACATAAAAAGTGTTCTGCGGTCTCCTCCTCCTCTTGGCAGTAACTGCACACTGTTTCTTCTGTCTGTACTCCCTGTCAGGAGTCCAACTATAACGGGTTACGTTCCAGTAATTTCTTTATAAGTTTCTTGTAGCCGAATCTCTTTTTATGCCTCTGGGGGTATTGTTTCACCAGATTTTGCACGCATTAAGGATTCATTTTAAGATTTATTATATTTAGTGGTAAGATGCTAGGCCACAGTAGGGTTTGGGACCTAGAGAGTTCATGTTGGCTCCCTCTTTGGCCAACAAGTCAGCCTTTTCATTGCCTCTGTTCCCCTAATGGCCTCCATGCAGTTTCAAACACTCTTTGCCTTCACCTCGCTTGAGGCTAGGACTTTTAGTGCTGCCTGACTGACAGAGAAGATGGCTTACTTCTAGGAATGTACTCCTAGCCTTTTTATTTCCCTGGCACAGTGCTCAATCACTTTGATTCCATACTAGAAAACCTGTAGCATAATTACCTAAGTTAACAGTCAGTTAATTTTTTTTATTTAACCCAAAGACTCCAGCCCATATTTCTGGTAAGAACATTGTTAATCATTATGTACTTTGGGGTAAAATCCAAATTCATTAATGAATAAATCTAACCCTCCCTAATGAATAGTTTTAATAACATGTTATCAAAATGATGGTGAGCCAATAAATTTTATATTAATATCAAATTTGATGAATCAGTGTTATTGAAATCATTGGATCGTCTTGTTTTAACAACAAAGCATTGGTTTGTTCAATATTGAAATATTAAAAATCTGGATAACTGCGAAAAAGATTTATTTAAATATTTCATTCATATTTCAGAAAGTAGAAATATCGTTTTCAACTATTGACAATCTACAACTGTTGAATGTGCTGATAATACGTATATCGAGTTTGATTTTGCAGCTATTAAAGCATGTATATTGTTTCCAAGCTGTGCACTTGTATCTAATCTAGGCTTCCTTAAAATAAAAATTTCCCTTATCCTTTTATTTATCTGTTGAAACTTATTTAACTTTCGTTATACAAAATAATGCCTGATAAACTTGTTTGAATTTGGTTATGTATGTCATTATTTCGAAGTGGAAATATATAAATTATTCTATTATTACAGAAAAATAGCTAAAATAAACTGTGTAAATAAATTGTAAATAATGTGTTAATATCTTATTAAGTTATAAAACAAAATGAATTGATAATTACTACTCTTACCTTGATTAATTACTCAATATTGTGGTCTTAACTTGACAGCATTGGTTTAACTGTCAAAATACACAGTGAAAAGAATCAACGCACCTCCTTAACATTTCTAATTTATTAAGGTTCATTCAAATGTTACACAACAAATATAATTTTGGTTATAAAAACTAGTAATTTAAACATAAAATTCTATAATACTGGGTGAACCGGAAAACACTGCAGGTTTTCATGTTTTCTTTCTATTACCCCTCTATATAATAAACTGTTTACATTTGATGGATTATTCTTTTGTATGAATGTCAACATTTTCTAATCCTCTTCCATACAAAACAAACATAAATGTTTGTTTCCGTCAGCTCAGTTCTGACTGAAATAATTCAGTCTTTACTAAGATTTCAACACATTTCAGCACTTGGAAAGATGAAAAAGCTGTAAAGCTGAGTTACTTGTGCATTAAAAAACCACAAAAATAAAAACAAAAAATAAATAAATAAAAAACATTGTTATGAAGTTTGTGCAACCCTTCTTGGCTGAAACAGAAACAAACCTTTTCTGGATAGAATTGTTACTTGCAGTGAAAAGTGGATTCTCTATGATAAAAGCAGATGTTATTGACAGTGGCTCGAGAAAGGAGAAGCAGCATTTTCTACTGAATATTTCTCTCTCTCTCTCTCTCTCTCTCTCTCTCTCTCTCTCTCTCTCTCTCTTTCTCTTTCTCTTTCTCTTTCTCACTCTCCCTCTCTTTCATAAATTTGTTTATTAAATTTTGTAGGTATCGTTTGTAATTAGAGATGAAGTTGAAAAACAACACAGGGCAGGAATCAATTCATTGCAGTATGACCCACACGTTCAAAAGCTTTACTCAGCAGGTCGAGACAGTATTATCAGGACATGGAACACAAAGTCATGCAGAGAACAGTATATACAATCAATGGAGCATCACACGGATTGGGTTAATGATATTGTACTCTGTTGTGGTGGTCGAAATTGTGAGATATCTTTATAAATTGTTTGTGAATTGTTATTAATGATATTATTTTAGTAATTTCAGCAAGCTCAGACACAACGGTGAAAGTGTGGAATGCTCACAAAGGGTTCTGCATGTCAACATTACGAACTCATAAAGACTATGTCAGGGCCTTGGCATATGCAAAAGATATTGAGCAGGTTGCCTCTGCAGGCTTGGATAGATCAATTTTTCTCTGGGATGTAAATACGTTAACTACACTCACAGCTAGTAACAATACTGTTACAAGTATGTCCTTTCACTAGGGATTTCTAAATATGTAGTATTTTTAACAATTATTTATTTTTTTAGCCTCTTCTATCTCGGGGAGTAAAAATTCAATTTATAGTCTTGCCATGAACCCTTCTGGTAGTGTTATCATTAGTGGTAGCACAGAGAAAGTGTTAAGAGTATGGGATCCTCGTTCCTGTACCAAGCAAATGAAACTTATAGGTAATAAAGATAAATGTATATATTAACTATAATAACTATTTAGTACTATTTTATATATACAGTTAAATCCCGATATATTATATTCAAGGGGACAAAGGATAAGTTCAATATATGCCATGTTCACTACATCAAAATTATGGTATATCAAGGGTAAAAACGTAAAAATATTTTACATCGAAAGTTTTACTTTTTTACTGTACTGTACATACTTATATATGTAAAGAAAATTGTGTGTGACATGAGATGCCATCTGAAGGGGGCATGAATTTCATTTTCCGGTTCCATGGCTGATATATCCTCCTTTAGGAAATCACAAGTTCTGAAGCAATTTTATTGTGGTTTTTCCATGTTTGTCAGCAATATTGATTGTAGGAAGCAATGTGGTTGATATTGTGTCAGTGGTATAACAAACAAAATCCTGAAAACACTCACCACTGTGGTCACAATAGACCACAAAGGTCTACGTGATATGAAGCTCAGCCCATCCTTGTAAGTAAACCCCTACCACTCTATTCATATGTTTAATCGGGATTTTAATGCTAAAATACAAATTATAGACGTTTTGACAGCCTTGAAGTTGGAAACAAATACGTTACATCGAGGGGACTGAAATGCATCGGTTTTACACAATTTAACAAGATTTTTCAAGGGACCAGCACTTCCTTACAATATTTGGGATACTAAATATCGAGATTTTACTGTATATATATAATTATTAGCAACTGTGTATTAGAATTTGTTTTTGACTAACCATTTACTTATGTATATATTATATATTTGAAGGTCATGCTGATAACGTCAAAGCTTTAGTGATAAATAGAGATGGAACACAGTGTCTTTCTGGTAGTTCTGATGGTACAATAAAATTATGGTCTCTGGGTCAACAACAATGTATTCAAACTATAAGAATGCATATCGAAGGAGTTTGGGCTCTTCTTGTGAGTATTAAAATCAAGCTGTAGTAATCAATAAATATTAAAAGTATTTTCATGAATAAAATAGAACATATTTTAAAATCACTTATTAACACGTTGGCTGTGGATGCAAACACGATTTGATTCAAGTTTCTCTTGTACCACCAATTATGTAGTAACCAGCAAGGTAATTCTTTCTTTGCTGTTCCCCCGTGACACTTTTCGTTTTTAAATGTTAAGGTCTGGTCAGGAGACATTTACATAATAGACAGGTCTCAATATCAAATATTGCAAGGTGCGTAATTGTCAAAAGAGTCCATAACTCATCTTCCCGTTTAGCACATATGCTCTCATCGACACTCATGTTTTCTCTGCATATTGTTTTAAAAGAAATATCATGTCGACATTGGAAATTTGTGAGCTAGTTGTACTGCTTTGGCTTTTAATAAATCCCCTCCCCAGATAGGTAAAATTTGCACTCTATATTGTCTGAGCCATGTAATTAAAGAATCCTCAAGATATGATGTTTGTTGATCAACCTGCAGATAATCTATCGTAGAGGTCATTAGACTGGTGAAAAAAAGAAGTTAATTGCTGGATTCACCGAGCTTTTGGCACCTTATAGTGCCATCAACAGGGCCTATTTTATTACAAATTAAAGTACTTATTACTGTGTATACTTATGCACTTGTTACTGTATATTTATTTTAATTTGTAATAAAATAGGCCTTGATGATGGCACTATAGGGTGCCGAAAGCTCGGTGAACCCAGAAATCAGTCTTCTTTTTTCACCTGTCCAATGACTTCTATGAAGATTGGAACCCTACATTGAATCCTCTAGAAGTGGGAACTCACAGTCTCTGACTCGCTTTTGATTTTCTTACTTAGCAAAATTCTCTCTTTTTTCTTCAGAATTGTTGACATTGTAGATGGTGGAATATTTACATTTTTGTGACATACTTTTTTTTAAACCACTTTCCACAGTAGCGATAATTTTTTTTGTCCATAGAATGAGATGCGTATTTTTTGTTTGTATTCAGTGCTGAATATAACAAACTAGAGAGAATTGAGAAAGATAAACTTTTGGCTGGTTGGAATCCGTGAGAAAAGTTTGAATTATATAATGTTCTTTCTCCTCCTGTCACGAAAAATATTTTGTATTGCCAAGTGTATCCAAATACCCAGAATTTTTTTGATTTACCAAAGTGACCAGATAAGGAGTTGGAATTATCAAGAAATTAGTATTATCAAATTTCAAATTAACAAGAGTCAACTGTATTTTACAGGAGAATACTTATAATAATACAGAGAATAATTATAATGCAACAAGAAAAACAAATAGCTCTACACTTAGTAATAACAAAATTGCACTATTTAGTTCATATCTCCCAGTACAGCTCTAATTATGGAACTATATGACAGGTAGATAAAAGCACTGTCTTCTGCATCTGTGCAATAAGCCCCCTGAGACCAGTTGTGGTTTCCACTCTGTTCATTTGCCATTACACCTTGATCTATACTAACAATCCAAAATAAGTTTATTTTTTTCTCCGTGTATGAGGCCATTAAGTTGGTGGTATTGGGAACTGCCATATCCATAGTATGGGTGGACGTTTTTATCTACACTCACCATGTCTGGGTGGTTGTGTTGAACCAGCCTTTCAGATAATATTGTCTTGTTCCGATATATGGTATGGTGATCATTTTCAAGGACTGTGGCCACTGAAATTTTACAGTAGGGGTCCTGTCCTTGATTAGACCTTTTTCCCCCCTCAATGCCTGATGGCGAGATTATGCCAGTAAACCAATAGATTAATTCAAAACATATTATACAATAAAATTAATATTTTGAGTATTGTAAATTAATTCATTTCTTGTGGTAATGGTTTTTTGGATTTGTCTTTACGTTGTACACACACGTGTGGAATTGAGCCTTCATTTCTCACAGTCCAACGTCAACTCAGGTGTAAGGAGTCCAGGATCAGACCTCGGTCTTATCCATCTGGCCACCAAGGTTTGGCTCTGACTGCTGTCAACTGCTAGGTCAATTCAGCACCCACTGCATGCAGTTCCTAGATCCAAACTCATTCACAATTTCACTCATTCTTGAATACATTTTTTCTTATTTACATTCCATTTACTCAATTATAGAGTGGTTGAGTACTTGATTCCTTTTAACATTTATTATAAATCATTATAAATTCTGTTTACTACTGTTTTGCAGTACAGTACATGGACTTTTATGTTTGTAAGTAGTTTAATTCACCAAAGAACTGATTTTTAGGCTTCAGAAAATTTTACACAAGTAGCTTCTGGTGGTCGAGACAAAAGAATTTATTTAACTGACTTAAGAACATTCCGGTCAACTTTGTTGTGTGAAGAATATGCTCCCATACTTAAAATGGCTTCTACAGCGGATTTCTCAGGTCTCTGGGCTGCTACAAGTTCATCATCAATTAATTATTGGGTAATATTAATTATCATGACCAAGGTTAAGGATGTAAAACTAAATATAATTGTATTTCAGCCTATACCTAAGAGAGATTCAGTTATTGTAGATGTAAGTCTTGATGATGATAATGACATCGGGCGACCTATATGTACCCGACCTGAGCAAACGATTAAAGGTGGCCCTGCACTTAAAAAATTCCATATTCTAAATGACAAACGTCATGTTTTGACACAAGACACTGAAAACAACGTATCTGTTTTTGATATTTTAAAGGTTTATTATTATTATTATTTCATTTGTTAAACTGTATTTATAAAAGACATTTTTTATTTCACAGGCCAGAAAAGTAGAAGATTTAGGAAAAGTCAATTTCGAAGAAGCAATCAAAGAAAGGTTTAAAATGGTGTATGTTCCTAGTTGGTTTAATGTCGACCTTAAAACTGGGGTAAGTATTGTGTAGTGCATTTTCAAGGTTATTAAAAAAATAACAATTTGATATTAAACTTTTGAATATACCAAATTTATTGGTGGAAAACTTTTAATCATAACAATTAGAATAAATGAAAATTTATTACAATGAATTACTTTAAATTAATTTGTATTACTTCACACATTGTGAGTTACAGATTCAATGAGTAACTTTTAATTTCTTACTACTGCCTGTTAGTTCTAATAGGCTTGATCAAGCTTTTGAAACTTGGTTGGGGATGGGCAAATTTTACCCCACAGACCAATCAATATTGCTACACTTGAGAACAATATAACTATACATATAAACTTTTTCCCCATATGATGAAACACTATAAAATGATAGCATTGTTTGGAATAGCATATAAATGTAGCAGCAATTCCACATTCCATTTTTAGCACAACTATGAAACATGGGCTTCTTGTTTACATCCTTTATTATTATTACTTTAACCATTAAACCATTTTTTGTAGTCATTCTTCCAGAAGTATTTAATTAGGAAGTCTAGCCCAGTGAGTGTTGTGAAATTCAAGGCCGTCTTACATTATAGAAATGAGTTGCTGGGTCAATGGCTTAACCATTGTGGCCACCGTTAGCCCTGTGCTAATAGTATTACTAAAACTAGTTATAAAGCAGTATGCACATTTTAAAAGGGTCAGATATTTTGAGAGGTGCAAGCTACTTTTTTTTTTTTTTTAATTTTTTTTTTTGGCGGGGTTTGCTGTAGCAGTGGTTTTATCAACTGCTCCAGGGTGCCAGTGTTTCTTTGTTTAAAACAAAAGTTTTACAAGTGGGTTGGGTCCCAGGATCGTTAAGTGTTGAGTTGCCGTAAGGAAGCCATACATGTTCTATATTTGTTGTTAAACTGTATTTTTGAAAATAGTATTTTTTCAGTTTACTAGTATTAGTATTTTGAGTACTTAGTCACAATATCATTTGAATTCAAAGTTTAAATAGTTTTTCGGTGCTCCTGGATACCAAAAAATATTTTTTTAACCTGCTTAAGAGGGTTCAGTTTTTCCAAAATCATTTTTTAAAATTGTAAATAAAATGAAGCAGTATTTGTAAGGTGGTGTGGTTGTCCTAGAAAATATGCCTACCTTGTTAATAAATTACTAAAAAACAGCCTAACAAAACAAAAATATTATAACTATAATAATTTTGTAAACCATTATTAATCGCCTTCTCACATAATTTATAGCATCTTGACAATTTAACTCAGAATGATTTTTTTCTGTACTATAATGGTGGATACATATTGTTAACGAATAGATTTTGCACAGGTGCAAATATCAAAGTTCAGTATGAGGATTGTGGAAACATCAGTCCTCAAAATTGGGCTTTCATTTTGCAGTACCTCCCATACTTGGTTAATATTTATTGACACTAACTTATAGCAGCTTTGTGGAATCTTATCTATACTACAGCTAATGACTAGATGTTCTTTTATACTCATGCCTTATGAAATTACTAGATATAACTGAACGAAATAAATATCTGGGGTCCAGAAATTCTAATATTTATCAACAGGAAGCCCATAAGGCTTCGAAAAAGCATTAAATCAGAATTAATAGGTGCCTGATTGTTTTGTTCAAAGTAAAACTGTGCATAGAGGATTGCAGTAACCGAGTGGTCAGCGTGATAAACTCTCTGCTTGTTGACCCCGCGATTGCGAGTTCAATTTCCACTGCTGTCCTTGGCCCTTTTTTCCACACAACTCTTCCCCTTAACTGTATAGGATGAAATAATCAATGGAATTGTACTTGGCTAATATGCAAGCTCATAGTCATTAAAAAAACAAATAAATAAAATTAAAAAAACAACCAGAATAAATGTAGATGAAAAAGCAAAAGCATTGAAATATTTAATATATATATATTATTAATTACTATTGAACATGTATGGGTTAAAATATCGAAGCCCAATATTTTCATACAGTTTGTCAAGAAATATTGAATATATAAAGTCTGTTTTAACCTTGTGGCCCCTGTGCAAGCTAAATACTTAACCAAATTGTTCCAAAAAGTGTTTTTATTCAGCTACGTATACATTTTTGCTTTTCACTGAACCTGATGGTCAAAATATTTTCCATTCCATTTTTATTATTTTTTAAATCATTATTAATTGATCAATAGTTGGTGCACTATGCTTATTATTATATTTTTAAATTATTTATTTCACAAATTATTCATTACAGAATACTCATAAGAGGCAGCAATGCATAAGGCATCCTTAAGCTATGAATCGTACATTCTTATCTCTGGCTGTGTAAATTTAAAAAAAATATATATAGGAAGATAATTATTTCAAGATTCAGATGACAATTACCAAAGAAACATAACATTAATTAAAATTAAATCATTCTCTAATCAACAAATAATTTAGATATCTTAAGACTTTTCATTAATTTTTCATGTCCTTTACTAGATCAGCCGATAGAGTAGGTCTCAAGCTTTCCAAACATACCAAGCTCAGTTCCTTAGCTCTAATAGAAGCAAAATATTCAGATGTTCCAGACTTTTGTAACCGGTGTACAATGAAGCTGTCTTGGGGAAGATCTGTAAAAGGTAGTATCTATGGAAAACCATTACCCCTCTTGTTTTGAGGGCTTGTGGAGAATGCTCCCGCCTCAGGACCACCATCTTTCTGTAAATATTCTAATTATAACCAACAAATTGAGACAATTTTCAGTTTTATAATTTGTTCGTGTCGGTATATACATTGGAGGACTTTGATCTTTGGATATAGGTTTAGGCCCAAATTTGGAAAAACTAAAATTTCTTTTCAATGCCCAAACTAACTTACAGTTTCGGTCAAGGGGCTTTGTTATATAAGCTTCCAAGTATAACTTAAATACAGAACTGTTGCATTATTGGTTCAAATTTGCCAACAGAAATTACTGCAATTTTACTGAATAAAAGCAATATAAATTAGGAATAAGTTTAATGGATTTTTAATAAACAGTTCTTTTTGAATAGCAACAAATCTTTCTCATAAACAGCAATTTTATAAACTTGCATTTGCAACAATAGGGATTTATACTAAATACCCTTCAAAGATTAAAATGGATTTAGCTTTCCCCAACCACAAAAAAAAAGTTTCGTTTTTCCATACCTCAGAATAATGTATTTAAGAACAGATTGCAAATAGTTTCTTTGCATTCATAAAACTGAGAGATCGCTTTTATTTATTTGTTCTTCATAGATTTCTTGATATAATAATCAATCAATTACTTCTACATTTTTTTAAATATTGTTTGATATAGTTTTATTGTTACAACCTTTAAAGTATAAACATGTACTTGATGTACAATTTAATACTCATTTGCAGTCATTTGCTTCTATCTAGGAAAAAATCAATTGAAAAATTAATGAAAAGGAATTATTTAGTAGAATTACAAGCTAAATAAAATAATTTCAAAATATTTCCAGATGCTGACCATTCATCTTGGACAAGATGAGACAGACTGTTTTTCTGCCTGGGTTTCTGCAAAGGATGCGGGTTTGGTTCAAAGTGAGATCAATGATCAAAAAGGTACATAGATGTCATATGCAACAAGCTCAGTATGTACAAAGTAACTTTCAAACTGTTTCATATAGTGAACTATGGAAGCCTCTTGCTGGAAGCTCTTCTAGAACACTGGTGGACAGCCAAAATTGCTGAAGATGATGATAAGAAAAAAAATCATGATGACCTTAACTTAAAGGATTGTGTCAATAATAGCAATATCATGAGTAAAGATTTCTTTAAAGTCCCTCCTCATACCCCACTAATTTTTAGGTATTATAAAAACATTAATTTTTTAAATAAAAGATTTAAAAATTTAAGTATTTTTATATAACGTTTTCTTTTTAGCGAAGTCGGAGGGAGGACTCTTTATAGACTGCTAGTTCAAGATACAGGAGGTGAAACAGAAATGTCTATTTTGCATGAAACTCTCCCTAAATGGGTTGAAAATATTGTTGTTAAGCGAGACATGCCCAAGTTCAACAAAATTCCATTTTATCTTGTGCTCTATGCTAATACTGTGAAAAACATGAAAAGGTAATTTCCAGAAACAAAATAGTTTCGATTGAGAGCTGAAATAGATTCAGTATTATATAATTGTTTAATTATAACAGATTATTTGTAGAATTAATGTATTGTTTAAAAGTTGATTTGACTTTTGCTGCTTAATTCTGCTTGAGAAAAAGAATTTTCTAGTTTAGTGGAGAGAATTATTCTAATAAAAGTATAATTTATTTTAAATTTTAGGGAGAAATTATCAGCTAATGACTTTATTCAGATGCATAAAGTTGCTGAGCATGTTTACAAAACAGTTCTTGGATCAGATACAGGATCCATGGCTGGTGCTGGATCCCCAGCCGACAGGTGTGAAGATACTGACAGTGCATCATTAGCGGAGGACAAAGTTGAACTTCTTTGCAATGATCAGGTTAACATATTAGCATATTGAGAAAATTATTACTTTAAGAAAACACATCCAGCAAAGATCCCAGTTCTGTTCTGCAATCTCCACTGGAATGTGTTTACTGATGAGCAATTTGAAATTAGAAATTTAAAATAATTCTTTTGATTTATGGTCTTCATTTGACCTTTCAGATTCTAGATCCAAACTTGGACTTAAGAACAGTGCGACATTTCATCTGGAAGTCTTCAGCTGATCTTGTTTTGCATTACCGACCTATTAAGGGTAACTCGAGACCATGATTGCAAGAGAACCGCTTAATGCTTGCAAAGACTTTTCAAAGAAACCATACTTCATTTGTAATTTAATTTATTGTTGTTTTTTTATTTCTATTTTTTTAAGATTATCTTGATGTAAAATGAATTACGACATGTACAGAATTTTGTATTAAGACTTAATAATATAATATAAATTGAAGAAACTGAAAATAGTTTCATCAAAAAAACTTATGTACAGACAAATTGTAAAAATTGGGATTAAAAAATCAAAAACTATATTTTTAATTATTTTTATTTTATAAATTAAAGGATCTCAGAGTCAATTTTTAAAGCGTAAGTTGATTTCTTATTTCAAATATAATTTCTCTTAAACTGGGTGCTTACTAATAAAAAAAAAGTCATACTGTTAATATAAATCGTCAAATTCCTACCGTTTTATAATATTTAAAAAAAAAGTTGGGTATCTAGTAGTCACAGGTTATATCTATCACACCTTTTTATAAGATATAAAATCACAAATCCTAACCTTTTTAAACAAAATCAGCCTCATGTATGCTTTTTTTTATTAAACCCATGCTGAGAAGTAATTCGTGAAAAATTTCAGGAAGTTAACAGTATAACAGTGTTTTATAAAAGAGTAAAATACTGTCTCTTGAAAAATTGTACAAATATCAAACATTGCATTTTGACTATTAATCACAAATAATTTCCGTTCACTTCCACATTTGCAATGTAGAGCCAATTTAAAATTTATGCTGATTTTTTTGATTTTTTATTATTATTATAAGAACAAAAATGCAGAAGAATAGCTGATTGGACTTTCATGAACCTAAATCCAAATCAAAACAGGCTGAGTCATCATAACATCAACGATCAATCTTAACCTGTTAACACCATTCCATTATTTAAAAATTAAACAGTTGATAGTTTTTTTTCAGCATGAGTTCCTTATATCAAATGAGAATCAAGTAAGACACCCCCTTTCCATGAATAAAGCATAGCAGAACAACATTCTCACAATGAAAATGAAAATCTCTAAAAAATCTATTCTAGGATGTGTAAATTTGATGACACACCTTTTTTAATATTTAACTTTTATTATTTGGTATTTATATATTTGAACAGACAAATTTAAAAAAGTCTTCTGTAAAGAAGGACCGATATAGCCATAACTAAGATACATATAAGGATATTGGACGAACGTTCACTAATCCAAAATCCTGAGTTCTCTTCATAAACCATACTTTGGTCAATGCCCTCTGGTTCTCTGGTGTCCTCTTTGATTTCTATTTGTTTTTCTTTTACTTCATTTTTAGGCTCAGATTTTATAGTCGAATCTTCAGCCTGAAATGAAAACAGTTAGTTCAATTCTAGGTACCTGTATAAAATGAAACTTACTTTGAACATAACACTTTTTATGAGCTGTGATTCGTCAGAAGTTATCGATGGAACATTTCCTCCAAGGAGATTAATTATCAACCCACATTGCGGGCACTCCCATTTACGAGTCCTGAATCAATATAAATAAATTGAAGCCAATATTTACAATTTGGGCTTGATGAGGAATTACTTTTTGGCTAATGCACGCCTTTCTTCAGGAGTGTAATCCAATGAACCTATGGCCCCTTTGTGTGCGGTGGGCATAAATGCAATCAGTGCCAAGAGTGCTGTCCTGATAGACCAAGATGGTTGCCATGTCTCTGGATGGTAGCCAGAAATACTTAAGCAAATTTTTTTATTTGTTTCAAACCGGCCATTTGGCTGGAAATAAAAAATTTGTATGAAATTATACAATTCATTATAAATCAAATAATTAAATCAGCAACAATTAAAAGATTGTTTAGAAGAAAGTGAAAATTTGGCTCATTATTCTGACTAAAGTATTTTTGAAAAGTAAGATCTGGCAAAAATAATTTTAAATGTTCAATTTTTTTTACGATTCGAATTTCACGGGTTCGCAACAGCCGAGGTCATATAAACCCTCAGAGTGCCGGTGTTTTTGAAAAAAAAAAAAAAAAAACATTTGTAAGTATGTCCGGTTCAAATGCAGGGCCGTTGGATTTGAACCCGGGACCTTTACCTTACAGTGATGAGCGCCGTGTCAAAGCCTAAACCCTTGCGGCCACTGAAGCCCCAAATGTTCAAATTAAATTACATGTTATGATTCTACAGACTTAACCGACAAATTTACTACAATATTTAATATGAAATTCTCAGAAATGTTAATTTGCAACAGAGGATCTAATAAGGATTGATTGTAAATTCTTTACAAAAATTTATTACAAAACTGTTCTGTATTTTAATTATCATTATTTGATGCTATAATACATTTATTAATTTATTTATATATTGTATGCTTTTGGAAATAAGTCTGTCATTTTCATAATTTTCTTTCAGATTTTTGAGCATGGATATTGTTTTATACGATTACCAATCTCTCTCATTACTTTTCTAACAACAACAATAATAATTGTAAAAAATAACAAACAATTGGAATTTATATAAACATAATAAATGTAATAATAATTTTAAAAAATTATACTTGAAAGTATAGGATTGGGTTAGTGTGAGTTTTCTTATATTTGTGGTTTAATAAGCATAATGATGGTCAGCAGCTTAAAAATAAATAATAATAATAATAGTTGGAAAAATATTTCATAATTACAGTGAGTAACACAATATGAGGTGGGGCCATAGGGTACTGCGTTGGAAGTATGATTCTCCCATGATATATGCCGTTTTCAAATTCTGTTCCAGGAGCCCCACGTACAGTGAAGTGCCACTCGAACAAGTTGTCTTCAAGGGGATGTGCACTGTATTCCTCAGTAGCATCTTTCAATTCACAAGCCTCCCGCATCAATCTTTTCACAGCTGAAAGTTATAGCTTGAATGTTTCCATATTTCTCTCAATCGAATTATTAGAATTCATGGTAATCTTATTGCACTTAAATTATTGAAATTAATTAACTTGAAATTACCACTTAATTTTTATATCTCCATCAAAAACAAGTATTTGTATTAAATGACAAACAATCAAACCAAAAATTTTAATTATTTTACTGTGAAATTCCTTACCTATAATTTGTATTATTTAGTAATTACACATGAAATCTTTGAACACACAAATCAAGTGCATCAATTACGCATAATACTTAAGCTGGTTGTTAACACAAGTTAAAAATAGTTATGAATAAATTTATAAAACAAGTTTGTGGGCATAAATCTATCGGTCGCCTACATAGAAGTAGGGAGCAAAGAGAAGTTTCCCACAAACCTTGGAGACATAGAAACACGACCCCAATAAATAACAAAAGTCATGCAGTGAGTTATGAGTTATGCATTGCAGGAAGGTTGTTACAGGTCGCCGACATAGTTCATCTACCTGAGGGATACTGTAAATTTGGGGTCGCAACAGCCGGGTGGGGTTTGTACATTCTATGCTAGAGGTTCATTGACGAGGGACCAGCGGGTGTGTAAAGGACACTCCTAAGAATTACAAGTTGTTGCCAAACAAGTCATGACCAACCATTGAAAGGAGTTGACAGCCCAACAAGTTTTGCTTTTCCTTTCCTCCTCCTTAATGTTAAACCGATATAAAATGGATGGCTCACAGAGTCAGTTGAAGGAAGCAGCCAAGAGATGGTTGACTACCCAGACCCAAGACGAGTCGAATAGCGAATAATGTCAGTCGACTGACAGAAGTGGACAGAAAGAGAACTTGGTCAGCCAGAATCGGGGTCTCAATGAGAGACTCAGCCAGCAAGATCCAATACAGCCATTACAGCAAGTCAAATAGAGTTGACTTAAGGACCCAGGAAGCTAAGGGAAGAAGAAGATGGAAGATACTGGAATTCGTGAGCATCACTGGGGTAAATCCACTTGTTAATAGGCTCATTCCCAGAGTTAATGTTGTGGCTGACTTTCCTTGTTTGGTTTACTTTTTGTTTATTATAATACTAAGACATGCAAGTGAAACGATAAATGTCTACAAATACTATCTCTTTCTCTACACGAAAAGTATTAAACATGTATGTTAAATTTTCTCCTATCACTTAGCAATAAGTATGTAGAGTGTCAGTACCTGCTTATCAATATTATTAATTTAACACAAACATTTCACCATATAAATTCATTTGAGTATAAAAAATTGCCTTTGATTTTAATTGCAGTTACTCCAATACAACAATCAGAATAGATAACACTCAGTGAAGTAAAACTATATTGGTCCGATTGACCAAATAATTCTTTCCAATTAATTAAAGATTAATTAATTGAAAAGACTATATTCCAACATTAAATAGACAACCCATTTTACCAAATTGTTTTTAAGGATGGATTTTAAAACAAGGGAGGAAAGACACGTATCTTTAGTAAACATGACGTGGCAAAAATATTCAAACAACTTGTATGTTACGAATATACCAATATTTAATATTATTATGTTTCATTTGTTTTATAGTAAGTCGACGTTTTGAGGAATTTCCAAGACTGTAAATAAAGGGTGGATAAAAACTTTGGGAGGAAAACGATGACACCGACACTATCAGTTAAAAGGAGTGACATTAGAGTTAAAAATAACGTGAGCAAAATTCTTAATCGAAAAACAATATTCATACGATACGAAACAGTTGAAAGGAGTAATGTGAAACAACATACAATTAGTAGTTACTAAAAATGTTAGTAACAACGGTGACTTAGGATATTTTGGTTAGATCTCGGCTAATCTCACCTGGTATCTTTTTGTTATATTTCGACTCCAAGTCCTGCATCGTCCCAATATGTATGTTGTCGTTAGTTATTACAATTTTTCCATTTTAATAAAACTTTATTGGGCGGGTGGGTTTCTTTATGACTAGTCGGTACGTGCTGTACGAGTGTGGAAGCGAATCTGACGTAATATTTGTACATATATCACCAACTACAAGTTGCGAGGACAACACGCAACACTCCACACTTCCCAGTCCACCACCACGGTGACGACTGGTGACTGCTCAACACTGAATGACTGTAGAACTGCTAATTGCTAGTGAGTGTGAATGCTAACCTTTACCTAGAATGACGAATTGTGATGGATCGAACCATCGTGGAACGAGTGTCGGTACAGGTGTGGAAGGTTAAATTAATTCGAGTGATAAGCGCGAGACGTTGATACGGATTGGGACAACAGAATTTATCCGATGTCTTTATATGAAATCCTGTTGATCGAGCCGTTCTACACCGGCTCTCACAAAATGTTGATTGATAAATTGAATGAAGGTACTTTGTATCAATTAATTATACACTGGCAAAAAAGTGGCCACTCTCGTTTTTTTGTAAATACTTGGAATCATAATTTTTACTTTTGTTGCTTACTGGATATTTTAAAGATATAGCTAAATAAAAAATTAAACAGGAAAATTTTTTATCCAAAATGTTACTATGAAAACAATGAAGAAAATATTCAGTATGGAGTATTTCCTCCTCTTGCGTTGAATTCGACATGGCAAAAATTAGCATCTACTTTTTAAGGTTTTGATTGTAGCGCTGTGGTTTGTTTTAAATACTATTCCAACAGGGCCATTCTTAATTCCTGCATTCTCGGGCATCACTGGGCAACAGCTCATCCACAAGGTGTAGATAGGGTTTAAGTTGGGACTTCACTCTGGACATTGAATTAAAGCCCATTTAGTCACCAACGATTCTAGCTGTGTGGTACATTGTATTGCATAAAAATAAAACCGTCACCAGTTAGTGGATATAAAGAACACTTCTAATACAGCTTCAAAAAATAAAACTTGATAAAGATCAAGTTCGTGCGACCTTCCGTAGGTGCCTGCCCAAACCATATTAAGTCTAAGGACAAAACCTAATTTTAAATCGACAACTCTTGATAATGCCAAACATAATAATTAATGTGTGGTATTTAGGCTCATTAATTAATGATTATTTGGAGATCGTGAGATGCGGTCTGATGTGATGTAGATTTAGAAAAACATTTTCTTTATCGTTCCAACGTTTCGATCTTTATTGAGATCATCTTCAAGGCCTGGGATTTAAATTATACAAATACATGTAAAATGTGAAAAAATGAATTTATAAAATGATAGAAATTTTAGACTCAACGAAGTATTTGTATTTACTCAAAGTGTTTGTTTTCTGTGTAGATGTGTCAGTACTGTGTGTCGTGTTGAGAGTGCCAGTGAGATATTAATGTTTTTTGTTTATATACATTGGATTTTGGAGGATCCAACGTATATAAAGTAAGTATAATGGATCTATCCCTACTTTCCCACTCCTTGGTTGAGTCTAAAATTTCTATCATTGAATAAATTCATTTTTTTTACTTTTTACATGTATTTGTTAAATTTAAACAATGTTTATAAATCCCAGGCCCTGAAGATGATCTCAATAAATATCGAAACATTGGCACGGCGAAGAAAATATTTTTCTAAACCTATGTCACACCAGATTGCATCTCACTAACTCCAAATAATAATAATTAATGCTCTCTTACTACTTACTATAAGCTATATTTAGTGTAGGAACTGGCTATTTCACAGGAAATGTATAAAGAAACATGAGAGATAAAACAAATAATATAACTGGGGAATGTACATCATTCAAAGAAAATGTGTACTTCCATAAATGTAAAAACAAGCAGCATTTCCCTGATGAAGGTCCTATAAATTCAGCAAAAGCTCAGCAAATTGTTGGCATTTACTTTGTCCGTAAATGGCCATATCCCTTTCTCTTAACATATCACGGTAAATAAATAATATATCAATTGGCCAATATATTCTACTATGCATTTCTTTAAAAAACCTTACACATAATTTTATTTGTTAGATTTTTGTTTAAATTAAAAAGGTTATTTCTTTTGAAATACCTTGTAGGGTTCTTTTTTATACAGAACAAATTTCTTTAGTTTTAGGAGAAGAATTTGGGAAGAGCAAGATTTGCTTTATAAGTATGAAAGGTAAAAAGTGGCATTGGAGGGCAAGAACATCTGCCATATATTTGTCACAAAATATACCTTTTCAACATTCATTTAGGTCAGGATTAATTAATTAGATTTAAAATTTTCTGGCTAAATACGCACTATATATTAATCTTTCAGAGTAATCTTTGCGACCTCAGTCTTAAACTTGTCTGAATTGATAGCATTGAGAGAGGATTTGCGAAATACTAAAAAGATCATTTACTTTCATGAAAACCAATTGAATTATCCAAGACAGGAATACAAAGATAGAGATTTTCAATATGGTTATAATGAAGTGTTAACCTGGTATGTCACCATTTTATAAGTGTTAAAAAATAATTGTAAAAAGAAGTAAACGATATTAATAGATAATTTGTCAGCCTCGTTGCAGATTTAGTAATTTTCAATTCAATGTTCAACAGAGATTCATTTTTAAATGGTATAAAAAAACACTTTGACATCCTACCAGATTATCGCCCGAAAAGTTTAAAAGAAAGAATTGAAAATAAATCTCACGTTATTTATTTCCCAATTTTAAATTTAAACAACCCTGTTTGCAAAAACTACAATGTGAGGCTGCACATCGTCTGGCCTCATCGTTGGTATGTTTTGTATGATTATTGCCATTTTTCAATTGACTGAAACTTTTTTCTTTTTTTTTTTTCTCTAGGGAGCATGATAAAAATCCTCGAGCGTTCTTGAATGTCATATGTCGCCTGAGTAAGAACAGTTCTGATTTTGATCTTTCTATGATTGGAGAACAATTTACAGATCAGGACACATTTGAAGAGATAAGAAAAGATCTGGGAGACCATATTGCAAATTGGGGGTATGTCCATTCAAAAGAAGATTATTTCCAGATCTTGTCAAAGTCGCACATCGCTGTTTCTACCGCAGACCATGAATTTTTCGGGGTATCTATGTTGGAAGCAGCACAAAGAGGCTGCCTACCACTTTGTCCAGACAAATTGGTTTACCCTGAACTATACCCAAGCTGTTGTCTATATAAAAACTATGAAGAACTGTACAACAGACTGGTTTATTTCTGTACAAATGTTCATAAAATTAAATCTCTTGTTCAAAATTTGAATGTTGATAGATATAACTGTAAATCACTTATTCCAGAATATATTAAACTTTTCAGATGACATTTCAAATGTAATCATTTTATTTATTTATATGTAAATAGTTATACATTTTGAATATTCATCATGTGTAAAATTTTGCAATACAGTCTAACTAATAATTTTTAATGTTTAATTAAATCTGTTTTCAGTCTGACAAACACACCCTCACACACATTTGAACATAAATGAATATAGAAACAAAATATTAAACAAATAAGCCTCTTTAATTTAACTGTATACAACACTGCTGATTTTTAACAAATTTTTAAATGTGTTTTAAAATGGCCCAAACTAATTACAAAGAGGAGTAGTAGATTCTGCTAAATAGCTCTTCACTCTCGAATACCAAAAAGGTGGATATTTAGTTGTGTCAATATCAAATGGTGTATTTGTTTCTATACCATTCCTTTTGGTAAACACCGAATAGCCTCTCCAAATTAATTGGCCATGTAAGCGATTACGGTAACTCACAATTTCAAGTTCCTGTAAAAGAAAAGATCTTGAGTTACAAGAAAACCAAGATACAAAAGGTTACTGACAATATGGAAAGTGTGGGAGTGAGTCTGATTTGTGTTAGACTTGGTCGCTTTTTTGTCTGGCCCAGGTGATAAAACAATGAAAACAGTTGTATCCACCAGACGGTAGTAACCGGTAAACACCGGTGGCTGGCGAAATCCAGGAAGCTTAGTTCTTAAAAGGCTGACGCATCCCACCGGCTCTTCTGGGGTTGTCAACATCAACACTCGGCCATCAGAGAAAAACCTAATTCATCATCTTTATAACTTCAAAATAATATTAAATTTGAAAATAAATTACCGTAGGTATCTGTAGTACACAACCAGATGCCATGGGCGGTAATATTGGTCTTGAAAGCTGTTTTCTCCATGTCGAATGTATGTGGTCTTACTGATATAACAACCTCCAAAATGTAGCCTTGGCCTTTTAATAAACATCTCCCTCCATGTTCTATATTGACCACTTGGTGAACCACATTTGACTCCCCAAACCCTTTAATTTTTTATTTTAATAATTTTTATGTTAATAAACAAATGCTTAACTAATCTGATGGCCAATGGCCTTCACTATCAAACAAACAAATGGAACCAGGACATTCTTTTTACAACCTGTTGAGGAATGATCAACTCTCAAACCTAATATAAATGGATCACAATTATAATTTAAGAATTTAAATTGTTCGTTTCATCTAAGGACTTGGTTGAGATGTAAAAGCTAGTGTCACGAACCCACGATCTTCAGATAAGGCTAACTTCAAAGCTCACGGTTCGAATCCCTCTTGGAATAATTGAAATAATTAATATGGTCAATCATGACAGCTAAACATCAATGGATTGATATATTTTAAGTACTGATTTAGATGGATATTAGCAAAACTAAGCAACAATTACAATGTCATTTGTAACCAATTGGCTATAAAATAATTATAATTGTCTACTTACAGTGAAAAAGTTATTTTTGGTGGAATATCATGTTTAGGATCCAAGTATCCATTGGATACTCATTAAGGACAAGGCTAAAGGTGGGACTATAGAGAACAGACTAATGCACTACCATGTTTTGGTAAGATCATAACCACTTTTAACCGCACTAATAGAACAAAATTTTAAATTACATCTACACTCAGGTCGGTTAGGCTGCATGTTTCGTCAACAGACCAACTAACATTTTGATTTTTTTATATGATCAGATTTTAATACATAATTTATATTGTGGCATTCTAAAATATTGGTACATACAACTTATCACATTTTAACATTTGTTATATTTTTTAAATTTTAGTTTGGCTTCCTCTTAGTCTAAAAGTAAGGCTGTAAGAGCCTATTCAGCCACAAAATCCAATCCTTGTCGCTCATAAATTCTAAATGCTGAACAGGTACAGAAGTAAACATTTGTCGTGTTAGTAGGGTTTGGTGTGAATTGACCTTAATCTACGGTAATTTTTCTTCAACAAATACATATGAGTAATCTAACTCTTACAAATTTAATAACAAATTACCTGGAACAGGCTGTTCTCCAAATTTCTTGGTCTCTGCAGCAAATGTAAAACCCACGACATACCCTTGAACATATTTCCAGCGATCTCACGTCTAAATCAGTACTGACAACCCAGCGTAAGATGTATAGAAAAATTTCCATTGGAAGAGAAGAAAAATGAGTCCCCTTTAAATATTTTTATAATTATATTTATCAACATAAAAAAACCAAAACATGCACCCAAATGTTAAAACAAACATGAAAATTTATATAAATGTTAAATACTTTTTGAGGCTGAGCAGGGATACACAGTGTTCTATGGTGTTTCAAGTTTACAATACTCAAATGAGTAAGTAGGTCCATTTTGCTTGCATTGAAACACAACTCATCATTTTGATCAGTGTTAATGAAAATAGAATTAATTTCTTCTTCATCACTGGTATCATTATTACTTTCTTTAGATGAGTGTGTGGTCATCTGAAAAATTTTAAATTCGATATCTGGGACAAGCTGGACTGCTCTTCGATAGAATTGAATTGCCTCATAATGTTTGCCTTTTTCCTCATTTTCAATTCCAAGTTGAAAAAATACTTTTGCCTGCTAAATAAATTGCATTACTTAATGTTTGTTAATTGATCAGAGATATATGCTGTGCTTTTTATTGCCTTGTCTTCAATATTATGAGGAATCTGCTCTTGTTCAGTGGTGTTTACATTGCATTTTGAACTGTGATGGGGAGATGACTCAATTTCCCTCTTCCATTCTTTCCTGAACTCATTCAAAGTTGAAACCTAAAAACAACAAAAAGAAAAAAAAACACGAGTTTCAATATCAAAATAAATTGCTTTAACCAAACAATTAAGTTTCAATGTTAATTGTATACTGTACAATTATAATACTTTTAACCAAAATAATTTTATTGTTATTCTTTTGTAAACAGACAACAATGTAGTAACGTCAACAATATGTAAACAGTAACAATGTGTATACTGACAGGAAATAATTTCACCAACTTGTAAAGACTGTAAAGTAAAAACAAATGTTTCGGCAAGGTGCCAAAGAATTGTGGTAAAAAAATAAAATAAATGAAATTGAATAATAAAAAAATTTAAAAAAACCAAAGATTAAAATTTAAAAAAAAAAAAAAAATGAATGTGATTAAATGTGGATAAACAACCAGAGGGGAAGAAAGAATGTGAGAGGACTTACTCTGCTAGCTCAAGATCGTTTGACGTGGGAGCTGGATGAAAGAAATCGGGCCCGAATCCGAAATCTGCTCGCATCTAGCGGTGCCAAGGATAAGGAAATGGACAATAGAGGAAATCACAAGGGAGAGATGTTGATCAAAGTGGTAATGGCGAACTGAACAAAATATATCTTTACAAGCGGGTACATTTTTTTTTACTGTAGTGCATACACATTGACAGACATACATATGTAATGTAAAATTCATAATACTAGTAATTCATATTTTCTCCTCTTGATTTAATAACATTTTAAATGTCTTAGTATACCTTCTAGCAACCAGGAAATATCTTTTTGTCATAGGAGAGCAATTCTTCAAAAAGAGCCTTTTCAAAATTTGAAAGGTTTTAGGTTGAGATGAGGAGTTGGTATCCGAATGGATCAAAGTCACGATAGTTCAAGGGTTAGAGTGGTGGCGTATTGAACTGAAGGTCGTTGGTTTGAATCCCACTCGTGACAGTAGCTTTTTCATCTCAACCAAGACCTCAGATAAAAAGTATAAGTAATGTAATGAGCACCCACAATATCCAGATGTCATGGGTTTGAATCCGGATCCTGACACTAATTTTTCAACTTAGCCACACTTTGCAATAAAAAATAAAAAAATCAATTAAAATTCAATTAGACATTTAGTTAGATGTCCGGCTGTTAGGCAATGAGGAAGATCAATGTTTAAATTATAACTATTTAAAAGGAGAGTTATTTGCATGCTTAAATACAAATCTCAGACAAAACTTGTTTACGGCAAGGCCCGACATCCTGTAATAAATGAGTGCTGATAATGAACTGATCTGAATAAATGTAAACTGTAATAATTCATGATATGTCAATAAACAGATTGGGGCCAATTAAAAACAAAAATTAAATTATAACCAAATTTTTCTAAAGTTACAGAACAGAATTTAAACAAATAGCTGTCAACATAACATGATGATGTAAAGGTGATCAACCAGCTGTTATTCAACAATATATCTGGTAGGATTGGGGTTGTGGTCCAATGATTGTCCTTGTATTGAAACTACGCCAAGCTTTTGGTGTTTTATTTCACCTTCCTCAAGGATCTACAACAGATATATAAACATAATATTTTATAATTACTCATCTGTACAAGTGAAAATCAAAAATCAACTTGTTCTTACAACTTACAGATTCTCAGTCAATACAGCCCTAATTGTGAAGTAAGAGTAATTATAAAATATTATATAAATTAGCTTGGCTTAGTTTCAACACAAGAACATAAATTGAACCACATCCCCAATCCTACCCAATATATCATAACTCATGTCTTAAAAGAAATCATAAACTTTTAAAAGTATGATGAACGTTTTGAAAATATTCAATTAATCGTGTGGGGAAGTTCAAAATCAAATCCCCACTACAAGTGGTATTGCCAGTCAAACAGACACAACATTTATATGTATTTCAACTAATTATTCTTTTCAACTCAACTAAGACCTTAGATAAAAAGAATAATTAATTGAAATAATACAGTCAATGATAACCGCTAAACATATATGGATTTATATGTATATCCATCAGAAGAATCGTATACAATTCTAAAAAAAAGTAAACAAGTACATGGTCTTGTGAAGAAGATTCTTCTTGGTCTTCACCGTCGATATCTCCCCCTTCGGCAGAGTTGCTACCAGCAGAACGCTCCTGTTTATAAACAATAATAAATAAATGCACTAAAGAACCTAGTATTGTTAAACAATTGATAGAGTAAACACAGTTTATATGAAATTTGGTACTCACCATTTAATCGAAGACTCGTTTAAATTAAAAAATCTCTGTCTGAATATCTTATTAAAATCACAACGAACTTAAAGTGCTTGTTGTCCGAAAACAATGAAGGCATGTTTGTGGACGAAGATGAAGACATTGACGCTGTTAATTGTGACTTGATCCGATGAATCAAGTCTCAATTTGGATCAATTTCAGCGTTGAGATTTGAAAGATAGAAGCTGAATTTAGCTCGAGCCCTGACTGCAACGTAGTAAACTGACCGAGTGGCCTATTTAGATAACGGAGAAGAGGCTGAACAAAAAGCGAAGACAGGTGATAGTGCTGGCTCGTCATAGTCCGAAATACGTCATCATTGGCTCAAATATTTATAATACCTCTCAAATACTATTACTGTCATGCTTAACAAAAAAATGTTAATTTCAAATTCATTGTTGAAGTAGATTGGGACAGAGCACCCTACCTCTTGCTAGCCTACCCCTAGCTCTAGCAGTCTAATCCAGACTAGATTCAGAAGAAGCGGTTTTAGTCAATACAACTAAGTTGCATGATTGACCCTCAATTAGTTCACTGCTGTGTGAACTGTGAAAGCTTTTCTTCTTCAAAGGGAACAACTTCTCTTCCCAAAGGGAGTTTAGTACAATGTTAGAACTCGAGAAAGTAGAAGCACTCCTTGTGCTTGTAAGAAGAGATGTAAAAAAGGAAGAAACCTAGTCGAAGAAAAGTATGGACCCTCCATTGTTACAAAATCAAGAAACAGATGCTTTTTTCTCACAACTACTGCTGTGGCACGTCCTTTCAAGTTTTGCGCCTTCTAATTTTGTTGTTATACTCCTCACACGTCCTAGAAATTCGCAAAAGATTAACTCCTATAAGATATACTTATCTGACTTTGATTAAAGACACTATTACCATTGATGAGTTCCTGTGAATTTTTACTGCAGACAATACACTAAAAATGAGAATTTGATATTTTTCTTTATTAACTGAATAAAAATAAGGACATTTTTAATAAATGAATAAAAATAGTACTCACTATGAATACAATATTTTGTCTAAAGTAATACAGTCCAAGCTATGATACTCCATAATAGAGAATCTGTTTGAATAAAACTTCTTTTAATATTATTATCTTTTTTTAACAGTGCTGGAACTAAAAAAAGTTTTATTCAAACACAGATTCTTCATCACAATGAATATATATTACGCAGGGCGGGTGACTAAGATCTGAGGGGTTAAATGCCTGGGTAGACTCGTACCCCATCCCTAAAGGGTCCGGGACTTGGTCGGTTCATGTGTCCTGCATAAAACTCTTGGACTTGTTCACAAACCCCAAGATTTTGGACCATTTTATCTCGGGGAGCGATTTGGCAATGTCCTCTCCTTCAAAAGCCTCAAATCTATGCCTGGCATACCTATCACACTCTGCGACGTTTCTTCTTTTATTTCACAGAAGGGGTCTGGTAAAATACCCATTATGAAGAGGTGACTTCTCAAAGGGCAATGGCCTGTCAGGATACCTTTCAGCCTCTTAATTCCCATCCTTGAGTTAGAGAATAGCCATTTCGATTCTTTTGGTTTAATCTCCTCCACAAACTCCTTCGATTGCCTATTTCCGGGGGACAGATTCCATTCTTTTAGGAATTGTTTCATGCCCCAGCTATTAATACTCTCTTTCGCTGTGCTTATAGAGTGTGGTAATACCGGTTGTGGCCCGACAAACGCAGTATTTGCTATCACAATAAATAATGCTGAAGTTTATTGGTCTAAACTGCAAAGTGAATTATTATTTATTGTACTACTCTTTACACTTCACGTCCTATATATGACGGGACAATTATACATTTCTTCAATGATCTGGTCCACATTCAAACTTGCAATGGCAGAGCTTTCTATGTTGACTCAACTAGGAAACTGGTGTGAATTAGAAATGCCAAGCGGCAGTTAGTAATCATTTGCTACACTCCTTGACACTAGTGGAATCAGTTAACCACATAAATGAAACTATCCTTAGCCCTCTTTCAGACATGTATTTACAAATTCCTAACTTAAAATTTACTATTTTATACCATGTACTTATAGTTATGAAAAGATTGTTAATAAATGATATTTTTATTTAAATCTATACAGTTGTATTTATACAATTTCGTTTAAGTAAAAAATACAATGACAGTACAATTATATATTTATCATTTGCTACATTCCTTGACACTAGTGGAATCAATTAACCACTTCAAATGAAACTATCTTTAGCCCTCTTTCAGACATGTATTTACAAATTCCTAACTTAAAATTTATTATTTTATACTATGTACTCATAGTTATGATAAGATTGTTAATAAATTTGATATTTTTATTTAAATCTATACAGTTGTATCTATACAATTTCGTTTGAGTAAAAAATACAATGACAGTACAATTATTATATACTTACAAATAATTGTTTTGATTTTTTTTCTTTCGGTTGACAATTTTAACAATAATTACAATATGATATATTATAATTTGTATGGATTAGACGATGCTAAATGAAGTTTAGAAATGTATATACATAGGATAGAAGTATAATATATAAAGTGTCATATTATTATAACCAGTTTTAAATTAAAATTAGATCAATTATAACACAGATGTAGACTATGGATCAGTTGATGAAATCACAGTTTACAGAAAATTCTAAGAAAGAAAAAATAGTTACTACTATATTTTCAATACTTAGATCATATTACTAAATAATAAAACTTCATTCAGAGTTCATCGTGATTTTTGTTGGCATGTTTGATGACAAATTCAAATAAATCCTCTAAGCTTCTCAGCCCTGTATATTCCTCTACCTTTTCACCATTGTTGTACAAAATAAGTGTTGGAAATCCATTTACCTAAAATAAAATTTGATGAGTAAACATTGTAAGGATTACAACAGTGGTGTAAACCTTTCACATACTTCCTGCTCACTGCAAAGTTCCTTGTTCAGGTTAGAGGAACAATCTACTTTTGCAATAATTATATTTTCATAGGAGGAAATTTTTTTTCCAAGGTCCTCCCATGTTGGGGCTAAGCCTTTGCAATAACCACACCTAAAGCACATACATTATATTGATCATAATAATTAAGCTTTAAGCTTTTTCAAATAACCATGGAGCAAAGAATTTGATGAATGTCAATCCTTTGGAGACAGTGGACTTAAAATTTGAAGCAACCAAAGACAGAACTGGACTAGAAGGTTGCTGCACATCTTCGGTTGTGATTTTGTCTGCCATGCTGTTAAGCTGAATTAACTTTTCTTCTATATAATGTTTGAAATTATTTATATTTCTCTGGCCCTGGAATTTATCTATCTGAAATAGATTAATCTATTAAATACTATCAATAATACATGATCAGAAAGAATTTTTCTTCATTAATCCAACTTTACATACATTTGACATACATTTTTCCCAGAACCAATTTGATACATTTGCATAAATTTCCAATACAATTTTAGATTAAAAATTCATAATTAACAAGATGCTCTAGGACCCAAGAGATTAAGTAAAAAATACATATTTAAAAAGGTTTTTTTAAAATTAAAAAATTGATCCAAAGTAAAAGGTATTATTTTAAAATACTATCAATTACAATTACTTCTACACATCCCTGCCTGTGACACAAAAAGTATTATCAAGAATTCTAAACGAAGGCATTTTTATAAATAATTAGTAAGTAGCAATTACAAATATTAAATAATTAAATTAATAACAAAAGCAAATAAATAGTAAAGATATGACCCCCATCTAAACAAGATATGACCCATCTGCTTAACTTTAATTTTAATCAATATGAATCATCATAAATGCCTGCATAGAATCCTCCCCCATCTTAAACATAACACAAAATTAATCACTTACCTGTTGACCTTTCTCAATCCATAACAATGTGGGATACGACTTGATGCCAAAATTTCTGCATGCCTGTTTGTTCACAGTGCAATCAACTTTATTTATCGTGACTTCTTTATGTTTCACATAGGTCTTGCCTAATTCTTCCCATGTCGGTGCTAACTTCTGTTATAAAAATAAAGAAATCCAATAATTATGTCACTAAAATGGGCAGAATTATACATTTACCTGACAGTGGCCACACCAAGGAGCATAGAATTTAACAAAATGATTTCCTTTTGATAACTGATCTGTGTAATTATCATCAGTTAGTTCTTTCACCCCAACATTCTCGACCTCTTCTAATTCACCTGTCTACAAATAATTAAAATACCATTTAATACAAAAAATTATTAGACTAATTTTAGGTCTACAGAAGAAAATGTTCAAAGTAATTTTGTGATCAATACTTCAGACAAAGTCAGATTGGGAAAAGCTCTTATTCTTTCATCTTCATTTCAACAAGGTCCTCAAACAATGCAACATTTATGCCATGATGCAATGGCCATTTTCTATAACATTTGTTCATAACCATGACATGCAATCCTAATTGGCCAGAAATAAAAACATTCCTCACATCATTTCCCCCTGGGCACAACTGCTTCAGACATTCCTATTGTTTGCTGTTTGTTTTATCACAAGTCTGGCAATAATTGAAACAATTGGAAATTGCATTTGGAAAGGCCTGTGCATACTATATTTTTGAATTGAGTTTCATTCAATAGAGAGGATTCCTGCTTATGTATCTACCAGTTATGTTGAAATTGAATCCTACTGTGTACAATGTAGATAAAATTTGTAAGTGCGGAAATTCCGAAAAAAGAATCTGACCTTTCATTATGGTTCAAAGAGAAAAACATGTCACATGGTCTTCATGTTAAACAGTTGCCGTGATGGGACGAAAAAGCACATGTCCATCCGAAACTATTCATAGAAGCTACCAATATGACAAAACCTAGTTTTTCATTGTACAGCTGAAGAGACCACCTTTTAGACTGTAACAACTCTCATGGAAAAAAAAAGAGGAAAAAATTATTTATGTAGACAATTTAATGATTATATGTTGCTATTAATTCTTTTTTGCTTATACATTTTGACTGTCACATTAATGTTGAGTATTGTGCTTCTGTCATAAGTGTCAAATACATTTACAAATATAATCAGGTCATGATAGAGCAGATATCATGATAGTTAGTAAAGGTACGCAATTTAGTTCAATCATACATATATTCTAGAAATGTATATAAATACAATGGAAAGCACATGGCACTTAATGGAATTACCAATGCATGCATGGACATACAACGTTGAATCACTGCCTATTCATTTGCCTGGACAAAATCATATTATATTTACAGAGGGAAAGGAACATAAAGCGTTGATGTTGAATAAAGTGACAACAAAACTATTAGCTTATTTTAAATTCAATAAAACAGACAAGAATGCTTGGCAATAGACACATTCACAAATTCCATTGTACATTTTAATTTATTATACATTTTCATCTGGGATGAAGCGTCAATGATTCCCCAACCTGTATTAGCCACTATCGATAGGACATTTAGAGATGTTTTTAATGACAACATGCAATTGCTGGTAAAATTTTTGTACTTAGGTTTTACCAGTCAGGAAAAAAGAAGCAGGAGACAAATTTATGAAGTATGCTTAAACGATAGTTTATTAGCTTTCAACAATTCAAATTGTCCAAGAAATTGCATGCAGACGAAGATTCCATTGAATTCTCAAACTGGTCATTAAATATCAGAAATAAATATACCAAATGAAATATTATGCAATAATTTAATTGATGAGATTTATCCATTAGATTTATCTGAGGCATAAATGAGTAATAAATAGCGTTTATTTAGCATTAGCATCATATTAGAGCTAGAAATGATGAAGTGAAAAAATCCATCACCTTAAACGACTACCAGTGGAAATTGTTTCCATAGATCATATTGAATCACTAGCTGGTGACAAAGCTGACAACAAAAATGTAAGTTTATGTATACCATTGAATATTTACAATCAATAACACATTCAGTTTACAACCTGCAAAACTGCTCTTAAAAGCAGGAAGTAGTTATGCTATTTAGGACTTTATGCATAGGAGACGGTTTGTGTAACAGGACCCATTTGATAATAAAAAATCTGGTAGGGTTAATACCACTCTGTAAAATATTAACTGGGAATAAAAAACGGAGATATTGTGTCCATCCCTAGAATTTATTTTGACACATGAGGAGAATGCTGAAATGCCGTTTTGAAACTGTTGCAATTCCCAGTCCATCTAGCATTGTTATGACCATAAAATAAGACACAAGGGCAAAGTTTTGAGAAAATAGGTTTGATTATAAATTCAAAAATACAATATTTACACATGGACAATTAATTATATGTAGCCCTGTCGAGGTGTATGACAAAGACTGGCATTAAAATAGAATGTAAATTAAAACAAAAATGCATAGAAAATATTGCTTTCAATGCAGTGTTGGAGTAGCACACAAGTTATTTTTTTCTAGTGAGCCTGCCAAAAATCGAGAGGTGAGGAAATTTTTGAGCTTATTTATTTGTTGTGAACTAGAATACGATTAGGCATTTTAATGGCAGTCATTCATCAAACTTGTCCCCCCCCACCTTTTGGCAGAGATTTTTGCAAAGAGGTGAATTAACTTACCCCAAGACTCGAACCCATCTGGACATTTAGAAACATTGTCAAGTGTGTTAAAAAGTGAATATCTTTATATTTAACGGGTTCCAACTTGTCAGGGCTGAAATATTTAAGCCTGCAAGATGAAAAGTATGTAAATTATTAAATAAATTATTTAATACAAAAAAATAACGAACGTCGGATATCCTGTAATATCTTGTTGAGCGCATAGTACTGTTTCTGTTGTGCAATCAACTTGAGCAATAGTAACTCTACTACCTTCTTCATTAAGTAGATCAGCAAGTTGTTCCCATATAGGGTAGAGGCGCTGGCAATGTGAACACCTGTAAAAATATATTTTTGATTAATAAAATATTATATAACATTATTATAGTTTGATGATCTTTGATCATGATCTGTCAATGATTTCACATAATATTGAGTTATAAGGCAAAATTTCATCTTTTAGTTGTTACTATATTTCTTAAAAAAATGTGTTATCAAAATAAATTATCAGGCTATTGTTGTCACCAATATTTAGGATTTAGGAAACACAGATGAATAGAGGTGTAGGAGAATAAAAAGTTAACATACCAATCTGTCAATAGGCAAATAAATATAGTACTCACGTGTGGCCATTCCTTTTGAAAAATAATTTATTGGAGGAATTTCTATTTTATTTTTTGTTAGTGTACCGACAGTTTTCGCTCATTTTTGAAGCAATAGCATATTGTTAAAAGCAAATAAAGTAATAAAACAATAAATGTAGAGTTGTGCTTGGTGTTGACCAACTTGTCAGTCAAACTCAAGATTGAATATGGACCCAATAAATACATAATGCATATACGGATTTAATTTATTTGGGAGCTAATTTGGCTGACGTGACCATCCCAAGTAAACTGATTTTATAAATTAAAACCGACAAAAGAACCTTGCATTCACGAACAAAATTAGCAACTTTAAATGAAGAATTATACACAGTGGAACTGATCAAGTGATGTGGGTTATTTTGATGCGTTTAAATAAATTTAACTTAAGAAAAATTACAAGTTGCTATACATCTTTGCATAAGAAGTGAAGAGGGTGTGTTTTGTTTTACAACTGTCTATCCTGAAAAAAAAACAACTTTAAACTGGATTTAGATATCATTTTGTTTCTTTCCTTAATTTTAGTACAATCATGTATTTTATTTATTAATGTGCACATTATCCTAAGAAGAGTTCTAGCTTCATTTTTTTTTTTTGTAGAGAAGCTTGAAAAAGCCTTTTGCATCAATGACATCAACCTAATTATCAGAATAAAATATCTATCGTAATAGCATGGAAGGCTATTCGTAAATTAATAACAACTAAAAAGACACAGTAAATATTTCAGAGGAAGATTAAATTATATTTTTGCAATCCATTCAGTTTACATTTGTTATTGAGAAAAACAATATATTTATCTGTTGTATATGATAAAAGCACCTTCTTATATTTGATTTGATGTTACTATTATGACAGATATTGATAATATAAAATAATATTAACAATCAGAAGGAAAATAATAATTACCAAGGAGCATAGAACATCACGAAGTGATTTTTCAGGTTGATGTTTTCTGTGAAAGTTTGAGTGTCATATTTAACAATTTTACTTTCCTCTGAGAATACATTTCCCAGCAAGAAGATGAAACAAACAGAAAAAAGTGCGAAACTCCGGATTATAGGGTTCATTTTCGAAATGAACATCCAAAACGGGATTAAACTAAAAATAGAAAAAACGAAATACTAAAACGCTTTGAAAATGAACATTACAACCATATCAATGGTAAATGACGGTAAAATAATGAAACTACAAAATACAAATTCATGTCTATCGTAAATTCGTAACCTTCTTTACCTATGCCTACATCTGGATCTGACTTCTGTGTAGTGTGTACATTTGATCTATGTACTGACAAGAAATAAGACAATTGTACAAACACGCACATGTGTGATATTTCTATATATGTACACTTCGTGTATGCAAACACTTTTTTTAAAAAGCACTTATGAATCTCTTGTAAAACTAAAACGGCTAAAATATGTCCATTCAATTTTAATTTTATTTTTACAACGTACAAAATATCCAATTAGTAAAGGTACAAGCTGTTATTTTATTTTACTTATAATTATTTATTTATAAACTTTATTGTTAATCATAATTCATAAAATTCAATGTATAGTTTTGTAAATATAGATGTATCATTTAGGGTGTGTATTAAAAGTTGTAACCCCTGTTCTGTGCTTAAAGCACACCGGTAAGTCCTAGTTCATGAAGGTACTTAATTAGTAGGCCCGGTTTCAGTGGTCGAATTTCTTCTACTTCCTCTACAGCACGACCAGTTTTGGTTTATTGTGCATCTCCATTTTTTTTTATCTAGAGCTCCCCATTAAGGTTGAGGTATTTTACCAGACCCCAAAGCTTTTTCAAGGGCTCCTGTGTGTATCCTTCAGGCCCTGGCTTTTCCTCTCGCAGGATTAGAAATCTAAGCCTACATAAGTTTTTGCACCAAGAAAACCTTTTTTTGAAGTATTTATATAGTATAGTATATATTTGGAAGTATGTCAGGTTCACATGTAGGGCCACTGGATTCGAACTCGCGTCTTTTATCTTACAGTGATGAGCGCCGAGTCAACACCTAAACCATTGCGGCCACCGACGCCCCCCTTTCTTCTTATTCTTAGCAAATTTTGCACAGGCTTGTTTCTGCCACTCTGAGTCTGCAAGTTTGTTAGGAGGTTCTTAGTGATACTGAGTTACATTGTTCCCTCATTACCTTTTTATCCTTCTGTCTGAGATATTCATGGATTCCTATGCCTCAGAAGGGCTTGGGTCCTATCAGCGGTATAGCAGCTCCTCTTCTTTCCTGTTACCTTTCACTTTTACATGTCCTGGGAACCAGTAGAGGCTGACTTTGTTTTGCCTATCTAATTTGTTTAGTTTAGTTTTGCAATTCAGCACCATCTTTGAGCTAATGATGTTTGAACTTAGCGCTTTGAAGGCTGCTTGACTTTCTGACATGATAGCTATATTCTTGTTTTATCCAGATTGAATTGGGTCCAACCTCAGCTTGAAAGATACTGGTGTATTTTCCCATGGGTTCTGAGTATTTGGTTCCTGGACTGAATACTCTTGCCCCTATACATTCTTACGTTCCAGATCTGTCTGTGTACCAGTAGATGGTGCCATTCTTAAAGGGTGGTTTTTCTCTCTCCCATTTTTATTTTATTTGGAAATTTCAATTTAACTCAAACTCCTGTTCATGTCATCTCTTGGGCCCATGAGTATTGTATGGTCTTTGATTAGACTATTGCTATCTCTCTCTATTTTAATTTTATTTCTATTAGATGTTTCTTTTTGATAATATTAATAATTATTTTCTGCGCTGTCCTCATTATAATGTGGTAGAGGGGGATACAATTTAGTTTTAGTAAGTGATCTAATAATATTTAAATGAAACAGGTAAAATTAAAAGTATTGATTATTACAATTTGATAAAATAAATGGTAGAAGTATTTTTTTTTAATAGACTTCTGTTAATGTTAAGTAGATGACTGTTTTGAAGGTTGGGATGATCTGTCAGGTAGATGTCAGGCCAAGTGTACTGACTAGTGAGTCTGCTGTGAAACCGTCTACACTCATGCTCATCTCCTTCTTTTCCACTGCTGGTCTGTCTTCTGAATTCTCTCCACTGACCTACCATTTACCGACACCTAGAAATGCTCCAGCTCCACGAAGTTGATATGCATGTTGTCATTAACAATGTATAATCTACAAGGCTGTTACATATGTTATAAATCCATATATGTATTTAGCAGTCATAATTGATCATAAATATTTAAATTAATTATAATTAAGGTCTTGGTTGAGATGAAAAAATTAGTGTCACAAGGGGGATTCGAATATACTATCTTCAGCTCAATATGCCACAGCAGCGAAGGTCGTGGGTCCTTCTTGTGACACAGTTTTTTTCATCTCAATCAAGACCTGTTATAAATGTTGTAAATATATGAATAAATATTCTTAATCATAGTAAGATAAGATTGTTAAATCAAAATAAGAATATTGTAAAGATTCAGATGTTATAAGTTTTATAAATATTTTTAATAAGATTTTTTTATACTAAAACCAGCTGGGCTATCTTGCCTTGATTCCTTGCCTAGCTTTAATTACCAAATTATTATTACAACTTAACTATAGTTGATATAAAAGGCAAATAAATGGAGCAAGATAAATCATATTATAAACAAGACTAATTTTTAGATTACATTTTTGCTGAGGTTATTTTATGTGGAGTATAAATATTGGTTTCATCGGTGTTAAATTTTCTGGTATAGATTGGAGGCTTTAAGGAATTGAAACATTTCATCCACCCGGAAAGATCATCGCGGAGGTCTGTCATATTATTGGATAATCTATGTAAATCTCTTCAAATGCTTATAGTAATAAATGTGGCATTCCATCAGAATGTGCCTCCCCGACAGTGGTTCATCACAGCATGCACACATTGGTGGAGAGCTCTATTCCATTAGGTGTATCACCCCGTGTGTATGACGTGTGAGTCCTATTCTGAGTCGGGTCATGACCACTACTTCACCCCTGTCGTATATTTATTCCCAATTAATAAAATTCTCCATACCTGCTATTTTCTTACCCTAAATGAAAACAAACTGATATATGTATAATAACTTCAAATACATTCACAGCAAAGATAGAAAAATCTAGTTACAAATTTATTTAAGAATTTTTTTTCGACTCAGGGCACATTTACTATGTAAATAATTTTTTCTTCTAATCGATAATGCGATGCTTTCCTATTCTGATCATCGATACAAAATATCTTAAATTCTTCAAAGGTCGTTCTACTGAGTACTTGGTCGCAACTCTGTATTGGGAGGTTTCCCTTTCAAAGTACGATCATGGACTTATCCAGAACAGGTAAATAAAACTTTTGCTTAATTCTATTTCGGCATTATGATAATCCAGTAAGTTTAACAATAATAAACGTGTTTTATTACTTAACAATTTACAAAAAATTAATTAATTGTAATGTGTGGTGATTAGTGACCGTTAATCGATAATTATTCAGAAATCGTGAGATGTGGTCCGGTACACCAGACCGCATCTCACGATTTCTGAATAATTATTAATTGTAATATTATTTTTTTAAAACACTAATGTACATAAACGTTGTCTGTCTACAATGATATTAAGTTTAAAAAAGAACTATGAAAACTGACAATACAGAATTTATTTTCATAATAGGATCAAGTAATTTATTATATAAATTAATTATATTTTTTATATAAGGTCTTGGTTGAGATGAAAACTATGAATGTCTCAAGCAGGTTTCAAACCCAAATCTTCGGCTTAGTACTACGCTGCTCATGAAGTCACAAGATCAAGACATTAGCTTTTTCATCTCAACCAAGTCCTAGAAAAAAGTATAAATAATTTAAATAATTAATCAGCCAATTATGACTACTAAATACATTTATGTATTAATATATTATAGTCCTAAAAGTTTTTTAATTTAATTTGGCTTTGGATAGATTTGTTTTAATTAGCCAAAATTAAAGCTTATTGCTTTTATTTTATTAAGTAATTATTATTTTACAAACCTTCAGAGTTTCAGTGCTTTCTTTTATATCTGTTAAGTGTTTTTATTTTAACTTTTTTTTCCATAATTAGGGTTGGATGTTTGATAGTTTCGCTTGTGACTATTTCATCTTTGTATTCATACTAAATTGTAATGGGCTAGGAACCATTTAAATCAAGTAATTCATATTTATATTATCATTTCTCAATATCCTTTTTTAGCTTTCACATTGCTAAGTAGGCCTTGGTCTATTTACCAGAGAGCAGTCCAGTTCCTTCCTCCTTTGCAGGCGAGAGAATATGCAGCAAGGAAGGGTACAAGAGAAAAGGCAAGAAAAAAGAAAGTTAAAGTGGAGGTGAAAAAAGTTGGCTTCATACCACACAAACTCAGAGAGAAACAAAAGTATTATTATTTATTTGTTTAAGTCTGTTACATAAATTTAAAAATCTTATTGTTATTATTAATATGTATTTGCCAATTTTATCATATTGTAGATGTAGATGTAATGTTTGGGGTGTATAATAGATATTCTCGCAGTTTGAGAGCTATTGTATTCCATGTTCTGGGCTTACCGCACACTGGTGAGCTCATCTAGGGATTTGATTAGTAGACCCGGTTTCAGTGATTGAATTTCTTGTAATATTACATTGTACATCCCAAAACACTTCCTCCTGCGGGCAAATTAACACCACAGTTTGTTAGGACGTTTATAGTGTATGTATGTACTGTTGACAAAAATTTTGTCTGCTTACTTTAATGCATTCTGCGTTTCTTCCCTTCAAAAAGGAAAGGTTCTTGGTTTATAGAAATCATGAAGGTAGGGTGAGTATGTAGATTCACTTTTTGTAAATGAAGGTTCTACTCATAGAGTTGTTGTTTACAATGATTCAGATTCAAGCATTAAACTCACCACCGGGTTGAAGGATTTACGAACACATCTCTCAACATGAATAATGATACTTTTGGCATGATATTCATGTTGAGAGATGTGCTTGTTTAATACTTGAATCTGGGTCATTGTAAACAACAAATGAGTAGAATCATCATTTTCAAAAAGTGGTTCTTGAATGTTTATGTCCATTGAGTCATTTCAACTGTTTCAATTTTCAATTTGCCTTTTTGTCTGAGACACTCATTAAAGCTGTGAATCCCTCTGCCAAAGAAGGGCACAGGATATAGCATTATAGCAGCCTCTTAGGACAACAAGGACTCTTGTTGCTTGCCCTCTACTACCACATGTCCTGGGACCCAGCAGAGGGTGACTATTTTTTTTGCCTAATTTGTTTAGTTTAGTTTTGCAATTCAGCAGCAACTTTGAGCTAATGATGTTTGAACTTAGCGCTTTGTTGGCTGCTTGGCTAGCTGGCACAGTAGTTATATGCTTGTTTTTTCCCCTTTGTTCATATGGGCTTCAGCCTGTAAGATTCTAGTGTATTTTCTCATATATTCTGAATATTGGTTCGAGGTTCCAAACTCCTCGCATCTTTCTGTGTTCTAGACCAATCAGTGCCCCTCCAGCAGTGTGTGTGTTAAGAGTTGATGGTGTAATATTTATAAAAGTACCCCATCGACCCTAATTTAGCTTAGATTGTTAATTTTCTTTGTATGAAGATAGAGGAATGTCCAGTACTCCACTGATTTACCAGAATGAGAGTCAGAGTCTAACCCCATTGGTAGGGAGCAACAATCTCCTTGGCATTCGGCTTCGCGACCCAGCTACATGACGGCAAACTCCCTGATGCATAGACACTAAGGTCAGCCCATCGAGAAGTGACAACCCTTCAGAAGTCCGAATAGTTTGCTACGCTTAGGCTATGCTGTCTTCATTATCATATGGTGGAGGGGGTTAATACCAATATTTTTTAAATAATATCTGTGGGACATACTCATAACTCTTATGCACCATATTTAATGCAACCATATTTAATTAGATGTTGCACACAAAGTGTAGATTGCAATAAGTGTTCATTTTATTTACTTTTTATTTTAATTTCAATGTTAATGTTTTTAAGTAAATGAAATTCTCCAGAATAGTATGCCTTTGTAAACAGTTAAATAAAGATAAGATAAGGATAATGTTTATTCCAAAAAAATATGTATATAATTTATGTTAACTTTTTTTTTTTTTTTTTTTTGTCTTATGATCTTTGCATATTAGCCATGACGAATCTCTTATATATGTTGTTCAAATTGGGGGTTATCAGGAAAAAAGGGCCAGAGGCGACGGTGGGAATCGAACCCACGACCGCGGCGTGAGAGTCTCTCATGCTAACCACTCGGCTACCGCGGTCCCCTATGTTAACATTTTTATTCATTTTTTCACTACTATTTTTGTTACTGTTTTCACAATTAATTATCAAAAATATTCATATACAATTTACAATTAAATAAAAAATGAACAACTAGAAAACAAACATCCTAATATCATCTAAGTATCAGTACACAGAACTCATTTTGGTTATTTTACTTTAACAATTTATTTATTTTAAGTAAGATTCATTTTGTTCGATTACTATTAGAAATATTTTCTCTAGAGATAAGGTAACAGTATCAAGACGAATAAATGAAGATCATAAAAAGTTGCCAATAGATGATGTTTGGATTACCCGATTTCACCAATCGAAAGTCTATGATTTCTCTGAAGCAGTAGAATGCCATCGTGAAACACATCATCCTCACATCTATAATTGCCCCAATGCTCCAATTAAAGCTTTTATAGAATTGGATTTGAAATCTACCAAAAAGGTATTTCAGTATTTATTTGTTTTACAGCATATTCTTTAATATATGTATTTTATTTTCTAGAATAAATACGTTGAACCGTTCAACAAAATTGCCAAAATACCAAATGTGTTTGATCACGGGGAAAAAAGATCAATTTTAGTGTTTTGTAAGACTCAAGAGGTAAAGGATGAGGCAGAAAATGCAGGTGCAAATCTGATTTTTGATGTGGATTTCGTCAAGAAAATACAAGTTCGTTTATGAACTAGCATGTTTTCACTCATGTGTTAACTGTGTTTATTTTTTCAGAAGGGAGATGTTATGCTGCCTGATTTTCAGTTCATACTTGCCCATCCTAATATTCTAGCAGAACTAGTCAGCTTGAGACCAATTTTACGGAAAAAGTTTCCAAATCCAAGAGATGGTAAGTTTTATGTACTATAAAGACACAGACAAAATTATTTTGTAAAACTTAAAAAATATTAAAATTCATCTCAAATTTAAACAAGAAGTGATTAATAAAGAAATTATGTTCAATTCTGTAGAAACCCTTGGACCTGATATTGGAAATATGGTAAAAACTTTTCAAACAGGCATTCATTATTATGCCATGAGAGAAGAATCTGAATTAGATTATGGCTGGATTGATACCTCCATTGGAACGGTATGTTTAAAACATTAACTTTTTTTAAAAGCTTTTTCATGTGCTTTTTTTTAATTTAATTTTTTTACAATATTTTTTTTGAGAAATTACTCCCATCATCAGCATCTGCAATATCTTATTTTTAAAAGCATAAGTATTAACAAAGAATATTAGTATTTTACTTCTTTTTTTTTAATAAAGCATACCTTAATTTTATTATTATTTTTTTAATGTGAAATTTTGTTTATATTTAGTTTTATTAAAAGCTTTTTGCCCATTATGCAGCTGTAATTTAAGTTTATTTATATACAATTTACTGTTATTAATTTAATAAGTAATTTAATAAATACTTAAGAATTTAAGTAATTAAAAAAAAAATTACTTGCCAACAAGTCGCATGACTAAGAATGGAAAAGGTTACCTATTTTTGGAAATATAGTACTACTCACAAAAGTTTTAGGCAGCTATACAGATTTTGAGTACTACATGCTCATCATCAGGCAGAAGATTCAAAATGTCTCTCAACGCGAATTGTAGAAATAGAAACATTTTGAGAAACGTATTTTTATCTTCTGCCTGATGATGGTTATTTATACTATAAAAGGCCAACTTTTTATACATTTCACTGACCTGTGGGACCATTTATATTTTGATTGCATCTGGTCCATTTGGTCAAGTGCACTCATACACTTATTGTAAATGTACCTACAATAGTTTTTGAGAAGAACTCATAGGTGGCACAGAACTGACCAGCATATAATCTGTCAGCGAAGATCTTATATGGACATCTCTTTTATCCTTTCACTTCATCCTTGTCCACTTCGTATACTGTTGGACCATTTCACCCCTTCTCAGTTTTTTGTTTGTTATGTCTGTCGGGTTGAAATTTCTGTTTTGTTGTAAAGTTCCTGTCATGTTCGTTTTGACTGAAATAAATCTTGAGTCAGTTTGAGGCTATTATAAAACTTGTCAGTGTCTTACATTTTTTGACCTCCCATCAACAAATGAATGACTTTACTCTTTTGGCTAGTAACTTGTCTGTCAGTTAGTAAACCCTAAAAAATATAAATACAGTTTTATATTTATCATTATAATAACCTAATTACTTTAAAAACTAAAATTCAGATTAAATGAATGAAGAGTACACTGAATTGTGTTTTCTCTGAAAACCCTGAAAATCACAAAGTAATAATATTTTAACATTTTACCCATCAATTCTGAATTTATATATGAAGAAAATGATCAAATCTTACTTAAAAAAAAAAAAATAAATAAAATCCAATTTTACCAATGTTTGAAAACTGGTTTCACACTGAATCTAGAAACTCCTTCAAAGTAGAAATAATAGCCAATAGAAAATGAATGTGTGTCAGAAGTGACCTGGTCTCAAAAGACACGCCACCCCATAGAGAAGACAAGTCACCCTGTATGTGTTACGTCTTAACTACAATGACAGCCACTTCATAATCTGTTATTGGTAATCCTCAATTACTTAGAGTGCACTCTGTCATAGCCTTGAAATATAATGTTTTCAACGCATCCGAAAATTGTTGTGTCTAAAGCTTGCATGCTTGTGGCCTTTTTCTTCGCCCTTTATCACTCAAATTGATAAGTGCCTATTCTTTGCAACAGTTATTTTATGTTCTCTCTTCTATTCTTTTTGATCAAGTCACGTTACTTGTTGATTAAGCTTATAAATTACATTACATTCTAGAAATTTGAAAAGTAGCATGGACGATCCATTTGTGTATGTAGAGACAGTTTGTATTTTGTTCATAGGTAATGTGTTTCTTCCTATAATAGCTCTGTATTTTCATAACCCAATATTATCAACCTGTTCAACTGAACTTTTGTTTCTTCTTTTTACAGCGGTTGCCCCTGTACCTTACACATACCACTTCCCCCCTTAAGTAATAACCAATTGTTGTTTCTAACTAAACATTTAATTATGTTTATTATAATTATTGGGATGATGCGTCCTTCAAAAAACTGGAATTTTACTTTCATAGTGAGAATTGCAACTCTTTCAAAATGTATTTAAACTGTACTTAATTTTAAATTAAAACACATGTAAACTCAGTCTCAGCTACGCTAATATCATCAATCAAATTCGATATCGATAATATGTATCATCGAAATTCACATCATCACATCACACAAAACATTAAAAAATCATCACATTCCACACATTGAACATTTCTACATAGTCTAATTCTTCAACAATTTGGCTTTCCTTTCCCTAATTATCCCCGTCTATATAATCCTGAAAGGATAATCAGGCCGAACCACTACCCATGTTTTTTCCCATTGTCAGCTCCTTTCGCCTCAAATAAAAATATCTTTTCATCCTGACTTCCTTCCCCCACCCCTTCAGAATCCAATGTATGTATGCATAAAACAGCAATATCTCATTGGCACTCTCAACACGACTCACAAGAATGACACATTTACACAGAAAGCAAACACTTTGAGTGAGTACGAATACTTTGATTGAATCTAAAATTTTCTAGCATTGTATAAATTCATAATTTTTTCCACATCCTACATGCATTTGTAAAATTCAAACAATGTTTATAAACCCCACGCCCTGAAGATGATCTCAATAAAGATCGAAACGTCGGCATGATAAAGAAAATGTTTTTCTAAAACCTGCATCACACCAGACCGCACCTCACGATCTCCATATAATCATTAGCTAACGGTCACTAAACACGACACATTTCTATTAATGTCGTTTGATCTCAGGTTTACTGCAAAATGCATTTTACAAATTTGCAGGATTTTTACAATTTTTTATATTCACTCATTTTTTAATTGGTCAATAGATAAATATGAGCAACAAACAGTTAGAGGAAAACATGAAATATCTCTTAGAAGATATAAACAAAAGACGGCCAAAACGAGAGGGACCTTTTATTACACGGTAAGATTTTATGATAGATATTCAAAAATCAAATTTATAATCATAAATATATGGCTATATTATATTTAAGATGTATTTATAATACAGTAGAACCCTCCCATTATCCAAGGTTCAATAATGAGGGAACTAATTAAGTGTGTAATTAATACATAATTAATAAATTACAAACAAATGACATTTTCTTTTAATCTACCTCTAATTAGGTAAGGCATCTCCAAAAAAAATGTAGATAATTACAATATTAACTAATATTAATAATAAATACAAGTATTAATACTCACTCTCCAGGATGTAGTACTATTTTGGAGGAAAAAACTAGTGTTTCTTATTAAATAAATAAATATTATTTTTTTTGTTTAATAACCTTTATTATTACAATAAAAATTATACCTTGATAATACATGGACCCTCTCACCATCATTCCCTGGATAATGAACGTTCTACTGTATTTAAAACCATTTATAATTTCACTATTTTGTAGTGTTTTGTTAAAAAGTGAGCCTTCAATTGAAAAATTCAAAATTGACTTGGTACCGTTTTTGGGCGAAGAAGAGGGAAAACAAGATGATGGTGATAGTGATGATGAAGAGTTGACGATTCAGCAGAAAACATAATTCTGACATTTTAAAGTTAATAATTGATTTAATGATTTTTTACTTTATTCAGTTACTTCTTCCTGTAGACAGATATTAAGAAAAAAGTGTATTAAAAGAAATGTTATCACTGATTGTTGTAATGTTTTTAGTCAACTTTTGCATGTATAAACTAAAATTTTAGATTGTGTTTATACTATTTTAAGTAAACATGTGGTATTTACCTTTGTCTCGTTTATTTATTTATTTATTTTTAAGTTTGCTTAAAATAAAATAAAAATATATTCCCAATATATATTTCTGACATTATTCAATTAAAATATACGTTAATTATTCAGAAATCGTAAGATGCGGTCTGGTGTGATGTAGGTTTCAGAAAAACATTTTCTTTATCGTACCAATGTTTCGATCTTTATTGAGATCATCTTCAGGGACTGGGATTTACAAACATTGTTTACATTTAACAAATACATTTAGGATGTGGAAAAGTGAATTTATAAATGCAAAATATATTTTTTTTATATTCAATCAAAGTATTCTACTCACTCAGTGTTTGTCTTCTGTGTAATTGTGTCATTCTTGCGTGTCATGTTGAGAGTGCCATAAAACAGCAATATCTCACTGGCACTCTCAACATGCTCTCAAGAATGGCACAATTACACAGAAGACAAACACTTTGAGTGAGTTGAAATACTTTGATTGAATTTAAAAAAAAATATATTTTGCATTGTATAAATTCACTTTTCCACATCCTAAATGTATTTGTTAAATGTAAACAAATGTTTGTAAATCCCAGGCCCTAAGATGATCTCAATAAAGATCGAAACGTTGGCTCGATAAAGAAAATGTTTTTCTGAAACCTACATCACACCAGACCGCATCTCACGATTTTTGAATAATTATCGATTAACGGTCACTAATCACCACACACTTAAATATGCATTTTTTGTAATGCATTTAATTGGTAATCAGAGGTGCCCAGTGTGTTGAATATTGAAGTCCGACCATCTTCCTGTTTTATGTCAAGTAATAGTATACTTTAATTATTTATTAAACTTTTCTATTTTTTTTTATCTCAGCCTAATGGCATGCCATGTGTGTTTGTCCTTGTTTACTGTAAATTCAATTGTTATTTCAATGTTGCAAATAGATGTTCATATGTATAAATTGTTAATAATAGTTTCAAAATATTGGCAGAAGTAATATATTTCTCAAAAGCTTAGCAGAAGGTACAAAGTATTTGTTTGTTGAATCTTTCATATTAATTTAAATTGTACTCTACAAAACGACGGTACATTACGGAAAATGAACACAAAAAGAAATGTGTTTTTTGGATGCCCAACACACTGCATATACCACCTTGATCTTCTTAAGTGTGAAAAAGATAAGAAAAGAAATGTAAAGCTAAGGAAGAGAGGGCTGGCGAGACCAGTGTAGTTTGCATTAAAAAAAGCTTGGTGAAGGAACTGAGATATACAGAAATTTCCATCAATGCTACATCCACCAAAATTTCAAATTAATTTTCTCGAATTTCAATCACAATGAGAATTCTTACAAGAAATAATGTTGTAAAGATCCATAGGAATGGGAGAATGCGATCATTGTTGAAACGTGTGAATTAAGTAGAGAAAAGGACTGATGTAGCAATGTATTTTGTGCTGATATTGAATTAAAAAAGTACTTTATTAGATAAGCAAAAGAGAAAAAAGTACTGCACATAACGGCAATGGTTATCACCCATAATGCTGACAATATATTTATTTAACATGTTGACTACTACCGTCATATATGCTATGGTAGAGAGGGTTCCTACCCTGACATTACTGCCATAGCTTATTTGGTGGGCACCTGAGCACATTTGGCAGAGTATAGAAACCCTCAGCTTCAATGCAGGTATTTGTGGTTTTGCACTTGCCAATACATATTGCAACAAAATTATGGTTTTAAAAATTTTATTTTGCCTTATTTCCATTTTGATGTCTTGGGTGCAACTAATATAATTGATTTATTTTAGATTATAATATATTAAACCAGAAATATAAGTTGGAAAAAGCAAAAACTATCACTAAAAACTGGAATATCACACAAGAGGGTTATGCCATTAGTTGTGTGGGGTTGCAGAACCAATATTCTATTGCTACCGCTGAATAAGTTGACACTAGTTTTTTATTGAAAAAATGCATTTAAAAAAAGAAGAAACTTGATAATATGGTCATACTAAGGTAAATGGAAACCAATTATTAAAAAAAAAGTTCCTGCCAAAAAGGTAATGCTAATCTACCAAAAATTCCTTTGAAATACCATTTGTGCAATTATTACAAACTGCATTGATTGGCCCATATTCTCTTAAGGATGGATGGTTAAGGCTTTTCAATCCTCTTTGTTAAACAGTAGTGATTTGACAGCAGAATAACATTATTAGTATGCTAATAAGTATATTAGTATAGATAATGATGTAAGTATATTGCTAACAAAAAAAAGTCAAATATACATGGCTGTTGTCTAAACCAAAACTCTCTCTCTCTCTCCTCTCTCTCTCTCTCACTCACTCACTCTCTCTCTCTCTCTCTCTCTCTCTCTCTCTCCTCTTATTATGTCTCTCTTTTCTGTTTGTTCACTTTCATGTTAAGCGTTAGAAAGGTCCACGATACCTAACTTTGCTTTTTAATTTAAAAAAATTGTGTTTTAAAATTTATGTTTCATTTCTAGCTATAGTAATTAAAGTTAGCACATTTTATGGTATTATACTGACTGGTAGTAAATTGTGGCATAAACTCATTAATTGTCTTAATAACACATTATATTATTTCACAATATTTCTTCCACATTTAATTTAATCAAATGATTATGCAATTCAATCTCTTTTACCCTTAATCACTTAATCAATAAAAAATTATTCTTTATCAATTTTTTTAATAGACTATCACACATGATGACATAGTTAAATCAGTGTTTGTTATAATAAGATCTACAATAAAGAAAAATGTTTAAAAGTATTTTTAAGGTGCCTGTTAGTAAGTATCCACATTTTAAATTTTAAACTTGAGATAATTTCAGAACACATATAGTTTGGTTTATCTACTTTGCTAGTTGAAAAAAATAAAATAAATTTCATTTAGTTTAAAATTACTACAAATGAGTAGTCTAAATATCTCTCAGTTATATGAAACAACATAATTTTTAAGAATTTTAGTCCTAAAAATTTCCATTGAATATTAATAGAATTCATTAAAGGTGGACACGTCCTGACATGAGTAAAAAGGGTAGATGATCAGAGATGATAAAATAACTTAATTGATTATGTATAGTATGATGATAGCATTTATTATCTTGGTCAAATTTCTTTAGCCAAATTAAATAATGCTTAATTATTTGTTATAGTACGTAGACCGACCATGAGTAGTACGTTTAAGATCTGATTTCTGTTCAGATTACTTGCTAAGCTTTCAGCTTTTAGCTTTTATACAACCAACCTCAGGGCCTAAAAATTTGCATAGATGTACCAGCATTTAAAAAAACCTTAATGTCCTATTATTTAGGACATTAATTATAAATTTTGTTCATACCGGCTCACAGAGTGTTCCAAGGTGTAAATACTTGTATATCTTTTTTTATATTGTACCTGTAGTTAGTTAGTAAATAAAGCATAATCATTATTATATGTGTTACCTTTATTTTAAAGAAACAAGCATAAGAATTTGGTTGGTGAGGCCTGCCAGCACTGATGTGGGGGTGAAGACAAGTTTGTATGACTTCCATGTTGAAAGGAGTGGCAAGATGGTCAACTTTTGCGGGTTTCAGCTCCCAGTACAATATGGAACAGAGAGCATAACAGAGTCTCACCTCCATACAAGAAAATTCTGCTCAGTTTTTGATGTGTCGCACATGCTTCAAACAGAAATTGTTGGTAAACATAGAGTTGAGTTCATGGAGAGTCTATGTACTGCTGATATTGCAGGTTAGTGTTTCACTTGTCAAAATGGATTAGTGTGGTAATTACTTAAATTTCTAGGAATGCCTGAAAATGGGAGCTCCCTGAGTCTGTATACTGAGAAAGACAATGGTGGAATTTTAGATGACTTAATTGTCACCAAGTGCAACGATCATTTATACATAGTATCAAATGCATCAATGAGAGATCAAGACTCCCAATTAATGTTAGCTGCAAAGGTTGGTATTTCAAAGCAAACACAAAGATTTATTTTTAAACAAGGATTTTTTTTGTTGGGGGGAGCCTATAAGTATGTTGGGTTCTCAGGACCTTTATGTACAGTGACGAGTCTTGTGGCTATCCCTAACATTTCATATTTAATGTATCTAACTAACTGAACTAATTGTATCTAAATCTAATTTATTTACTAGTATTGATTATTGTACATTGATTCAAATGAGATAAAGCCATGATCTAATAATCAACAAACATTAAACATTTTCAACAGAAACATGTTAAACATTTTCTTTACTCTCTACTTAAAGAAGTAACTCTTCCAAAATAAATTGTTATTAGCTCAAGTGGTAGAACAGCGGTGTATTTAACCGAAGGTCGTGGGTTCGAATCCCGCTTATGACACTCGTTTTTTTATTTCAACCAATACCATACCTAAAGATTAATTAATTGAAAGAAGTTATTTAGTCGATCGAGCCACGAAATATAATGGATTTAATAAATTGTTATATTTCTTCATGTGGTCTGAAGTGTGATGAACCAGGAATTTAGTTGTTACTGGTCATTTTGGTCTGCCTATCCTTGCTGAGTTTGTCTGTTAGATGTGGCTTGTCGCCATCCTCAGTGGTGCAAAATGCCAAAACATGTCTAATAGACCAGCCCATTAGGATAGGCAGGCCAAATAGGTGCTAAAAAATCTATCAAAAAGAGCAACATTAAAAACATGTTATTTAAAATTTTAAGCTTGTGGAGAAAAATTGTGAAAAAAAAATTATTTTAGGACATCTTCAATCGAAATGGGAAAGATGTAAACCTGACGTTTTACAACCCAGAACAGCGATCACTGCTTGCAGTACAGGGGCCAAAATCACAGGAAGTGCTACAACCATTAGTAGAGGGTGTTGATCTTAAAAATTTGTATTTTATGTCAACGACAAAAGCAAAGATGTTAGGTACTGGAGTGGAGCTAAGAATCACAAGGTGTGGCTACACTGGTGAAGATGGTTTTGAAGTCTCAATTGACTCAAAACATGTCCAGACTTTGGCAGAAATGCTAGTGAAGAATCCTTATGTGAAGCTTGCTGGTCTTGGTGCGAGGGATACTTTAAGGTGAGTTGTACCATTTCAGCATGGAAAAGTTATTTAAAAGATTATTTATGTGCTTTTTTAACCACCTATTTTTTTAAATTTCCTACTACTATTGATATACATTAAAAAAAAAGTAATTTATGTGTTCCTTTCAATATGTTGTAATCTCTAATGTTGTTCTATGAAATAATTATTCTGACAATTGTTGTATGAGACACGATTACCAATCTAATTAATTATTTTGAAATCTTGGTAGCTAGCTCGATTATTTCCATTCAAACTCTAGACTAACCACTGTCTCACCGAAGGTTTAACAACCACAGGAGGAAATCTCACATTTATGAAAGTACTGAAGTTATTTACTTCACTCTAAAAAAAATAAAACCATGTTTAACTATATGATTTGGACATCTCCATTTACTTTCATATTAACAAATTCTGTACAGTAATGTTGTCAGTTGACAAAGCAAGATTTTTAATTGCATGAACTGAGTATGTATAATTAGAGTAAAACTTATGTTACATCTTGACACCAGTAAGCATTCTCAGTTGTGCTTAAAACCTTAGTTTGGATACACAAAGAAAAACAATCTTAATGCAATTAATATTGCATCCTTTTGTTTCACCCCTTTTTTAATGCATGTTTTAATTTAATACATATTTTTTTTTAATTCATTCCAAACATCGGAAGTTAGTTGATGAAACATTTTTTAAATTTATTTTTAAGGATAGTATTAGCCTTGTTTAATAGCAGATTGGGGCTGACCCCATTTTTTTTCCTGGTGTTCATTAAATTCTAGGATCAACAATAGAAATTGAAACTTTAGCATCGTGACAATTGTCCTATCACATTGGTCACCATTATCCCTTCCACATTTCATTAAACATATGTAGGTTTTGGACACACCATTGGGAAAAAGGAGCAAACTGTTGCATTCAAATTTGCCTCACTTATGTTAAAACATGGGCCCCTGGGCACGCAGGGCATAGAGGCAATGAAAAGGTTGACATGTTGGCCAAATAGGGAGTCAACATGGACTCTCTAGGTCTTGAATCCTATGTGGTTTAGCATCCTGTGACAAAAGACAAGTATCCTCATACATCTTTAAATGGATCCTTAATGAGTCATTTCCTGGTCGAACAATACCACAGATATGAGGCATGCAAAGAGATCATAGAAGGGCCACCCACAAAACTCACAAAGGAATTACTGGAAGGCAACCGCAACTGAACTAGGATTCTGGTTGTACTCTTGATTGGGCACTGCCACTTAAGAAAGCACATGAACCAGATAAGAGTATAGGCTGAAGAAACAATGTACAGATTGCCAGGAAGTGGAGGAGACCGCAGAACACTTTCTATGTTTATGTGAAGGTCTATGTAGGTGCAGGTTCTTGCAACTAAGACAGGAAAAACCACAAGCAAGATCCTGCACTAAGGAGCCACTGTATCGTACACTATGGAGGTAGATTAACAACCTGAAACTGGCCAGTGTTAAAAAAAAAGAAGAGAATAAAAGCGCAGAAGGCCTTGTGAGTGCCTCTTTTATCCCTCCCTATCTTTATGTTAAAACACGAGATGAGTCAGATTTCAACATACCACAAGAAAACACATTGGTTGTTGGTTAATTTTTTTGGTAAAAGCTCCACTATGTTTTTCTGCTCGTTATTTGTATTAATTACATAAATTTGATTGATCTTTCTTTCAAACACATTTATAAAAGCAAAAAATAACGCAACAATTAGGACTTGCGTTTAAAATTAACTCACACTGAATATCAGTTTACAATTGCAAGAACTTACTTATTTGTCATTATTATTTTTTTTTTTTAGGTTGGAAGCTGGATTATGCTTGTATGGCAATGATATTGATACCACAACAACACCAGTTTCTGCTGTTTTAATGTGGACTGTAGGTAGGCAAGATTGAGAGTATGTATAGTACATAGCATGTATTAAGCATATAATAATGAAGATACACTGTATGTAGAGTATCAGTTATTCACATTTTAGTTATCTTATATGACAGGTTTTAAGGGCTAATTTCATCAAGATAGAAAAGACTGAGTCTAACCTTATCCTCAACAAAATGGCGTAGGTGATTTTTATGCCCATTGTGAAAAATGTAATTTTCAAACAGTTTAGCATCATTTCATGACCTCTTTTTCCATTTATCCATTATATACTATATCATTATTATAGACAATGATTGAGCAAATATAATTTAATTTATTGCTGATAGTGTTAAATTGTTATAGTATATTATTTATTATATAATTAGGTTGATTATTCAATTGTAGGTAAAAGGAGGCGACAGGCGCAAGACTTTCCAGGTGCAAAAGTTATTCTATCTGAGCTCAAACAGGGCCCGTTAATGAAGAGGGTAGGTCTAATCTCAACAGTGAAGAAGAGTCCCCCATTCAGACAAGGAGCTTTAGTCATTGATAAAGATGGTCGTGAAGTCGGCAAGGTAACATCAGGATGCCCATCACCTAGTCTTGGGGTCAACATTGCCATGGGCTATGTAAAAAGTGAGCATTGCCGAGCAGGCACTCAACTTTCCGTCCGAGTTAGAAACACCGACGTTGATGTTGAAATAACAAAAATGCCATTTGTGAAAGGTAATTATTACCACGCTCCTCAATTAAATAAATAATTGTCAAAATTATTATGTTACACGAAAAAAAGTATAAATGCCATTGTATGATGCAGTCAAATTGTAATTTAGCTTGTTTAAGTAAGAACATACATGTACAAGTGATTTGTAATTGATTTTAATTGATCAATTTCATTTATTTTTGGTAACAAAAAGTAATTAAAAGGGAAAACAAAATATTTAATATGTATCATGTAAATTTGTGTAATTCTTAATATTTAGAACAAATAAATTTGTTGAGGTTTGAAGTTTCTCATTTGGTTGTTATAGGTAAAATAAAACTACTGTATACAAAACCTTAATGTACATTTTAATTTGAACAAAAACTCACTTGTCTCTGTATTTTTTATGTAACAAATAAACTATTTACATATAGTTCTCTCATATTTACATAATTCATATTTAAATTTGTATACATTTTTTTCATATTATGAATGATACATTAATAATTAATTGCACATTGACAAGTTTTAAAAATTTAACTTTATTTTTAAAGTAAAACAAAAACCTTGCGTGATTTACCATAATTTAAGAAGTTATGGTATGAATCAATTATCAGTTTAATTTATAAAATTAGATAAGAGTCTTTTTGGTGAATATGACTAAAAAATCTAAAACATATCACTAATGTTTAAGCAGTATAATTAACATACCTAAATAAAATGAAAAATAAATGTTGCAGGTACACATTGTTAGGTTTAGACATAACTTTTCTGCACAAATATACAATTATAGTCAATATATATATGTTATATTTACACAATTTTTAAAATGTACAATTTCTTAAACTGTACAATATATACAGTGTTCATCATTGTATAAAACAAGAGATCAATATTAAAGCTTGTGCTACATAAAACTTTTAGTTACTATTTGAAGCTGAGATTTTTCTTTGACGTCGTCTCCGATTTGGTGATGGAGACCTGGAAGGTCTACGTTTTCTTCGTTCCCTGTCCATTTCTCTTGCTTTTCGCTGTTCAAAATTACGTATTTCTTCATCCCACTCATTCTGTACTCCATCAAACTTATGGCGCTGATGGGGTCCACGAAAGCTGCTACCATTACTTCCTCCCCGCCGTTGACCAAACCTTCCACGAAACTGTCCCAGGCGTCCTCTTTGGTCAAAACCTCTTCTGAAATTAGTTCCACTGCTACCTCCACCACTACTACCTCCCCTATTGTGGATACGTGGTGGCACCCCTCGTGGTACATTATTTGGTCCTCTATGCTCCCATTTCCTATTCCTCCTTTCTGACATATAATCATCTTTGTGTAAATATTCTTTGAAATTTTTGTGTACATCAAATTCTTTGGTAGGTGAGTATTCCTTTCTTTTCCTTTGTGGATGTGTGAGGTTGGGTATGGGCTGAACTGTTGTAAGAGCAGGTGGTGGTCCTTTAGGGAAAGGTATCTGCTGTGTGGGGAATGGAGGTGGTGGTAAGAGTGGTAGAAGCGGAAAAAACATTTCTGGCTTGTGGGTTTGTTCCATTTCGGCTGCTTTCCTGATAAGATCTGCATCTGAGAGCTGACTCAAAGAAGATTTGGGCAAAATAATTGGTCTCTGCCGTGGGTCACGGCTGGTTTTTTCTTGGATCGGCCCAGACAGCTCATCCTCAGAATGGTCATCATCCTCATCCCGGTAAGCAGCACTAGTGTAAGCTCTGACTATTGGATCAGAGTTAACATCTAAAACCCGTGATTGGCCATTAAGTGAGTCAGGAACTTTGATGCTTGCTAAAATTTCTTGTAGATTCGATGGCAGTTTTATATCAGGTAAAGTTTTAGAATCAAAGAAAGGAATAGAGTCAGAAGTAGTGGGTGGGGTAAATCTTGCACTTGGACTATAAGCATCATTTTCATCATCCTTAAAAAACAAACAAAAACAATAAATTAATAAATTATAATTGATAAACATGGTGGTGAAACATTTTATGAAGTAATAATTTGATAAATAGTATTGCATACACAGGGTATGTCAGATGGATGCAACACAGAAAAAAACTAAGTTTTTTGTTGATTAAAAGCTTCACTGTTTCTTCTGCTGCTTAAAATTTGAGTAACCTTTCTTTTAAATGCATTTTTTAACATAAAAAATAAATAAATAAATTTTAATTAAAACCAAGTAAAACCAAATAAAAACTAAATAAATTAAAAAAAAAGTCCATATAGAATTTTACATAAATGTTCCAATGTATAAAAATGGTTATGATGGAGTGAGTATATTAATTCAGTAGTTGGTAAGGATAGTTTTTATAATGAACTGTTTTTTTTACAAATTTTTTAGTTCTGTTTTTAGGACAAACCTTTATTTGTTTATTTATTTATTTTTTTAAGAGGGTTTGCAACAGCAGAGGTTATACCATTTAACATTATCACCATAAGTAACTGCTTCTCAGTTTATAAAAAATCATGAAGCCATCAATCAAGCGATCATAAAATATCACACATTTCCTGAGTTTTTGGTGTTAGTTTGGTTTTGTGGAAGAAACTCAAAATGTACAAAGAAAAGTATACCAGTCCCTTCTGAGGCCGTCGCCACACTAGACGGAATGCGACGTAAGTTTTCGTGACGGAAATACCACCCACCCCAAACAAGCCACATATACAGTGGAAATGATCGGAATGACTTCAACAACTGGATATGCAGTTCATAACGTCTCAGTTGATCATGTACAGTACAAGAAACAACTTTTCATTTTGTGTATTTACAAGGCAATGGAGAAGCAGAAGAGAAAGAGAGAACATTGGATTCATCCACTGAAATGAAAAGGGTAGCACTTGGTCAATTACACTGTCTATATGGGGAACTTCTACGCTATCCTGTCAAGTTCTTCCAATACTATGGAATAGAACTTCCACAATAAATTATTCCAAGTCAATCCTAAATCAGCTTCACTTGCAGTTTGAGTGTCCAACTGCCTTCCTCTTCTACGCTTGTCTGTCATCATTGTGGCGCATCCCATGTACTTTCTACTGTTTAGATGGAACCCAGTGGAACAGACGCTGGAGCTCGACTGAGACATTACGACGGAAATTTCCATTCAGCCTGTCGTTGGCTCTCTGTTTTGAATGTAAGCTTGTGCAGCGGAAATTTCCGTTGCGAAAACTTCCATCACATTCCCTCTAGTGTGGCGCCAGCCTAATTTCATCAAATGTATAATCTTCCTCAAACTCTCAATTTAGTCTTTGTCATAGATAAACGGTGCCATGCAAACCCTTTATTACTTTATTCAAGCGATATTAAAATATGGAATATATTTTTCATCACCAATCACAATTTAAGGGAACATTTAAGAAATCCCAACAGAAAATGTGAACTATAAAGTTCTGTTCTTTGAGCTCATGGGGTATCCTGACATTACAGTCTGCTTACAGTGTTTTTAAGATGAGCAACAACAGTCAGTTTGATAATATCCAGTGTTTCAGCAATCTAATAAACAGTACAATCTTCATTTCACTATCTATGTTTTAATAACCTAATATTACTAATATAAACTGCTGAACTGTAACCAGTCCGGGAACAGTCTTAATTCTAGGTGGAATACCCCAGACATGAACTGTGAAATTGGTTTTAAACTGCATGGTGCTCCTTTGCCAATAAACAGTGCAAATTTTTTTTTGTCCTTTGGCCCGTGTCCTTTCCCTTTTTTAAAAACAAAAAGCATATGTACTATAATTGATAATATTGACACTCATTTGTGGTTTGGCTACAACATTCGTAATGAACCTTGATAAAGACAAATTCCACAAGTAAACATACTTAAAACCTTGAGGATAAAATTTATGCAAGTATATATCATTCATTCATTTTGTTGAGTATTAGATAAAAGAAATATGTAATTTCACAATCTGTACAAACTTGTCGAACAACCCAATATATCAATGGTCAATCCTCAACCCTGATCACTTCCACCAATTCTAAATTTAAAAAATTGCAATTGTAGTAACATCGTCATTATTCAACAAAGCATTAAATTTTTAAACATGTACTAAATAGAAAAATAAAAATTCACCATTGTGTATGCAGAGTCTGTAATGCCGGGTATAACATTGGGTGGAAGAGAGGCAGCTGAAGTCATGATTTCAATTTTTTGTCTCTTTTCCTCAATCATGCGGTTGACTTCCTCAAGATTGCGCTGAATTTCAGGGTTTGGTTTAACAATTATGCTTTCTGCTTCCATATCTTCTGGGGAATAAGGGTCATCCTCACCAGGACTGTATGGCTCATCATCCAAATCTGAAATATGTTCAATATTTCTTTAAAAATGTGGTGCTGTAATGGTAAACTTCTTCACTTTTCGGAAATGCAATTATTATTCTTTTAATGTTAACTTCCAATTTGATAATTGCAGAGACATATAATGTATATTACTAAGTGCTCTCATACATAATAACATTAATTAATTCAATAAAAAACAATATGAGGCATTTCAAATACTGGGACTTCGCGTTAAAATCGCTTTGACTATATTCGCATCAATGCACTAAAACAAACAAATGATATAAAAAGCTGAATTTTGTGTATAGTTACCAGGTAAGGGAGGTGTTAAGCCTCTTAAAGGTAGACGTTTCAGTGCAGAAGTTGGTGGCAATGGAGGAGTTGTGGTTCCATCAGGTAGTGGTGGTGTGTATGACCTCTCTCCTATTTTGCTTTGACACACGGATTTTTTTCTTTACAATTTAAACAAACAATACAATGTAATAAACAGTGTAATAGACAAATTAGTACGCATTTTACATTACTTACTTATGAATAATTGAAGGGAGTGATAATGAAGTGTTTCCCCTGTAAAAGTTTAATTTTATAGTAAATTTAGAATTAGAATAAAATAAATAAAACACAGTACACTACCAAAATATTACTATTCTCGTTAAAAATATAAACATATTTTTACTCACTTTTTTGTCCTAATTATTATCCCCAGCAAGAGGTGTGGCCTATAATCATCAAAGCCAGGGCCATCAAGTGGTAAAAGAACTTGCGGTATTGGACTATGAGAAGCAAGTGGTAAAACATAGAAGTCTTTGACCGTTTTTGATATGGCACCAATAACAGCCATTCGGTTCCTGCTGTTGAGGTAGCTATAGAGACTTAGATAGTTCATTTTCTCCTCTTCGGATTCAGATTGGAACCGGATGACAACAATATCTTTGGTGCCAGCCTTCTTCATGCGCGAGACATAATCCCAGACAGCGTCAGGCTGGATCCGACCGACACATTCTAGATTTGAGAGTAATTCGATATCAAGACCTTCACAACTCCCTGAAACCTCATATGCTGATGTATACAATTTGGTCACCTCACTCATGTTTAGAATACCGGACCAGAATGGTGGCTTGTCCTCTATATATGGCGGAGTGTTTATTGTGACAGTTGATGACGGTTCCCTATCTGACAAGTCATCTTCTTTGAGTTGATTTTCAGTTAGAGGTGGTGGTGTCAAAGACCTTTCCATATCTATTTTTGTGTCACAGTAGGGTGGTAACGGTGGATCATCATCCTTCTTTATATTCAAAGGAATTTTGTCCGAATTTGATTTTGAGTCTGTTCTTTTAACATCTCTTGATTTAGACCTCTCTTTAGACCTACTTCGACTTCTTTTGGACTCATCTCTTGATTTACTTCTGCTCTTTTCTTTGGAATCAGTTTTATTTATTTCTTTTGATTTACTTTGACTCGACCTACTCTCTTTGGATCTGCTCCTATGGCCTGACCTACTCCTGCTTCTATGTGACCTTTTTCTATCTCTCCTCTTATCTTTTTTCCTATCATCTTTCTTTTCTTCTTTCTTTTTCTTTTCTACGGATGTTGAAAGGTTCACATTTAACAATGCTGTTTCCCCATCTTTTTTCTCCTGTTTTGCACTTTCAATTTCATAATCATCAGCCGTTCTATTTAAAGCAGATTCTAGTTCTGTAATATTTGCTTCATGGTTTTTGGATTCGATTACCTCTTCACCTTTTCGACTCTTAAGTACAACAGTTTTTGCTTGATAAATCAGATCCAACTCATTTTTCTTTATAATTTCTATTTGGTGTTTTGCCTCCTTCTCTCTCCACTGAGCCAATTCTTGTGATGCTAGCTCTTCTGGTGAAAGCCTAACCAGTTGGCTGGGACTCACTGACTTCTCTACAATTTTCCTGTACAGAGTTAAATTCTTAGCATCTTTGATGTTAAAGACAAGGCTCCTGTACTTAGCCTTGTATTTGGCGCCAGTATCTTTGAATAGATTGAATAGCTCCTCCTCAATAGAAGTAACAAGCTCTTTTATTTCATCTGTTAGAATGTTTAGCTCAGGATCTTGTTTAACCCTCTGTTGCAATAGTTCATGTAAAGTCCTCTTCACATTAGCCCTAATAGGCTCAGGCTGTTGTTTTGGAGTTTCTTCCTGCTTAACAGTAGGTGTAGAGCATGAACTTTTACTCTCACTCTGACTACTACTCTTTTTATCTTTTTTAACAAGCTTGGCCTCAGATTTGTCTTCCTTCTTCTTGTCAAGAATTGGGGTGACAGATGTTGCCTGTGTTTTCTTCTTAGTTTTCTCTGAATCCTCAGCCTTTGCTTTCACTGTCTAAAATCAAAATTAAACTTTCACTTTATATGACATTAATAAATGAAATGTATTCCTTATTATTATATTAACAGGAAACTATGATGACCGAGTGGTTAGGGTGTCTGACGTATCGTCACACTAATGGTACTGGTTCGAATCCCAGCATGGATTTTTAATTGTGAATAACATGGAGTAAGAAAAGTGGTTTGACTCCTCGTCCAAGACATCCAATGATAGTTCTACTCTCAGAATTGTTGTTAACGACTATCTGGATTTTGAGCATTAAACGCTCATCGTCTAGTTGAAGGTATTAGAAACAGTCTCTCGATGTGAATTATAAGATCCACCACCAATGACGCTCCACTCAAGACATTCCAATGAAGCTTTTTAAAACCGCTTCTCAGTGGAATGCCGCGTTGGAGGTGGATTTGCAAGTCACTCTTACAATTCATCGAAAGACGTGTTTGTAATTCCTTCAACCTGATGATAAGCATTTAATGCTTGAAATCCAGAGAGTTGCTAACAACAATTCTGTGAGTAGAACAACCTTTTACAAAAAGTGAAAAAAAAAAAGTTAAACAAATGTGCTTTCACAATTTGGCAACTAATACTTGTATTATTAAACTTCCACAGCTTCATTCTAATATCTAAGCCTCTGCTCAGCTGTAATTAAACTTATAAAACACAACTTTTTACTTTTTAAATTTGTCAGAATGTTTTGAACATTAGTTCAGTAAAGCCTAGAAAAGGTAAATTTAGATATGTGTGGTGACTATCCTTATACAAAAATGTCTTTTCTATACCGACTTCCTTCTCCACCCCTTCAAAATCCAACGTATATAAACATAAAACAACAAAATCTCACTGGCACTCTCAATACGACACGCAAGAATGGCACAATTACAGAGAAGACAAACACTTTGAGTGAGTAGAAAAACTTTGATTGAATATATATATAAAAAAATATATATATATTTTGCATTGTATAAATTCACTTTTCCACATCCTAAATTTATTTGATAAATGTAAACAATGTTTGTAAATCCCAGGCCCTGAAGATGATCTCAATAAAGATCAAAACATTGGCACGATAAAGAAAATGTTTTTCTGAAACCTACATCACACCAGACCGCATCTCATGATTTCTGAATAATTAGTAAATTTAGATATTACTATACATTCTTACCGTCAAAGGTGTATGTGGCTGAGCTTGGATGATCTGTACAGTTTTCTGACAGGGTTGAATGATTTTGGGACTTGATGGAATAACCTTTGGAATGGGTACAACAGACTTCGGGTTCGGCTGGACTGCTTTTGGGCTGAGTTGGGCTGCTTTAGAAGCATTCTGAATACTCTTCTGACTTGTTTGAAGGTTTTTCTGATTGGTATGAATATTCTTCAATGGAGTCGCAACGTTTTTTTGGCTTGATACCAATTTTTGTGAGCTGGATGTTTTAGTTACAGGCTGTAAGAGTTTGACTGAGAACGGGTGTTTTTCTACTGTAGCCTAAAAGAAATAACTTCTTTAAAGCTGCTCTTTATTCTGCCTTTAAAATAGGTAGTACAACTTACTTGTTTAGTTGCTAAAGGTGACGATGTTTTTACCGGTGATGGGTCTGTGTTTTGAGTTAACTGGGGCTTAGATGGTGTTTGTGTTTTATTTGGCATCTCCACAGTGCTGACTTTATTTGCAACTGCCGTTTTGTAATATTTGTTCAAAGGCAAAATACTTGGCTTTACAACTTCAAATGTTTTATGAGATATAAGCCAGTCTGCCAGATTTACAACTGAAGGAGCTTTTTCACCAGAGAGAAGTCTTCCAGTTTTTTTCTCATATACGACCACTTTTGTAGCAGGATTTAGTCCTACTGTTTCTCTTTTAAGCATGGCCAACATCATAAGGACATGCTTCTTGATACATATGTCAGAGCAGAAGTTATTATTATCTTTTGCCATTTTCTTGCAAACAATACACTCAATAGTAGTAATAGGCCTTAAAAAAAATTAAAAATTAATTAATAAAACAAACTTAAGTATTTCAAGATAAAAATAACAATAAAATAAAACTAACTGTTCTTCTCCTTGGGGCTTAGAATCCACTTTCTGTAGTGGAGTCACTTCCTGATTAGACTTTTGAATGTGTTTCAGTTTTGTCTCTTTGCAAGTAGGGCAAGACCACTCAACTCCCTGCTGTTCCATTTGCTGCCCAAGACTTTTGGTGATGCCCACACACTTACCATGAAACCACTCTTCACAACTGTCGCAGCATATCATGAACCTTGGAAATTTATTTGTTAGTTCCTTTCTAATAAAATATCCATTATGTAAATGGTACCTGTTGTTATGTGGCTTTTTACAAATGCACCAAAGCCTATCTGGATCATCTTCTGAATTCCAGCTTTCGTCATCGCTGTCTTGATCGTCTTCCCCATCTGATTCTTTACTCTTCAGCAAATTTTTTCTTGACAATAAAAATTTGATAAAAATATCAATTTCTCAAAATATTTTGAATTGTGGGAATCTTAAAAGCTATTTTAAGAAGTATATACAAAATGTGATAGTTATTTTGCGTTAAAATATTTTCATTTCAGTGAATTGTAGCACAATTTGTAGAAAAAAAACAAACTTCAGATTCATTTGATTAGGATGAAATTTGAACTTAAATTAAAAGGGAAAAAAAATTAAATCAACTTACTTTTCAACATTGGACTTTTTGGAATCAACTGAAGCTCTTCGGGTTTCTTGCTTGTGAACTTCCCTCGGTTGTTGGGAATCCTGTAATAAGTTTATATGATTAAAATTGAGGAGCTGCTGAGAGATTGTGGAGAAGTTTTCAACTAGTAGATTTATGTTAACATTTGTTAATATTTATTAATCGAAATACATCATTACCTGCACTTTTGCAGCAGCTGCTTTTTTTGTAGCTGATCTGGTGGCTGGTAACTCTATCGGCGGTAGCTTCCTCAAAGTGGGTAAGGAGGAAGTGGATATCTCATCAGTTTGTTTGCCTTCTTGTCCAGGGGTTATCATCGCACCAGAACTGGCTAGAGGTGGCTGATCCTGCCCAATTTCCATTTTCTTTAAAGTCTCCTCGATTTGGCAATCAATCATCTTGATAGATCCCTGAATATTTTACCCCATATAAATACATTTGCTCTTAAAGGTATTGATAAAATTATTATAATCAACATTACACAAAATATGCATTAATGTTTTCTCTCTCACTCTCACTCTCTCTCTCTCTCTCTCTATCTATCTATCTATCTATCTATCTATCTCTCTTACTCTCTCTCTCTCTCAAATAAATACAATAATTTTAATTATAATTTTTTTAAATAGTAATTTAATAAATACATTTTATTAATTTCCTAAATTGTAATTCAAGACTTGGAAGTGTAAAAGTTGTGTTTAGGCACATGAAAATTTAAACAATACAGTTCACCGTGTCTTTTGTCTTATTAACTTTTTATTTTATCTTATTTGATTTCAGCTAATAATAAACTATTACTGAATACATATTGCTTAATTTTACTTGGAAATAAAGAACAAAAAAGAATGCGTGCGTGCCTCCTATATCATCCATCCCATCGGTATACCTTTTATTAAACAACAGAGGACAGAAACTATAGACTTAAACTCAGCTGCATCCTCAACAAATGTTTTAATAAGAGAAGCCTCCACCCCAAAAATCAACATTTGAGGATACTATAAAAGTTGTACTGCACATGACTTACCATTGCATCCTCATCATTTGTAAGTTCATCAAAAAGTAATGCCTCTGCAAGAAACCTCGATTCATCTTTGGCTACCTCAGCATGTATACTGTCTAAAAGACTTTCTGCTGACATCTCCTCACCTGTTTAACGATTTATTAGATGTTGAAATAATACAATAGAATATAAAGCCATACATTTTGCTGAAACTATAGGTGGATGAAGCGGTTGAACTTGAACTTTGAGTGATTCTGGTTCCCCTTTAGATGTGTTTGATGGTTTTTCAACCACCATTTCTGATAAAGGAGTTCCAGCAGGAAGATGAAGTTGTGTTTCTGTAGGGGGTGTTTCAATAACACTGGCCTTTTCTGTGCTTACCCTCCTGATGATATCAGGCGTTGAAAAAAGTTCAGGGCCAAGCACAACTGGCATAGCCTGTGCTGACCATTTGCCTCGCTCCTTCTTTTTTTTTGTATCATCCACATCTGAAGATTTTACAACTTTTGCTGTTGCAGTAGGTGATGTTATCACTAACAACAAAATAACATTTTAGAACAATGTCATAATGTGACATTATTTTAAAAATTAACATTAAAAAAGAAAAAGTGTACTTACAAGAATTGGGGGTGTTCGGTAACGTAGGGACTAAAGTTTCACCCTTTCCTGGGGTTTTTGAATCATATTTAATGACCTCTTTTGGTTTGGTTTTGCTCACCACATTGTTCCTGTTAAGGGAAGCCTCAACAACTTTTGGTGAGAGCTTTTGAACAACAACAGAAGGCTTTTTCTTCAATATAGTTACAACTTGCTGAAAGGTTAGTTTTTTGTCAGCATTCTGTTAAAAACAAAAAATAATTTTCATTCCACATCTAAAGAGGCTACAAGAACTAATCAAATAAGCATGTCAAGTAAACAATAATTTAAAAAAAGAAAAAAATGAAAGTAAGATAGTATTCTTTAGCTTAAGCATATTAACCACAATCATGCGATTGTGTATACAATGCACATATACAATTATTTACATATCGAAAAAAAAATCATCCACAGGAAATTTTCAAAAAAATCATTGATTAATACAGACATTAATATTTAATATTATAGCATTCAGTTCTTATTTGTTGATTTATTTTGAATGAATAATTTTCTTCTTTTAAATTAAATTAACCGAAATATATATTTTAATTTTGTTATATTTTAAAAGTTGTCATTATAAATATATAATAAATATTTCAAGACAATGTTTGGGGTGCCAGTGGCTGGTATTGATTTGGGAACTTACACTGTTAAAAAAAAAACAGCTGAATTTTACAATGTATATCTGATGGAAATTGTAACATGATAATTGAAAAAAGAATAGGCGTTTGCAATTTCTGGAGAATAATTACATCTCTTAAAAACATCATGGCTACTCCAAAACAGATTCAGTCATTTAAATCAGTTAAAAAATATTTAAACAATAAATACTAGTTGGTAGTACATATTTGAAATTTATTTTGGGACATTGTTCCAAATTAACTAAAATTTAAAACCTTTTAAAGAACATGTACATTTAATTAATATCCATGACGATTTTTTTGAATTTTGTGTGTTGTATCAACGGTCGGATTCAAACTCACAGTTAAAAAATAAATAAATAAATAAATAAAAGTAGTATTTTTTATTTGTTTCAAACTATATACTTGTATTTTCAGCATTATATTTACAACATACTTATTTTAATGGAAACCAAACTAAATAAGATCAAAAATTCATGATTTTTATCATTAACATTAGTAGTCATATGTGTAAATATTATATTATTATTATACCACTTAGTTTTGTAAGCTGGTCCCCGTTTTAATATAGTTGGAACAAATGTTAACATAAGGCAATAACGTAAAGAATTTATAACTTTTTTTTTATATATCTTGGCTGTAACTTTGATGGCTTGTTAACCCAGTAGGGAACAAAAAAACAATTCCCAAAAACCTCGAGGGTGAATAACTTGACAAGTGAAGAGTAAGAAAAAATTAATTAATTAAAAAAAGTTTTTTATTGAAAGAAAGTTATCGTATATCACAGAGATCATCAGGTGGAGGGTTATCCTATAAAATTGGGATCGCATCAACCGGATGGACTTTCTACTTGTACACCCTATATCAAAGGGCTATTGATAAATGAATGGGGGGGGGGGCTGGCAATGGAAGCTATCTCAAAATGCAAGGTGTCGTGTGTACGGCCAGGTCTGACCAACTCTTGCAAGAAGGCAGAGACTGTCAGGTTCAACAAGTGCTATTCCTTCTGTCCACCGTTGTTGGGAAACCAATATAAAAGAGGAGTAATGGAAAAGCAACTCAGTCAACAAGTTTCTGTCAGTCAGCCAAAGCCAAAGAACACAGCTAAAGGACACTGTCAGTCAATGACATGTAGCAGACAATCGGGGGCCGAGACGAGTCAAATAGTGGCCCAATGCAAGGAGTCACTGTCGTGTGTCTTGGAAGCAGCAGAAAGGAGAAACTAGGAGTAGCTGAAGGATGTGAAACTGGTGTTGGTTGAATGTCATTCCGGGTAATTTATTTTTATAAATAAGCTAAATAAATATTGAGATAGTACAGAAAAGTGCAACAATGTACGTGTACAAGTATTATCTCACTGCTTTTGCATTTTTGAACCTCACCTTCTACACAACAAGTAATTAAATCCGTATACTAAATAACCTCTCATTGAAACTTCAATTAAGTTTTTAGATTTCAAAAAATGAAGTAACAGTGATTCAATAAATTCGAAAAATAAGGGAAGAGGGAAAAGTAGCTCAATTGGTACAGCATTTAAGTATAAATCAGAAGACCTTAGGTTTGAATACTACACATCACGTGTATTAATTAAATGTGTATTTTTTGTTCATTTCTAGTTTTATTACAAAACATTATTTAACAACATGCAAAACATTCAAACTATAAGATAGAAATAACTCATCTTCACTTGTAAATAGGAGTATATATTTATAACTTATAAGAAACACAAAATTACACCACTGAAGGAATAAGAAACTTACAGGAATTGTGGGATCAATTTTGGGGATTGGTGAATGCACCTCAATTATTTCATCCTCCAACTGTTGCTTAAGCTTCTCTGCTTCATTGTCTTGTGATGGTGTTAACCCTGGAGTTATGATCGTGGTAGTTACTCTCTTGCTTTTGGGTGTCCTGATAGTTACTTTTCCCCCACGAACAAGTGACTTTGCAACAAGATTAAGTTTGTTTATTAATTTATACAATGTAATATGACAATTAATACAATATGTCATTTATTTAAGTACTACATATAAATTAGATATGGGTTAGCGTTTTTCGGAACTCTTAAAGCCTCAAGTATATGCTCTTTCAATTTATGTATTGATAAAGCGTTTGAAGTCAGTGAATTACAGTATTTTTTGTTCGAAGTGCTAAACAATTTTTTTGAGTTTGATCGAGTACCATATGAATTCCTGAATTATGTGCCACATAGGGTCACCGGTGCCCACAATGGTTATGGCGTTCACACAGATACTAAGGGTCTTCCAAAAGTTTTCAGAAATGGTTGTTATGTTTGTTCAATTAGATATGGAAGTATGCTGATGTCCCTGAGTTTTGGAAAAACAATTATTTACTATTACTGTGTGAAAAATTATCAGGGAATTTCGTTCTTAGATTCTGTAGAGAGTTTTTAGTTTATTTTGAATTGATTGAAGAAACAAATGACACAATAAGTCAGAGCCATGTAGGCTTTGCAAAGGCTATAGAATGGTAGTCAACTTAATATTTAAAGAAAATTCCAATTTTTTTTTTTGTAGATTTAGATTCTCCTATAAATCAAGCATTATGTTATAAATCATTGTGCCTGGGTATATCAATGAGAGTGAAGAAAGCAATAAAATCCAATCAAAGGAAATAATCATTTTCAGATGTGGCTGGGGCATGGTGGTCTAGCCTTCTTTGGGTATTTAGAGACAAAGGGTGTCCAAGAAATTTGATCTATTTGTCTCAGGACTATTATTTTCCTGAACGTAAGTGAAATCATTTCTTTGGGGAAGCATGTGTGCTGACCCCCAAGGATCATACTGCAGAACTGGCTATTGAACATTCATGTACTTTTCCTAGTCTACTGCAGCGTACTTTTCCAGACTGATGTGAGGTTATTTGCATTCGAGCATGACTTGCTCGAGTTGGTGGCTGGCTGGAACTGAGTGTTGATGGAAACAGAAATGCAGGTGGTGTGGAAGGCTGGCCTGTAGTAAACAGGATAAAGTTTTTATAAGCTTTATTATAAGATAAGCTTGGTTTTACTCTTATCCAATTTACTGTATTACACTCAACAGTAAAATAATAATTATACTGATAATACTGCATATGCGTGCTCTCTGTGCTTTCCTTTCCCATTTTGTTATATGAAGTGAGAGCTTGAACCCAACTTTCTGTCATGTACGCAATCTTTTCATAATTTTATGTGCTATGCACTCTTTTTATCCAAGTGTTGTGCACTTAAATTTGTTGTGTTCTATCACAGTTCTTCATTTGAATAGTCACGAGATGTGAGGTCAGAGGTCAAATATGATCTTATGTATAAGATGTCTTAAGTATCTTATGAAAAATGAGGATTAAAGGGAGATACATTCGCTTTTACGTAAAAATGGTGTCGGCACACTGTGTCCATGGGAAAACCCACCTGTTTTTGGTAATCATCTTTCTATGCTTCAAGCAATATCTCTTCCATCCACTCGCAAATGTTACATTGAATTAGGTTTAAAGAACATAGTTTTTAATAAAAGACTGCTCATTTTATGCTCTTTTTTTTGTGACAAGCAATACAAGCCTATTTATGGCTTTTCTATTTCATTAAAGTTACAAAAGAAGTGTGTGTGGTGATTAGTGACCATTAGTCGATGATTATTTGGAAATCGTGAGGTGCGGCCTGGCGTGATGTAAGTTTCAGAAAAACATTTTCTTTATTGTGCCAACGTTTCGATCTTTAGTGAGATCATCTTCACGATTTCTGAATAATCAATAACAAAAGAAGGATATAATCAAGTTTCCACAGGAGGTAAAAAAACAATAAACAAGGATATATGTAAAAATGGGCAAAACTTATAAATATGAATATGATTTAAATAAATGTAATAAACAGAAATTACTGTTGGCAATGATTTAAATACAAAGACGGTAAGCCTTGGATGGATTAATGTGATATGGCTTTGGATAAAGGGTGTTGTTTTAATTAGCACACAATTCAGGGAAAAAAATGAATCCCAAACTCCTAAACATAACCAGTAGTCCAGCCCCTGCATACAAACTATCAAAGCTTGTTGCAGGAATGCAGGCCTTCTAAAATCTCACAAAATTGAAAAACACTCAACATGTTTTTTCGTAAAATTCAAGTGAGTGTTACGCTTCTGTTCAGGATTACAACTGGTTTATTACTTTTCATGTACAAGCAAACTGCAGTGTAACACTACAGATCATCATCTATTTTTGAAAGCAAGTGTAGTTGATTGGAGTTTGGACCAGAATGACTGGGCAGTGGAGTGGTCGTGAATGCCCCCTCAAATTCAGGCATGCCAAATGAACCGATGCGGCTTGGCACAGTTCCATTTGGAATGATCGTGATGGCCAACTATAGATTCTATGAAAATTCACAACATATGCTTTCTTCACTCTAACTGAAATAGGGTCTCCATGTATGCAATGTTTGTATCGCTTAAACCAAATTAAGAGTGGCTATTATGTAGCATTTTCTTCACAGTATAAGAATATCGTAATATGTAGCATCATTATTTATGGACTAATAAACAAAGGATAGAATATGATACCAAACTTCACTTGCAAATTCTACCGTTATACCTAGAATCGTTACAAACTATACTACTAATTCAGATTAAAAAAGGAAGTTCCATGCTACCAAAAATAACAATAATAAACCTAAGCCTACAGCAATATAAGAGAAATGTTGTCCCTATCACTTAAAAGAGAATGGGTATTTAGGGATGGACTACTGTTCCATTCTTGTTCTTTGTTTTGGACTTCATTTCCTTACACACTTCAAGCCATTAAAACAAATTTAAAAAATACAGTTAACTTGATCATTTTTATTCTTTATGTTATTAATCTATCCTACATTGAACAACCTGTAGTACCATAGAAAGTAACTTACTTTCTTTTGGAGTTCTGATGGTGTCCTGACAACTGCTGTGTCACTAGTTACGGCAGATTGCGTCAAAATTCTTGGTGTTGAAGATAAAATTCCAGATTGAGTAGTTGGCACTTTTGTTGCAATAATTTTCTTTTGAACTTTGATGTCAGATGCAACTAAAACTGCATTTACAAACATAAATTGCTTGAAATTTCTGTTTATCTATTATCAAATGCTCACCGGCTGGTTGTTGGACCAGTCTCCCACTCTGATTGCAGATTATGCTCTTTGTAACCTTAGGAGCAGCGACGACCTAACCAATAAAAGAATAGATGTTATAATAAAACTAAATATTAAAATACTATATGTATACTAAGGGTATAAATCCTTCCCATTCCAAAATATGTAGGACCAGGTAAAACAACTACCTTTGACTTCATATCTTATTCTATCAAATTAGTAAATATAATAGTAGACTTGCCATAGTTGGCTGTGACGTTGGTTGAGACTGTGCAGCAATAACAGGTGCTCTTGTGATACCACCCCTTGTCAATATTCTCCCAGTACCACGCACCCTAGCACGTCCTCCCTAGAAAAAAGTATATATATATATATACATACAATATATACAACAAACAGTATATATTAATTTAGAATCTTATTTATTCCAATTAACATTTTCTTATTTTTTGTAAGTAAGCCACTTAATAGGGGAAATTGTCATTTTTCTTATGCAACAAAAAATTAATATTATCAGCTGGCTACATCACTATTTTATAAATTTGTCTGTGCAACGAAATTATTGTTTTCATTGAATTCCAGTTTTCATACTTACATCAAATAACTGGATTTTAAATTATAAGATTTTCAAATCCAAGCATCAACTTCCCAAATTTCTCTATTAATTTTCTAACTTATTTTACATTATTTTAAACAAAAGTGACATGTGGAAAGGAATGGGATAGTATTTTATTTTATTTAAAAAAATTAACTTTAGGAAGAAAAAAAAAATCAAAAATAAAGCTAACTGAGAAATAAATTTTATTGGAAGAATGGGGTGTAGAACAAAACATAACAAAAATTACCAAAAGAAATAAATTTTTTCTTTGTATTTATTTAACATGTTCACGCGATCTTTAAATACTCGTAAAATATATCACATATTATCACAGTAAAAACAAAAAAAAACACTATCTTGCAAAATAAGTGTAATTAACCAGCAAAACTGTTGCATCAGTGAAGATGTTTAAAAAAATTGCTCAGAACCCAGCAAACCTAGAAAAAAGTGATAATTAGTCTGGTGTAAAAATATACATGCATTTTCCAAGAAGGCAATTTTATTATGTAGGAATGTCTAATTAATTATCATGGTGTTAAATTAAATATTAACAATTTCAGTATTTCAATCTATTTTATTTTATTATGGAAACAGAAAAAACAAGAAGCAAATGAAAAAGGAAGCTTAGATTATTATTACACGAATAATAAGAATATACGTAAAACTTATAATTCTTAAAAATAACTCCAAAAGGTGGAAAACATACAAAATAACATTACCATGTTATGATGAGAAATAACGATACAGTGTGGTTTGTTTAGCTACTACTAACACTACTCCCATACTAAAAGAGTAATTCCTGTCATTCAGGAGGGCTTAATGTCCAACTACCTGTCACCGGGTATCATGGACAAGAGTTCAGAATCACTTTAGGATATATTTCATCTAAATACTCTCTAAGCAAAGTCCAAGAGACAAAATAGGATTTGAGCATAGTACTGCTAGTGTGGCAAGTACAACTCGAAAATAACTAAACAAAACACTAAAGGCAGGTTCATAAGTATGCTGTGGGATGTCTACATTATCGAGGAATGAAAACTATTACCAATCCCCTAGCAAGGACTATATATTATTTGCCTATCTGCTTGAATAAAAATTGGAAATAAAAAAATAACAACATAAAAATTAAAATCAGTAGCCAACTTCAAATTAATACAATGCATTTCTCGGCTAACAGATATCCAAGCAGTATATGCTTTTGTATAGCTTCTTTGTACTATATAAATTAGTAATTATTCTTAAATAAAGCATCCTATTATTATTACAATGCATTTCATATGAAAACTTCTATATCAATGGTTAATTTTAAAATACAAATACAAGAAAAACAAAATTTGTTTAAATTAATCTATTTATCGTTGTGAAAAATTATATCGATTCGACATGATGAAACAATAGTTTGATTTTGTGGAGACAAAGGATCTCAACCCTGATCTCAACACATCCAAGAAATTCAATCTATTTATATTTTGATTTTTGTAAGAATTTGGTAACATGCTTGAAACCACCTCTTCTATTCCGGCAAGAAGGCAATTTAACACTGGTAGTTAGCTGAGTTATAATCGTCCTGACCTCTCCTCACTACTTCAACAAATTACTGAACAACCGGTCGCTAAAATAACACAGAATGGTAATAATATATATCATGCACATTACAAACTTATCCCCCTTCTATAAGTTATTTTAATTTGTACACAAATATTTGTCTTTTTTGGAGGGATTGTTTTCTTTTAAACATGGCGTTTTGAAGACTAATCTGTCTTATTTAAATTAGCTGGTTTTTTTTTTTTTTTTTTTTTAATAAGAAAGTAAATAAATTACTTATTTACATTTATTGTTTCGGGAACTTACACCCATCAGCATTTGTATTTTTTTTTTTTTATAAATCTAAAATCTTTATAAAAATATAGACCTGATGATGGGTTTAAATTCCTGAAACATCCAAATAAATGTTATATAAAAGTTATGTATTTACTTTTTTATTAAAAAAAAAAAAAAAAATGTTTTCTAACATACACCAACAAATTTAAATATTTGTCATATCTTTATTATGGCAAAAAGACAAAACTAAACATTACTTATTTTGACAATTCACAGTACTAAAATATACCCTCCACCCTACTGCAAGAACCCTACAATTGAACTATCGTGACCGATTCCCCAGCGTAACTTTTTATGGACAGCTCTTTTATTTTTAACAATTCCCTTATTATTCTAACACACAGTCGACTCTTGTAAATTCAAAACTTGATAATTTGAAATTTTTGTTAATACAAATTCCTCAGCATATCACTCTGGTAAATCAAAAAATTTCTGTCAGCCACTTCTCCTCTTTACAATTCAAACTTTTTGTTTGTAATATTTACCCAAATTTCCACGTATTGTTCATTTCCTTACATCCTAAAGTTTCTTTGAATTTTCTTTAGTGCATTACGTTCAATGGACAGTGTTTTACGCGTTTTTGCACTGGTTAACTCTGGAAACTCATTTCAACATAGGAGACCAGGCCATATTGAACCAAAAACCACGATTTTTTTAATAATGCATAACAATGTTCAATTTTACAGTGATCTATGTCCACTTTTTCATTTTTTTACGATGTTTTATGTAAGTACAATTTCAATAATAACTTTGAAAACTGCACTCTTAACACTTTTTTTATTTCCTCTTGAAAATTCAAATTATTTTTGTGGTCTCTTGGGTTTCAAATTATCAAGTCAACTGTAGTATAAGATAAAAAAGTATATACATAAAATAATAATGAGAAGAAGAAAGGAAGTTAGTATCTTGTTGTTTATTTCAAACCTTATGTATGTTTATTGTTATATTAATTACAACATACTTTAATGTTCTTGAGTTTTAATGAAAATGATTTAATTATGATGGTTTGAAAGAAAATTCATGGAACACAGTAAAATCATTTAGTGAAAGCATAAATTTAACAAACAATATTATGACCAAGGTGTGCTTTTAATAACGCATTAAGAGCAAAAGTAGATTTAATAATTGTTATTCCAATTTTAATTGATCACTAAATGATTTCTCAGTGTTTCGGTGAATTTTTTTTTTAAATCACCATCACAATGAAATATTTGTTGTACATTAAATTATGTTATATTTAATATAAAGATAAAATACATATAGTTTGAAATAAACGACAACATACGTCCGGTGCTTGTTTTTTTATGTGCTTTGAATGTATTCTCATTTCAATATGTATATTTATTTTTAAAAATAAAACGTAAATTATCCAATAAATTGCCGTATGATTTTGAGTCTATAAATTTCAAGTGGCATTCACTTAACAAAAAATAAGAAAAGGAAAAACAATAACACACATTCACACTAGCATACACCTACATCTAAACACACCATCTTGTCCTTATTACCTGAAAAAACCAGCTTTAGCAATTAGTAAACATAAAGGTATAATACTAAATATAAAATTTCAAAAATTATTACCCTCATGAGTGGCCTTGATAGTATAGATGGAGGCATAACTTGTACAGATGGCTGGGGCTGGTAAAGGTGGTAACTATGGTCATTATGAACAATTGTTTCAAGTGGAGGGTGATCAGCAGCCTGTTGCTGCGGAATAATCTGAGGACCAGGTAAGGAAGGGGTGTCTTTTTCATCACTGCGTTCTAAAATGTCTGTAACAAAGATGTTAAAGGCCAACCAAAGGTGAAAACGAAAATGAAAATGCTTGTGCTTACCAAGCATTTCTGTAAGATTGTCCCCAAGCTTGTGACCAAGAATTTCCTTGGCCTGGTCTGATTGCAGGGCAGATTCAAGCCGTGCAATATGCTCCGGTTCCATCTCAGAAAACGGGTCCACAACAACATCATTGTTTCCAGTATCATTTTCAACTGAAACATAATTAATTGGCTCTTAAAAATCATTATATATGTAATATATTAAAAGGATGGTAGGTTATTGAGTTCATAAAAAGAACATTGGTGGTTGGTTCAGGAATTCAGTCAGAACTTTATGTATTTGTTTGTATGTACAGCCAAACTCAATATGTCATCTAGTTACAAGAAAAGAGTCCTCAAGAGGGAAATAAAACACTGTTTTACATTTAAATTGATTAAAAAATATATAAATACCTTATTTATTACCCCTAGGGTGGTAAAAATAAACAAATAAATAAATATTAAAAAAGGTAACACTACATTCACAACAATTATATATTTAATAACAAGTTCTTTCTTGAAAAATAAAATAAAACTAACAATACGTCAGTCAATAAATACATGTATAGAGCAAAAACTGTAAATTCTGGCTGAATTCCCAAAACAACCACCAATAATTCAAAAAGACATCACACATAAATAAAATACATGGTTTTCTTCAGTAAGTACATTTGATTATTCACTTAACTAGTTAATTCGTTATGGGTTTCAATTAGTAATGGTCTATGGTTTTAAAACCAAGTGCAAATAGATTAGTAAAAATAGTTTCAGATTAAATTTACAAAATTTTTAAAAATAAATAAAAATTTGGGAAAAAACAAATGACATACCTGGAACTTCTGACAGTACAGTAGTTTCTTGGGGTGGGTTTGAATAAAATCCTTCAACTGTTAGATTGACATGAGAAGCATCAGTATCAGCTTGTTCTTCTGAGCTTGCATTTCCCTCACCATCAACTCTAACAACACTTACATTTCCATGTTGGTTTGCTAAAAGAAAATAAGCATAATTTTTAAGTAAGTGAATTGCATGTCAATTAAATGTGGGCAATGAAAGTTATTTAATTGTGATCAAAAATGTTATTAACATATAAAATATTTTCTCTTTTTTACGAAATTATAGTTGCTGAATTAGGTTTTGTAAACAAACATGTTCAGAAATTGCTTATATTTTTTCATTTTTCAAATTTATTGATAAAAGAGCGAGTAAATAATTTTTTTATTTTTATTGCCAACAGAATTCCTATTTCTAAACACAATTAATTGTGTAAGTCCTTCAATTTGTAGATTAAATAATATCAAAATAGTTTGTGCTACACACAATATGACCAAATTTAATTTAAATTAGTTTACACAACCCAAGGTGAAAATAAAATTATTAACATACAAAAAACATGAAGTTGCTCCATGACTGTTATGTGTCAGTCAAGTTCTCGTAAAGCAGTTTTCTCACAAATTATTTCACCTACAATCCAGAAACCTTACTATATACATATATTTATTAAAATATTTATTGTTGAACAAACTCCATTAAAATTTACAATTCACAAATGTTATTTCATTAAAAAAATAAATAAATAATAATAATAATATAAACTTGCTTGAGATCAGCTGTTCTACAGGCTACAAACAACCTAATAATAATTGAAAGTTAATTAAAAACATGTGTTGAATTTGAAATTTCACACAGCATGGCGCCATTACGAATCCTCAAAAACATGAACTGGCATCTACTTCATAAATAACTTAAGCCAATTAATTATTTTTGAGTGTTGTAATTCAGTAATATGTCTAAGATTGCTTAACATGATATTATTCGCTGTAATAAATATTTAGTTTATATTAAAACAACATTGATAAACACCATAATAATACAATTGAATGCAAACATAAATACAATAATATTACCTAATAAAAGAATAAACAAACCATTAATTTTAAGCGTTTGTTTATTGACTGTGCACGCTACACTACACCTTTTAGTAAAGTAACCAGCATAGTTGCCCGCCTGAGGTAGTAGCATTAGTACCGCGACTTACTGATGAAAAATAAACATACTTGAAACTAATTGTACTTTTTATCTAAGGTCTTGGTTGGGATGAAAAAGTTAGTGTTAATGTAGTTAGACATGACCTTATGTATTGTAAAGTAGTTCAATTCTAACCTGGTGTTTTGTAGGGTTTAACCCAATATGTAGTGTGAAGTTAAGCCCTCCTGTATGTCACAAATTACTGGCTGTTACTTTTTTAAACACGTATATCATTAACACTATACAAATTGAAAAGAAAAAAAGAGTGAATCCTTTTTAAAAAAGATAGTTCTTAGTCACAGTAAGAAACTACCCTAACTATAAAACAAAACTAAACTACCCTAACTATAAAACAAAACTAAACTACCCTAACCATCTAATCACCCCAAAAAAGACATCATCACAAAGACTGACCAGAAAGTGGGTAGGGGAATTCCCAAATTCAATTGGCAATAACCATATTACTTTTTTTTAATTCTTAATCCACTTCAGATTTATTTAAGGCTTTTCACCTAATGAAACAATTTCAGTTTTGCAAAGGCATTTTAACAATAAAAACTTAATAACTTAAGGCAAACTAAATATTTGAATCAGCATAACAACAGAATTATCAATGGTACAATAAGTTAGGAAGTGGGAACGGGATGGAAAAAATTTAAATGAACTTCAACTAACAGGTGATGATGTTCAACAGTTTGACTCATAGTGGTAAAAGCCCCTTCACAATCCATTTTCCCAATTCAACCTATTCACACATTTTTCTGGTATTTCACCTGAATTAAACTTAATGAAGTAAATTTACGATTATAATGACAGGGGACTTCGTTAATTTTAGTTCAACTTATTGAGAGTTATTTACTCATACTTCTGAAGCTCTTCAATGGTCAAAAACAATTTTCATACAAAAACACAAGGTCAACATTTTATTACAATTATTATTTCAAGCAGAAGGGAAACATGACGTGATGCAAATGGGTAGCGGAAGAGGAGGCGGTGGCATGAGATAAGCCTTTTGCTAAGAGAAGCAATTCTTAAGCAATTCGAAAGATGGTGCTCACAGCAATAAGATGAATTCATGAATTCACAAGTCACAATGGTCAAAATTTACTGGGCTGGTAGGAGAAAAAAAATAGCCTAATTGTCAATAGCTCAGTTGGTAACAGAGTATGAGAGAGAATGAGTAAATAAGAAAGTAAGAGTATGAGAAAGAGAGAAAAAAGAAAAACTTTCTTACACTTTAAAAGAAAGGGGAGAGGGAGGGAGGGAGGGAGGGAGAGAGAGAGAGAGAGAGAGAGAGAGAGAGAGAGAGAGAGAGAGAGAGAGAGAGACAGTGTTATTTCAACTAAGTACATAATGGAACACATATTTAAATTATCTGGTGAATATTGAAAAGGAATTAACACTAACAGAATGTATAATGTAAGAGTAAATTATTATGAAAAATATTGTTATTGCATTTTTATTAGCAAGTGTTTTAACAAAATGTTAAATTTAACTTTTAATTAAAAGCCAAACAAATCATTATAGAACAATGACGTAAGTCTTTAGTTTCTTTGTTCCAGCAATATTACTTTATTATGGAGTTCTATGGCAAAACAAGCCCCACATTGAAGACTCAAACAAATCAATAAAAATTCAATCAGTACTCCCTCACTACCACTTAAGGACTAAATCTATCTTCATAAAATGTTAGCAAAATTATCGCATTACTTATTAAAACAGATACATATAATTTATATTAAGCAAAAACATTCATTCTGAGTCAAAATTTCTTAAAACTGCTTATTTCTTGACATGTACTAAATAAAATATTATAATTAATATATTTTGATTAATTGCTATTTATTACAGTCAATCAATGTAACAATCGATATATGTATTTAGTAGTCATAATTGACTGTATTAATCATTTTCTATAATTATTACTTTTAATCTAAAGTTTTGGTTAATATGAAAAAGTAAGTGTCAGGAGCGGGATTCGAACCCACAACCTTTGGCTCAACACTACTTCTTTAACCACTTGAGCTATTGTGACTGTGATCCAAACGGATACCATATCCTTATCTCAATCTACAACAATATGGCAAAAAGAGGGAAAATTCGAAAGATTGTAGGTAGATGAGCGTACTGAGGTGAAGGCCATAGATTCGAATCCCGCTCGTAACACTTGCAATTTGTCTCAACCAAGGCCTTAGATTAAAAGTATAATTAATTAACTTTTTTTTAAATACGAGAGTTCGCAATAGCTTTTTTATTTTTATTCTTTAATTTACAACGCACAGTATATTACAACTGCCTTCAAAGGGTAAAAAGTACAAGTGAGTGTAAAAATTCAAATAAATAAATAAATAAGGGTTGAGAAACTACCCCATTGGCAAGACTCCTAGACCACAACGGTAGAAAGTCTATTTGGAAGTGCTTTGGGTACCTTGAAATTTAATGCAGCTGAAATTCCAACAGATTCGTGCTTTATTGAACTTTTATTTAGCGCTTTTGATCTTTTATTTTCCATTTTGTTAGAAAGGCCTATTTAAGCTCCTCCTCAGGCAATTTGGCAGTTTTTTAATCCTATCCCAGAGAATACATGAGTTTGCGCATGGGGTTCTGACCATTTACACTGGTAAATTCCAGCCTAATCGCTCACAAGTGGGCAGCTACTGGCATGAAGAGGAAATGAAACTTAAGGAGTATTGTTCACAGCAAAACGAAGAATGCATGCACCTTCTGCCATAAGAGAGAAGAGCGAGTGGATAAACTGAACAAACAGGACTAAAAAGCCAATCTAAGATGTTCAAAACAAACTATTTCAAAGGTAAGTTACCAATTGGCAGATGGTTTATTACCATGCCATACAGCATAATATTTTATAGTTCTATAACTTACCAATCAGTTTCTGAAGAGTTTCAGGATCGACTGTGATTGTACCATCAGGGTTAACAATGATAATCAAAGAATCATCTTTGTCCTCGGTGCTATCTGCCACGAAAGTACTTGACATTTTCAACAGTTTCCTTCAAATCTATAAGAAAATAAATTAAAAACGTGTATTGACAGGGTGAATGAAATGAATAAAAAAATGATAAGAGGGAAAATATACCTTATATTTGAAGTGAAATTTCCACCTCGAGTCGAAATTCCTTTAGATTCTAAAAGACAAACAAATAATACAAAATATTTTTTAAAAAATCTTTCTGGCGGGGAATAACTAATAAGTAATACATGTTGAATAAATAGAAACAATCAAAAGGCGCTTTAACATCGACGACACAATTCTTCGAAGATTCGTACGGATTCGAGCCGCCCCATTAGATTGACGTTAATATGAAAAAAGTTCCAGTTCAATCGAAAAAAGTACAGACCAAAAAGGAGGGACTTTTTCAATGTATTTATTACGCGCCATGTTGGATACGGCACTAATCTACACAAACGCGCACCTCACCTACGTAACAACTGAGTACTCACCATTTAACGCGGATTTGCAGTCATTTAACAGACTTCGTTCGATAAAAGGATAAACCAAAACACAAACACAATCTGTTCACAAACAAAATTAATAATTCCAAAAAGGGATTCTACGCTCCCGAGTTCCAAGGGTGCTCCTCGCGTTACCCAAACTGAAGTCGAATCTCAATGATGAAAAGTACACCTCAGGTTTTGATCAAACAGGTTAGCCAACCTCCGGTATAAAGGTCATACCAAAAAAGATAAAAAAAAATGGCCAATTTTTAATCAAACTAAAAATAAAACAAGGATAAATGATTAAACTTTTCAGTGTTAACAATTTTCAACTTCACCATATCGGAGGTCTTAGTAAATTATGAACGAGTAACCATTTTTTTCTAGATAATTTGTACCCAAAATATCGATATGTAACAAAAGTATATACATATGAATCCATAGATAATAAAAAAAATCCCACTTAATAAATTATACATAACTAAATACCTTCTATAATATTAATTAATAAAAATAACATTTTGGTACAAGACAGTACAATTAAACCAACTATAGTTTGATTTAATTTGAACAATTCGATATAATTAATTTTATGTATTGTGTATCGATAATCGTTTGTAATACGAATACTCTTTGCAAGTTCCAACTTCCAACTCTGCTATCTTGTTAGTTGAATACGTCAACCTTGTTAATTCCACGCTTGACAAAACCAAAATCATTTGTAGTTAATCAGGGTTCCATTTATTATTCAGCGAAATGAAGCATATTAATTGTGCTTCTTTTTTAAATTTGTTTGGTAAATATTCGCATTTTATTTTTTATAAGTACTATTAACTAATAGATGCATAAAAGACTACCGGCATTTTGCTTTATTCACAAAAAAAGATAACTTGTGATTATTTTATTTTGTACGGAACTTAAAATTTTAACTGTAAATCACTTTACCCTACAATGTAGTTAAATCTCGTTTAACAACTCTTTACCCGGCTAAGGGATAAAAACACTGTATATAGGCTTCTATTCTATAGTATATATTTATTTATATACTATAGTAGTTCCCCCCTGTGCACTGCAGCTCTATGCAGCTTATTGTATTCCTTCCTGGCTCTTTTTTTTTTTTTTTCTTTTTCCGGAGGTCGCGACATGTGTGCGAATTAAACCCCCAGTGTTCTTCCATTGAAGAAACACATTTCGAAAGGGGTTGGGACCAAATTCAGGGTCGCTCAGGCATTCCATTGATGAGTGCCATGTCAATTTTCATCGCGGCTACTGGGGTCCCCTTAGATATCAGAAAAGGGTCCAGAAGTGAGCTCTGTCTAATGGAATTTGATAATCCCAATATTTCGATAAACTATTATTCTAGCGATAGCTGGCTAATTAATCGGTAGAGCCCAGAACAGGAGGAATTTTTTTAAGAGTCTGTTTTTCATTATCAACTTTTCAATCGTAATAATTTTTTGACAATGGATGTGAGTAAAGTGAAGATCATCAATTACCGTTATTGCAAGAGCGAATCAGAAATCGTTGGGGTGGTCGTGTCAATGTTAGTTTTTCATTACAGAATTGCCTTGAATTATGAATGGGAGGGTTTCCAAAGGATATGCCCTAAATCAAGTAGCGGATTCATCTTGCAGAAATTGCCCCATGCAGCAATAGACCCGCCGAACACTTATCATGTTAACCGTAATATTTTGTTGATTTTCTTCACCAGGAACTTTGAAACCCATTGGTGCCAATGTACTTAGCCGAAAATATTTAATTATGTTCATGCTTGCCCATAAGTCCTGAAAATATTGACATTTAATTTTTAACGACAAAAAACCCCATGTCTAACTTTGAGCTTTTTATTAGCTAATAATTATCTAATTTTCATATTTTTAGCATATAGTGTAAAGGCTCTGCCAGAGTGCCAATCGAACTCTCGACCACAGGATCTACTCACTGCAATCACACAAACTCTGTTATTAGTTAATTCTAAAACCATATTTTTCCAATTCTGTTTGTAACAAATTAAATTATAGGTATATTTAAATGACAGATCTTTTTTTTTATGGTTTTAAGTTTCCGTATTAATCAGAGTACGAGTTCAGAGAATGCAATAAATAGTTTCTTAGGGGAAGGTGATGTGAAAAAAGAGCCATGAGGGGGGGTTGATGTTGGGAATTGATCACATGACTGCAGGGTCTATGAGCTGAGAGACTATCGGCTACTGCGGTCCCCTAGCAATAAAATTAACTTGCTTGTTATGTACATGTAAACGTTACCTTAAAAAAATCTTATTCCAAACTGACTATCTCCCAAAGGATGTTACTCTCTTCATTTGTTCGAATTTTAAGTATACATTTATCCATGGGGGCATACCAGTACTAAGCGTCACCGTGTATAATGAGAAACGCAGATAAAAGGAAACACCTTGAATTTCAGGCTCTGAAGCATTTTCTTCTATTACACACTTTCTGTATCGTGTATTTTTTTCCCTTTTAATGAGGTTACATGAACCCTCGGGGTGCTGGTGTTTTTGATTAAAAAAAACTAAAACATCCATTTGTAAGACAAGTATATTACATGGAGTGGAGGAAAACAATATGTAGTACATACATCAACAGGTATTCACTTATTCATGACATCAAAACAAATGAGAAAAAATTATTAGGGTCCTAAAAGAAAATTTATTTAAAAAAAAGGTAAATTAGATTTAATATAAAAAACTAGGGCGGCAGCCACGGATAATGAAGCATGGACTGTATAATAAAAGTACATCTCTCTCTCTCTCTCTCTCTCTCTCTCTCTCTCTCTCTCTCTCTCATGTTTTGTGCTTCTTCATTTATTTTTTATTAAATAATATTGGACAAACTTTTAATTTTTGAACAAAAAACATCTGGTGAATGTTATTTGATATGATAAACCTTTTTAAATTTTGTTTCAGAGATCACATTCGCAGTACTGCTTCTCCTATTGGCACCTTCTTATGGAGCCATCAACTATTTAACCGAATATGATAAAGTGCGACTAGGTCAGGTGATTGCTGCATCATGGAGCTCTAACGATCTTGCCAGTATACATTATGCAGCTGCTGCCAGTAAGTTGTTGGGTCAAAAAATTCCCAACTCTGAGTCTGTCTGCAAATTTCTCCTTGAAACAGCCAAGACTCAGTCAAGCGTTGAATCTTACTATTATACTGCACAAGCTTGGACTACAATTGGAAATTGTAGAGGTGCCTTTCCAACAAGTGAAATTTCTAAGGTGTGCACTTCCTACTTATGTGATGTGATTGATGAGTTTATTTATTTATTTTCCCCCTCCTCAGGTGTTTAATGATGTTATGCAAAAAGAAACATCGACAATTCCTGATCTTTATTATTCTGTCCTTGGAATGAAATCTCTTGGGCAACAATTGAAGCATAATGCCAAAGTTGTAAAAACTGTGCAGTCAGGATTAAAGAAGGATGATAGTATTGTTAAGTATGTATTTTTGTAGTTTAATTTGTGAGGTATGAAGAATTATATATGAAGTGGTGCTATGGAAGGAGGACAAAAAATTGGGTGATATTAAACTGTAAATGGACTAGAATGCTGCAAAATTGGTTTTCTGACTCACTCCCGTCACATATTTATATCCCTGGAAAAAATGGGCTTGTCACACACAAAAAATTTACTTTAATATACATTTTTCGCCAATTTTGTGGTCACTTTGAAATCTGCATTAAATAGAATAAAGAATGAGTGTCATCTACTGAACTCTTTCAGGCATACTGATAGCTGTTTCCCTGGCACAAACCTTCAAAATTTAAACATCGGATGATCTGTGAAACATTTCAAAAATTCACTGTGTTATAAACTTCCTAGATATTGGTGGATTTCATCAAAACTGTGTCATAAAATAAGCTTTTGAATGTTATGCTTGGTAGCATGTGCGAATTTTTTTTCCTTGAGAAAAAGTAACATTACTAAAATTTATTATTTTTATCTCAATTAAAAACCTTAATTAATTGAAAGATATTAATTGGTCAAGCGGACCATGGAAACTAGTAAATTACTAAAATTTTCTGCTAAATGTTTCTAAAATCAGTATGCATCCAGTGTTTCTTTAGCTCAGTAGGATATTGCATTAAAATCAATTATTTTGAGTTTTAATATATTCAGTACTATAACCTATATTTTTACAGTATTGCTTACACATTGCACATAGCCTCACAGATGAGTAATGAAGGTGCATTTGCATTTGATCGGATAGAGGATGTATTAGTGCAAGCTGATGAAATTGATGGGAGATTTCTTCAGTTTGAAGGAGGGCTTTCAATAACAGGTATTTTAATCATCATTATTTTTTAAAAATTTATAATAGATTTGCATAATTAATGGTATGGTAAAATAGCATGATTAAGTGGATGAAATGTGTAAATTAATATGTTCAATTAAGTTCAAAATCTACTTTTTTTATTACAGCATTAGTTATAAGTGGAATATTTAACTTGGCTGAGACAGTTAAAAAAGCTCCACTTATCACACCACAACAAACAGTCAAATTTGCCAATTACTTTGTCTCACGCAAGTCTGTTCAGAGTGTGAAAGGAGTTCACAGCCTTATAAATGTGGTGACAATCTTGTCGCAGAACAACTTTCAGACACATGTCTCTCTCAGTATTATTGGGAATGGGGCAGTATCAGTTGAACAGCCCAGGATCTCTGTCCTTGTATGTGACCTCCTCGGCAACCCTATCACTGTCCCGATTGCAGTTACTCTAGAGCAGGCGACTAGGCTTTCAGATGGAGTTGCTGTCATCAGCAATCGACAATTTACCCAAACTTCTGAAAAGTAAATCATGCAAAAATCAATTTAATTTCAAAGCAGTATGACAACTATGCCTTTTGTAGAATGGTTTATTCAGTGTTACTTGTGGAACCTACGGGTGAATTGCCAGGAACCTATCGCTTGACAGTTAGTGTGACTGCCAGCGCATCATCTAAGCTCATTGGAAACATTGCAGTTCCACTTGATGTAAAAGTCATGGCACAGGCTGTTTTCCCTGAACCACTTCTAATTGGTACTGCTGATTCTGATCAGATCACTCAGCCAAAATTCCACAAGTTAGTAGTTTTGAATTTCTAGTTGTATCAAGTTATATATCATATTGTTTTTCAGAGTTACTCACCCGAACAAGCTGAAGGAGGTTCTAGAAGTGGACTTTTTACAAAAGCTTGCGATGAGGTTCTCTTTAAAAGAAAAGATTACAGGAAAACCTCTCAAAGTGCATCAAGCATTTGTCAAACTACAACACAAAAATTCCGGTCAGGAGGTAATTTTTGTTGCCGAGAAAGACACTGGTGTTATGTATAAACTTGATTTGGTAATTATTATAGATAAGACAGCATTAATTCATTCTTAATGTGTCTACATTTTTTTTTGCCTCATATTTTTTCTAAAAGGATATTGGATCAAAAGTAAATGAACTCGGTAAACTCTCAGGATTGTATTCTGTTGATCTGATAATTGGTGATACGATTCTCACAAATTCTTTCTCCTGGCATGTAGCTGATGTTAAGCTTAACTTGGGTACAGTTGATAAAAAAAAACCTTCTACACAGTCAATCTTCAAACCAAAACCTGAAATTCAAGTAATATTTTTTTTCTTTTTCTTTTTATCTTTGTTATTTAAATGATTATCTTGTTTTAGCATTTGTTCAGAGAACCAGAAAGAAGACCACCAGTTTTAGTTTCTAACTTATTCACTGGTTTAGTGTTTGTTCCTCTTTTAATCCTTTTTGCATTGGTATGTATAAATGAATTTACATTTTGTTCCATCCTATAAAATTAGCCACAATACAATACTCGCATTTGCATTAACACGATAATATAAGGTTTGTTCCAACACACAATCAAAAGTAAGTTATCCATGATTTATTGACTGAACATCTGTTCATGGATTCTTACTCATTTGGAACGCTTTTTTCCAAGCTCATCCAATCAGTTTCAAACTGTAAGCAGAATTTTTCTTCATATATTTATGAATTGTGTTTATTATTTTGTAATGTAATACAGATTTGGAATTTTGATCAGATATTTATCAGAATCCTACCTCTACGTTACAATGTTTCAAATTTTATTTCGCATATTTGAAGAATATTGCAGATTTGAAATTTTTATTGTTTTATTTATACCTTATTAAATTATTGTATTAACGTAAACAAATTGATATAATAGAATAGAAATTAACAGAATTCTCTTGAAATAATCAGCATCTTATTTGAGGCTTCAATTTCCAAAACTTCTGCAAGCATAATTCTTTACCACTTTTCCTGAAAAATTAATTTTCCTGAAGTAGTCCAGTTGTCAAAGGAAATAAGGGGGGCTTCGTTTGAAACAAAAATAGTGCCAGTCCGTCCTCTTTATTTGATTTTGTGACTGAAATTTTTCTGGTCTATTTCCTTTCAATGTGAATAAGTACTAGATCGAAAAAATGTCTATATTCAGAAAAAATTATTCAATTATTAGATGGGGTGAGATCTTTGATACCCATCTTGCATTTTTAATATTTTTCGAACAAATTAATTGCATATTTAAGGTTTTTTTAGTGGATATTACACAACATTTTTAAGGATTTTTATTGCATATAAAGCTGGGCTCTAGTTATAAAGTAAGAACTTTTCCGATTTAACAAGAGTGAAAATGTGGGGAAACGTCTGTGAATGTCTGTCCATATGGTCTGTTTTGACATAAACCTATTATAAACTTGGCCTGAAATGTGATGGAATGGCCAAACTAAAGGATGCATCTTCTACTTTGCCGATGGTTTGGATATATGTTGGAACAAACCTATAATTTAAGACAGCTGTGGAATAAGTTGCATATGCATGTGCATTTTTATTTCTTTACAGTAATTTGAATACTTCAAATGACAATGGTTGTAAAAGTTTGTGTTTACGTGATATAAATAGAGTAGACTTTTCAAAATATTTTGTTTTTGTATTTAATTATATTTTGGTTCTTTCTTTCTTTATTTTTTAGTGGGCCAAACTCGGTGTCAATATTTCAAATTTCAGTTTTTCTCTGAGTACATTTGGCTTTCATGCCGGTCTTGGAGGTAAGTCCTCTTAAAGCAAGAATGAATTTGTAATAATAAAACTTTTTTTTCAGCAATCTTTTGTCTCTTCGGCATGTTCTGGCTTAAGCTAAACATGTTTGAAACACTCAAATATTTATTGGTCCTTGGTCTCATCACATTTTTATCAGGGAATAAATTGTTGGCTAACATTGCATCAAACCAGAAGAGATAGAAGATTAGAAGTTTTACATTCTTTTTTTAATGTCAGTTCTGCTGATGTACGCAAGACTGCTTTGTTATAAATAATTTTTTTTCACAGTGTGTATTTATTCAATCCTGTTAATGTTTTCTAGAACATATAAATAGAAAGGTAAATGCCTTAAACAAATAAGCTAGTTTAGTCTTATTTAAATTACCCATCTGACTTTTATAATCATAACTAACTATAACCTTCTTCCTTTGTTCAGTTTTCAAGAATTTAAATTTTGTGTTTTTTTTCTAAATCCTCAATGATTGCTGTAAAAAAATTACAAAGACTCTCTCCAACTTTTAAACTATTTACTTTCAAGTTAAGGTAAGGAATGTTACTTAAATTGCTTCAATTCATTAAAATGAAGATAATTTAATTTATATATAATGTTGGTAGTATTTGTATTTGATATTTTTCATTCCTTAAAAGTTTCAAAAAGTAGAAAAACAATTGTATTAAAAGATGTATGACTATTGAACTGATTAAAAATAAATCGGGGAAATATATATTTTTATTTCTAATTTTATTATCTGTCTTTTATTTATTCTATTGTGGAATAAATTACATAATTTAAATTATAATCAGGCTGTTTTTGAAGATAAGGTTGTTAAAGATGAAATTTTTTGGCAATTCTGTACCAAACTTTGGCAATTTATTTCATAACTATGAAATAAAATAACAACTTTTAACTTAAAAATACAGTTACAACTTTAAATTAACATGGTTATTTATTGTATATAGTGTTTATTGGTGTGAATGTGAAGTGTGAGGGAGCTGATGGTGGAATATTGATTGATTTTTTTGATCCTCAATTAGCTTAGTTATACAATAGGTGTAAAGAGAACAGATAGATGTATTAGCCAGGGCTCGGAATTCATGGGAAAATAAATCAGTACCTTCCAAGCTGAGGTACATGCAATTGACAGAATTCCCCAATTCAATCTGAATAAAGGGTACAAAAATATATTGTGCCAAGCAGCCATAAAAGTGTAGAAGGGATTCTATCGTTTAAACCGAGCCTACTAATCAAGTTCCTTGAGGAACTAGGGCTCACTGGTGTACTATAAGCTTAGAACAGAATGATACATCTGCATTGATACAAAGCTCCTAGATGATTTATGGTTTCCACTTTTTCTAGTGGATTTCATTTATTATGAGCATTGATGCAATTTTTGGTTTTGTAAAAAGGTATCGACTTTTATTTATATTCAATAACATATTTTTGATTACATGTCATGTAACAATGTTATTTAAATCATGTAACAGTTTACAGTCTTTTGTAGAGTTTGTTTCAGGATATATTTTTACATCAGCAAATATTTTTATTTTACCAAATTTAATAAATAGTAAATAAATAGAGGCCATTAATAAATGGCTTAATACTTTTAAAACAGTCAGCCCAAAAGAGCCCCCCCCCCCAAACCATTTGTGTCTGTTGGTTAAAAAGATCATAGCCATAAAATTAATTTATTATTTACTTCTAATGATTTTAGCTTAATTAGAATAATATTATGATTAAAAAGTTTAATAAGTCTGTAAATTGTATCTTTTGGCTGATGAGATGTCTTTTTGAAAGGATAAAAGGTTTGTACAAGTCAACTGATTTTTTTTTTAAACTCGTAAATCATTATGGCACATGCATGTTAAAATAAATTACCATGTTTCATCTTTCACATCGAACAACCTGATAAAAATAATATAATATTTTATTTGTTATAATATTGTTACTAATTATTACAAATTTTATTGTGAAATTCTTGAGATATCTGAAGAAGGAGAGTTAGACTTGTAGTTAATAAAGCATGATTGGTTGCTTGGAGGATGAAAGCAGTGTTAAAATAGTAGTGAGTGGTGACACAAGCTGGAAACTTTAGTAAACCACAGGCAGACAGTCACCACTGTATGATTGATGCAAATCTATAGTTGATTAATAATGCAAAAATATTATAACAAGATTTTATGCTGATGATTCTGCGAAGAAAAAATGTGTACCTCCCAAAATGGCGTGCATGACAGGGGGGAAGTCTGATGTATGTGTGTACTCACCACCACCATCCACTCTGCAAGAAGTAAGTCATTTTTAATATCTAGTTTAATTATTTTTTCAATCATATCATTTTGGCTTTAGACATGCAAACCAGCACCAAAACATCCAGAAGCAATAGCTCTAGAAGACTTACCACTTCCTTCTCCATTATCAGCCAATGTGGTTGTAATTGGTGCTGGTATTTCGGGACTTACAGCAGCCCAAAAGTTAATCAAGGAAGGAATCACAAATACTATTGTTCTTGAAGCATCATCTAGGTATAACAATTTTTCAGTTACTTTGTACTTAAGAAGATTGATAAGCAAATGTATGTTCTTGCTGTTAAGAAGTAGAAGAAATTTAATTTTGGCTTATTTTTTTCAGATAGATTGTCTGTCAAATGTTAGGGAATAAGTAGTCAATAGTTTCATATTATATTATATTTTCAATTAATCTGTTCTTTAATATCTCAGTATTAAAAAATAATAAAACAAAATAAATAATCCTACGAACTATTTTCCATATACGTTATTAATTCAGATCAGGTTCAAATTTGTTCTTTATACAGAATTGAATTAGAAGGTTTATGTTTAAAAATACACAATTATAGCAATTACACCTTTAATCTAAGGTCTGAGTTGAGATGAAAAAGCAAGTGTCACGAGTGGCATTCGAACCCACGACCTTCAGCTCAATACCCTGCTGCTCTAATCACTTGAGCTATTGTGACTTCTTCGTGTGACTTTTCATCTCAACCAAGACCTTACATTAAAAGTTAATTAATTAAAATGATTAATACAGTCAATTATGGCTACAAAATACGTAATAATAATTTAGGGATGGTTAAGGGGAAAATAGTGAACATAATAATAATGTTTTATTTAACTATAAACATATACAATACAAAAAAGAAAATATCAGTAATGTGGTGGCATTGGTCCAAAGACCTTGCATTTGAACCCAACATGCAAATGGGGATTTACACAAAAGTAGATCCCCTGAGGGGGATTAATACCTCTGCAGTTGCAAATCATCATAAAAATAAAATCATTTTTATAAAATTTCAGTATTGTTACTAATTTTAATGTCCACCAATTATATTATTCAAGGTTTAATTAAAAGTGGAATTTCAGACCTGGAGGGAGAATCAGATCTGCACACATGGGAGATACTGTGGTCGAGCTTGGACCTTTTTGTGAATTCCCTAAAAAAGTGTATGAAATGCCAATTGTAGATGCTGCAGTAAAATTAGGTTTGATTAAACTTGGCCCAACAGATCCAACAAAAGGATTATTGGTAAATAGCGATGGTACCCAACTCCCAACTCCAATTTCATTTATGGCATTTAAAGAATTAGCTGAAATGCTAGAAGAGGCTAAACGTTTACGGTAATTGGCATCAAAATGACCAACTTTAATTTCTTTAATTTACAATTGCCTTAAAGGTCTAGTACAGACGCTTCAGAGGAAATGATGATCAACCATTATATTGGAATAAAAATGCACCAGGTTTTAAAAAGAATTCCGCCAGAAAGTGCAGAGACTGCCACAAGAGCTTTAGTTGGACTTTCTAGTTACCTTGTAGAACACCAAGTAATCTCTGATGGCGTTGGAGCATATACTGTTGTACCTGGAGGCATAAAAGTGCCTCTCGGAGGTGTAGGCAGATTATCTCAACTTATAGCTGATGTCGGTGATCACATTTTATATAACAAAAGGGTAATTTATTTTATATTTGATATTTTAATGTTAAAGATAAAAATTTACTTCCATTGTGCGAATCAGGGCTACACAAAATTTAGGGTATCCCCGACTCTAATGCATTGTTACCAGTTTTCCACAAATAACCCCCTCACACTGATGGAAGGCGGTATGTCTTCAAACACCAATTACTGAAGCGTATTAATATAAACCATATAAGAATTTGCTAATAATGAGAGCAGGATTAAATTGAGGTATTATGTTCATACAAGTTGTAATTAAAATATATAAACATATATATAAAGAACAAATACAAAAAAATCACATGAAAACAATTTACTAGTATTGCATGTAACAAAATAGGTCTGTTATGGTAATAAAATTAATAATATCAAACTAAAAGAAGATATTAATATAACTAATAGATGTATACAATAAAAAAGAATGATCTGACCCAATATTATGAGGCATTAATGTCCAAGTTGATGTAGGTTGGATGTAGAAGGAAAAGATGGAGCTGGATGCTCAAATGAAGAGATGTACCATGAAGTTGGCAGACTCTATTAACTCTCAGTTCTGCAGATAATAAATGAATAGAATTAACTCGTGAAGTGAGCTAGCACAGACGTGCATGTAGCTCTCAGTCTCGAAGAAACAATGGAGACGCCAAAAATGGGCAGAAGAAAAGGAACACTCGTCGCACCGATTGGGATTTGTCCCCATCCCCACTCACCGCACCGATATATCAAGAACTCTATATGCAACTAAGTCTATGGCCGATCGCACTGTGCTTATTCACTTTTTAAAACTAATTTAATATATTATAGATGACTATAAACCCACTTTAGTTTTTATCAATTATTAAATGAAAAATAACCTTTTAAAAATAGACAAAAACTTAAATAATTCCTGATTGTCACCAACATCCATGGTCAGTTCCAACAAAAATTATTTTAATGCGTTTTATTTCTAAAATGCCCATAATCTTCTGAAGCAGATTGGAATAATACATTGTCATGATATTAATGATTTGATATACATAACTATAAGGATAAACTATAAATAAGAATTCTTTATAAAACATGTAACAAGTTGTACACCACTGATTCTTTTTGGAAATTTTTTAAAGGTTTTTATAGTAATAGACTGTAGCATACTCATTTAAAAAATAAGTGTGAATTTATATAGGACATTTGTCAAGGGACAATTTTGTTTTAGGTTGATAAAATCAAGTATGGGACAGTAACGCATGACCAGAAGCCAAGGGCTATTGTTAGGTGCACAGATGGTACTCAGTACCAGGCTGACTGTGTACTTGTGACTCTTCCCCTTGGGGTTCTCAAGGAAGAGTGGGAGTCTATGTTCTCACCACATCTACCGGCTCACAAGCTTGCCGCTCTCGTCTCTCTGGAATACAATGTAAAGGAAAAGATTTATGTAGAGTGGTCCCAGCCTCTGTGGGTGTGGCGTGATACACCTCTCAATCGCAAATTCAAAGGTTGTGAGTTGAAAGGGCGCTCTGACTGGACTAAAAACATGTCCAGTATCAAAGAAGTACCAGGCTCTCAGCGGCTTCTTCAGTTCATCATCAAAGGTGGTGATTCCAAAGAAATGATAAGGTAAAAAAATACTAAATATGCTCTTTTATAAACTTTAAGACAAAACAAATTTAAGGCCCTTTTATATAACTATGTTAATTATTAATTGCATAAGCTTCGATCAATACAAATAGTAATTAACAATAGTACATATATTTCCTTTTTGCAGTTTATACATTTTTTCATTTATAACTGCAGATTTCTATGTTAAGTTAGGGGGGGTTTGTTGTTTATATATTTGGTCGGAATTCAACCAATACCAATTAGTATAATAATAATAATAATGTTTATTTAACAACAAAAAGAAATATATACAAAACAAAGTAAATTAACACTGTAGACCATGGTAAATACTGTCTGGTGAAAAAAAATCCTATTAGTAAACGTAGGCTAAGAATAATCTCAAAGACTCATTAATAAAATACAAAGGTCAATTCATTATAAAACAGATAACATATATTTATTTTAGTATTAAGTACGTACATCTTTTTTAATTATTTTTTTGTGATAAATAAATGTACTATTTCAATGTGTGAATTAAACTAAAGATTAAATTCAGTATAAAGCAATATTACGGAAGTACGTAAATAGGTTCAAACAGTAGGATTTGTTATGAAAGAATAGTTTTTAAACTATAAAAATATGGACGGTCCAAATAGGTCAAAATTACAAAATAATGTTTTACACAAATACAATAATAAAATCGTTTTATTGCAGTAGTTTGTAGAATAAGAAAAGTCTTATTAAGTATTTAAATCAAGAAGGTTTACTATAACTTTCATCCAATTTCTTCAAATACATTTTCATTTAATAAAATAATTAATTTTATTGTTTGATTAATTTTGTTAGCTTAAAAAATTCAAATTAGTCAAGTGTTGCAAGCCGGAAGAACGTTTTCTTTTCAGGATGTTGAATAATGATTTTTGCTTCGATAAGAACACAAATAGCACTAACATCCACATCACTACTAGGTTCTTGCCACCAGTCTTCTTCATCATCTGACCTCTCTGCACTTTCTAATTTCTAAAAATTGAATAAAATAATAATTTATGACTAGGCTCTCAATTAAATTGTGACGTGACAAATCATAAAACTAAGCTTACACCTATTTATATTTAGTTTAGTACTTACAGAAAGGAAATTTTTAATGTCAGTTTTTATTAATGGGTAACATGTATTGAGGACAGTGTCCTGAAAAGTAACATTAATGAATTATATTAATAATGATTAGTAAATCTGAAAATGTATTTACCAGATCGTTCTTTAGCATTGGAAATAGCTGCTTGAGATCGCCAGTGTTAGACGCCTCAACTTGATCTTTATGAGTGCTAGAATCGGTCATACCTTGGGCTATAGTTTTCAAATAGTCATTTCTAGTCGTATACCTAAACATCAATCCATTGAACAAGAAGTAGCCAAATAATTTATAATAAACAATTTAAATAGTTTTTATGTTTCGCACATTGAAATGCTGTCTGAGATATTTTTTAAATTGTTTTTCTCATGGCTGTAAAGCTGTTGAAGTTGAACGACTTCCCTCTGAAATTTTTCGAGTAGTGTGCTCAACGTGTAGAGAGGATCGACTTCCACTTCAGATAAATCTATATATTTAAAACAAAAATTAATTAAAATGCAAAAATACACGAGTATTATATTACCGGGTAAATCAACATCTCCAAGTAATCGCTGTAGTGCTTTGATGTTCTCTTTACGTTGTATTCGGACGGACAGGGGGTCAATATTTTGTACCTCACCAGTGGAGACTGCCATTTTTTGCTCATCCTCTTCGAGTACTGAAAGGATGCTAAGTACTCTTGGCAGGATGTCACCCATAACCAAATTTTGCCCTTTTCTCGATATAACACTTGTTGACCTAAACATTTTTTCCCATTAAGTATTACCACATGTCCACCAAATTAAAAAATCTGCACTTTTATTTATAAATTTAAGGTTTTAAACAATGTATAGTGTAAACTTATCAGCATTTTGGTCCCCCTATCCACACTGATTTTAACCTATCTATTTTGTCTTGCCAACTTTAGATCCAGCACTGAAAATGGACAGATGCTATTGTCAGTCCAAATCAGTGAGGAAAGGCAGACCAAAATGATTGGAAATTACAAATCTACAGCTTTATCACCTTGCAGACCTCTTGAAGAAATTTTTCAATTTTTAAACAATAATTTCTATATTTAATTGAAAGTTTTACACACGTATTATTACTAAAACGCACATTGACCAACTTCCGAGTGTATTTTTTTTCCATGCTCAGGCATTATGTTGCCTACTCTAAAAATATAGTTTTAATTGTGAGTGATTGCGAGTGGTTTACATGAAAAACCAAAGCCATTTAACTTTGTTACTGAATTTCAAAACCACACAAATATGTGAGGAAACTGCATCAGGCAGACTGAAGCCTATTTCTAACAAGCTTTTAAGTGCAAAAAGGCTTGCATTCAGACCAGACTTCTCTTTCTCAGGAACTCAGTGTCAAGTCTTCTTCCTCAACTGTATTCTCAAAGTCTTTAGAAACTTTAAAGGATGCCAATAAATTTGCAGAAGTACGTTCATTAGGTGAATGAGTGGAGTGAGAACCTCGACAAATCGATATCAATATTTACATGCTGCAGACTTGCTACACAATCCACAATATCACTTTAATGAAAAGAAATCCCAAATACTGATTCTATCCAATATCTAGTTAATTCGCCCCATCTGGACCTATGGTCGGCGATGGCCACTACAGAGATATGTTACACAAGTTTTTTTTAAACTTTATAATGGTACTTAAGAAACACAGACCCTTCGAGTTGACAATCAATGGTAGGAGAGGTACTAAGAATCCATACTGAAAGCTACACGCACACATCAGCCCTCTGGCTGGTGACCCTTCCCAATAGGCAAAAAAAGGTCGTCAAGATGGATTGAACTTATCAGTTTTGTTATTGTTTTTAATCTCTCACTAAAGCTTATGTTAGATTAATTATACACTGTAAAATTGTACATGAATCTGCTAGAGGCTAAACCATCATATAAATACCATGTGTATTAATGTACTATACAATCACAAATATAGTAGTTCTATAATTAAGAAATAAAAGATAACATACTTACATTGTTGCTAAACGATTATTTTACGCACCCACCGTATCAAATTTATACTGAGCTTCTTTGTTGTAATGTGACAGTTGAACAAAAAACAAAAAAAACGATCTTTCAACAGCCTACAAGAAGTCGCAACTAGCAAATGCCAAGTACCTACGTCCTACGGCAACAGTCAACAATAGATAAAAGATATACAAAATGGCGCGAAACAACAATCGAAATTTAATTGGTGGCGCTCAACTAGATTCTAGACTAGTACAATAGGTTCTTAACTATTTATTATACAAAAATTTTGATTTCGAGTGTATAGTAAATTGAATATATGTACACAATAAAAATAAAAACGATAGTAAAAAATGTATTAGTTATTCTATTCTCGTTGGTGGCGCTGGCGTTGAATATGGTACGGGGAAAAAGGCGGATCTTATTATTTCCAGTTACATTTTAAAGTGTAGAAATTATATGATGCATCGCTATTCTTTGGCTGTTGTACTGTCATAAAACTTTTATAAGATCGAAAAAATTTTTTAAATGTGATAACTTGTTACATTCATTTAACCAAAGAAGATATGGAGTAGGTGTATTAAACTATCTCTAATAATTATTAACTCCATTATATTTTGTGGTCTGATTTACCAAATTACTTCTTACAATTAATTATTATTTTTATTTATTTTATTTTAAGGTCTTGTGGTTGAAATGAAAAAGTTAGTGTCAAGAGCCCTCTCTTGATTGATTGATGATTATTATTTGTATCGATTGATTCGAACCCACGAAGGTCGGCAATTCGAATTCCGCTCATGACCCTTTTTCATTTGACCCAAGACCGTACATAAAAAAACAATTAATTCAAATAATTATTAACATTGAGGGGTCATAATTACTTTTTTTTAAATGTAAGGTCTTGGTTGAGAGAACTTTTTCATCTCAACCAAAACCTTACATACAAAGAATAAGTAATTTGGTCAATTAGACCACTAAACATAAATGGATTACAATTTTTAAAATTATTTCCATATTCCAATTAATTATTCTTATCAGTTGATTGAGAACAAAATTTGTGTTAAGAGCAGGATTCGAAGCCATATGACTTTCGGCTCAATCCGCCCTGCTTTAACCACTTGAGCTTTGTGACTTCAATCCCCTTAGACACCAACTCCTCATCTCAACCTACAAACGTTCGAATTTTTCCCTGTTTTTGCCATATTTTCAAATGTCGCGTAATCAGAATTCGATTCTCAGCGACTTATGAAGTGGCCACGAGGAGCTGTTAGTGAAGTCATTACTTCTTTTTAATTATTAAATTCAAACTATTATGACCCAATTAAGACAATCGGCATATGTGCCAGCTAACTTGAACACTTGTAAAATGCAAATACAAACTTTACTAACGAGGATAATAATTAGATGATAATGATTAGAAATTACCAAACTAATGTTTTTCTTCTGAATTATTCGCTAAACACCACTCAATTGTTTTTTCTAAATCTTCACTGTGCTACTTCACTTTTTCTCTACTTCTTTCGCAAAACCATGAATTTCACTTTACAGTTGAAATTTATGTCTAGTTGCCTCGTTCATTTAATTTGAGACAGACGTAGTTTGTAATGTGTAGTAATTGAAAATGTTCTCTCTATTTTTACCTATTTTATGATGGAACTTATTTCTTACTAGGGTAATTAACATGAGATGATTTTTGTGCTGATTAGAAAAGCTAATATTTCGGTTTATCAGAGGGATTGAGATACAACAAATAAGACTGTTTTCATAAAATACACCATAATTCAAGTGTTTGTATCAATCCCACTGACCAGCCAAGTTTGTTATTGGTTATTTGAGCTCGACCCTTTGTAAAAATCAAATCTGTTTCAGATCGTCTGATGCAGATGTGTTAAATGCTATCCTACAATTTTTGAAGGATTGGCTTGGTGATGAATCCATACCAATGCCAAAGAGTCTCATGCGATCTAACTGGGGAGACAACCCACTTTTTAGAGGGTCTTATACCACCTCTAAAAATGAAAGTAAGACAGAAATACAACAGTAACAACTGAAGTTGGAACAATTATTTCTTTTATATTATAGATGAAGAACGCGTACTAGCTGAAGCTCTGCCACGGACTTCGTGTGATGGTTATCCAATCCTGTATTTTGCAGGTGAAGCAACAAGTCAGGGTCTATGTGGGACTTTACAGGGTGCCATTTTATCAGGAATCCGAGAGGCTGATAAAATCATTTCAGGTATTAAAAGAAATGCAAACTATTCTCAACACCCTTGTTCAAGTGTGACAACTGGCATATGTGCCAACTAACTCAAAGACCTGTAACATGCAAATATTGTGACAGTCCAAGAAATATAAAATTTTAATTTGTCTCTTTTAATTTTTTTACCCCTTTAGCCACTAAAGTTTACATTGTATGCTATGGTATAATATCAATCAAAAACCAGTTTGTTCTTGTTCTCTTCTTTGCCCAACACTGATGAGAAATTAATAATACAGCAAATTATATATTTTTTAAAGTTGAAGGATGTGTGTGCTCTAGCAATTTGATTACTTATAAATAAGAAACTGGGAGTAAGGTATAAAACAAAAATGATTAAATAAGCTTTACAAATACTGGACTGTGGAGTTTATTTTATTAGTTATTTTAATTAAATATATAAGCAATTTATTTTTAAGAATGATTTCTTCAGTCTTACCCAAATGTACACATACAAAAAGTCCATAAACAAATAAGAAATAACAATTAACAAAATGTACATAATTTATTCTCTATTTATCTCAGAATGTACAATATAAAGATTAATCACAATTTCCTTTGAACAAAATTGAAGATTTAAAAAAAAAAAAAAAAAAAAAATACAGGCTATAAAGTTTACATTTGCCAAATCTAAAAACTCTCCAAAAATAGACAATTTCATAGATTATGTTTTATGTACTCCCAATATTACAGTATAAAAGTCATGATCATTCTTAAACAACAATTCTACAAAAAATTTATCGAAAATTTGGCTTAGAAATTTCATAAAATTTGATATAATTTATATAATCACATATAGTTTTAACAAATTTGAATTGAACTGTTGATATCATATATTTCAAACATTTTGTACAATAATAATCACACAAGTCAGGCCAATGGTTAAAATATTTTAAAATTATTATTTAACAACAAATTAAAAAATAAAAACAATTTAAATGTCAAAATATTTTTTTTTTTTTTTTTTAAGTCGTTCATATCTCTTTTTTTTAAAATAGACATTATTTTTTTAATAATATTTATAACATTTAATAATTATCAATAAATCTATTTGTACTAAAAATTCACTTTCTTTTGAAAACATGGTGTCAGGGAGAATGAGCCTTCTGAGGGATCAATTGGGGGGCTGCTCACTCTCACCTGACTACCCAACCCACCAACAAACTTGGAAACTTTTTTTGTTAGAGGCTCATCTTCAGAGCCTTTTGTTGAACAATCGGAAGAATCTTCCCAAGGACGACTTGGATCCTTTGGGTCCTTCCCAGCCATCTTGGCAGCTAAAAGCTGTACAATAAATATACAATTATAAATTAAAACAATTTTTAAAATGGTTATAATAAAGTAAATAATAAATCAATTAAATTATAAATCTGCAGTCTATATTATCAATTAATTATTCTTTTTATCTAAGGTCTGAGCGGTATTCAAACCCACGACCTTTGGCTAAGTACGCCGCTGCTCTAACCACTTGAGCTATCGTGACAACATTATTTATTAATTAATTAAGGTTTTTAGTTGAGATAAAATTAATTAATTTAAAGATATCAATTGGTCAAGCGGACCACGAAAACTAGTGAATTATTTATTTACATTTCTGTTTGGGCATTAGGGTGGTTAGGCATGGTTAAGGGAGAGCCTGGACATAATTTTTTTGTTATACTTGACATAGCTTGTAATTACCTTACAGAATTGAAATAATAAGTTAAGGAAAACAGTAGAGCAAACAGTAAAAACAGAATTTACAAATACTTTTGGGAGACAAAAGAATTCCCAAATTTATTTATATAAGCTATTTCTTGAAATTTTTCCAATGAAATACAATATCAACCCATGGGCCATGGTGGGCCTAAACGAAGGTCATTATTGATGTATAATTTAAATTTAATATTATTAAAAATATATCAAAATAATCAAAATGAAATAGCCACACCAAATTAAATGTGGGGGATGGTATATTGGATAGACAAGAAAATAATGTTGTATTACTACTACTAATTCTAAAATAATAAGGAATACATTAGTATGTGTTTACATCATCAATTTGTATCAAGTTTGTTTCAGTCACCACCCTAAACCAAAACCACTTTAATCACATAGATTATTTTATAATTGATTGCTGTACTTGCCAAGTTTTAAAAATGAAAACCTTTATGCATGAAAGGTTGATGAAGAGTATAAATGTTTGTTGACCATTAACAAAACTATTATTTTTTACTCTAACTGATTAATAAATCTGTTTATTTATTTTTAATGGCTAGTATCAATTTAATATAACCTTCCAAATTCTGGTATTTACTACTGATCAGTATCATTTAACAAAACCTACGACTAATGATTCTTTATGATATTACCATTTCAAATAGGAAAAAACCTATTTTAGCAAATAATAGAACTACAAAATACCAAGAAATGAAGAAGGTAGGATAAGTATGTAAAAAGAGTAACTGCAAAATACCTGTAGACTTTCGAGTGAATTTTCACAGTCAGTCGTATCAATGTCATTCATGTTGACACCAAACTTCTCGAGGTCAGCATATGTGCCAAATGGAAGCTTACCGACACATTCTAGTTTCATTATGTGCAGTTTACTTCGGAAATGTTTGGCTAGGTGGCCATGGATCCTAAAGGCCACTTTGCAATAGTCACACTTGAATGGCCTTGGATTGCTTGTTGTTGCAGTCCCAAAAGTTGAATTCATGTTAACCTGAGAACAACAATTTATATTTAATCATCATATAAGAAAACAGAGCAAGATAAAGTAAATTAAATCACCTTATTAAGATGTGCTAATGACCTCTGATGCTTCTGTAGATGACCTTTAGTCCTGAAAGATACCGCACACGAATCACACCGGAAAGGTCGCTCAAAATAATGGATATTCACATGAAGTCGTAGTTGACTTGGTTTGTTGAAAACTTTATTGCACATAACACACATACTTCTACCATCTTCTGTTGTACTAAAATAGTAAACATTACACATAATAAATCTTTAAAAACCTACACTGCCAAAATATTGTTCAATATGTTTAAGTCTCAGGGTTTTGTAAATTTTACAGTGGCCCAGATAATATTCCTATTGAAATAAAGAAATTAATAAAACACAGTAACGTAGACAAGATAACCATGTTATTCAATAATACCTATAAATCTAGAATATTTCCGCAATACTGATTATTATCAATTTTGTTGCTATCCCAAAGAAAATGTCTATCATAATCAAACAACTTTGCCCCACACCAAGGGGATCTTTATAAGATCATTAAATGTAAGTATGAATAATTTTTGTCAAAATAAATGAATAAATAAAAATAAAATAAATTTAACCATGGTGACGTCGAACTGGTCGCAGCCACATGATCCTCAACTTGCGTTCAAACATTTTTTGGGGATAATAATGTAACCACTGTTGGCAAAAATGGGCCGATTTTTTCTTTACTTTGGGGGATGGCTTTAATGGTCACATGTTAGTTTTCAATAAAAATTTTAATGGACTATCAAGGTCTAAGAGAATCGTTCAACAAACAAAATAAAGAAAAAAGGCCCACTGTTGGGAAGGCAATATTACAATCAATGTTGGATATCTTGATGTAGGAGTTATGTATGGTTACATGCTCTTGTCGCACTGCATCATTTGTTGTACCAGTTTGTTGATGGTAGTAATTGTTCCAATAAGCATGAACTTGGGTTATCCCGATGAATTAAAAAGCCTTTTATGGATCCCAAGAAATAAACAAACATTTTATGGAAAATATTCGAATTTATAATAATCTATTCACTTTTGTATTTCAAAATGCTGATATAAAAGTATGTGGTCCACATTCCATCCTGGTTCAAGGTGAATCTACTATCAAAGCTACCACAAGTCTTATAAAGGCTAAAACCACTGAGTTTCGGTCAAATATACATATTTGACGATGGAAAAGCAATTATGCACTGCGCTCAAAAAAATCAAACAGCAAGATGTTTTAGATGTTATTCAACCTATTATGAATCGCAAACCATATCCTGAGCAATATACCTTGCCAATTCACAATTCAAATATCTATAACTTAATTATTTTAACATTTCTACATGAAACCAATGGATCGCCCAAAAAAGGAAATGGTGAGGTAAGCAGCAGAGCCTCCTAGTTTATATAATTTTATTTGTTTATTTTTAATGTGGGGTTTATGTCTGTAAAACATTTAGCCAATAATTTTGCTATAAACTACATTATATTAAATGTTTGCTGCTCCAACATACCTGATATAACTAAGATTAGGAGCATTAGATGGAGGGAAAAACTCTGCTTTGCGATGTTTATTTGGACTTTCGGCCAGTTTTGTTGGTGGTGATTGGGTTGAAGTATCAACTGGAGGGGTTGGTATCCGAATGATCTTTTTAACATCCATCCTGGCAATGGCCTGTACCACTGATTCTTCTTCTTCCACATTATTTTCCTCCTAAATGGCAAATTTGCAAAATTGAAGAAAAACAACGAAAGATTGTTTGCTAGCAATATAAATAATATAAGCAGGCTGGTTCAAAGTTAATCACTATCAATCCTAAGCTAGTTAATTCTTAAATTAAATTTTAAAATTAATTTTAATGCAAAATTTCTCTTCCAAATAATCAAAAATCAGTAATTGGCATTGCATTAAAATATGGTGAGAAATTTCATCTTCTTTCAATTTGAAACCAAACACTTTTTAAAAATATTTGTTGGTTGTTGTATAATATTGGATGTTGTGTTTTCTTTTTTGCAATATACAACTATTTTATCTTCAGTATTTTTTTAGTCTTCATTGGAAGGTAGTATTAAAATTGAATTAGAATAGTTATATTTAATTACTTATATTCAACATGATTTAATTATAAATAGCAATGATTATACCTCACCATAATATATTACAACTTCACCATTCATAAAAATAGCAAATTTTAATAATACCTTCCAATTACTGCCAACAAAAATCACTTATAACAACTAACCTTATTAAAATCAGGAAGGAAAAAGAAATATTTAATTATGTTACTTGTGTAATCCCCCATCAAAACATAACGAAATTAAATTAAACTGAAAAATGTCTTACTTTTAATTCTTCGTCTACAACAGATTTTGACTCGTATACTTGCTGGTGTTTCACCATGGAGTCCTTCAAAGCCCGTTCAGTTAAATAAGCATGTAAGAGGAGACTATTTTCAGGATATTCTGTTGGAGTGGTTACGGAAGGTGGAATGTTTTCTATATTCGAGCTGATTGGAGGCACTACTACTGGCCCACCAACCGACGTTATCACAGAAGTCTTTGCACAGCCAAGCAATGGTTTACTCTCTTCTTCAAGAGGCTCCACATTGAGGGGTTCCACCTTCAATGGTTCCACCTTGACTCTCAGCTCATGACAGTCTTTGTTCAACATCAGTAAGTCCTTCCACCAAGACTCTATGGTTGCCGCTTTCTCCTCCGGACATTTTTCCTGAAAGGAAATGTGGAAAATGAAATGAGAGCTTTCTTTGAATACCTAAAAAATTTACCGAAGTAATCTCGTTATAAGGGTATGAGCGAGGGCGAGATATCTGTGAAATGAGACCAGCACTAATATACTGTCGGTGAGCTGCCTCTAAAGTTCTTTCTGATAAACTCAGCAATGACTTTGCCGCCTCCCTTTCAATTTTACAACCATCTCCTAAAGAAATGCAAACACATTGAAATCATAGTCCATAAATCAGATCACCTTTAATTAAGAGCAAAAACTATTATACATAAACTATGTAACATTTTAAAAGATTTAATATTAAAGTTTTTAGTTATTATCAGTCAATTGTATTCACAAAAAACCTTTTGCGAATCTTAATAAATTAATAGTTTAATTTTTATGCAATATTGAAAAAATGTAAAGAAACAAGCATATGAATTTTTATCAAACTTTACCTTCTTCAATAGAATCTTTATCTTCTTCTTCTTCTTCTTCCTCCTCTTCATCATCCTCTGTTTCTTCTTCTGATTCGTCATCTTCTTCTTCCAATCCTTTTTCTTCCAGCTGTAAAACAGTTAGATTCAATTATACAGAAAAACAATTTTTTATTTTGAAAAAAAAAAAAAAAAAAAATTATATCTTACATTTTCATTATCTGATTTATCTGGATAATCTTCAATAGAAGTGGGAATGGGAGAAATATCCAACTCCTTACATCTTTTATAGTGAGACTTGGATTTCATATGTTTTGTTAAATTCCCTTTTGTCTTGAAACTACAAACATTATATAATTAGGGAAAAACATTCAACATATTAAACTAATAATAATACAATACCTAAATGTACAGTATTTACAAGTATAAGGTCTAAGATCAGTATGAGTACGAATATGTTTTTTGAGCATTGAAGGTTTCTTACATCTAATTCCACATTCTTCACATACATAGCGACCTCGACCTGCAAAACAGTACAAATATAGCCTTCTTTCACATATAATTAATCTTAATTCACAATAAGCAAATCTATTGACAAAAAAATTAAGGACAAATTATATTATTAAAAAGTATCTTTAATCAAAATTTTTAATTGATTATTATTTGGATTTAAATGAAAAATCTAAATACCTCTGCCTCTGATATAAATATAATCTTCATTAGATTCAAAACCACCTTCACAGACTTTTATCTTCATAGGATGTGAATCATTCTCACCTCCATTTTTCTAAAACCAAAATAAACAACTATTATACAAGTGCATTATTATTTCCGAACTGTTCTTACAAATTTGAAAATCAAATAACATTTTGTTCAATTAACCAAACAAATTAAAAAATCGTTCTATAAATTTGTAATTTTAAGATATATTTTAGATTTCAAAATGTTAAAGGTAGGTAGCATGATAAAGAAAATGTTTTTCTAAACCTACGTCACACCAGACTGCATCTCACGATCTCCAAACAATCACTATATATACTATTATAAATGTTGAACTGGCAAATGTTTTATTCTGTAGAATTGCTTTATTTGAAACATTTAATTTACACTGATTCTATGAAAATATAATTTTAAAGCAAACCAATACACTTTTAGCCTGAAAAGTACACTCTTTTTGACTGCAAAACATGGAATATGTATTTTTAAATCTGAAATTATGAAACATTCGAAATGATTTTACCACAACTTTTTCCATTTCAGTTAATTCTCGATCAGTGTAGAAGGTAGAGTGCGTTATGAGATCTTTTTTATCCCTGTTGGAAATAGTGTATGATGAATCCCTGTTCCTCGAATCGTACTGCGCAATTGCTTTCTTCGGATCCAGTTCAAGACTAGGAGGCAGAGGAACTGGATCTTTACGAATTTGCTAGAGAATAAAGAATATAAAAATTTTGAAAAGATAAATGAGTTTTTAATATTAACTTACCAGCCATTGAGAGTACATAGACACTTTGTCATTGGGCATGAGTGGGAGGTAGGTGGGCTGGACACTGTTTAAAGTGCAGAAAAATGTTTTTGTTGAACACTTAAGCCCAATGCCCGTATAAGCATGACCATTGAGAAATAGTTGACAGAAAGCTTTTCTAGGGCGAGGAGTCTCTGGTGAAACCAGACATATAGCATTAGGAGTTGTAAGAGAACGCTTCGGTGTGTATGAACCCGGTTTCAGAGGGAGAGTGCTTGGTCTCAGAAATTTCTTTTCACCTACCTCAACCTGAAATAATTATATAAAATTTAATTATAAAGATTAAATTTGATTACTTGCAAAATTAATTGTACACTTACATCTGTTTCCAAATTAGTCCTTGATGGTAGCAATCTCTCTTCTACATCAATTCTTAGTGGAGGCAAAGGTTTCTGCTCAACTTTTTGTTGTGCTGGTTGAATGATCACGGTCTTTTCTGGTTTTTTAGGAATGAGGGGTTGAGGAGATAGGAGAGAGTTGGGGCCAGGGATACCTTGGACAAAAGGAATAGGTTTTCCAGCATGTAGTATCGTCATTACTCCATTGTACGGACAAGAGTTTGTTGGTTTGAGTGGCGACAGGGATTCTGGGGTTAGGGTTTGAAGAGTGAGAGAGTTATAAGCAGTTATGCTGGTAAGAGGATTGATAGTAGAGGGATATTTCAAAGGAGATGCTATACCAGGGACATTGGGTGGTGCAACAGTTGGTAATATAGGAAGGACCATTTTTTCTGGGTAAATTGGCTTTGGGGATATACTTTCAGATTGAATCATGGTCCCTCCCACAGAATGCAAGCCTGTCTTTGATATTGTCACTACTTCTTTTTTCATCATTGACTCTATTACCTCTTTCCTTCCATCTATCCTTAAGATTTTAGACTCACCAGCAGGACTATCTAGGATCTGGACTTCACCACCAAACAGTTTCACTGACTTCTTTTCATCCAACTTTAAACTAAAATCTATTTTTCTTTTTTTTAAATCATTAAAACCATCTACAAGGGGCGTTTTACCTAATAGGGGCCCAGGGGAAGACTTAGATTTACACGAATACAAATGAGTATTTAGATTGTCTATAGTTTGGAAGACTATTTTACAATTTGGGCAAGGATGAAGGATAGCATTTGTAATTTTAGAGACATCTGGCTTCTCCCTTGTTTTGAGGAGGATGTTTTTGATGATAGAACCATCAGAAATCAAGGTTTCCGATAATGACCTCTTTCTTGACTCTTTCACTGTCAAATTGAGTGGTTGAGGTTCTTCTAATTCACAGGCGGAAACTCTTAAAGATAAAGACTCCTTCGAATCACCATTCCGAAGGGAAGAAGAGGTTTTCTTAGGCCATGTCGCATCATTAACTATAGCCTGATTGTCACTAATCAATTTATTTATCCTCATATGTAAGACATCTGTGCTTGAAGAAACTCCTATCTTCTGCACTTCTGATGGTTTGATTTCTTCAAGATGAAACTTGGGCTTGTAGATTTTTTTTACCTCTGGTTGGTTTTCTTCCTCTTCGGAACTCTGACTGTCCATCTTAAGAGGATGCGACCTGGATCTGTAGTGTTTATAAAGGTTACTTTCAGTTTTAAAAGTATACCCCATAGGGTTATTATATATTGATAAGGCCTTTCATTAGTATGAGCCAAGACATGTTTTATAAGACAAAAAAGTTTTGCACAGGGTATTTTACTACAAGGACAGACATACCTTCCATTCCATCCTGGTGACACTGGACTAATGGTTTCCTCCACTGTGGGGAAAAATCTTTCTTTCGCCTTCCCTGGTGTCGTGTCTTCCAATGTTGCCACTTTTTTGAACTTCTTGTGTAAATACTTGTTGGTTTCACTTTCTCTGACCATCTTGCTGCCCCTGTCCAATCCGTTTTTTTCCAAAGCTTTATCTAAAAAATTAAATACAATTAATATACAACAAACATAAGAGACTATGTGAGTTAACTGATTGACAAATGTAGTTATCTTCAGATTTGTAATAACAAAAACATACTTATTTTAATGTAAACCAAATTAACTAGATAAAAAAATCACGAATTTTAATAGAAATTATTTATTCATGATAGCATGAAAGAAAATTTCCCAAAACGCCATAAATTTTTTCAATCAGTGGTAGAATGAATTTAACTAACAATTTATTACCTGGTTTTGTCTAACAATAACTGATTGAGAGATTATATATATAAGAAAAAAATCTATAAACATTATTCACAAAAACGAGGGCTGTAACATGTCAATTTTTGTAGCAGACAATTATAGAAGGTAGCTGGAGTCTCCTTAAATCTCTTTTTCATACGTACAATCACTGAATGGTTTCAAGCAATTGTAGACAACTTATCAAAAAGCAGTCAAATTTTGCATTTAAAATTCTTCCGTCATTTTCATTTTTTTAGGCTCTCAAACAGTGTGGTGAATTAAGATTTTTTTTAACTTTTATGATCAATTGAGTCATTTCATTCAAATTTCTTAAAATTTGAGCTCTATTTAGCAATGTCCCTGAGGTTCTAGCAGAAGTTCACATTGCAATATATTACATTTAATTTTCTTCCAAAATCATTAAATAAATAAAAAACTTCCCAGATTTATAATATACATCAAATTATTTTCTGCTGTGTCCTATACTTTCCTCAAAGCACAAACTACCATTTTTCCACAGTTCTTAGTTGTGGATAATCATTTACTTATTGTTTCAGTTTTGATTAAAAAAACACATTTTTGTTTATCAAGTGGACAAAATCTCAATATGGATTATGAACTGAGCTTTGCCCCATTACAATAATAGATGGGGCATTATGATTTTTTGATTAAACACTTTGTATCTAGGAATAGGTTCGTTGTCTCTCCAAACTTACTTATCCCTTGTAATATTTTTAATTGAAAGTTAAAATAATACATACAGTTTAAACATTTTTCATGATTTTTAAGGATAATTTACTTTTTTTAAGAAAGAAAAAAAAGAAATTGGATTAATTGTATAATTTTATGCAATATTCATTCAATTTGACCAAAAAGGGGGAAAATAACATCTGAGATTACGCTTTTTGGGTCATGAAACATGAAAATAGTTTTGAAGACATTAAATGTAAGAAAACAAAATATGCAATTATACAGAAATCCAGTTACGAATTATAACCGTTTATAATAATTATGTATACCTTATAGACTTAGTTAACTACTTAGCACTCACATTATTTATGTTTTTTAACTATTAAATTATAAATTATTAACTACTACATAATCTATAAACAATATAATATTGATTCAATATTATATTGAAGATGCATTTAATTTAATGTGATCTTTGACAAATTGTTTTTCATCAGCTGATACATTGTTAGATATTTGAGTTCTGGCTGTTGACTCTTCTGACAATCCCCTTAGAGTTTTTTCCCATATGTCTTTCACATAGGTATGTCATTAATGTAGCATAGAGGCCTAAAATGATGCCTTGTAACACTTCTGCCTCAATTGCATACTCTTCTGTTAGATGGTTGTGATATAAACTGAAATTTGGGAAAGAAAGCATTATGTAAGATGTTACATTTTTATCTGTGAGGTGTTAAGTAAACCAATGTGCCAAACTATTTAATGCCTTTCGCAATACTCTAATACATGTGAATGCATGTGTTTTTCAGTACTTCCTTGACTTAATATATCTATGTAGCTGCTGTGAACAAAAATATCAAATTTGAAAACTGAATTGGGTAGGGGGAAGGTTTTTCATTTGTTGGAAACAGTGGAGACTTTTCAGGCAGTTTTGACTCACTGCTTTACACACTTTAATGCCACACTTTTTACTAAATGGTCCACTTTTAGTTTTGTGAAAAATTCTTTAAAAAATCTAAGCGTAAAGCTTAATTTAAATTACATGTATCACAAATAGTAATGAATTACCTTAGTAGACAGAGAAATTAAATATTTTTTAAGAAGACAAAGTTAAGTAGAATTTGAATCATGCTAAAACTTAATTATCTATTGCAAGTATTTGAAAACGCTAGTCAATTCTATCAGATAGAAACAGTCCTTTTTTATTTGTCACAATCAGTGCTTTCCAAAATTATTCCTATAAGCAGGAATATAAAAAAATCTTGGTAAATTATTAATAAGATTAAGCCAAGGTGATTGTGATAGAAACCTTTATCTTATCAGAATAGTGATGATCTTGTTCTATGAGTTTTTTCCTCAACTCATTTTTTAATGTGTCCCTGTGGCAGCTGTAAGGTTTTGAATATGTAATATGCGTTTTTAGCACACAATTATGAATTGCAAATTTGTTTACTATTACATTATATTTATTTACGGACCCTTTCAATAAAAACTGAAAGTTTATAAAGTATACTATAAACACAATTTCACAAGTAATACATCAAATAATTAATTATTGATGTATGATACTGAAGAAGAAATAGTTTAAATACTACAAACTGTGTTAAAAATAAAAGGCAGTGTCCAATTAACCCCATGATACCATTCGAACTCCTCAATCAACATCAAATACTAATTCAATTTCGAAATAGTACGCACATAAATATGTAATATTCCTACTTCCTAGCCACCGACCGAGGTTCTCTTTTGCAGTACCATGAGAAAGGCATGAACTGGCTGTAGCAAAATACCTGTTGATTCTTTACTACAGGTATTGTCAGTCTGCCCGACGCCAGCAGGTAGAAACTATTACCCTTTTTAAAGGAGATTGGACAAAGAAATTCTAGACCAATCTTTTTGCTATTTCTAATTAAACTAGGCAAAGAGAGTTTTCACAAAATTTAAATGTTAAGACAATGTTTATTATTAAAATAATGTGTAAATCAATATTTCACAAATTTGATAACCTCCTAGGCTGAAAAACAAAACAACCCAATAAAGCAAAACAAGTGGCGACAATAAATGACATCTATCTAGGGGATTAAAAAAATTATTATACCTTAAATCATTTACAATTCAAAATCCTTTTTGTGCATAATTTAGTTTATTAAACAATGTGTGGAATCCTTGGTTGATCCGCTCTTTATCGCACAAGTACTCTCTCAGTAATAGCTAACTATGAAAATAGATTACCATGCATTAAAGCTTCATTTTTCTCTTTTGATAGGAACTAGAGTTTAAGGAGAACATTATCAATATTAAAAACAAAGTTTTCTTAAATTAAGACCACCTGTAATTTTCTTCACATTATGAAATTTTAGATAAAGTGTTAAATAAATTGGTTAGAATCCTCCATAGTCTATTTCCTTTTAGTAAATTTGTTGGTTGTTCTCTTTTTATATAATCTTCCAATATTAGCTGGTAGAAGAAAGAAGCCGTTAAAATTTTTGAATAATTAATTTTATTGTAAAATAGTAACTGGTCAGTCAACTAGATTGTCCTGACCTCTTATCTTTCATTTCTTTCTCTATTTCACCTCGTGTAACCCGGCATTTGGTTCTTTTTAATACATCATTTTATAAAACAAATTAACTATTTTATTCCCCTATAATTATAATAATGTCAGAAATAAATACAAACTGATTAAAATAAATTTAACTTTGAATGTTTTTTGAGACAAAATAAGGGCTGTAATATTCTAGTTTATAGTGAGTACGATTCTGTTTCCTCCACTTCTTTTCTATTGTTAATTTTATTTAGTGAAATAACTTATTTACAACTTTAAATTTTAACTTTACTTTTTTAACTTTAATGTTAAAGGGTCTTAGATCCGTATACGTGTGAAATAAATAAATAGATCAACAAACAATACAAAACGAAAACACGTCGTTAAAAAATGTAATTATAACGTTCGCAAAATAAGAGGCTTTACTATCAAAGGTAATTGTAATAGATAATTTGTCACTTATTTTATGATCGAGGCGTTGTTTGATCTCTGAAGGGCTTTGTAAAAGAATAAATACATCTAATATGTAATAACATGCAACCAATTGTCATTCTATATGTAAAAGAAAACATTGGTGCAATTGACGTAGAAAGGTACTCACCATTTTTGTCGATAACGGAGGTGCCGAGTGGACCTTTCTCCTGTAGATGGCCGGCGGATTTGAAACCTGAAACATGGCACTTGTTCAACGATGGCATGTCATGTCATCGACCTTGAGGACCCAAACAACATGAATCACTATGGTCACTCTAAGTCTGAAACACAATTGGGGAAAACGAGGCGGGAGGGTGGAACACCAACTCCCTTCTCCACTCTCGCCCATTTCCTCCGCTTTCACAATTCCTCATTCATTCAATCCCCACTCGTAGTTGATTTAACACACCAGGCCTCGTCACCGCATAGTGACGTGCCCAATAATGTTGACGCCTTATCTTTTAACTCGTCTTTTCATATTTACATTATCGAGACTAAATGATGTATAGTTTAAAGTTAACTATCATCGCTGATTCTGTCTGTTAGGCACATTTCAGAAGGCGATATGCCGTAACGCACCTAGCAGACAAAATCAGCGAAGATATGCAGACCAAGATGGTAGGTAACTACGTACATCACCCAGCAGATCTCAGGAGGAAATCTCACAATTTAAATTAATTACATTACAATTACATTCTCTCGGTTTTTTTGTTTGTTTTGCGGGCTAACTACTATGGTCATTGCCGGCTTCTCGCATATTTGTCCTTCTCACGTTATTTTATAATCGCGAAAATACATAATCTTTCCTGCATTTTTCATCATTTTCTGTCATATACCTTAAGTTGCTAGACGATCCATACGTTAATTAGTATTTTGTCATTATTATGGTTATTTACCTATCTTCCACACGCAATATTCCTAGAACAGATATTACATACAGACACACTCATGCTACTATAAGATTTTAATCTAACCTATATTTGGCAGGTCTCAGAGTTTACGTTCTCGTATGGAACAAAGCTACGTCCATATTTCCGAATATGCACATGTTTATTATATATATGCAGACTTACATTAATATCCAACCTAATATAATTTCTATGAGTTACTACAGATTAATATAGAGGAAAACATTGGATCATAATATATCCAAAAAGATAACAAACGAAAACTGCTAAAAGTTTGTTTATAATTATACAGGTACCGCTACAAATGGACTCGTTTAATTAAGCTATTGTAAATACGCATGACAGATTGTTATATTTCGCCCCTTGAAATGTATTATATCTAATATATATGTAACGATGTATGTTGTAACGTTTCTTATAGTTTAATTTATATAAATATTATATTTTACAAAATACCATAAACCTCGTAGAAGTCTGTCAGTAGTAATCTGTCAGACAGAACATTTTATTTACAGGTACGTCCAACCATCTTTAGGACCGTTGGAGAGGGTGTTCCCCAGGGCTCCTTGCCTAGTCCTACTGCTACTAGCATAGCGAACATTTAAGATCTTAGTCACTTCGTTTGTACTAGCCTCTTTTATTGAATTATCATAACTAACAAACCAACGCTATCCGTTGAAAAATGTTTCAAATAATTTTCTAGGTGTAGACTAGATTACTATGCGATGGGGTTGTCGGGGTCATTCCATGGCGCATATGAACATAAGTGCCTGAACTCCATACTACTGTGATATGTGGTATGATACATATCCGGAAATGTTACTTAATGATTGGACTGAATCGTTTTGTAATAGTATTAAATTGTAATATTTAATGTAAAAACTAAGTATTTATTATATTGTGAACCAGCAGTACTTCTTTCTAAGTGTTCATTTGAAAAAAAGATTGACTTTCTCCATCAAATCAAATATATTACACGACATTTGAAAAATGGCAAAAAGGAGGAAAATTCAAAAGGTGGGGTCGAGATGGGAGGTTAGTTCTCGAGTGGATCGAAGTCACGATAGCTCAAGTGGTAGAAGAGCAACCAATCTAGCCGAAGATCGTGGGTTCGAATCCCGCTCGTGACACTGCCTTTTTTATCTCAACTAAAAATCTTAATTAATTGAAAGATATTAATTTGTCAAGCGGGCCACGAAAATTAGTGAATTATTAATTTTTTATTATTTTTAGGCTTTTATCTTAGTGTTTTAAAAAATGTACTAAAGTTGGTACAAACTACTATTTTTTAAAAACACCTTTATAAAAGTCTAAAATTAACAAAAATTGAATAATTCGCACAAAGAAAAAAGAAAGAGCAGAAACGAAAAAATATTATCATATATTTCTTAGGTTTCTTTTCAAGCATTAGACAACCATCAAACTTATTTTCTTTTTACTGAAAATAGAAAATGAAATGAAAAAAAGAAAATGAGTCTGATGCTTGTCTAGTTCATGAAAAGAAGCCCAAGAAATATAAAAAGTCAACAACCTGATAAGAAGAGTAAAAAATATATTATCAAAAAACTTTGTTCGCTTTAAGCTGTTAGGTTTCGTTAACATATTTTTTCGGAAGTATTTTAATTACGAGGTTATATGAACCCTCAGAGTGTCGGTGTTTTTGAAAAAAAAAGCCCATTTGTAAGTATGCAGGGGTCGAATGCAAGGCGTTTACCTGTGATTAGCGCCTTTTCAACCCCTAAACCATTGTGGCTACCGACGCCCTCAAGCACCGACCTTCATCATTCTTTAGTTTAATTAAAAATTTACGTGCATTATAAGATACACAATTAAATAAATGGTGAGATTTCCACTTGGCGTCAGCGGGATAATGAACATGTAGCAGATCGTTTCCGATGTTTTGGTCACTGAGGAAGATATACTGACCAAAAAAAATAACCAAACAAGTAAGAATTTTGCTGCAATATTTGTTTTACCAGGAAGACGATTCGTACGGTCGTGTACCACGATATTAATTTGTAAAGAGCAAATTAGAACTTCTAATTGTATTGGGTTGATAAACACTAAATTTATGGGTGTTACAACAAATGAAAAGTGCTGCTGCGTAAGGCGTAGGATTCGTCTGGACCGCACGACGTTCCAAAAGACCTAGGTCAGATGAGAAATTGAGGGGAAACCCGACTGATGAACCGTAGCGGTATAACCATATACCAATTACGACTGTCATAGGAAAAAAATTTCATCACTAGTTTGAAACCGGTTGACGTATCATCTTTGCTTCTTTAATTACCTTTATAATACATCCGTTCTTGAAATGACTCAAAACCTTTTGTCAAGTTGATATTAGCAAGAGAACTGATTAATTACATTTCCAAAATATATATATTTACATGAACGTTTTATTAATTTCTGAAGGTATGTGTCACAATGAACTCGAGATAAAAAAACAAAAAACGAATCAACGTTTTAACACAGGTCAAAATAGAACTGCCCTTGAATGCCCTGATCCAACTGGGCTAATTCCCAAAATTTACGCAGCCACATTTCACGACGCCAACCAAGAATGTTTCCATATTTTCATGTGGGAGCAATTTGAGAATTAATATTCTATATAATAATTACGACTTCTAACTCAACTATAGAACAAAATTCCAAAATAATTGTTTGGACTTGGCATAACAAGAAAAAGTGGAGCCTTTAACAAAAGAGGTAAATTCATTTCAATGTGAATTTCATGTAGTAGTCAATTCCATAAGAGGTAGTTCTTTGTAGATATTGTCGTAACACTAAATTCTGAATTAGTTATACTTTTGTCGTAATAATAAATTCTGGACGTGATGTAGTAGTCAATTCTATAGGAGTTATTTCTTTGTATAATAAGGATGCATGATCGTTGACAAGTTTTCCAGCAGACAAACTTACAGTACATATGAAACCAATAGAATAATCGACGCTGAAGAAAATAATATAAGAGTAATTAAATGAAACCAGTCGGGAACAACCGGTCGGTTCGGTTCTCGCTCCAATTGTTCCCCTTTCTTCTATTGCACCATAATCCTACCAACCAGTTAAAGCAATATTCACTTTCATGGCAACGAAGTAATCACGCACAGATTAACGACACATTAAAACACGACAAATAAAATTTTAAAGGGTTCAAACCGATCCATGAATTACTAAGGAAAAAGTATTAATCACAATTTCATGTTTAATAAAAAATCACATATACTGGATCAAAGTATGGTCTTGAATCAGTTAGTCAGTTCATCAGATAATAATGAAAATCGTAGAAATCCAAATCTATCGAAGATCTTTAGGTGAAGAAAGTAAAAAAGAGCAAAACGATTTTAAGTACGCCAGGTTAACTAAATAGCGCCCATATCTTATATCAACCGTCATTATACATACAAATGACGTGGCGCTATTTTATCATTCCCCTACGTGCCACTAGATGATAACAAAGCTATTCCTTTTATTTAATGCTTTTAAATTTTAAGCTTTTAAATTTTTACTTTATTAAACAATACATTTATGTATATATAATATAGAAGGCTGAACAAAATGCCAAAGACTGTCTTTTAATTTTTCTAGTTTGTTTTGTTCGGCAATGAATCGCACAATTCGATAAACGGAGATATCGCTGTATCAACTAACGGGTAGAAAATAATAAATGAAAATAATAACAATTGAACCACAGATATAGGTTTCCCCCACACGACGTTTTCCAGAATCTGTTAAATGTATGAATAAATAGAGAAATAGGAATGGACATCGAGTACTCGATGTAAAAAAATGGTAACGGTAGAAATGACTTGTTCTCAAGATGGTTCATGACAATAGTCGTAAGTAGTTCTTTTATATACCAGCGACAAACACGATCCAATCAAACGCGAAATTTCGTTCACACGTAGCCGGTAATCATTGGGAACTCAAAGATAAACGTCTTTTAGGATGCTAAGCCGTTTCTGAAAAGTAAGTCAACATATGGTTATGGTTTTTTGCTATATTTAAAAAGAAACCATTTTTTATAAGAGGGTTCGAAACAGAAGAGGTCATATATATCCTCGGAGTGTCGGTGTTTTTTGGAAAAAAAATATTAAGTATGTCGCGTTCGAATGAGGGGCCGCTGGATTCGAACCCGGGACCTTTACCTTACACTTTACAACGATGAGCTCCGTCAACGCCTTAAACGTTGCGGCCACCTTTTGTGTAGTTTTATTATATTAATACTTTTTTTTGACACCGATTATTTACATTCTAACCACTACCGATATCAAACAGATTT